AATGCATGTCGGGCATTTATCTTGATCCTTGTCACATTTTAAATCCCACGATTCTACTCATCCTCAGACAGACTCAGACTCAGAAAACTATTAACTACATAATAAATCCAATATACATAAGCAAAGACATGATACATAAATAGCTTTTATAATATGCCTCCGGAAAATGTGTTCAGGAACTTTATTTAACCACAAGAAATTAGCCAAACCGTAATTTATTATTTGAAGCAATGTATCGTTTAACAAATCATTTTTTAGAAATCTATAAAGCTAATCAATCCTAATAAGGCATACAAAAGTACATATAATTTAATTTTCGTAAACTTCAACAATTTCAAAATAAATTCAAAATACCTAAAATTCCATACTTTAAAAATTTCCTGTAAATAGGCAATGCCATAAATACCTAAATGCCCTGCGCATGAGTACAACTCTAGTACCACTAAATAAAGTAATAGCATAATTATTCTATTTACTACTGTTTACCGTGGAATTAATTCATCGTACTTTTCGGACAATGTGTAAAGGTTATCGGTGAAACATAAGGATCAAAACACTAAAATTTTCTGGTGAGCTTTTCACAATCACATCTCTTATTCAAAAATGGCATTATTATTGCTAACAGATGTAATTCATTGTGTTTGATTTTTATTTCGCTTTATGCAAGATTTAATGAATCTGATGACTTTTGGTGGTCATTCGTGTCATGTCAGTTCGTGTCACTCGAAATCTTATCATGTGGCGATCAGTTCATATCACGACAGGATCTAGCGAGTCAATATTATTACTTTAGGCTTTTGTGGGTAATAAATATTGAGAAAATGAATGAATCAAGACTGCAACGAGACTGCAAACTGCAAATATGCAAACATTTGTGGATTTTGTAAATGAATTGCAATACAATACACATGAGATATGTGCTTCTGTGATTGTAATGGGCGAGTTTTACTTAAAAAGATGGATGACTTCGTCTGCCGACTGACAATGCAATTGTGTCAGATTTTAGTTCGTTTACTAACAAAAAACACACTAATAATGTTGACAATAGATAGACAAGTAAAAGAAGTCTCTGTTAATCCTCTTGCTGAAGAAGACCAAGTTCATAAAGTTCTCGACGAATCAAAAAACGTTTACAACATGCATAAATCTTTGAGACTTTATTTTTCACCCAATTTAAAAACTTTAATACCAGCTCTAACTGACAAAATTGTTGTAATTGCAACTGACGCAAGACGATTTGTGTATTTTATGCCAAAGATTGATTTTGCGATATATTGGAGGTGGCGCAGTAAAGGATTACATATACTTGCATACATATGTAGATATACATCATTTGGTGTCTACGTACATACGTACCAAGAGATACATTTGTATAATTTTGTCACAGTATTTCATGATTGTAGAATTGCAAGAAGTTGAAAGAAATTGCAGCATTTCCGTATTTTTCATAATGCACTTCACCTCTGCTCAGTCAACAATTTATTATGGAATTATTGCCAAACAATTAATGCGGATTACAATATTGGGTGGTTTTGACTTGATGGCGAATCCTTATTAATGAATTATCGCATTTGCCACGCTGATCTTGGCATTTTGCGTACATATATGTGTGACTTGCACTTGGGTATCACAATTTCTCACTTTTGCTGATATGCATATTATTTGGTTATTTATTTATTTGTATTTGTTCATTTGTTCATATATCACTCCGAGCCAATAATCCAAATGACAAATATATCAAAATATTATACAATATACGATAAAACATTTTAAACTTACAATTGAATTATGATGAAAATGGCTACTCAATTGCATTTTGTACTCTTAAACATAATATCCCATCGTTAAGTAGATATATATCCTCATTTTGGCAACTAAATATCTATGTATAAGTTATCTGATCCCCTTGTAAAAAAATTTTGCCGAAAAATTTTTAATAACTTTTTCGTGGGCGAGATTATTTCATTCTAGGTCCAAAATCTTCTTCGCCATGTGAATTTTTTGCCAATGGTTTGCGTTCGAAAATTGTAACAAGGTTTGATTAGACTCTGCTGTTTTTGGAATTTCTAATTACTAAAGATTCCTAAACAAGAATGGTACCCGTGGTCCATATACATCATGTAAATCTCAATTGTCCTCAAACCACACGGTACGGTTGATTGTGTCTCAATTTGCCTGCAGTTCGGTCATGGGGGGGCTGAATGATACATAGCAAATCATGTACTTACATAAAATTAACTTCTCTCGGGCTCACGATAATTGACAGCTTAAATTGAAACCTATCATGAATTACTGTTATTTTGCAACGAATTAATTAAAGTAAATGGTGCTTGTTAACACAAATCATCGTCATTAAATTCTGGTTATGTGATTGGTATGTAATAGTGTTTATTTGGTACGAAGATGATTTTCTCACTTCATACCCCTCAGTGTAAATCAATTGTCATTAATTGAATTGAAGCCACTTTTATATCATGTTTGGATATCATATTTGGAGAATATTAAGTGATGGACGATTGAGAAAATTTAACCCGAATGCTTCTGTTCCTTATTTCAATACATAATAACCAGCAATATCGCCGTTGAAGCTTCTGAAGGAGCCGAATCTAATGTATGTAGGAGATGACCCATGTGGAAGCTTCAACGACGATATGCAATTTCATTTTCAACTTGACCTTGGCTTCTATATAAAGTACAATAACAATTTAAGAATTAGCTGCATATATTTAAAAGAATTTCATTATGTTAAGTAGTTGCATCATAATTTCACATTATATCCGAGAAAATTCGCATTGTTGGAAAGGAAGAAGCAATACAAGAATTGAAAATGCATTTGTCATGACACACTGTAATTTTTTCATTATGCGTCGAGTATGTGAAAGTTGCAACATCGGGGCTGTTCATTTTAACGACTCATTCTAATAAAGGGCCCTCTTTTAAAATCTCAAAGTCAACTTGGCAAAATATTCTATTGTTGTATGAAATCAGTTAAAGTTTAAGAAGCATTTTTCATTCATAATAATGGCTTTCAATTTAATTCAATTTAATATCTGATACTTGAGTACCCAATGAATAATAGTGATGAAGCAGGAAAATGAAATTGGGAAGAAAAGTCCCATTATTTAATCGGTGTTGCATCGTCACAATTCAGTTGTACCCTTCAATATTTTTATTTATTTATAACCATACTCGTTAAAGGAAACTTTGCAACTGGATTTATTTAATATCAATTCGGCACATATTTGATCAATCAAGTGATTTATTTATTAATAGTTGCAACCATATTATAATCGAACTGAGCCAGCCCAAGTGTACTACAAAACTCGTTTCCATATTTAGCATGAGACAGAGTGAGAATCGGATTCTGGTGGGTATCCACCACCACCGCTGGGTGTCGTTGTGACAGTGCCGTATGGCACTGCCGTATAAATTCACGAAACACACGTTCGTATAAATTCAAAAAAACTTAAGTTTTAAATTTGGGGTGATTAGGTAATTAAAATATCACAAATTTTAGTAAGTTGGGTAATTGACTTACATATCTCATTAGTACCCAGAGTTTGTTACGGCTCTTGCAAAATAAGTCCCTCCCTCAGAAACTTTGACCTCAAATTTCTCATGGTACCAGCGTTTCCCTTCGGACGACAAAAGCTGAAAATGTAGCTCTTCTCAAGGAGAAAAATCTGGCATCAGGTTGTCCGAAGTGAATGGCTGGTACCATGCGTTTTTTAATGATTCGTGCGTACGTAAAAAAACCGCCAATTTTCGAATTTTGAAACTTTTGATGCATCAAAATGTTCGTTTTCAAGGGGGAAGTCAAATGTCAAATGCAAGTTGAGGTCTTATTCTCATTTTTCCCGATTTTATTCCCCAATTTTTAAAGGGGGAGTGGTTGCACATAGTTCAAAAATAGCTATGTCATATCAATCCTTTCTCCCAAAATTAAATTTGGAGTTTTGTTTATTAAATTCGGTGACATCGATGCGAAAAAGATTTGTACAGTACACTTGGCCTTCCTCAATCGTAAAACTGAAAATTAAATATTAAATTACTTTGCTGTAAACGAGGTTAACAACAAAATTCACAGCAAGCAGTCTTTTAACCCTATGTTTCATTTCATGTCATCACTTCAGAAAGCTCGTCATCAATTCCTCCATCAATCAAAATTAAGTGGACAAGGTCTTACAATTTTACTTGACTTTCAAAATTGTGTAGCTTCTTACTCGCAACTGGTACAACTTACACGTCGTATCATGTCAAGCTCATATAAATTTAAATGTCATTAAGTAAGTTCGGGAGTCTCACACACGCACGGCCATCTTCATTGCGTAACGCACCCACTTATCAAGCAATTAGTGCACTAATAATGTTCACTGCGCCAAACTCACATACTTATTTCAGACAAATTAAATTATATTTTATTGAATTATATTGCTCAAGTGGGGAGCACGAATTGTGTCGACAAGATAAAAGGTGATTTGATTAGTATTCAGCCGTCCCTCTGCTTAATCGATCGTTCATGATCAAAAGGTGCAATTTGAAAATAACTGTTTGGTTTTTAAGTACTAATTTAAAACACATTAGCATTTATTTCTTTGTTGTAAGGAAATGAATGAAATTTACATAGGTGGCAGTGACATAATGTTGTAAAATGTGGCGAGAATTAAGGTTTTCATTCATTTGAGACGCTTATGACTTCTCTTGAGGAATCGAATTGCTAGAATATCGGTGCAGATTTATAGTGTAAATATTAAATATGTATAAGCATACATATATATATAATTAATTATAAGCATACTAAGTAAGCAATGTGGATGAAAGGAAAAAATAAAACATTAAATATGCTAACGTACGTTAAATGAAGTCCTTCATGCTAAATCTCAGGATTAGTTTAACCATTTATGGTTAGCATTTTATACCAGTTTGTTTAAAAATACAATTCGTAAATTACGAATCGTAATATATTTTTCAGGATCTGATCCCAAATTCTCATCTCCAACAATGAAATTGCATTGCCCCAGCGAACAGCGAACGCGAAATAAACACCGGATCGTAGTTGATATGCAGACCACTTCTCAATCTTATAATTTGAATTTATAAATTATAAGTTATAATTCAGAATTGTAATTTAATTTTAAAGACGTCATTTAATTGTGAGGTGAGGGGGATTGATTATGCCGATTCAATTTACCTATATTTGATATGAAATATTATGCCCTGGTTTAATTTAATTATAATGTTAAATCAAATTTATTTAGAAGCCGAAAATGGTGAATCTGACTCGAATCCTTATGGCTCGACATCCTAGTACAGTTTACAATGATAGTTACTGGAAAAAGCGACAAATATTCAAAATGTCGGCTCACTTTTACGGCCGTGCTCGAAATTGTTGGTCCATCGCCATCCGGAGGGTGCAGCGGGCGTTGCAGTATGTCGTCGCTGGGCGCAAGCTTAGGAAGATGTGGTACCACGACATGTGGAACAACCGAATTTCTGCGGGGAGCAGAGAACTTGGCAATATTCCCGAGGTGAGTCCCTAGTATTACAATTATGGAACAATTACATATGGTCGGTCTGGTGATTACTATTATTGACACCTTTTTGTTTACTCCTGGTCGGTCTGGTAATTACTATTATTGACACCTTTTTGTTTACTCCTGGTCGGTAGGGATCTGAGGTTATGATAGAATCCTTGATTAGATCACAAGTTCTATTAAATCGTCAATCTCTATCAAATCTGGCAATCTGGGAGCCACGGACCTTCAAAGCTATAAATAATATTGCTGCTGTTAAAGATAGACAGGATAATGTTCATCCGAATCGTGGGATGCCGCCGACCGGAATTAAAGGGAAGTTGCCATAATTTTAATGAAACGTGAATTTAGTTGTAGAACTAGTCTTGGGTAATATTTTCTAATAAACCATGTATGTCAGTAAATATTTAAAGTTACTTTACTTTATAATAAAAGTCTTTAAAACCTGTTTAGTGTTTCATGAGTTTACGTTGTAACGACATTTTAAATTTATTCTGTTTCATCAAAATTTGCGATCATAATAAAACACTCGACGATTCGGCAAGTATACAAATTTAAAAGTTACCATTTTTCTCGCATGCTACACGGTTTTTTGCTTTCGTTATTACGAAATGCATAAAATGACTTGTTGCTTATATAATTCTATCACATCACATTATTATATTGGAGAAGGGGCAGGACCATTTGAAGGTCCATCATCAACTTGGGAAACGTGGTTGAACGTATGGAAGAGTATGAAAAGGACCCAAAAATGAAGGAGCAAAATATAGACGCAGAAACCCAGTCTTAAATTTGGTCTTCGCCTTAGGGCAATGCCGGCTTGGCAAAATAGACTGTCGACGGTAGAAAAGGCACGTTTGACACTAGTTGACATTCCTGAATCCCACGGCGACTCACTCAAGTATAATGGTTTGCTTGATATCACTGTTTTGAATACGCAAAGTTTACCATTTTGATTAAATATGCATTCATACAATGGACGGAGTACCTGTTTGTGAAAATCCAGCATTGTTAGAAGAGGCATACTCATTTCCGACTTGATGTAGTTGATCTTGCAGTCTTTCCACATTTATTTGTAAGAGTTGTTTATCAGAACTTAGGCTATTGATTAGACCTGAAAGAATCATATAATACGGTTCAGTTTAAATCGAATAACTTTGTATTAGTAATGACTTCTTAATGGGTAGGGTATGTACCTTGTTTTTCTAATAGGGATTGTGTCAAGGCAGTAATTCTCATTCTTAAAGTCTCTTCGTTATCCCCTCCAAAGTTATTGTTGTACTTTCTGGCGGTGTCTGATGCCATGTTTGGGGAATTTCTCCCATTGTTAAAACTTTGGCATTCCTCTGCTTGTTGCGCTTTCCATTCTTCTAACTTTCGTCTCTCACTTTTCTCCAAGTCCAACTCGTAACATGCTCCTATCAGGAAAAAATATCCATTTAAAAGTTGAATACTATTAGATATTTAGAAATTCTTGTAAATAATCAATAACTGGTACCAGAGAGCTGTTGTCTTAAAAGGAGATTTTCATCTTGAAGTGTACTGCTCATTGACTTCTCATCATACAATTGTTTTTGTAGCTGAACCATTAGTGATCTCAGTGAAAGGAGTTCCGATTCCAATCTTTGTGTGTCTTCTCGAATTGAGTCAGAGCTTGAACGGCATTGGGAAATTTCAGCGTTCAACAGCTCCCGTTCGCTCCTATAAAGAGGAAAGATTTTTGTATTGCATTAAACCACTTTTCTAGATAAAGAATCGTTGGCCGTTGGTATTAAGTATATTATATAATATATGTAGGACACACTTTAGAGCATTGATTTCAGACAAATATGGACTCTCTTCTTTGTTTTCCTTGCTGTGATTTGTAAATGCTGAGCTAGAGCCAGCAGATTCTTCTTGCAACGACGTGATTAGGTCATCCTTCTGTTTTAAAATCGACTTGGCTTTCTCTTTGTAATTGGTAAATTCGGACTCCACTTGTGCTAAAGTCGTCTTCATCGAAGCCAATTGACCATTTAAGATGGGCGTCCTTTCGTTTAACCCTGTAATTTCTTCCCTTAACTCTTCATTGGACTGCAATAATTTTTGTTTTTCCATCTCCACCATTTCTAAACGATTTTGTGTGGTTTGAAGGACCTCGAGTTGTTGTAGTTTCTCAAGGGACTGGTCAAGACTCTTTTTTAATTTGACTATTTCCTCGTCCTTATCCTAAGCAAGACAAAATACTATTTTTAGCAACTTGCATGCACATAGTAATACTCGAATTATGACTTTATACAGAATATAAATAAACTTACGAGCAGCATTTTTTTAAGGTTTTTTTGAACTCGGTCCGATTGCCGTAACTGCGACTCGAATTCTTCTAACATGGTTTCCTTTGATTTACTATCTTCATACTGCGCTAACTTGGATTTAAATGTTTCGTTGTCTACAAAATTAAACGACATTCAAAACAGGATTAAATTATTATCATTTATAGGGCAAAAAGTATAAAATTACCAGACTGCAACTGCTTATTCGTTTTGTACAACAGTTCAACTTCTCGTGCTTGATTTGCTAGCTCAGTCTGAAGGACCAAATTTTCATCTAGCTCTTTGCGCTTTGGATCATTTAAAAAGTCAATTAATTCTGCATCATCATTCTTCTTACTGTTTTTTTGCGTCTCTACAACTGAAACTCGATTTTCCTCTGGCTTGCTGCTAGGATTTTTATCGACAGCAATGTTTGCGCCAGACCTTGGTGAACTACTTCCCCCTTTCCCATCTCTTCCTCGACTTCTGCTGTTGGATTTTGCCTTGATCTCTTTTCCTTTGGGTACCAGAGGTGATCCGGAACTTACGAAAGACTTTTCCTGTACAGTGATAACACTGCCACCCCCATTTGCACGAGGGGTAAGTAATCCTCCATTTGTTCCGGATACGGATTCGTTGCTTGGAGGAAAATTTAGATTGCTTAAATTTTCGGATTTAGGAAAATCATCTAGCGGAGAATAAACTTCACTGTCCAATGTCGCATGACTATTTCTAGGTGAAGACCTACGAGACGTTTTCGTGCTTCGAGTTTCAGCTATTTCGGCAGCCCTAAAAGTGAAAATAAAAGTTAAAATCTCATGTATTTATAACTGCATCAGAACCTGTAACCTTGTTGCTTACTTATTTATTGCCTCAGCTGCATTTTGATCTATCTTGTTTAAAAAATCTTCAGCCTTTCCAGCGATATCTGTGAACCAGGACATGTTGTTCGATATACGTTGTTGTAGGATAACGGGGTAGTCCACTTGAAAAGTTGCGATTTTTATTAGGCAATCATATTTCGTATTTCCACGAAAGTAGCATCCGGAATCCGGATATATGAAAATATGAACATCCAAAAGTGTCCTTTCAGCTTTTCTTTGCTGCATAAAATTACAAAAATATTTTAAATAAATGTAATTCAGCTGCTGAAACAAATAATGTTACAAATACATATTAGTTCAGAGTATTTTTAAGCGTGTCAGACACAGAGGATACACTGTGTGATGATATTTAAAAAATAATTAAGCAGATAAGACAACCACCTATGTTACCTTTATTCGAAAACAGTATCAAATATAGATGAATTTGAAGAATTAAGTGCAAGATGTGAGAATGATGAGTTGGATGGTTGGCAAATGTTATTGTGTTGACTTTTAAATTAGAGAAGCACCACCGCGTGGTTCAATAGGAATGAGACAAAATTCATACTGGATATAATTTTAACCTTTTAATAAAGTAATATTTACGTCAAATAATTTCATATAATAAAATGCATAATACGTAGTTTGAATTAATAAAATATTGTTGACAATCCAGTCTACATGAGCTTGACACTTTTTGTAAGATGCGATTTAATTCCACTGACTTCGCCTCCGTATCGGTGCGTTTCTGTTCTGGCAGTACGAACCTGAAGTAAAAGAAGACGATGCATATAAAAACCCAGCCTCTGGATAACCTACAAGTAAAACATGTAATAACTACCTGTCCTTTCCTCCTGATCTTGGCCTTGCGGTACTTTTCTCTATGTTTGACTCTAGGATTTCTCTGTTCTTTCTTCCTCCTTGGAGTGAGGCCTTTGTTTTTCGCGATAGCATACGTAATTTTACGTTTTTCTTTCTCATCATCTAATTCGTTGTCAGAATCATTTCTAAACTGAAATTGCCCTTGTGAATTTTCGCCCAATGTTTGGTCTAAATCAATGTCCATTTTCTCGGGTTGTTTTGCTCTCAACTTGACCTTCTTTCTCTTGGTTTTTTCCTCTGATTCTGATGGAACATATTTGGCTGGATCAAATTGTGAAAGTTCGTCGAGAAGACGACGGAATTGAAGAATCCGTTTGATAACAGGATGACCTTTGCAATGCGTGGGAAAGGTAGCACGTAGATACAAGTAGTATGAAAGGTTGATGCAATAGCTGTGGAATCAATTAAATATTACAAGTGAAACCATATAACATAATTGAGATGTTATGTATTTGCGAATTATTCGCTTATGACTTACTTTAACAACGTGTGAAATTTGCTTTGATAAAAACTTTTAAGGGTTTCGTCAGAAACATCAGTCATCTCCTCTTTCACAATGCGAGCCTCTTTCAACCTATCTGTAAAAATTAATTAACGATACATTCTAGCCAGTGCATGACAATAATCACGGTACCTTTGTATTCATCCAACATGTGAACAACTTCTGGACATTCCCTTTCCACCAATTTCTTTTTTTCTGCAATGCTTAACTTGTCAAAGTCCACTTTAAGTATTTCCTTTGTCTTATCCACTTTTTTGTCACTTCCTTGAACTTTAGTAGCAACAGGTACAAGGCCGAGAAAGTCAGTTTCATCAAGTTCTGCTGTTAATCTTTTCTGAATTTCCTTAGCTTCTGCTTCCTCTTGCTCCGCCATTTCTGCATCACTTCCTTCAAAACCTCCAAAGTCTTGGTCGACATAATCGGTGTTGTGAAACATTTTTGCCTTCTTTCCCCAAGCACGACTATCAGGTACTCCAAAATCTTGATTTTTATCGCCCATAATTTCTTCGTCATCACTGTCATCTGAATCTGAGATTTCGTCGTCCTCAACATCTTGGTCAGAATTAGCGTCTTGATTTCCCACCTTTGAGTTTTGTCCTAAATTTTTAACCAGTCATAATTATAAATATACAAGGTGCCGTTTGCCGTTTCATTGAACAAGAACAAAAAGACAAATCTTATTAATTAATATTTTATTAATGGATTGCTACCCTCTTCGTCGTCATCATCTTCATCCTCTGATGATGTAAGTCCTAGTCCGTAAACTTCTTGTTCCTCGTCATCGTCTGACCCTCCTCCACCCCGTCGTTTACCCTTAGCTTTTTTGGCCTTGTCCAAAAGGGTCTTGTTCTTGAGATTGTTGTACTGGTCGATCTCATCTTCAAGGATGGACTGAAGCCGTTGTTCAATCGCATCGTCATCTTCGTCGTCAGAGACAGCATTTTTTAACGAGTCCACCTTGCTTCGAGGTGGTTTATTAAAACCTCCTTTTCTGTAAATGATGAATAATGAGTCATTGCATTATAATAATGGTTACACGTCCAATTGCGTTTAAATTTCACTTACTTTTTCCCCATTTTAATCGTATGTTTCTAATAATTAGATGTCACAATTTCCACAATTACAAAATGTAGCACAAACTTAAAATTCAGAGCACCAATATTCAATGGAACCAGCAATTCACATATCGAATTTATGAATGAGCATCAGCACGTGAATAACAAGTTTCCCACAAGTCTCATCCGTCTCATTCTACTGCGTGGGGCTAAACGTGCTACTGCTTGCAAGTGAACATCATGAAACTAAAATCTCACAAATTGCATACACGAAAAGCTTTTGAGCAATGTCTCATCATGATATTTTTCTTCAACTTCAAACTTGACTTTATGTTTGTGCGCCCCACTATAAAATAAATAATTGGCAGACATGTTATATCATATATTTGTATAGGCACGACTTCAAATTCGAATAGTTGTGATAATTTTGTATCATTTATTTTATGAAAAACTGTAACAAGATGAAAACACAATACTCAAATTCTATACATGCATGTTTGTTTGCTGCATGTAAACTGGCATGTTAATATAATTATTGCAATTATAAAGATGACTACTGAAACCGTCAACCCCACAACTTTTTAGCTGTGAGGAACTTGCGTTTGATTCCGTTAATGCGATTTTTTCAGTTTGGATAGTTTAAACCTTGTCCGTCTCTGCAGAACTGTGGTTTGACTTGTCTTATCTGATTCCTTTGTCACATCTTTTGTAGATGAAGTGGAACCCACCTTTGACTTTGGTTGATGTGTAACCGAAGTTCGAAATGGTTTAATTGTTTGAAAGTTCCTGGTGAAAGCAGTTCCGACGTTGGTTGATTTTTCTACCGTTGCCAGACCTAGACTTGCCCTCCTTCGGTGTCCAGTTGTCCCCGAGGGTTCACTTCTTTCCTTCTGGTAGAGGGATTCTTCCTCCAAGGACTTTTTCTTAGGAAGTAACATTCCCTTGTACGGTTTCCCTTGTGGCAATCTCGGCACAAATGGGGACAAGTAAGATGATGGCATTCTTCTGTCCGAAACTCTCATTTGGTTAAAAGATTCGATAATGCAGCTGTCACTCATACTCTTGCTATCATCTCCGGGCGAGGTTGGAAGTTTTTGTGCAAATTGTTTATTTTTCATTGCTCCATCTTTTTCGTCGCATTCATCTTCTGTACCAGAACCAGAGCAGTTGTCATCGTCATTAAAATTATTTTCAAATTCCACCTCTTCATTCCCCGGTCGTGTTCTGTACTGTGGTCGTAAAAAGGTCCCTGGGGGGTTGAATGGGTCGTCAAATAGAATGCTAGTACCTGTTGACGTATAGTTCAAAAATACTTTACAGATGTCAATAATAATAAATGTACTCCATATGCGTATATGTGCCTCTGTTTCATACATTTTGGTCCAGCAGAGAACACAAAGCTGTTGGTGCTCTGTCTGTCCATCATGGTGGTAACTGTCGCATTAGTAACATCATCCCGTCTTACTTGCTTTCTCCGGAATTTGGTCAATCGTTTGAACACAGCAAGTTCCTTCTGGGTAACAAAGTCTTCGGTGTGCGATTCTTCTATTACGGCAGTACGACTACTATTGCTACTTATTGTTGTCCCCCCAAATCGTATGGCATTGACTGAAGCTTTGTTCAAATTGAGAAAGGCACGTTGTTCCACATGAGTTGTTGTGGCTGTCGTGGTTGAAACTAAAGATGAGATTGTGGTTGGTTTAGGCCGTTTTTTCGAGATTCGAAGGGACGCTTGACGTTTTAAGGGGTTGACAGGTTGAATAGTGCCGTCATGTTCACTAGATTTTTTTAAAGATTCGTCTCCAGATTCGTCGGAATCGCTGTGAGACAGACTAACATTCAAAAAAATAAAAATTGAAAATTTTACAGGTAGTAGCCACAAACTTCGTATTCTTTGGTTATGCTAATCTATATTACTTTGTATGTACCTAGAATAATCAGTTACGGTAACATTGACAGGTTCGTCCGCATTGGAACCTTCATCATTCACTGGAAGATACACATAAATAAACATATCGTCGTTGAAGCTGCCAAAAGAGCTAAATCCATTTTATGTCAATTGCCAAAAGAGCCAAATCCATTTTGTGTCAATTGACACAAAATGGATTTGGCTCCTTTGGCAGCTTCAACGACGATATGCATATATATTTGTATGCACTATACATAAATCACACTCCTCATTAAAGAATTTTATGACCACTTCAAAAAGTACATACGAGGACAAACTTATTAAAACGTGTGGATATTTGTGTTTTAGCCCTCATTTGGCACAAAGGAGTCAAAAATATGATTTAAATGTGTATGTATATATCTTACGTTTTTGCAGAATTTTATCACGCAACCTCTCCTAAAATTGGGATATGAAGTAAAACATAATGAACTTAATGAATTTAATTTATTTGATAGACTTTTATATCCAATTAATGGCACATGACATCTGTACCTTCTCCACTGAAGGATCCGAGAAATCAATCAAAGTTTCACAGAAATGTCTACCCACGGCTTCATAATCGGCAGTGTTAAAATGCGTATAAGGTCGAGATGGCATAGTTGAACCACCCAATGAGATTTCCAGAGTAAAACTATTAATTACATATGCATACATGAATATAGAATAAACCGTATGCACGTCATAAGCGTGTGGGATGCTTACCTATTAGTAACACCTAGCGTCCATGCAAAGACTCGTCCAGTTCCTTCCTTATTCTTCTGAACTCGAAATTTACAATTTTGGAAAGAAAACTGAAAAATGTCATTACTCATATAATACAATGAAATCCGAATTTCTTCCCTTCGTTATTGGTGCATGTATTGTATATTTATTAGTATCTGCCAAACCTTATCTGCCGAATTCTTATGCATCATTAGTGGGAAAACTTGTTCAATGAGTTTCTTTTCTGGAAATTTGCGATTCTCACAGCCATATATAAAAACATTATTCCTCCTCGAATGTCCATGTATATCGCAATAAAGAAATATTCCATTCGTCTCAGCCAGTCTACGAAGAAGCACTTTGGTTTGATAGATTTGTGGAAATGCTTCTCTCAGAACTTTCGTAAAAAAAGACGTAATATAAATTATTATGATTTAATTAATTTAAGCCTTTCCTAATTTTAGTTATTTAAAAGTAAGGTCGATTATACCTGTTCTATATTGCCGGTTAAGATCTTGACCTAATAAACAGCAGCGTGAATTACCCACAATTACTCCATCCGGATTCAACATTGGAATCAACTTGAATATAAATCTGTCCCGAAGTTCCTATAATTTAATACGTTTTTATTTATTTTTATTTCCAGATCTTCATATAGTCATATATACTTCTTCATGCATAACTACGGTATTTAATATGCATATACCTTTGCTTGGGGACAATTACTCGTAAGAAAGTCAATGATCCCCTTCGTCATGAATGGATAACAAAAATAGGTAAGCATAATCCATGATGAGACGAGGAATGCGTGGAGCGATAAATCAATTAGAAATCGAAACGTACCTTCATCATGTAGGACGACTGCGTCTCACCCGGGTGGACTCGGGCCGAAATCACAATCGCAGGTTTCTACATATCATTCATGTCAAACATTATAAATTGACATCATTTCGCATAATATTCTTCCATTATTTCCAACATCATGGAAAGTGGTGTGGCATTAATAACGCTCTTGTGTTGACACACAATATGCGAAAAGACTTCCAGGTGTGACCGTGACGTTGACAAATTCCTCATGCATGCATATTCTCTGCGAGCGTTCCACATTCCATTCATTCGTTAGGAAAATCAGGAAATGCAAACGCGTAGTATTTGATCGTTGAATGGATTTTCTCATTTAAAAAGAAATGGCATGTTTGTGAAAAGGGGCGAACTTTGCAGAGAAAAAACTTACTCTCTGGTTTTCGTCGTTGTAATTATCGGGTGAAGTTATTGTCACCACGTACACATTGTTCCCGGCCAACGACCGACAAAGTAGGCGTACCGTGAGGAGGTTGGATCTAAATGCGTCGTCCTAATGACATCCACCAAACAAAATTACAGAAAAAATGAGTTAAGAATATATTTCTGGAGGAGTCTTTTGCTACGACGGCTTACCCACCTCCAAAGTTCGTAAGTATGTTTGCAACCTGGTGTATGTGTATGGATAACAATGCGCCAAGTAAATCGTATCATTGCTATGCTTGAATTTCAAGTTAAATGTTAACGTGTACAACGTTACGTTATCTTCTGTCCTAAAATATGTATTACAAGAGCAAAGAAATTGAGAAAATCAGCATCTTCATCTGGTTATTAATTATTTAGTCAAGCTGCTGCGGGCGCGGGTACAAAATTACTTACGGAATGTCATTTTTGAAATATGAAATATTTTGACCAGCTCGAACCCACCCAGTTTTATTGAGTTGTGCCTCTTTTTCTGAGTACATTAGAATCTTGAGTCCGTATTTGTAAAGGCTATCCGGTTTATTGAAGTTTACGATGGAGAAGCTATTTCATAAAGTATAAAATTTCTTGTTATCAGACATCATGCATTTACAAAACTCTATTTGCTTATTATGTATTAGACCCTAGCACATACCGATACATGACGTTATCCTTGGTATTCTGAATTCTAAAGTAGAACCATTGGGAATGTCGGTCAGTGTAAAGGTCTTGTCGCAAATGCAACTCATAATACACATTCGTAACTTTTATGGCTTTAGATAAATTTCCACTCTCGAAACGGGATTCGAACCGTAATGCGTTTGGCTCAGAGGACTCGAAAGCTTCAAGGATTTCAGAGCCTCCGACACACGAGCGACAAAACTGCAAGTAATAAGTGTATAATCAAAACAAGCGTAATCTAATCTTTAAATCAGAACGACTTACATAATCGACGGATAGCTTAGGTTGATAATCATAGACAATAGTGCCCATCTCTTCTCCCACCTGTCAAGGCAGATAACATGATATGAGAGGCGAGAAAGTAAAGAAAATAATTATGTTAAATAATTCTTGATACAATTGTCAATTGTGTTAATTTAAGTTCTACTTAGAAGTCTCGATGAACAACTAAACGTTCTTGGCCGTCTCATTTTCTACCATTTTGTGAATCGAAATAGATGACCCTTCCAACGTATTTCTACCCCCAATTTCCCTCTCATTGTAACAATAACCTATTCAGTAACAATATAGAATTTTCTATGTATATGTATGCACATTGTGTTTTAGTAAATCTCATTTTGACTATATTTAGTCAGTTTTTTATGCAATGTCACTATTTTGTAAATTTCCGAAAATTGTATTTGTTAATTGGATTACACGGAGTTAAGTGGAAAAGTCGAAGAAAAAGTTTTGCTTTATTTTGTCAATATTTCGAATGCTATCTGCTATTCATTATCAAGACATTTACAAGATGGGAAATTTGTTACAAGATTTCGTAGTTGAAATTAGTTAGTGTAAATTCATAAAAATAGTTGTCATGTTTGTGGCGTTGGATACTGGGGTCACGTTTTGAAGTGATAAAAAATGTAAAGGGACCCAACTTGATGGACCGAGGGAAAACCTTGCCATAAAGAAAAGAAGGAAAACCTCAGTCAATCCACCCAGACCCCATTTGGCATCAAGTTGGGTTGATGTTTTGTTGTGTGTCGCTTGAAAGTGGGAGTGGTTTTGTGTTAATAAATTTTGGATGTCGAATGATTGGTAGAAGTAAAGCTGCCCAAATGGGGTTGATGTTTTTGCCGTCATTAGAGTTGATTTTGTCTTTGTCAAGTTTTTTAATGTAAAGTCCTTCTTTGTATTTACGGAAAAAATATCTGTGTTCTGATTCAATAAGTGCAGTGGATTGAAAATGGATGGTGTGAGTGGGATTGTCTTTGATATGTTGTGCTACTGCTGAAGCGATTTTTTGCTCGGTGACATGCTTGTTTTTGTTTCTGGTGGTCATTTGAGAAATGTTGGTATACGTTATGTTTACCTTGTCTGTTTCTGATTTGTGTTCTTTTATTCTATCTAAAAGTGGTCTACATGTTTCACCTATATATAGTTTGTTACAAGAGCAAGGAATTTTATATATACCTATCTGAGGGGTTGGTGCTGCCTGTTTGTGTGTACATATCATATTTCCTACCTTTTTACCTGGAATATAACCGAAAGTGCAAGAGAGAGTGCGTCTAAGAAAGTGTGAAAGTTTTGTTGTGAGGGGGCCAGAATATGGTAGTATGATACGTGCGCCTGTCTCTAATGTTTTAGGTTCATTTGTCTGAAACTTTTTAATGCGTTTATTTATGAGATGCAAAGGGTAGCCATTTTGCATGAGTTGTGATTTTATTAATTGTAATTCTTGGCTTAGGAATTCTGGACTGCAAATGGTAAATGCCCTATATAAAAGTGAATCAATTACCGAAATTTTGTGAGATTGGTGGTGGTAAGATGTGTAATGCAAATATCTACCTGTGTGTGTACTTTTTCTGTAAACTTTGTGTTTTGTAGTACCATCTGTGTATCTAATTATGGTTATGTCTAAAAAATGTAATTGATTGTTAGTTTCTTCTTCTAACGTGAATTGTATCTCTGGATGGAAATTATTGAACTGATTTAAAATGTTTGTTGTTTCGTTTTTTGTGATGCAAGTGAAAGTATCGTCAACGAACCTACGATGAAAATGTATGAGTGGGTTATTATTCACTAGTGTGAGTTCTAAATATTGCATGAAAAATTCAGCAAAAACTGGTGAAATTGGGGAACCCATTGGTGTGCCTGTGGTTTGTTGGTAATATGTGCCCTTGTACTGGAAATAATTGGAGGAAATGCAAAGTGTGAGTAATTCTAAGATTTCAGTAGAAGTGAGACTAGTTTTGGTTTTCCATATATCTTTGTTAGCGTCTAATTGTTGTTTAATATAATTTAGTGTTGGTTGTATTTGTACTTAATTGGTATCAAGAAATTACTATAAAAAATTACTTAAATCTTACAGGTTTCGGCTGCGGCTCCGAATTGGTTGGGACGTAGAATGGTTCTAGTTTGGCAGGAACAGTCTCAATGTGTCTCACTTTTTCTGGAACTACCTATTTGTGTAATTTATTTCGCAAATTAAGACTATGATTAACATTTAAAAAACGTATGGCGACAATTTTATGTCAAATCGTCGACTAACTTGACATTCCACTGGCCACTTGGGTGGGTGTTGAAGGGATGTTGTGCTGTATAAGTCTCTCGGTTGTCGAAGGATCATGACCGGTCTGTCCTTCTCTCCAGAGTCTACGCCAAATCCGGCCCCAAAATTTGCAGGAAATATTCCCATTGCATTGGTATTCATGAGTCCACCGCCTGTAATTATTGAATGTCAAATTAGTTATATAGTTGTGTAATAAGAAAAGCAGTTTAAAATATGAATGTGGTAAATCATGTCAACAAATTCTAGTTAATATACATAAGTTATAAATATATGAAGATCTATAATTTGTAAAATATACATATTTTTTACAACCTCTTGGAATGATAGGGAAAAATTTACTTTGTAATTCCAGGACGGAGGAGGACATTTCCAGTCCAATCCTCTACCCACTTCGACTAAACTTCTCCTTTTGCTTTCTCCGGATCCGGAAATGCTGTGCACGAATCAAAACTTGGCTATTTGTTGGAAGCCCAATAGTATGTAGATGATCAATCCGACCTTATAACTATTTTGATGCGTCAGCTCGAAGCAAACATAATCTGTATTGAAAACTTATAAATTTGACAAATTTTGGGTTTATATGAATTTTTTAATTAGTTTTGACCAAGTCATACTTCCCTAAAATAGTTTGGGAAATTTTTGATGATCCAATGTTTACCAGAAGAATTAAAAATACGTGGACTACATAATGGCAAAAGTCTTTAGAAAACTTGGACCTGTATTTGTCCCCACTCTGTCCAAGTTATCGTGCATGAGTCCCCCAGACTCCAGCCAGACATTATATGTCACTCAACAATCCAAAGCCAACTGGAAAATTTTGTGGTTCAGTTGGATCGTTATATAATTGGTCGTCCTCCTATCAGGTGCCTACATATCTGTCCTCCATGAAATCAATGTTCCTGCTGCTATACTATGTACTCGATTCTCTCTTTTTTGCAGTGTACAGCAGACTTTTATTCACGCAGTGGCACGAAGAACCACCAAGCGATGCCCTATTTACAAAGGCAAGGTTGCATGAGTTTCCTTCCTTTGGTAATTACCTATCTGGCTATCAAACCAGCGACTGACAAGCAGTGAAAGCACCACTTTCTTCACTTTTGTACCTGATCCCATCATGTAGCTTGGACGTATTTGTATGTCTATTTGTCATTCGTAGCCTTTTTTGTAGACAGAGTTGCGTTGGGTTTTGGAAAAGTTGGCAAGCAAACCCAAACGTATTATGCATAAAATGATGGAGGATAAAAATGTTTCAATCTGCATATTATTACGGAGTTATGTACATAAATATGTGTACATGGAAGTAGATGGCACGTGCCCATGTTCATAAAAACTTTTCCTTGCTTATTAAATGCTACCAGGTTTACGAGGTGTTTGCTTAATAATTGAAAACAACCGGAAATTAGTTATTCATGAAAAGTTGGACAAACTTTTCTTGAACTTTGATTAACATATTAATTGTCGATTCAGCGGAATACACGCATACATACTTACACTATGTGTGTGTACAACATCGAGCCATAAATTTCTGCTGACATTTTTTCCCTTGCTCCTTTTTAGCTCTGCTTTCTTTATGCTCTGTTACTCGAATTTATTATTCATTTGATCGATCATCGCCATTCAAACAGACCATTCTTGACTCCGACATGAAGGAAGATAAAAGGCAGGAAAATGAAGAATTTTGATATTTATGTTCTTACAAGAAATTCTGCCACACCTGTTCTCCCGGAAGTATAAGCGCTAAACAAAGAGGGTTTGTTTATTATATGCATTTCTATTGTGTTCCATACATAAATCTAGTTTTACTGATAGACATAAAAGGTATTTGATCCCGAGAGAAAGTCGAATTGTTAGCTGTAACAAAATGCAATCATGACAAGCCCGACAAAACTTTCGCACAACATTCACACCATTGCAAACCATCCCGTAAATGCGTACGTATTCCATTTGATGTCATAATTGTCGTCAGGAACGTTTGTTTACAGGGGAAGCTACCAAGGCCAATAGCCAAGGCTAGCAAGAAATAAAAAATTAATTTATCGTAATACACCAAAACCTCCTTCATTGTAAAGCTCATGTACTCCATGTGCCACGAGATGATTACGTATCACAGCGGAGTACCCGTTGTTGTCACCCTTTGTTCAATCGTTGTGCAAACTTGACAACAAATTGCAGAACTTGACTGAACAAAGGAGTGCAATTACTCTTTCAAACCGTTAATGGATAATACTGTGATCTATTTTTGTTCAACTTTGAAGGAAAAACATATACCTGTGGAAATTACACATAAATGGACGTCGTGTAATGCACTTTCCAATGCCTTCCACGTTTCAGACGATGGCACAATTCCTACAAATAGCAAACCAAAATATGTCGGACTTGACATTTGAAAGAAAGTATGCAGTGTAGGCGTTCAGCACAATAGAGAGCAAGGTTATTTCTCCAACTGGAATTCAGTAATGAACGGGTACATACAGCACACGTATAGAGTCATGTAAATACATTTGCGACACAATTTGTTCATTTGCTCGATTCGTCAATAATCTCCGTCCGTCCGTCTTCTTTGTGCTGGTCATGATTGCATTTTATTCAACGGAAACTACAAAATCATATGAAATCCAATCAGTGAGATATATCGACGTAAAAGTTGTCTGATCCATTTCTATTGTGCATGTGTACATATTAAGCACAATTATTCAATATTTGTCTGTCCATTCTCAGCAACATGGCCACGCTGCATTTTAGGTGACTATGTCACGGATATCGCTGCCCGTCTTGGTCAGACCGAAGAGAGTGGAGACGAAATGGAGGCACGATACGGACAAACCGTACTCTTCAGGTTGAACGATGACGATAGTACATCCATTTATCAATTTTTACTGAAATGATGATATCTAGTGACACTTGAATACAAGTTCACATAATTACTTGACTTAGGACGACATACCAAAATGGCATCAACATCGGGTACTGCCAACCACAACCTCTCCTCCTTAATACAAATATGAGCCATACTAATATATTTTTTAAATACTACCGTTACAAACTAAAGTAGGACATAACCTAAGCATTACTCTTAAGTTATAATACGAATACATTAGACATTTTTAGTTCTATGTTGTGTCTACGTTTTGTGTGTGTGGTACATACATATGTAGAACGATGGGAACCATAAAAGTTTGTCCAGCAAGTTTAACTTGGTGGTTTAAACTTTGCCAGTCTGTTATGCTTGCAATTTGCTATTGATCCAACTTCCAAAGTGAAATGTATATTTACCATGGTCAGCATACATATATAAAGGATTAGTACAAGGGACTCTGCTTATGTTGTTCATAAACTTAATTACATCACTTTCAACAATGACGGTATTATAAACCCCAAGCTGGACGGCAGAAAAAAATACAACATTTATGTAGCTGCATTGTATGTTTCTGCCAAACGAAAATGTCATTTGTCAAATCCTCCTTCGTCTGTTGAATTTTTGGGCAATTTTTTGTAAATATTTCACCCGTCGTTCATTTCTAAAGCACTTCGGAGAACTGCAGATGATAGATTTGAGAATAAAAGCAGAGATTTTATTTTCAGATATCGGTACAAATGGCTTAGGAGGACATCAAGCTAGTTTCAAAAGTTCATCTTTATCACACCTAATGGCGCACGATTCAGATTACCATAAACACTATCTTATATCTTATATCAATTTAAAAGACAATTTAAAGTAGAAGATATTCGTCGAAATATGCATCAGGTCAAGGGGTTTCAGCCAACCATGACCTTGTGGGGGTGGTGGAATGCATAAGGAGTCTAATATGCGGTATATCTTACAACACGCATCTTGAGGGAAGATGAGATTTTGATCAGAATCGTTGTAAATGTACTTTGGTACACATATGTATATATTTATTTATATGTATGTATCTATGTATATATGCGAATCAGGTTTTACCACGATACAGATAACACCAATTTTTTGTATACTTATAGGCTTAGAGTATCTAATAATTATAAGTTATTCTATAAATAAGCTTATATATAGGTATGTTTAATGTACATATATGTGTACATACTTATGTAAATCATTATTTCCACTTCGGTAAATTATTCTGGGCATGATGCTTGTCAATCTTGTGTTTGTTACTAATATCCACTCCAGCTAGTTCTTCATCTAGCAGAAGTTCAAAATTTCCGTACGCCTCCCTGGAAGGGATCTTGTTCCATTTTGCTCTATAAAATAACGACATGTGATTCCGTCGCATTATATTTTTGCATGATTATTAAGTGATATTATGTATATCTACTCTGGAATCCCACTGGGCGGAAGGACGACGGAGATAATGTCGTTGATCAATTTGTATTTCAGAATTCGGTCATTAACCGTGGTTGACGTTAAGGACGGTGACGCATTTACCTTGGATGAAAAAAATCTTAGTATTTAAATAACCAATTCATTAATGCACGAATAGAACTTCCCAACTTTCTATTAAAAAACTAACAACAATTAGGTATATATTACCTCAATCAACCAGGGTTTCAAATTATTGTCAATAATGATGTCATAGCCGTAACATTCGAAACAATGACGATCACTGACCATCAGAGGTGCAACTGCTTTCAAAGAATGCATCACCAACCATTTCATGCCGTCAAATAGTTTCGTCGTGACATCTTTGCCTTGCGTGCTCTCCAAATACAATTCCAGGTTTCGGAGACTCCATTTACCTCCATGAATGTTGTTGTATTCGTCCTTATGCATTGTTATTTATTATCATTTTAAACCTAAATATCTTTCCTAAGTCTAAATTAAGTGCAAGCTCACTTACGCCATGCTTCTGCACTGACACGTTGGTCAAATGGACGTACATATTTTCTAACTCTTGAATCGAAGTATCGTACTTTGCTGTGCAAAAGCGACAAAATCCTAACTTGTACAGGTAAACTTTTAAAGGTCGAAATGATGTGACAAGGACATAGAGACGCATATCAAACTTCCTTCCACCGATAAGTAATGGATTTTCGATATACTTTGAGATTACGTAGGCATCTTTAACCTAAGAAAAATACTAAGTCAGCAAATTTTGCTCAAACCAGCGAGGTATTTATATATATACATATTTAAATACTTATATCTAAAATCATGAGAATTAAATAATTTTTAGGCTGACCATAGATGGATTAAAATTCTGACCACGACTTTCTCTTGACCATTTCTTGAGTTTGGAAAGCTTATTTATCAGAAAAATTCCTGCGCCTTGAGACTTTCCGCAAGGTTTCTATTATGACGAAATACTGTAATTTCAAAACTTTATACTAAACGAAAAAGTATGTTGCGTACCATTATCCAAGTGCTCAGTGGATTCTTTCTGAAATATTGGACGACGTGTACAAATGTAAAGTGGGAATAAATGGATTGGTATGACTCGCTTACCTGTATTCTTCTACGAACATATTGTAATCTGGAATATGAACATGGTAAAAATTTTAAGGCTTTTTAGACAAGCTAAAATTATATCAGGGTCAGAATGTGCTTCCAAATTTTTGTCAGATGACCCAACAACATTACCAACTTTCGTAATCGTCATGCAAAGTTTCAGCCTCTATCGACCAATTTAAAAAAAGCAACGTGTCACCCTGTTCGGTCTCTGTCAAAAAATTTTCATAAATATTATTTCATATTCTTTAGTCTGAAGTGGCCTTGCGATAGTATGAGTTTAACGAATTATCGCAGACCGGACGAAAGGACAATCCCTGACTCTGGCTAAAAAAAATGATGGGAACCAAACTAAAAAATAATTTACTCTACTTGTTAGAAAATATTTGTGTATTTACATATCTATGTACATACAAATACACGTGCTCTGTTTTTATTATTATTCGTACTCATCAATGCCATGAATTATATGTACCTATTTAGTATTTAACCAAACCAGCTTTATTCCCAGAGATAATATACGATGTGGATTATTAGCTAAATGAATGGTATAAATTCTCTAAAAATCTATCAGTCAGACTGATTAATTTGGTCAAAGTTACCTGCTGGGAGGACAAAGGTCGTAGGAATGAAATCGAGATGCACATATTTGCCAAACTCATTCTTTTCTCCCAACGGCCCACCCTCTTTTTCAACGTCCTTCCTGTATCGCTTAATATTCTTCACAAGTAGATCCTTCCGTGTAATTTCATAATGGTTGGGAAAATGACTGATGATTCTATTCATAAAAGTTACTGTGTAGTAATAACCAAATCTTACCAATGTTAATTTACGTAATTTGTATTTACTGATTATCATGCATCCTGTAGCCGCTTTCAACTCCAAATATAACGCGACATGTGGGAACATTTGCCCTAAAGAATCATTTACAAAATTTTTAGATATGTGATTTTTTATATGTTGGGGTATGCATGCAAGCTTTTATGTGGTGACAACAAATTATAAGGTTCAAAATTCACCAGTAAAAGTTCCAGTCGTCATCCGGACCGACTTGTTGCCACCCCCGTTTCTCAAAATTAGTGTTAAGCACAGATTTCTCAACGTCTGTGCAATATAAAACTCGCATTCTGAATTTTTTAAAATTATCTTTGCTTGTAGTTTAAATTTTCAAACAGTGATGGACCTCATACCTTGTCAAGTATTGATCAAACGATCTATTGGGTTTTTAAGATGTAATCACTTCTAGTATCGATCAAACGCAAATGAAGCAAAGGCATGCAGCAACGTACGTATGTAGCTAGAACTAAACAGCGAATTAATTATAAATAACTACGTAGTAAAAGTATTCGATATTAGTAAATAAAAAATAATATTCATATGACATTCACATTTTATTGATCATAATATAATAACGTTAAACGTACATAGTACATGCAGATTAATAGAATTATGTGTCAATGTGCGATGTATTTACTTAGTAGATAATTATAATCATAAAACTACATAGTCCATCCGGTATTTCATTTTCACAATGAAAATGGACATTTTGAATACAGTTGTGCACAGTCGCCACCTCTTCTCCCACTTTTCATGGCTTCCAAGCTGTCGGATACTCTTTGATTTTGAAGGAGGAGTGAAACGGCGAGGGACAAGAAGTACATCACAACGCCTTGAACCACGCCATATTCGCCTGCACGTTGATTAGCTTAACAAAGAGAAATTTTAAAAAATATATTTTTTACCCGGACCGTGCAAATGCAAACAGCACTAATTTAATAAATAATGTGCTCCTCATCTTACCTTCGCAAAGCATTCGACGCTGACATTCCCATTTGTTATCGCTAAAAGATTAATACTTATTTAAATTTCATCTTATCAATACACGATTTCTTGAGTTATTAGCTTATTTTACTTACTTGTGCACATAAACTGCTAAAGCATCCAAAAACAGTTCTATAACTTCATTGACTTTATCTCCCATAATTCCATATCCAGGCAGAGGAGTTGACCTGCTGCTGCCGCCTGCTGCACTTTTTTGACCTCCATTCTTGGACACGTCTTTAGTCAAAATATAAATTATAGCTAAAGTCATCGTTGAGGCAGCAGCGACCACGGCGATGGGGGCAATTGATATCGATGATGATGACCCTTCTGTGTGAACAGTTTCGCCGTAATCTGATACATTTTTTAAAGTCCCTGAAAATACTGGTGGATTGTTCGGTGTTGTAAAATTCCGCACTGATGTCGAATTGTACAAATAAGTGTCAAACTGCAGTTGATCGTGCATTACCAAAATAAATTGAATAATTTTTCCCAAAAAAATTGTAAACTATCATTATCACAAGCACACGCAAACTTCCGCCTTCAACTGTTACGACGGGGTTTTGAACTGTTAATAAAACAACAAACTTCAGGGACTGGGAAATTGTACATCGAGAACTACCAAGCGTGAAGCAATTTGTGACCACTTGGATGATTCTTTTTTAGTTGCTTTTACATAAAACAGAACCATGCAATGTCAAATAAAAAGCATCTTTTATTGAGACAAACACACAATTATATTTGCTTACTACTCGAAAAGCAACGGAATATACCTCGCATTCTTTTATGTAAAATTAGCTGAGCTTGAATTTGGACGAACAAAAGATGCGCACACAAAATAACTTCATTGTGGACCAACATTATTTGTATTTGTATTAAATTGCTGCATAGCGCAGGTACGTGCAGTATGTGTACAGTGAGTTTAATGGAAGTCTGATGATAATCTTCCCTATCGCATAAATTTAAAACGGGATGGGACGGAAGTTGTAAAAAAATACCATAGACTTTAAAACTTTTCGACTCGTTAATTATAGAACCGGTAATTTCACTTGTACTTACAAGTGAGTGGTTAGAGTAATTACAAATTTGAATAATTAACATCAGAATCTATATTATAATACACCAAAAATTCTTCAATATTGACTTTCATAATTAATAGTTTACTTAATTTATTAAACTGGGACGTAGTTTAACCTCAAACACAAATATTAACACGATTGCATAAATATGCTTTCCAGTTTGTAAATTGAATGAAAAAGGTGAAAGCAGTAGCCTGTATAAATTACATGGTACGCTCAATAGCAGCCAACGCGGAATTCGTCAGTGCAGACATCCAGCTTGATTCCCGTGTCTTCTGCTTTCTTCCGCGAACCGGGATCTCGATCATGTCCATTCCACCGGTGTCAGGAGCCGTCGTCGTTGTTGGTACTCGAAGGTTGGCCAACAAGTTCTGCAGTTAAATTAATCAAATCATGCTTTAAAATACCAGTTTTAATTGCATTATTTTTACCTGAATTAAATCAATGAGAAACACGGCAAAAGTGAGAAAAGCTAGTGAAAGGAGAGCACCTTCTAACGATGGGAATGCAATTCCTCCCCATCCATCACGACCTGTTGAAATACTTGTCGATTCCTTGAGCGGCCCGAGGAATTTGGAGCCTTAAAGCAAAATTTGTTAAAATAAATTCTGATGAGGTGTAATGCTTTTAATTAGCTAAATGTCTTACCGAAATAATTGATTAAAGCAGATCGGAGCCAATTCATATATTCTATAGCATCGTCCACTGAAATGAACTGTAGAATAAGTTTGGTGATTGTCGAAACTAAGAATTCGCCGCCCGTTTCAGACCCTGAGTTAACATTTGTTTCCGTAATTTCCTTTAATGTATCATTTTTTGGCGTGAGCTCGGACGTGTTTGGAGTTAAATTTGGTGAAGTAAATCTAGGAATTTCTTCATTTTTCTTTCCAATGAAAAGTACTCGGCCCTTTCCTGTAGTTAAGCTGCCAATTTTCTTTCCAGGCTTAAATGTGAAAACGAGTGGAATTTTGGAATCCGTTGAGTTGTGAAATTGGTGTAATACTGAAGAATTTTCATGTTTTGAGGTAAAAAGTTGGTAGAGTTCCCACGTTGAACCGAAACCCACAACAAATTTAATACAAAAATGTAGTAAAATAAACTGTAACATGGACGATAAATGAGCCATTCTCTTAGAATAGAATTTTCTTATGACTCCCAAGAGCTCACTGGTCATCGAAACTTTATGTTTAATATTGATGCAACAAAATTTCAAGCATCACATCATAACAGTTATAGTTAATTATAACAACATGCTAATTACGTAAGTGTACCGAAACGCATACCAGAAAAAGATTCAGAGACGTGCATGTGGACGTTGGACTATAACAAACATGCAAAGATTTTATGCAGCATGAACTCTCACGGTTAGTGCTTGGTAAATATCATAGACTTATGTATGCATACTTATGTAGGATTAATGTAAAAACATGCATCTTCGAATTAATGAGTGCAATTTCTGTAGTATCCAGGAGTATGTATATAAATATGAATTAAATTACATATACAATTATTATTATAATGTAACATTTAGCTTAACTCGAGCATTCTTTAATCGCATACGGTTTTGTTTTGCCGTATTATCAATTCTCAATGGAAGCACCTTATCATCGAGCTTATGATCGTGCTGAAGTCAAGAGCATGTGAACAGTGATAACCAAATTTATTTGCTCCCCTACGAGGTCGATCTAACAGTTGAAAGTTGATAAATAAAATAAATTTCAATGGCTCATCAAGGCAAATACCGTCTGACGTATTTCAACGCACAAGCGTTGGGGGAGCCAATTCGAATTCTATTTGCTTGCGCTAATTTTGCTTTTGAAGATATTCGCATAGCCAATGAAGATTGGCCGTCATTAAAATCAAGTAAGTACGTAAATAAGTCAGTAAATATATGAATGCTCATGTTCCACCGGGCCATTTATTTCTGGAACAATTGTAATTCAAAATTGCACCACAAATGTGTGTACACGATTACGCATGTTTTTCTAGATTGTGCATAACTCTGTGTAAACAACCAATATTAATGTTTCTATGCGGTATTCTGCCCACGCATATGTACATACTTAGGATTAGTTCGAATACAGACAGTAGTTCGCATAATTTGTACTAATCTCATGAAAATTCAGCAGATATCTGACAATTTTATGTAATGATAATTAGCATTGTCTCAAACTATATTGGGCCATATAAACAACAATGAGCAATTTCCACGAAACAACTAAAATTAACGCTTGGTGAGGTATTTCCAATGTACACACGCAGAGTTATATAATCAGTAGATAAACCTAAATGGCTAGATTGATGCAGTACTGCGTACATACAGATGGATATGTGTCGATTTAAATTCCAAAGGGTCTGCAAATATGTACAATCGTTGATTATTGTGTATGTATGTATATGTCATACTGGATCAAATTCTGCTGTCATATTTGACTTTGATGTAATATAATATTTGCATTTCTAACGAATGAGTAGGAAAGTAAATTGCAATGCTTTGTTTTAATGGAGGCGTTCGCATCTGTGTTACATAAAATAAGCAATTAACATACAATATCAAATCTACTCTGGATTGATTGAGTGGAACACCTTTCCAATTCATTACACTTCAAGTATTTGCAAGCCATTAAGGAGTGGAAAAACGATAACAAGATTTACAGAGTTTAACGGTGAGAAAAATAATATTACTGAAATTGAGACAATATTTACCTAGTTGTTGTGAATTTGCCCTTAATTTTCCTAAGCTGAGATCTCGTCGACATGAGCGAGTCGCACAGCAATCCAGCGTTTGAGCTAGAAGACAAGGAAAAGGAAAATGGCAATTTCGAAAACATCGACTTAAACAACGGTTTTGCGTCATCCAAATCAGACTCCGATCTCAACAACACCATGCCGATTTACGACCCCAAAGAAACGAGGCGAATGTCCAAAAACATTCATGTCGTAAGTTTGGGATTTCTTCTCCTTTTCACCGCCTACAACGGGATGTCGAACCTTCTGAGTTCTTTTTACCACGTCGATGGGCTTGGTACGTATACGAACGCCACCGTCTACGCCTTCCTGGTTTTGTCCTCTTTGTTCATCCCAAGTTTTGCGATGCGGAAACTTACCGTCAAGTGGACCTTGGTGGCATCGATAAGCGGATATACGTTATATATGGTCGCACAGTATCACGCCACATTTTACACAATGTTGCCAGCTGCCGCTATGGTGGTAATTATGAAATAAATAAAAATGTTTCAAATTTTAGTTTATTTTTTCACCTAATGCATAACACTAATCTCTTAATTTTTTGATTGCTTAGGGTCTGTGTGCAGCACCTCTTTGGGCATCAAAATCCTTCTACTTGACCCATCTTGGAAATCAGTACGCAGAGTTAATTTCTGACAAGGTTGAGATAATAATCATCCGATTTTTTGGGATATTTTTCATGTAATTTCAAAATAATTATTTAAAATTCAAATTATTTATCGTTCTTACTGAGAAGACGCTGTCATGCATTGCAAACCAGTGCATATGTAGCAGTCAAGGTCTTACTCAAAATATTTATTGTACAAGTATTTCTGAGATATTAAAGTATAAAATGTTTTTAGGTACTTCCAAAGTTCCCAAATTTGGGGAAACATCATTTCATCGACGATCCTCTCAACCGGAAAGAAGCTCACACCTAATGAAACTCAACTTGAAAAGTGTGGGGTTAAGTTCTGCCCAGGCGATTTGGAAACCACGGACGATGACGACTTGACCAAAGATCAAGAAAGAAAAATTTACATCTACTCCGGCGTGTGTTTGTTTTGTGCTTTTTCTGCAATTGCGATAATTTCAATATTCATGGATCCACTTACTCGGTACGGAGAAAAAGAACGAATAGCTGCCATGAACAAGAAAACTGGATTTGATCTCATCATGGCTACAACGAGGCAGATGAAAAATCCGTACCAATTGCTAATGATCCCACTTACAATCTTCTCTGGCTTGGAGCAGGGTTTTCTGAGTACGGACTTTACCCAAGCGTTCATAACTTGTTCTTGGGGAGTTCATAATGTGGGATATGTCCTGATTTGTTACGGCATTGTTGATTCCGTGTTATCCATTTCCTTTGGACCGTTGGTGAGGAACTACGGTAGATTGCCCGTATATTCGTTGGGGGCGGTGATAAACTATTCCATGGTGGGGACTATGTTGGCCTGGAAGCCTGATGCCGACACCCCCTACGTATTTTTCATCATTGCCGGTTTTTGGGGAGCAGCGGTGAAATTTATTTCAAATTATTTATTTATTATTATTTTATTTATTTATTTATATTTAATTACAGGACGCGGTTTGGCAGACGCAGATAAATTCTCTTTACGGAGTCCTATTTCCTGCAAATGAAGAGGCCGCTTTTAGCAATTATAGATTGTGGGAGTCGGTTGGGTTCATCGTTGCGTACATTAGTGGAAATTTGCTCTGCGTCAGAGTAAAGTTGATTGTTTTGATTGTCGTCCTTACTTTAGGAATGACAGGTTTTTATGTTGTAGACTACAAAGAAAGAGTGCGACGACGGAAACTGGCTGCTGGTGGTGGTAGTGGTATCGTTGTTGATCACACTGATAAAAATTGAACTGTGATATTATGATTTAGTGTAATAAAGTTGTCGCTATTTATTTTTATGAAAATGCTGAATAAAATGTCGAACCTAAGAAAACCCTGAAAATTGACTGTGTTTTACACATATATTTGACTACATTTCATATTAAGGGGTATACTGAACTATGTATGATTGTATACATGTACATGCATATTTGTATATCGTGCATGTGTGTGACAGGCAAATTAAAATATATTGCGGCTTTTGTTGTCTTCAGATAAGAATAAGTACCATAAATTCCAACGTATATATTCAAATTCTCTACATATAGAATACCCTTGGGACGTGTTGCCCGTATTGGAGGACGGAGAAGGACGAGTAATTTCGCAACATTTGGCCATAATAAGGTATCTCGCGACAAAGTTTGGCCTAGCTGGTAAAACCGACTATGAAATGGCCAAATGTGACGAATATGTGGAAGCTGCTGCAGACGTAAGAAATGGTAAGATTGATGAAAGATACGGAATATAAACCGGATATTTCTGTGCATATATATTACTCATCACATTTTTATGTCTCAGAATTATTAAATTACTTATGGGACACTGATGACACCGATAAACCAGCGGCACTGGAAAAAATGGAGACCAAAATTCTTCCATCCGTGTACAGAAAGTACATGGATATTATCAAGCGAAATGAAAGTGGATATCTTGTAGGAAACGGGATAACTTATGCAGATATTTATGTTGTTTCTATACTTGAATATGTAACAAAACGTCTTCGGATGGAACCGAAATCATCCAACACATTTCATGACTTTCCAGATTTCATTGAATATCAGAATCGTATTTTTAATTATCCAGGGATTAAGACTTGGATTGAAAATCGACCTATCTTGCCGTATTGAATAAAACGTTATGTTAATAGATATCCCAAATCCTAATCATAATCGTGTCGTGTGTATATACCAATATGAAACATTAGATATTGATTATTAAAGTTATTTGCTGTACTTTGTCTCTTGGTCAATCTTGTTATCAACTATTATTGGACCTGCTGAAGTCCAGAGTTTAAGTAACAATATATATATAAATAACTTTTAATGCTAAACTGGTCACAAATGAATTATTAATATGTACATATGCATTAGAGTTCTATTGTATTGATAATGGACAGACATTCCTCTTCTGCTTGGGATCTCACGATCACTAAAATATGAAGGTAAATATGTGGGCAACATACATAGACATGAATAACATTAACTAAAGTGTCAACTTCATGTCATTGTCTTTGTGAAAATATTGTGAGGTTCACATTGAATGGTCAGACTTGATAAACTTGTGGAAAATTGAAGGTTAATATTAATTGTATGTGTTAATTCACTTTTACTCATATATGCATGTACGTGTAGTGTCCAGACATATAATGCATGATATACAGCTACATATGTATATACATAAGCATGTACATATGTATGTACGAGTAAATAGTTTGTTAAAGTGCAGTGCATACTGATCAAGTGTTTGAGACAAAATAGCATTTAAACCGGCGTAAATGTGAGTGCTTATCTTGTCAGCTCAGCGTTGGACCATGTTAATGGTGAAACTATACAAATTTATATGCATGGTTAGATAAAGGCGTGGACTTCACTCTGCAAGGAACCTGCGAACTATCCTTTTCCTCGCATTTAGCTTGTTCAAAATCGCTGAGCAAGAGGTGTGCAGGTGGAACTGTCTTCATTATTGCACAACAATGGTGGAACCACCGACCGAATCGGAGAAACCTCTTATCGTCCAAGTAAGGTAACTGTGTAGTGTATCTGGTAACTTTATGCAAACTTTTATCCTTTGCTTGTCTACTTACATGTGCAGCCACGGTATATTTATGTAGCTATTTAGTACATCTTTTCTTAAGTGTCATGCTCTCTTATTTTTAAATATTATGCTGATATTTATCGTATGTGTATATAATATTATGTGCAAAATAAATATGTATGTATACTACTTTTAATCAAATTTTGCACCGTATAGTTTCGTGACATGATGAGAGATGAATTAGACGAAGAACGATTGTCATCAGACATGTACCTCCTTCGATGGCTTCGAGGTTTGTTGAAATTCCGTTCTTAAGTCAACCGTTATTTTTGCATTTCGTTTTTATTATTTCAGCCAGAGAAATGAATCCTCAGAAGGCAGCTTTAATGTTACGAACGGTATTTCAATTATAATAAAGAGTGTAATCATTGACCTGTTTCTCCGTATCTGGAACCCATTTAATAATAGCTAAAAATTAACAAAAAATATGATCCTTATAAAAAATTTAATTCCAGATCAATGTAATGAGTATAATCTGAAAGAAATTAATGTGACAAAGACCGAACAAGGTCTGAATTAATTTCTGAACATGTCACAATTTAGAGGATTACCTACATTTTCAACTTGCTTTTCCACCTTGAGCAACTCTAAATGTCTCAAAGCTTATTAGTAATGACCTCAGAAGCGTCTCAAACAAATAAGCGTCACTTTTCGTCCCGTCCAGTTTTTCTTGATTTTTTGCATACGTTCACTCTTGTCAATTCCGAGCAATCCGTTTCCTCCAATAATTCAGCTGTCATTTGCAAAAATTGGAACTTCGTTTCAGATTGAAGAATCTCTAAGATGCAAAAATGCGAAGACTCAGACTTATCCCAAAGTCTCAATAATTTGGCAAATCAAAGACTATAGATATTTCCTCGATTTTGCTCAGTTTTTTCCCGCTTATGAATCTCGTGAAATGGTTGAAATTTGAAACTCTTTCAGAAATAAATTCATAACTATTTAAGTTTTTGTCGCATTGATTTCAGAGTATGCTCATTAGATTTGAAATTAAATTTTCTATAAGGATCATATTTTTGTTAATTTTTAGCTACATATTCTTAAATGAGTTTCACATAGGGATAAAAAGATCATTGACCACACTGCACACAGACATACATATGCATGGGTTGCATCATAATGTAATTACAAATTTAGTAAGTTAATCAATGACTAAATCTTACTTTTAAACAGTCCATGAAATGGAGGCAGGAGAATAAAGTGGATCAAGTGTTGCATGAAATAATAGACCAGGATATTTCTGATTTGATTGGTGGGTTTTTTCAAGCGTTTGACAAATTTGGAAGACCGGGTATTTAAAGCTTTAAACTTAATCAATTTTAGCCCGTGGTGGGTTATATTTTATGGAGTATAATTTTGTCAATAATATCGATTAATATATCATATTTAGTGGTCGCTTTACCTGGAGGTGAGTGGGATGTCCGCAAGCCACTGGATGATGGAAGAAAGCCAGAGCTAATAAGATTTTTAATCATGTCGCTCGAAATTTTTGAAGAGACTTTAAAAATGATTTACAAGTACGGATATCCAAACCAAACCCCAATGATCATTACGAAATTCACCGTCATATTCGATCTTAAACATTTTACATATGCAAAATTTGCCCACAAACGATGTGAGTTATACGTGCGTACGTATGTAGATATTGGAAGGAATGTCTAAAGGATAGTTTGTAAAATATATTTTTATAGCTGTGGAAGCACTACTTGACTTGGTCAAAATTTACGAGGCTAATTATCCAGAGACATTAGGACGGTGTCTTATCATTAACAGTATGAATGATAATTATAATTTTATTTATTTATCCTGCTGACACATTAATTACATAAGCGTTGAATTTACAGGTCCCAGAATATTCTCAATGTTATTTGCAATCGTGAAACCATTCCTGTCAGAAAATACCGTAAATAAAATTTCAATTTTCGATTCGAATGAAGCAAATTGGAAGAAAGCAGTGGAGGAAGTGATTGATCCATCACAATTGCCGATAAGATATGGAGGAAGAGTTGAAAATCCTGCATTAATGGATTAATTGAGCAATGAGACGAGAATAACACATTTAAGGAATGTAATTATCTGTAGTTTTAAACTACTAAACAATTTGCAGGAAAACAAGTACAATTGTCGATACTAATAAAAGGTTTGTGATGTAGTTCACTAAGTAAAATCTAGTCCTAATAAACTAACAATTTTCTGGGTAACTACATATTGTATATACAAGTATGTTCAATTTTCTTCGTAACCGACCAAACAAACCAGCACGAAATGCATGCAAAAAGTGCAACAAGCGATAAAAGTTTTACATATTTGAAAGTAACATCGTGCACTATAAGCTCTAATTGTATAAACAAAGTTTCTTCCTCGTAAGGGTAATTCCTTACCTGTGAACATCGTGGCATTAGTACTTCGGTAATGCAAAACCAGTTTTCCATTAGTTTGTAACCAATGAAAGTGTGTGATGTGATGTTTTCGCAGTAGACGAAACCTGTTGCATGCATTATTCGCAGTATCTCATTCTTACTGCTTAGGATTTATATATGTAGCTCGTCTCATCCGAATCACGCTCACGCATTACGGAGAACTTGACGTGCTTATTACATAAATGCAACACATAAAACATTTTACTAACAAAAGTTTTGTTGACTTGTTCAGTGGTCAGGTTTACACTACATTACGTATTGGCCTTGCATATGTACTGAATTCTGATTACTGACGCAAATGCTGTTCATGCTCACAATTGGTAAATGATGTAGTTGGAAAATTCTACCAAAGAAATCATTATTTGTTGACCGGGATTTGTTGATGCGTCTTTCGTTGAAAAATGAGCCCTTACTTCTTCACTGATACATTACTAATGAAAAAGAAGTTGTTATAAATGAATGTGAGACTTTAAATATTGTCGCAGATTAATTCTAACCTAAGAGGCAGACGACGTAGGACCTAGTACTCATCATCGCGTCATATATGTACCACTGTATCTGCAAGAATTTTATAATTTTTATTCAGAATTCACTAACTCAAAATGGATAAAACTGCTACCGATTTCACGACATTAAGTTTCGAATCAGCCGTACAAGAGACTTTGTCACAAGGCGCTGGAGGAATATCCACGTTTGCAGTGCTACTTGCGGCATTCTCAGTTTTGTTTTTGTCATACTTATCGACACGAAATAAGTGGGATATTCGAGGAAAGGACGAGAAGAAAGAGAAACCGAAAGGCTTAGACAGCATTGCAGGACCAAAACGACTCCCACTTATCGGGAATTTGCTAGACATCAAATATAATGTGGAAGGTGAGCTGAGCATACAGTTTTTCAGACATATGTATTTTCATTCAACCCTGATTTTGAGGCAAGATGAGACTTTCGTTTACTATTTCACTCATATTTTCTAGAAATGGATGACTTCTTCCTTGAGACTGCTGCAAAATACCCAAAGCGAGCACGCTTCAATGTTCTCGGGGAGAATTTTATTATTATTTACAACGCTGAAGACATGAAAGAGATTCTCCACACGAAGCAATACATTCAGAAAAGTGCAGAATATGATGGTGAGTATTGAACAGCACTAACTAATTGATGACCAATACAATTACAGTATCATTCATACATAATGATCGCTTATCTCAGTTTTCACATGGATTGGGAAAGGAGTCTTGACAGCAGATGAGAACTTATGGATGAAAACCCGTCCCGTGCTGGACAAAGGTTTCCGTCACCAAATGCTCAACAAATATCGTGATGTCTTCTGCAACAAGACGAGGCAATTAATGGATGTACTCAAGGACCGGGTGGCCAAGCACCCCGATGAGGCATTCAATATCTTTCCCCTCATCTTTGACACAGGATTTGACATCATTTCGGGTACGCCGAAGAAAAATATGCACAAAATATTTTGCATTGTTGACAATGTAGTGAATTTATCTTTTGGTTCAAAACAGAATCCGTTATGAACACCCCTTCAAACGTCTTGGGAGGAGTTGATAAGAACGTATATTCTCCCAACATGGACAGGGCTGCTGATTTTTTTCATTATCTTCACTTCCGACCATTCTTTTACAAAACGACCCTAGGACGATTTTTATGGCGGCATAGCAAAGATGGGAAGGAAGAAGCGGAATGTCTCAAGACCTTGAATGATTTTAGTCAGAACCTTATGCAAAATCGCAAACGAGCGTTGGCTCAAGAGCCGGACCAGGATTCTCAGAATGCTACATCTCTCTTGGACATTATGCTATTAGAACAAAAGACTAATCCTCGCTGGACAGATAGGCAGATTAGGGACGAAATTGACACATTTTTAACCGGAGGTCATGGAGCAACGACAGCTACGTTTGGCATGTTCATTCAATTAATGGGTGCTCATCCTGACATTCAGGAAAAAGTTTATCAAGAAGTCAGCGCTGTTTTTGACGGGGATTCCCAAAGAGAACTAACACTGGATGATTTAAATAAGTTAAAGTATACAGAACTTTGCATCAAAGAATGTCTCCGCCTTTATCCTGGAGTCCCGATATTTCCACGAGCCGTTTTAAGACCATTGACTTTATCAGATGGAACGGTCGTACCAGTTAATACGACCCTGTTGCTTATTCCTTTCTTGCTTCATCGTGACCCTGAGACATTTCCTGACCCTGAGAAATTCATTCCCGAGCGATTCGAGGTGGGTCATAGTGATCGACACCCTTATTCTTGGATCCCATTCTCAAAGGGTCCTAGAGATTGTATAGGAAAGGCGTTCAGCATGATCGAAATGAAAGTGTACGTTGCGTATTTAATGAATAATTTTAAAGTCGTAAAAGCAGTTAATACTGAGGATATGACTGTATTATTAAGGATATTTCTGAAGTCAAAGACCGGAATTCAGATCAAATTAGAGCCACGCTACTAATAAATGTATGTGCATGTGGTTAAAAAGCACACTATAATGTCTATAATAACCTGTGATTTAGCTATGTATAAATTATAATTATATCAGAGTAATAAATGTATTTTTTAAATGGGTAGTCTGTTTTATAACTATAATTTATTTTGAAACTAAATTAAAACGTTTATTAAAAAGAAGGACAAGTCAATTGCATTGATCCGACTAGAATTAACTCTTAACAAACTGAGTTGTGGTTGCTAACTTGATTCGAGGTACTTCTAACACTTTCACATAGCTGTAGTGATTAAGAATATATTCCTCAGCTTTCTCCAGAGCCGACTCTATTTTAAGCTTTGTATCTGAAACTCGAACTCGTTTTAAATTTACTACAAACTGCGGATTTTGTCCTTTGGGTGGATTTACGATTCCAGTACCGAGTTCTTTGGTAATGCAGTTCATCCAGTCTTGCGCGGACATTGAATCGCTTGCAGCTACTGCCATGGTCTAAAAATCAAGTCGTTAAAAATAAATTAGTAACATGCATTATGCATATAAATATATACGATAGATAAATATGTGGCTACATTGTTCATCGGCATAAGTTAAAAAATTTTAATTACAACATACTTACCTCGGGTATTGAACATCGACCTTGAACAAAGCCATCACTGGAAGTAATCAAGACTAGTACAGGCCTGTTTTCTACCACCCTGGTAATTTTCTTCAGTGAACTAAATTCATTATCGCTCTCAAAACACTTTAAAACCACTGGCTCTTGAATTTCCTCCAGTTCTTTGGTAAATTTTCTAATCTCTTCTGCTTCGTCGTTTTTCGAAGACAGCTTCTCAGCCTTTGTTAGTCCTTCTTGCACCACTTTTAGGACATCCAAGGGGAATATGATTTTTTCGTCTTTTAAACAGCGAGACAATTCCTGACAAATCATTTTTATTTCATTTTGAATCACTGAATCTGCTAAGTTGTGACTGTTGCACAATTTTTCTAATTTGTTTAAAAGCTCCGTCGCTTCAAACCCATGACGATTTGCGGTTTCTGCTGATATACCAGTTTTACAAACTAACTCATACTGTCCATTCTTTTTGTTGATCTTCTGCGTGACGACCAATGGCACTCCGTATTCATTAAGGTCTTCCTGGAGCTACGAGACAAAGATAATTAGTGACACGTACTTAGATGGTAACTGTAACTGATGGGCTATAATTCATTGGAAACCTATCACAACTCAGTCAATGTACAAGCCCTAACTATCAGTCATTAAATTTATAACTCTACCTGACGAATTTCTTTTGACCCAATTTCTCCTTTGAGGATACTAAACTCCAATCGGATATCTTGGTCAGACACGAATCCATCGGTGAAGCGAACCACTTTGAAGTTTTTGTATAACCAGTGTTGCAAATACCGTATGGCTTGAGCTGAAAAACATACATCCATCATCATATGCCCATTCAAAAGTCGTCGGTAGTGCATACCACTAATTTCACGACCAAACACTTTTGCGTTATCGGATTGAAATCTGCGAACTTTGGATTTCCGTCTGAATCCTGACGCTGGAATATTCTAATTTATAGAAAGTGCAAATTTATTTCATTAAAAACCATATTTTATTTACTTATATTAATTAAAGTTATGTTTTATACCGAAACATGATGAAGAATCCAACCAGATGGCAAAACTTTTACATTGGTGACATTTAAAGAAGACCCATCTGCCAGAACTACAGCACCGACATCCGAAGTCAACGTTTTACTTCCGGGAATAAAAATGGTTTTATTTAAAATAATCCAATAGGTCTTGTCACTTCCCGTAACTTCCTCCACTGCTTCTCCATCTTCGTCAAATATCCACTCTAAAAGGACCTCCTGACCCTTTTCTTTTGTTGAGATTGTGAGATCCGGTTTACAGATTCCACCCGCTTCTTCTGGTTTATGCTTGATAAGGAAACTTTCAACTTTTCTAATGAAATTAGCTTCTGAATTGAGCAACACTTGTTTTGCAATTTGATCCCTAAATCCTTTCTTGACTCGTTGCATCTCGTTATTCATACCTTCTTTGTCAAATTTTACACCTAGTGTGCAACATAATTCTTCGGCAGCTTCTTGAGTAACACCGTGCGAGTCATACCTTGAAAAATTATACACTATTCATTGTGTACCATTATTGTGTGTATTTTTCGGTGCCAACCATCTAAACGCCTGTGGTCCATCCAAAACCCCAGCCTCTTTTAATTTTTTCAAGTCCATCTCCTTAATTCGACCCAAGGACGGAAAATCCATAACCAATAAGCTTGGTAGCAACATCGCACTTCCATCGCCACAAATCCCATCATTCTTGCTAGCATCTAAATATCGCTCTACCTCTAGGGCAAGTATTTCACCAGTTTCAGTTTTCATTTGTTCTGTCTCTTCATAGACTTTTGATAAAGTGGTTACAACCGAGTTTACGGATTCTTGAAGGAAGTTTGCAAAGTCTCTGGAAGATTTTAGATGTGGAATAAATTGATGCTCCGTTAAACGCAAGGACCGTTGAATAAGTTTACGGATCTTATGACTGAAAACAAAAGATACTTGAGATCATAATGCATAATTTATCATTTTAGTTTTTATTATTTGTTATTGCTTGCTTACTTTGACTGAGGTAGAATACCATCAGATAAGGCAACCGTTATAGCACGCTGAAATAAAACAGAACTACGTTTAGAACATAGGGTCAAGTATCTAGAAAATTAATTAGCTAGGATCGAGTAGTGTCCGTTGGGCGTACAATATATATATATAAATCCACGTGGCCATTCTCTGAATATTATTATTACTTCTAAATAATAAGATCTTTCGATTACCATATGATCTGCGTACTGCCGATAACTTTTGTCCAACTCTGCGTCATTAGAAAACCGCCCAGAATATTTTGGAACTTTACTAAGCTGAAAAGAGTATAATAGAACATGCGTAACATTATTATGGCTGATTTTGACTATGCATTATTATTTGATATTACATTTTGTACACATTCAAAAATTGGGATAAACAAGTCGGTATCGTAGTTTGAAACTTTTCCATTCAGAACAGCCGTCAATCTCTCCAGCCCAGCTCCAGTATCCACCACATGAGACAAAGGTAAACGTTCCAAATTACCATTGTTGGTTCTAGTATTTTAATGTGTAAAATGTTAAAAAAATCTTGCATAAATATGTAAATGCCACAATAGCACACCTATTGTACTGCATAAAAACTAGGTTCCAGACTTCCACCACATTTCCAGATTCCTTGTTTACTTCCTTCGGGTCTGATAATGTCCCTCGATGATCATAATGAATTTCTGTTGATGGTCCACAAGGTCCTTGAATATTAAATTTCAAGCAATAATAAGTTGGTGTCAAAAAAGACCTTGCCTTGGAGCGAGAAATGGAAATAACTCTGATCACAACATATTTATTTTTGCACTTATCGTGCATTAAGATTATCTAACCTACCAATTGGTCCCATTGCCCAGAAATTTTCCATTCCAAACGGAATTATTCGATCTTTAGGGATTCTATAATAATAATACAAAGCAAATTAAAGTAATTAACATAATCGAATTCAGTAAATGAATAAATTGGCATTCACCCCATTGACTCCCAAATTCGTTTCGTTTCTTCATCTACCGGAATAGAACTCCCCCCAGCGTAGTAGGTAACATACAATCTACTTGGATCTAATTTGTATACGTTGGTTAAAAGGTCCCATGCCATTTGACACGCTTCGGGCTGCAATTGTTACAGTGTCATTTCCTCCACATTGTTGACATGCAGACTATTTAACTGGAAAATCAGATTCCAACTATCCCTTAATAGCCTACCTTAAAGTAATTTGCAAACGACCAGTTTCCCAACATTTCAAAGAATGTGTGATGATATGTGTCCATTCCGACGAGAGAAAGGTCATTAATTCTCAAGCATTTTTGGCTGTTGGCGACTCTAGGATTTGGTGGTCGGCCGAGTCCCAAAATTATATCCTTAAACTAGTTAGTGATTAGAGAAAAAGTTAGATTAATTATTAATTTCATATTTCCTGTTGAACACAAACCAACTTTAAAATCAGCAATTCAAACCTGATTCATGCCAGCATTGACGAACGCAAGTGAGGGATCGTTCCTCGGAATAATTGAGGAAGAGGGGACATGAATATGAGGAAGTGATGAGTGCCGGAGGAAATAATTGACAAAAGTGTCCCGTACTTGAGACGATGGCCATTTCATTTTTATGCCTCGGTTGTTGGTTAAAGATAAGGTCGACACAAAAAAGTTCTGTCACACAGCACGTGGTCAATTATTAATGTCCTGTAAAGTAGAAACTATTTATGAATTATTAATAGAAAATGAACTTGAATCTATAAAACTGTATCTGCCGTGCCCGCATTAAATTTTCAATAATGTGCTATGAAAAAGTCCCGATGAGACTTGTGAGACTGTCGCATCAACAAACAACATTCCCACGAAGATCGAGTGCATAACAAACAGATGATTCCTCATTCTAACTTTCACTTTATACACGTACAACGTAAGAAAAATCCGACTGCTTCGACATTAAATAACGCCAACCAATTCGTCCCTTCGGGGTGCTGAATTCCGTGGGAACCAAATTAAGCCTTTATTTTGGTACAGAAAGTCACAGAACACATTTTTCTACAGCACAAAACGAACAGGTAGCGAATATACTGGGAATACATTTTATATCTCAAACAAAAGTATTGATTTGTTGTAAATTATTGCCTTTATTTTCTTACATTATGATAGATTTGCATCACCGACAATGTTTGTATCGGAATCAAATCTAACCTTCATGGGGACCAAGTTGCAAGTAATGAGCGCAGAAGGTCGGCTTTGGGAAGGACAGATTGACCCCTCTGTGACCGTAGAGGGTATGAAGCGACTCGTATTTCAGTACTTTTATCCCGACGAGATCTCCCTCGGCCCCGACAACTTTAGAGGTATTCATTTATGATAGGAGTGGACCTCAGTCTGTATTCATTGGACATTGTAGTATTTTTACGTATTAGTGATCCTTCCTAAGGAGTGTCGCAGTTTAGGAGACACGCACGCAATTAATGAAGAACACTTGAAGGAAAATGATATGCTTCTCTTCGTTCGACGGAGATCTGCAAATGCACCAGATTCTGACAGGGATCTTGATTTGAAGGCACCTACCGGGACAGATATTTTGGAGGCGACTAAAGAACTACCGGTACCACCACCTATTGCACCCAAATCTGCTTCCACAAGTGGATCTGGGCGTCCTAGTCATAATTATCATGTGACGGATGATTCCACTGTAGAGACCAGTGTTGACGTAAGATGTGTAATTTATTGAATTCCATGTGTTTATAACTGTTCGAAATAAATATTTCGAAGTCAGTGAAAATGATTAATAAAATGAACGTTCTGATTTGTAGTTTCAATTAGAGCTGAGAAAAATTATAATTTCCTTGGTGTCTGTGATGGCCACCTTGCTACAAGGGAATCCGGATGCCGAGCTTATTTGTCAGCAGGTACGCATCACTGGTTTTATTACGATGCATGCAAAAATAATGTTTTGCATGTCTATTTAATTTTTGTATTTGTTGATTACGGAAGATTCATGCAAGACTTAATAGACGATTACAAGCAACAACCAATAAGCCGGTTGAGGGAACGTCGTTCCAATATCCTTCTCCGTCCGAAGTAGTTTGCACTCCTATGGGGATCGTTAATGGATTAGCTGAAGTGAGGAAGCGTGAATTTCGCCCTAACCTGAAAGCAATAGATGCTTTGAAAGAAATGGGATTCAAGGAGGAAGATCAAATTGTTGAAGCACTGAGAGCTACAAAAAATAACAAGGATGCTGCCGTCGAGTTACTTACTGCCGGAAAGGTAAATACCGATGACCTGGAAGCTGGACTAGATCAAAACAGTCATTTATTTTCTGCTCTTGTCTCTGCTCCCACCATTCGACTCGGACTGAGTAATCCCAAGACGTTGTTGGCGTTTTTGAACATCTTAGAAAGTCCTGCTGCTGCTAATGTTTGGTTAAATGATACCGACACTTCTCCTGTTCTCTCGGCGATATTCAAGACGTACCATTCAGAAAAACATGCAGCTCCTGATTCATAATTAATTACTATTTATATGCAGTAACACATTTATTATTACAAAGCAAATATGAGCTCTCCGTGTTTAAAAAAATTACTTCTTCGAGTCAATTTTATGGTCTCTAAATAATCATGGACAAAGAACGACTAAATTATGATAATCAATTAAAAAATAACCACGATAAATAACAATGTGATTGAGACAAATCATTCTATATTATTATTATTCTGGCTTTATTTATTTTTGAACATAATGCATATACAAAAATAATACGTTATTTATGCATGAAAACATTTTAACTGTTAAGTTGACCTATCCCATATGCATTTGGGTTTTTGTCTGGTTACTTAAACCATCGCGACTTCCTACATTCCCTCGAAACGTCATAGGTCATGAGTTATTTTAAGTCGCGAACCTCCTTCTCGTGCCTCTGTTTCGAGTTCGTAGGAGCGATGCTTCCTGTCAGATGAACGACGCCTGTCGCTGTTGTGAGGTCTGTTGATGAAATTGATGAAAAGTGATGATGGATTCCGCCAGTGCAATGAGTATATTTCAGAAAGTGGAGTTGATCCTCCAAGAAAATTATATTATTTAGAATGAGATACGGAATACTGCAACAGTAAGGTCAGGGCTCAGGTTGATGGATGGATAATGCTGCTTGAAACTGATTGATGCTATTTAGAAAAACCACCATTTGGTCAATTGGAATACCAGGTTTCGCGATCGGAGGGGGGTCTATGTATAATCGGTTAATTAAAATATGTTGAAGAATGAGATTCCATCTTGAATATCTGACTTATAATATCTCCAATTCTCCAGAATTATGAGATTCTTTCCTGATAAACCTTCAAATGGGAGGAAATAGTTACAACCCAAAATATTGAATACGGTGTGTTCTTACTGACAATAACGAAACTTGAAATTTGTTGAATGAAGTCATTGGAAGGGATTGCGCGCTCCTAGAGTCGGCTTATGGATGGAGACCAGCGTTCGTCAACTCGTCTATCGCCAACACCAATTCATACCACATTTTCGGGGACAACCTCAAGGTCCCGATTGATTTGATAGGGATGGGTAATGGAAATGTGCAGTGTAGAAGGGTGGGTGGTTGGGAAGAAGACGCAAAGACTTGGAAGATGAGTGGATGGATGGATGGATGTTTTGTGGGGACCTGAATACCTGCCGGACGGACCTTTCAAGAAGTCGAAGACTGCTGTGGTGCCTACCTCTCTTCGCTTGAGGACTTGCTTAGAAGCTGCGCCTCGTCTATCGCTGTTCTGCTCTCTTGGAGTAAATGGACTGGACATCATGGCGCCACAATCTATATAATCTCTCTCTCGTCCGGTAACAGGTTGGATGTGGATGGATGGATGGATGGAGATGTGGTGGTGATGTGATGTATCTGTGGCGGTCTGGGACCTTTATCGTATTGACCTCACAAGTAAGGCATACACGTACCACAAGTAGTGCTGTGCGATGGATGAGGTGCCAAACCGAGGACACAGTTTGCAAAAGGGAAGGGTCGTTTCCCGACGGACTGATCACAGCTCAATGATGACATCTCGACACAACTGTCGAGGGGGCTGCGGCACAGCCAACTCCGCCGTGTCATACAAGTACAACCCAGCAGTCAAACCGTGACACGGTTCGGACCTGACGACCGATGGAGAGATGCCGCCCAATTTTTTTGGAGCGCTCCTTTCCTTTCCAACACTCTTCCTTCACCTCTGATCATCTGACCTTATCTGATAGCTGTCACCTCCTGGCCTGCAATGCAAAGCGTGGACTGGTGGACACCCCAGAGGAAGGGGGACGACTTCAACTTCTTACTCACTTGCGACGGATATTTTTTTATGTTGCCGAGTCACGGCAATTACCCCTCTTCTTATTCTTACTTCAACTTCTTAGCTTACTTCATTGAATGATGAATGAAATCCTACCGAGAGTCACTCGGTGGCTTTTTCTTACTACGATCTAAAATCTTAGTGAAAAATAAGTGGAGGATTTACATTTAATTAGCAAAATTAACTTGATCCGATCCGAACCAATTGTTGGCGTGGACGGCTTTCTCTATTTTTTAAGTTTTTAAATCTCTAGGCACACAAGAAGGTAGAAACATATTGTTCTCCGTAGTATACTTTTGAATATATTAATAAGAACCGTTCATATAAATATGAGACACGTCAATAATTATTTTTTAAGTTTAGATATATGTGAGATTTAACTTTAACTTTGCTTACGTTCAATAAAACAGTTGTTAACTTTCTTAAATTTGATTTTTTTAACCACACGTATACTTTAAGGGTAGTGGCCTGTAGGTGGTGGTGGGTGTGGGATGACCAAGTGCAAACTTTTTATCTTCTAATCCCCAACTTTGGACAGCACAGTTAAGTGGAGTAACAGCATAACAATAAGCTCACACAGGATGCAGAGATGATGGAATGTAGAGTTAACTTTTCCAGAACAGAAAGAACTTGGAAACCACGACATTTTTGTTAAATTATCGGGTCTCATCATCAATCTGCCTGTTGGGGTCATCATACATTAAGTATGTTCGTCTTTCATCATCTTGAGTCCTGGGCGTATGTTCCCCCGCATCAGCAGGTCCAACTCTTCCCTGGTCAAGAGACAAATTATTTATGATTTTGCAAATCAATTTTCTACGAACTCGTGTATTTTTGAGTCGTTTATTTCGATTTCATCGAATCGTCTAATAAGGTCATACATACGGACCATTATTTAATATTCCAATTCCATTGGATTTGACACTCGGCCCTCATATCATTATGGGGTGAGAACATTATTTATCGAATCGACCCGATCCGTAATTGGAAAGCCTTGCGGTCAATCCAGTGCTTATTAATTACATTGAATTAATTAATTGAGGTGAGACACACCTACCACACCGTAGAAGGACCTACTCCCATCAGATCCCTGATTACAGCCAATCCAGGCTTCAGAGTAGCGCCACACACTACGGGCTATTTACACACTTATTCCGATAACGGATATACGGCATAGAAATACGCCTTGCTCCACCTTCTTTCTTCACAAGAACAACCTCCTTCTTTTCAACACCTTGTCTCTCTGTGGGTTGGATTTTTTCAACTTCATTAGTATAACAGATCTCTGATTTTTTTCACTAAACAGCCATGATTTTCATAATTCTTTCTTCATCAAGACCCCATAAAGATGAGTTTTCACTTAAAATATGTAGATGTGCACTTGATTTACTGCTTTAGGGATGATTTTACTGGATCGAAAATGTACCGGACGTGACTCCTATTTACTTCGGACTTCATATTCTCAAGGAACAAGGATGATGATGTTAGTGATACCAAACGTATGAATTAGTAGATTCGAATAGATTGTCCCTCTGACTGGACGCAAATTGGATGCAGATAACACCTAAATGGATGGAGAATGGAGACTCAACTGACTGACTGACTGACGACGACGACTGGATGGAGAATAGCCCTGGCCTCTGTGTTGAAAGCTGTAGATGGTAAAATTCAGTGGATGAGTATATTGAGATAGTGACGAGTCTGCGAGTAGAGGAGTAGTTTAGAATTTTGATAGTACCTTTTGGGATGCCAATAACTGCGGAGACGCGTGAAAAATTTTCAGAACAAGGGACCCTTCGGTATGTAGCGCTGTAGACAATTCACCATGATGACTGTACCCCCACACTATTGTTCATATAGTTGCAAAGTGTTGATTATAATAGACTTCTTTGCAAATGGTCTGTACTTTTTGATAACCATTTTTGTCTGACTTTCTGCTACTTATGCTTGTTATTCGTACTACAATCCTGGAAATACTTCAGCTCGACATTGTACTCCACACAGCATGACTATTGATTTTTATGTTTTGCAATTATAAATTCCCCAAAAATCTGGCCAATTTCTAACCCCATTTGAATTTGTTCGCTATGAAACGCCATCCAAAGATAAGTGCTAGTAGTTTCGAACAGGTGAACGTAATGATGATTTTCCTAATACGTTTTCCGCTATGTAACCCATTGATTTGATGATTTGAATTTTCTTTGAATTTTCAGACCCATAATTGTACTCTGGACCATTTCAACCGTTGGTATATGCATATCTGTCTTCTTTAGCTGAATTGCTCGCTTACTGACCTTATCATTCAATCTCTTGAAACCGAAACCTAACGCCAATTCTTTCTTGTGACGCTAATTTTTGTAGAATGCTCAGGTGATGGAAATGATTTTAGCCTGAGAATACGCATCTCTCTGTTACGGGAATATTTCTTCATTTAGTCGCTGAATTTTTCTTACTAATTACTGAAACTTTGGGATCAACTTGAAATGGGATGAATTGAATTTGATATTTTGAATTTACTTTCGTTTAAGCTCGGACTGTTCAAGATTATTGAATAATTGATCGACCTCGTGCATGTCTAATTCTGTTTGATTTGGTGAATCTCATTCTCACATTGATATACTTCTTGGAATATATAGCGCTGAGCCCTTGTTATATATGCACAATCATAATTCTGCATGTGTCATGGGTGGAACACATAAGCCACACTTGAATTTTAGACTTGTAACGCAATTGATTTGACATGACTCCAATAAACAGAAAAACATTGGAAGAAGAACAGCCTTAATATTTCAACCAGTTAAGGTCCTAATTTTTCTATTTGTTTGATTTGTAAGAACAACCTGTTCTACGACGTCGGAGTACGTTTAGTCGTTTAGTCGACTGACTTGGAGCCTTCTCCAAGTCAGGAACTAGAACGATGATTGCAGATTCATGTTGTTGACAGTGGATTTTCATACTTGGAAACTTATTCCTCCAAATTGTAAATACATTAATTGATTGGCGAAGACGCCCCATTTGTTGAATTGGACTTTGAAAATATAAATGCACCAGACTGGTCGACTGGAGCCATCTCCATGTCGATAATTGGTTTGTTGAACAATATTCGATTCGCAATGTGATGAATTTGATTGACTATGGCGTTGGATCTGCGACTGCCTTTCGCTCAATATAAAGTTGACTACTGGCCAATTTGAATTTACTGCAATGGACCCCGTTCATGAAATCTGTATGACATTTTACATTTTTTGAATTTGTCGCAGTTCTTCGCTTTTCATGAGAAACCTCTTCATTCTGCTGCCAACACCTGTGGACTTTGTAGCATGATGGTTAATTACGAAGTCTTAACGCAAAAATTTAGTAGTCTGTGAATATCCTTCTTTGAATTCTATTGGTTTAGTTATTCAGTGTGAATGCAACAGATTGACGATTGACCTTGATTCATTTTCTAGAACAGCAGTAGCTCGAATTTTTGATGGTAGTTGATTGGCCGCCCTATACCGCTTGACATTGGATTACTTCAAATTTCATTCATTCATGTGCATGAACAATTTCCATTCTTCTTTTTATTGATGAATAACCAGATGATGCCAACGTTGTGTTTTGATTTAAAACGCCGAAAAGATGATGTGCAGTGAAATTTGTGAAACCGACAGAATATGACAATGAATCCGAAACTAAGAAATCCGATGCTGAGACGAGAGAGAAACAATCCTAGAAACCCCAATGACGGTAAAATGGAACCTGAATCCCTTGACGCGATACGGATAAATTTGAAATTATCTGAACCGGTGAAACATCCTGAATTCCTTCTCGATGTCCTATTCAAACTGGAACCGATGGAATGAAATCTTGAAATCCTCCCTCGATGAGTTACCCCACACGCGATGACTTGAGTCTGAGATTTAGTGCAGATATTTATACGATTTGTAACCAAAATCCCCACAATCCTTGTGCATCCAAAATGCTTCTCTAACGGAGAGACCAATGTAGACTGTCCAATAGAACATAATTTCTTTCTTGCTTAATCAATGAGCATAAAGCCAGTTTCAAATTCTTTCATTCTTGTTGCTCAGAAGTGGACAATAATTGACAGCTATCCTTCAGTAAATTGTTCATTTGTTGCAATATGCTCGATAGATGATGTACTTTGATTAGACGCCTCATTGGCATTTTAGATGAGAAGTGTAAATAGATTGACTTTAACCACCATGTAAGGGATGAAACCTTGTGACTTGAAACTAGCCTTTTCTTAGATCAACTGGACGTCAATACTCGTTTCATTTTCGACATCGTAACATTCGTAACTCGTATCAAGACAGCAGACATTGACAGTATGGCATGACGCGCAATTGATTTATATAGATGAACCAATACAACAGGAACGATGTTTCTCAAAGAGTTTGACAAATAGAACTGGTTTTTGCATTCTCACTCAGTAAAAGCAGCAGCAAAGGATTTGCGTGAAGATATAATTCCATTGATTTTCTTGTAGATTTTTTAGTACACACAGAACCTCTTTTGATTGATTTTAGAACACCTTGGCGTAAGTCTTTGAACTCTTCCATTACATTTTGTTTGTACGAACCAATTAAAATCCTCCAAACCTTATTAAGCGATATCTTCTTTTATACGAATAGCGAAAGACTTTGATACCGATGATTAGACATTCATTTGACAAAGATACACTGACTTCATTTTCCTTAAATTGAAATACTTTTCAGATCAGCCTTGAATTCGACTGGAAATTGATACAGCCAACACACATCGTATTTTTTTCTTTTCCAAGTGATTTTCATACTCACGCATTTAACCCAACTTTATTTAAAGTCCCAAACGCTTTGCTTCGCCACGAGTTTTCTCAGGTCATACTGCGTGACGGCGTAGAATTTTATAAAAGAACAACATATTCTCTTTCAGAATGGATAGTGGATACATTGAACTTCTCACGATTACAATGTCCGTTTAGTGTTTCGTTATTCGCAATTGATATCTGTATGGTGTGGAATGTTTAGCATAGCGATTTGATAATACGGGGTTAGATAGAGAAGTGAGAAATTGAGTTCTACCTTACGATTCGTCAGCTTTGGTCTGGGTTGGGACAAAGAGATTCACGCTAATATGTGATGCGTCAGGACAGGACTGTCAAATTGTAGTTGTCTATCTCGTCTCGTACCGTAGGGATCGACGTGGTGATGAAAGGTTTGCCAAGTGAAGAAGTAGACGTGATGGCACCTGGGTGGCATATTTTACTTCGTAGCCCTTTGTTTGTTTGCGTAATAAACTAACGACCCCCCTCCGTTGTGACCAACAATGACTCGAAAGATGGGTTATGGGATGATGAATAAAGGCAGACCCGTGTCTGTTGAAGTTTACAGTGGTTTCACATTGTTTGCTTTGAATTGATGGGACCAGAGGGATTGGATTTAACCTTCTTTCTTATTACCTTGGTGCTTAAGTAGGGATTTGGATCTTGGTTATTGACAAAAATAAAGATTTCCAACTTGAATAGTGAAAAATTCTGGTACAACGATTCTGTGGATTGGGATTGAAATAAGCAGAGTGAAGTGGCCGAAACCGGGACGGATTAACCTTGCAGTAATACTGATAACTTGACTGGGTGGGTGTAATGGGTAGATGAAATGCAGCTACTAGGAACCGAGAGAATTTTTTTCCTCGTCCAACGTGGAATAAGAAGCAACTGAATCGCCAACACTGGATTGCTGGATGAAGTAGTGGGGGTGCGGGGAAGGATGTATGGATGAATGGGTGACCTTATTGCCCTTGACCTTCGTATTCTCTGATGAGGAGGAGAATCCCTCTTGAAATGGAACGTACACGGACAACGTTTTTCATATTCTTTCTATTTTTCATCAGCTGACGCTGCTTTATTCTCGTATTCGTCCATTATGACCAGGGGACAGCAACAGCACGATGTTATCTCTCCCGCATATACAGAATTATCTATCTAGTAGATATACGACCAAACAAACGAAACGCACAAGCATATTTTTTTTAGCTTAACCACATTCCTACCATTTAGAGCTAAATGCATAGTAATTTTTGTAATACTTAATTAAGGTTAGATAACTTATCATTCTTCATTCACTGAACGCACGCAGACAAAGGTAATTCAACAGGAATCGATCGATGCAGCACAGGAAATGCTCTCATCATCGTGTTGCCGGACGGAATGGAATCAACCTTTAATACACTTTAACACCAAACACAAAATCCAACAACAACTTCCATTGATTTGCATCAAATGGAATTAAAAAGACCATTGAATAAAACCGAGTGAAACTTTAAACCACATCACTTACAACGCAGAGATTTGACTTTCCTGGCTCTTCTTGAAATTAAACACGAAAAAAGACGGCAACTTCATTAATTGATTGATTTCACTGACTAGGATTACCTTCCTCCAACTTTAAGCTTACAACAGTTGAACTTACAAGACTTTCTGAAATAGATGACACAAAAACCACGTCGAATATTTACAATTAACCTTTCTTTTTTAAACTGCAGGAATACTTATCGCCGGAACTTTTTTATGGTGGTGGTAGTAAAATGATGAACACGATGAACATTTTTGGCAGTTGGCTGGACTATTGACGACTGACTGACTGAGATTTAAGGAAGATACTTCTGTGGCTCCTAAACTCCTCTTTCTTTCTTGCTCATCCTTTAGTGGACCTGGGTTTCATCTCTTAACTTTTTGTGGGTGATCATTATAATTTCATTTAACCTGTTATTCTTATACATGGGACACAAAATGCATATTTTCTTTTATCTGAATTGTTTTATATGAGATCAAACTCGAACTTACACTTATTTAAAATCACATTAACCGTTAATCACAGCTACAAGATAAACTGCACACGGCAGAACTTCATCACTTAGGCGATATGCTAGTAAACAACTTTAGAAAAAAACTAACCACGCACATATCTGACATGTTATACCTTATATATGTATGAATTGATATATACGACAATGCTTAAAATTACTTACAACATGGTATGATTGATATACTATGCACTATTATTCGTAATTTGTATCACACGTGAAGTTGCAACTATATTGCATTAGACGTATATGTGGGGGTGGGAGTGGGCGACTTCTCGTGATGGATGAAGTGGAATGCTGAATAGTAGTGTGAGGGAGAAAGTGAGTGTGGGACAAACGTTGATGAATCTAGGTCTTTTTTTGACTACCTGTACATATGAAAAAACATATTTTCCCCAAAAAATATGTGTTATGAGACCTTACTGTGGTACCAAGCTTTTGTACATCTTTTATGGGAGTGATGGACGTCGAATTATCCTTATCCCTGCGCCGCCTCATCGCACTTCGACTTTGCTGTTTCTATATATCTCTGGAACCAAACTGTTTTTTTCTGACGAAATTTAAATTATTTGGAACTAAACCTTACACCTCTGTCGACTTTGGACATTCTCCGTTACTTTTTTTCTCTCTCTCTCGGTTGGTAGGCACATGGCGTGAGCACAATAAGCATTTTTATATCACCAAAGATTTCTGGCCAGCCCTCTTCCGAACACACCTACTAAAATCGCACTTTGCAAACAAATATTTTTTTAGTTTACATAACCCCGAAGGGTGCACCACAAATTATATGTAGAAGAAGAAAAAGAAGTAGTAAAATGCTACTGGCTAAGTGAAATATATAATTACTAACTTAAACGTTACATAACCATACATACTGGAGTTTAGACCACCAAGAAACACGTTAATGTGGATTCGCCAGCTACACACAAAAGGCAAGCAGAACTTCCCGTAATTAATACCAATCAAATGCAGAGTAGGACGGTCATACCTAAAGTAATTTTGAAGAAATGCAAGAAAAACATACAAACAAGTGACACAGGCCTGTAGGAATTAGTAGTAGGATTATAGAAGTAAAAAAAATTACCAACAGTAATCATACGCCGTGTATGTATAAGCTTTAGCTTTCTAGTTATTTAGGACTGGATTGCGTGTACTTCAACAAATCAGGGACAGAATATATTACCTTCTCCGCGAGTAGTTGTTAATGCAACTTGATATTCCTCACAATGTGATCTCGACAAAAGTAATAACGAACACCACAAGCATAGTTATGTTTGACCCAAAAATGCTAAATACCGTGAATTAATCGAAAAATACGTTACCATTCATTACATTTAGTACTGTGCAGTGCAGCAGCAAATACCGATTGCTAAGACTTATTCCATCCAGTGACCATAGGTAACAGCAGTTATAATTTACCCGTTTAGCTTCCTTTTAATTACAATTTCCCTCCAGCAAACGCACGTACCCCACGCGTCATCGTTCAACTAATATCACACGTCCTTGAACACAATAAAAAACATTGACTAGCACGTAGCCTACCATATCATGCAGCTAATATAAATTAATAATATAAAATGTTGAATTTAATATAAAGTTGTAGCTTTCCAATTATCTCCCATAATTTTTTTTACAAGCTCCACGATGGCATGGTCAAAACCTTTCTTTATAGCAAACCACCAAGGATAGAACTGTAGGGCACAAAAACTACAAATGGTTAAGTTAACCCCCCGTCGCCCCGATATATAATTTTCCCATTTCAAAATTTACCATATTATAATAATATTTACAGGATATGCTTCATTTACCAAACCTTGATTTTACGTCCGCGGATACAGTGAATTTCCGCCTAAACCACCAAATTTTCATGTTTTTCCAAGATGATGGACCAATATATATATTCCAATTTCCAATAATTCTCTGCACTATTGCGCGACCATTCTCTGCGCCAAGTGGACTGAATTCGAGTGGAAGAAACCCATAGATAACCGTTCTTTCGTTTGCTTTGTACCTTAGTTAAACATACGAGGGAAACAACAGCATGGCATGTTGTGTGATGATGCCTTTTTATAAATGCTTAAGAACGAACGATTAGAAATCGTCTTACGATACCGATACCGCAACCCGTCGTTCAGAGTCCGGCATTTCGTCTCGTATTTGATGGGACTGCTACTGACCATTTTGAACTCTCTAGGAATTTCATGAGGTTGGACTGGAGTAGGGTTTCAGACGGCTATCCTGCAGATGACTTTTCAACTTGTGACCGCTTCGACCTGGCCTCCCAAGGAGAGGGATCAGCGGCAGCCAGCCCATTTCTTATTCGGCAGGAAGACTGTAATATCAAAACCCTCATGATAAAATCAATTAATTTACACATTACACATTTGTATTATTTTGCAAGTACTTGTACTCAAGTACACAATTTCATTTCATCATCAAATAATATTACAACAATAATATCAAATAACATTAAATATAAAATCCCGTACAACATATAATTTGAGAAAATCTTGATTCACTGTCTGATTAATTGAGCCTCGTTAGAAAGAAACTAATCGAGCTAGATTTGTAAAATAAATACGTTGAAACTATATTCGGTGGTAAAAAAAATCACATGATAAACTGTCCGTAACGACCCCCTAACAAATCTGTATATTTTGAATTTACACTATACTTTCACTTTGATCGATTTCAATTCTTTAAAAAACGACTCTAGACTAGATAGACAAGCTTTGACTTCATCATCTGCTTCTGAATCAGTCATTGTTTCTTGGCAATCATTACTAATAGTACTTTTGTTATTAGAACTGCTTAAATCGTTCAAGACATACCTAACTTGATATGAACTTAAATGATTATTACTATTATCAGTCATGATGTTACTATTTTTACAATTATTCAGAACAGGTGAATTTGTATTGGCTACACAATTAATTGGACTTGTTGAAATTATTGGCGTCTTCTTAACTAACTCAAAATCAGACTCACCATCAGCTAAATTAGAATTTTGTAAATCTACTTTCTTACTGCGACTTAAGCAGAAAAGCCTCAACTTTTTCCTTTTTTCTTCCTGCTTATGAGCTAAATCTTTTTTTGCTTTTCTTAATGCACTAGATAAAATGGCTTCAGCAAATAGATTACTACAACGAGTCGTTCTCCTGATTTGTCTACGTTTGATTGTTACGTCCGATATCCATTTCAACAGCTCTGCCGTATTCTGCTCCTGCGTTGGATCTGTATTTATGTGACTAGGTGAGCCCGACTTGTAGAATTTCAATGGTGCCTTCATTTTTAAAAACTTCAACTTTTATACAAAGTCAGGAAGAAGAAGAAATTGAGAGTACTTTAAGGGTTAGAGATTACAAACCGTTAATGGAGGACTGTGATACGAGCAATGTCAAGCAAGCTATCTCATCAATGAGTGAGGAAGATTCCTTTCAAAGAAATATTTGCGACACTTGACCACTTCGCAGAGCTACAGCCCACAAAGCTTTCTGGCCTCAGTAATTCTAACCCGACCCTTTGTAATACTTCCCTCCCTCTTTTCAATCAAGGCAATTACCAACCTAAAACCAACAAATGATGCAGAAAAATTAGTGTGATTATTATTTATTGCACCCAGCAATAGCCTTGACTATTAATTGACGCGCATACAATAAATTGTGCATTAAGGAATGATTTATGTGGGTGTTATGCAAGGTGGGTGGATGGTGGAGGCGGATGGCGCCACTCGAACGAAAATACTTTCCGGAGAAATATCAAATTAAACACTAAAATAGCTACTTCGTTTGACATTTATGCATGTTCAGATAAAGGAAATACTGACGCTGCTTTGATTTTAACATAGCTGTCAACAAATTAGTTATACTATAAATGTACTAACCGTAAACCAGGAAGGACTAAAATACCAGACTAAATTTCGTAATACTCGCAACGATGCATTGTTGCCACACTCGACTTGGCATCTTTCCCATTATTTCTTTGTTATGCATGTGCATTGTTGAGATGCAGCAGCCCACCACAACTATCCCATTGTATTGTTCATTTCCAAAACTTATTCTATCCACAAAAAAACGTATGCACACAGACAGAGGATTGCGTGACGTCACGACCCACTTTGTCGCCCCTTGCACCAGCTGCCACCTTCCTCCATGTTCGACCCGTCTCCCCAGCCATTTTCCCCTTCACTCCTTGTTCTCAAGGAGAAATACGACGCCATTTTGTATTCGCCACCACCACCACGAATGAAATTATGCGCAATTTTCTACCTACTTAAAAAACGTTCTAGAAAAACGTTCCCTGTACAACTTTCCTAGTCAAATTCTCGTAATTTCGCATGACTAATAATACGATTTATGCAAACGTACGAAAGTATAAGGAGTTGACACTAATTTTAAAAAAATATCTAAAATTTAGAAAATAAGATGACCTCAAAACAAAAATGATCAAATCAATCACATTGCAATGCATATGAAATTTCATCGCAAGTTCAAAAACTATCTTTGAATTATCTAAACATCCTGTTAAATTAATAATTGTGAACTTAAAATATTCCAACTCACCTGATTCAATAGAAGAAACAAGGCATCCGTCTCCGTCCGCCGAGTAAGAAAGGAAAGAACTGCCACTGGATCCGCTGCTCCTCCTTCTCTGCCACCACGATTTCGAAATTCTTCCTTTAACTTGGATGATTATAAGATGATGTGGAAATGAAGAGGACCGATTTTCCAAAATGAGTGGGATGATTTTCGTGAGATGCTGAGATGAATTCTTAATGCTTCCTTCCAAGTCCACTGCCTGATGCAGAGTGATTTGAGAACAGCAACGAAGTTTCTCTCTTCTCTGACATCACGACCGATCGTGTACTCCTCCGCAGACGCGAACCAGTCCCTTCCTCCCTACTTTCCCATTTGTGTGTCCCTTTGAAAATTTCACCAAGTTTTACGGGATTGAAATATAATGGACAATTGTAAATTGATGCCATGGAGTTTGTAAAGTCAAGTTTAAGTCGGAAATTTCGCCAAAATTGAGCGTAGATGAAAAGACGCGGAGGAAGGAGTGAAGTGACTCCAATCCAAGGATAGAAAGGTATATATATAGATAGAGAGAGGTATATAGTATTGTAATATACGTCATTGCAGGAGGGGATCGTCAAACGTTTTTGTTTTTCGACAATATGATAAGTTTTTTCCGACGATTTTTCAAATCGATGTGAAGATACGTGCAAATTATGCATTTCAACTGAAAATTTGTGTCGAGAGATGAACTCGGCCTATGAATGTATGCAGCATGGGGGTTGTTTGTAATTGTAAACATGCTGACGAATTGTGCAATCGATGTTTTCCGCAAGTTCGTAAGTGTATGCATGAACGTGTACGAGTTTTATTATCAAAAATACTTTGTTTTGACTAATAAAATGAAAGCAAATGTTGTTTATTTCATGGATGCTAAAATTGTTATTCTCCGTCCAACCGTATGAGCAGACTATGAAAAAACATAAAAAATGCAGTAAACAAGAGAAATGAGAAGACTAATTAAGTGAATTACAACCATTCCAAAATTTTCAATATCATTTGCTAACTAAATGTTAAATTGATGGATAAGTAATTTTTTGTTAGCCTTGGGTCATGCCTTATAATGAGTGAGTGGAACTATGCAAAATCATAGCAAGGAACAAAGCTAAAAATGAGACAAATCTCATTTTGCGCAAAGCACCAAACACATCTTCCGAATATTCACATAATGCAATGTGCAATTGATTTTGCATAGGTTTTTGGGTATGAGCATGTGGAGAACAAGAAGTTACGAATTTTAGCAATTTTTTTAAACAAACAGACAGCTGACAATGCGATGGTGTGAAGTGTAACCCTCCGATTTGGCTGAAATTTTGAAATTAGGTGGTCCATGTCAATACAACTAACGTTTCTTCAGCCAGTTTGTGCGATGGTTGGAGTTACTCAAAATATTTGAGGTCAAAGTTGAAAAAACGGCTAACTTTTTTCAGGCGGAGTGAGAAAACTCCACTTCCATTCTCTTCCCCTCGCATTGATTTTAACTCCGAAAAATTATAGATTTCATCAATGTTAATTTAATTTATGATAGAAAAACATTAATTATTCATTGCACATGCGTCTTGGTCTTTGTTTTCAAATGAATTGGAAATCAGAATAACCAACGCTTTCGAAATGGAAAGTAAGTTTTTCCATGTTTAATTCCCGTTGATGAATTTATAAATTAATGTTTGTCTGAATTTTTAATACAAAGAAGTAAAAAGCTCACTTATTCAATTATGAATTAAATTTCGCGAGTATAAGGCCTGTTAATTCCTATTTAAGCGGTAATAATAATGTTTTATTTTTGTTATTTTGCATCACTACTTATGCTTGTGTATGAAGGCGTATGTGTGAGTGAGAAACCTGAATAAAATCAATGCGAGGGGAAGAGAATGGAAGTGGAGTTTTCTCACTGCGCCTGAAAAAAGTCGGCCGTTTTTTCAACTTTGACCTCAAATATTTTGAGAAACTCCAACCATCGCACAAACTGGCTGAAGAAACGTAGGTTGTATTGACTTGGACCACCTAATTTCAAAATTTCAGCCAAATCGGAGGGTTACACTTCACACCATCGCATTGTGAGTTAAGCTTGATGGGAGCTAATAAAGCTTTATTACATCAGCTTTAGAATTAGATAGCAATTCTGCTGCAAATTCATTTATTTCGTGACGCCAACAAGTTCCTACATTCTTACGCTCCTGTAGAAAACTACTTTTATACGTAATAGTACAATTACTATAATTTATCATTGTCATTATGGAGAAATTTCCCATTGAAGCATTACCAGCTACTGATATCACGGATTTCCAAACGAATTCTTCCCACCGTGAGTGGATGGGACCCTTTACCTTTGTATGTGGAGCGGATACACAGTTTGGAATGATAGACAATTATCACCTTCATAAGACCGAACCAAATTGGGATAAGGAGATCAAACTCACCAGAGAGTCAATTCATCGGATCAATAAAATGCTTCCAAAACCAAAATTCTACATTATCTGTGGTGATATGCTTGATGCATTTCCTTACGAAGGTTCGTTAGAAGAAGTCCAAAAATTAAATTATACATATTTATAGTTACATAGTACAATAAACATGGCGTCTTTTTTTGCATGCATGCAGGGCTGCGGCAAAAAGATCTCCGAGCCAAACAATACGAAGACTTCACAAAAGTATTTCAGGAACTGGATGCTGATGTGAAACTGGTTTGCGTTTGTGGAAACCATGATATCGGTGACGTTCCAACTCAAGCGACCCTTAATGTCTATCGAAACCAGTTTGGTGCAGATGTGTTTTCCTTTTGGGTTGGAGGGGTTAAATTTTGTGTTATTAATTCTCAGTACTTTGAAGCTCCTGATGCACTTCCACAAGAAACCAAGAGGCAATTAGACTTTATTGCAAAGGACATTGCAGACCCAAATGCAAAACATATTGGTAGGTATTTTAACCCACACCGTCATTTTTATATTTTTTTCTGAGAAGGGTGCGAGTTGCGACTCGACCCTTAATATTCCTTTCCCAAGCCTGTGTAAGCCATTGGTTATATTAATATTGCAGTGGTCTTTCAACACATTCCATTCTTTATTCATGACCCAGCTGAAGAAAAAGAATACTTTAATTTAGACCCAGAGTTTAGGATTAAAATTCTGGACCAGTTGAGGGATGCTGGTGGGTTCATTCATATATGATAATACAATGTTTCATGATCATGTTTAGATTTTTATTAGCATTCTATTATTTTTTATTCCAGGGGTAAAGTACGTATTTTGTGGGCACTATCACCGAAACGCAGGAGGGGTTTATAAAGACTTGGAACTCATTGTTACCTCTGCAATTGGAGCCCCTCTGGGAAAAGACCCTAGTGGATTTCGTATTGTAAATGTTACAGAAGAAAAGATTTCACATGAATACATTCCATTCAGAAATTCCCCGGATATCGGAGAGATTTAAGCGATACGTGTCAAAATGAGTCAAAACGCCAAATCCCTATGCATGCAAACCTGAAAAGTCGATTAAAAATACAAGTACAACAGCAATAACTTATCCGACTTAATAATGTAATATTATTAGTATTAGTGTAATCTTAGCTTCAGCTGTAGAGAAATGTACAAGAAATTAAATTTTATGACCTGCGAAATAGGCCAGGACGAAATTTCAATTGAAATTTCCAATTTTAAAAACCAAAGAGCGTGTATTTTAATTCAATATTGATAATTAATGCCAAACAATTTCAAACCTTTAAAATCACATTGATTTAATTTTGTAGAATCATTATAAGTGAAATTAATAAACAAGACTTTTAAATTAAAAAATATATGCACTTTTCATAAGTTTTACAACAATCACTAAACGTCACAATAAGAAATACGTGAGATTCTCACGGTTTTGCTGCAGCGGGTTCCCAAATCACTGAATCCTTCATTTCGCATTTTGTAGTTTGCACTGTCAGTTTGTATTTGTAGTTTTTGTAATTATGTTTATGAAATAAGATTTACTCTACGCTTATAATAATTACTAGAGTACCATTTGTCGGTACACATCATCTTCATCCAGTGAAAACAAAATTTACAATGGCAGGTGAATTTAAAATGCCCGAGTTGCTGCCAACCAGCAAACCAAAGAAATCACTCGAAGAACAACCAAGTTTGGTAACATCATCATCGGAAGAAGAAAAAGTTCCTAGTTCCACTACCGTCGATTCTTCTGAGGAGCTGTCATCAAAAACTGAAATAATTCAGAGTTCTATACACCATAAATCGGAGATCCCAAAAAGTAAGGAACAACTCCAACAGGAGAAGCAGGCAAAGTATGCCGAAATCATATCCTCTCTCAAATACCACCCACCCGACACTGTGGGTGCAACTTCTGCGGATCCGCGTTACTCGTTCGAAGTACTAAAGACGGGGACAATAGTGGATCGTTTTAAGTTCAGTCGTTTGGACAACAAGGGTTTCTATGTTGTGGGACGAGTTCCGGCTTGTGATATTGTGGCAGAAAATCCCACCGTGTCCAGAACTCATGCCATTCTCCAATTTATTACTTGTCCTCCAGAGAAGAAAGGTGGTCCAGGGTCAAAGGTTGGCAATGGGGAGGCAGGAGTGCCAGACAGGACCGGTCTGTACTTGTTTGACCTCAACTCAACGCATGGAACGTTCATTAACAAGAATCAAATATTCCCTTGCAGGTAATGCAAGGTTTATAAATTTATGCCATGTATGATTCCACTGCGTAATAGGTTTGTATGTTATATATATTTATACATGATATCATTTTTGTAGATACTATCGTCTACACGTCGGACACGTATTAAAGTTCGGAAATTCCACCAGGCTCTACGTTCTGTTAGGACCTTCTGAAGACGAAGAGGAAGAAAGTGACAAGTCTGTGACAGAGTTGCAAACTGAAAGATTGGAAAAAGAGCTTGCACGGAAGAAACTGGAAGAACAAGGGTTGCTGATCAAAGGTTCTGATGATGGAACAGATGACGACGGCTGTGCGTGGGGAATGGGTAGGTCATTATTTTCGTGTTTTAATATTGTGGGTTGACAATGTTAATATGCCTCTGACGGTTTTATTTTGTGTTTAGGCGAAGATGCAGTGGAAGAGTCGGATATGAGAGAAAATCCGTTTGCAATTAATTTTGAACAAAGTGAAACCTTTGACAACCCAAAAAAGACGCTGCGAGGCTGGTTTGAAAGGGAGGGCTATGATTTAGTGTATGACTGCAGAGAAAAAGCACCTGGACAATTTATATGTCGAATCAAGTATGCAGTTTTGTCAGAAATCGATTCGTTGTTAATAATTACCGTAAATTTAAATCTGTTTGATTTTTGTACATTTTACTAGTTTACCAGTCGATGGGCCTGCAGGTCAGCCAGTGTTTGCGGAAGTAGATATCAAGGGCAAGAAAAAAGAAGCTGTTCATCAGTCAGCATTACAGGCTTGTCAGATTCTTGATAAATACGGCGTGCTTCGTGTTTCCCATACAGGTACATATGCACATAGGACATAATACTATACATGATTCATGATGACATGTTAGAGTAACTTGAGAATACAAAAATGGTTTAACGTTTCATAACTTTTCAGAAAGCAAAACTAAGCGGAAGGGAAAAGATTGGGAGGATAAGGATTATTATTCTAGTGACGAAGATACGTTCTTAGATAGGACGGGATCAGTAGAAAAGAAACGAGAGAAACGAATGAAGATTGCAGGAAAAATTGAAGACACTGTTGAAACTTTCCAATCATTGGTAAGAAATGTTGGAGTAATTGGCATATAACACAATTGTAGTGATAACAATTATTTATAGTAGTTTAATTTGTATTTTTCAGTCCGCAAAAGCAAACGCAATTCAGTCTGAAATAGATTCCCTTCAATTACAAATCACGAAGGCTCAAAATGTCAACACTGGTGATGATGACGTTGACATTGATGATTATGTCAAGTTTTTAAAGACTGGTGCAACCGATGTGAAAAAGTTAAAGTCAAAGCTACGAGAAGCTAATGACGAACTCAAAAAAGTCACAAAGTTGCTCAATATTGCTAAGCCTGCGAGTCTGCCTGAAAATCTTATCGGGGATAAAAAGTCAGAGGTGATGATGGATGTCCAGCAAGAAATAACTCCAAAATCCGGGAATTCCTCAAGTGAAAATAAGACAGGAATAAAATTCAATTTGAGTAAACCATCCATTTCCACCATCCCGGTTACTAGAATGGAACTTGAAAATTCAGAATTGGAACCTTTAGACGGAAATTCCAGAGTTGTTCCAGACTCCATAAGCAGTTCAAACATGGGTAAAAATAAGAATAAACAGCAAGTAGTCGTCTCTGGTCCTAGACTACCAATAAAGACATTGGATAAGAATAAGGACGAGCTTAAAAGCTCCCCTTCACAAGTTTCCTCAAAGTCAAAAGAAAGAATACCACTTGCCAAAGACATGGAAGAAACTTTTGATCCCCAAGATTTAGCAAAACCCACTGTTAAATCTCCTGATCAAAATTCAGAATCCAGCGATGACGAAGATGATAATGCAACAGCTTCTTATCCTAACCTTTCTAAAAAGAATAAGAAACCTCGAATACGCCAAAAAGTTAAAAAGGAAATTAAATATGATTATGACGAATCTGACCCCAAATATTCTACATGGGTCCCACCAACCAATCAAAGAGGGGACGGGAAAACTGCCCTCAATGAGAAACTAGGCTATTAAGTGAACTTATCATATTATTTTTTAATTGTTTAACGTCTCGATAATATCGTTTATCGGTTAAATATTGTTTCTTATTGAATAAAGGAATAATCAAGACATATTTATTTACGAATTGAATACTTCACTTCCACTTTAATTTTCTCAGATATGAGATGTTTTTCTCTTTAATTAGATAAACCGATTGATCCAGGAATGACATGGATGAAATTAACATTTTGCATCAGGTTTTTTTCTGTGTGGACGCCATAGCCAATAAATCGTAGAAGAAGCTGTGTAATGGCTGGAGGCTATAACTTCAAAATTTTACACAATGACTCGTCTTTTTGCCTCACGGTTTTATATTTTGCACGTACTCTAGACGTCTGATACATGACCTTCTACTGAAAATGACTGAGTAATGCGAGTGCATCCACATTGCATCATGCACTTTTCTATATAAAAAATAGTGACACTTATTTTCATTCTCTTGAATGTCCCGAGGGAGTATTGTGGGTTTATGCCTGATTACAATAAAAATTCTCACGATGCACATTGCATAGCAAAGTATTCATGAAAAAAAAATATCTAGGATTGGATCCAGAGGAGTCCTTGTCCTTTGTTCGAGCTGGTGAATGTATGTGTATATTACTAGAATTATTTTTATACAGCGCGAATAAACGTCGATTATCCTATGGATATATTATGATGATCATTCATGAGAATCCCTGCTGAATATTTTATTAGCATGGCCCACAAGGAAAGTTTTGGTTCCCCGAGTTGCAAAGTTGATTCGATTCGGTGGATGTACTTGAATATATACTCAGCCTCAGTTTATGTACTCCTATCGGCATTGGGAATATGAGACTAGGCAGTTTATGAACCAATCCGTCTCAGGAGGGGAGGTTGTGTACTATCAACTCTCCGATCTCGATGCCCTTTGGATATGTGGTAGTGTCCCATGAATGAACAAGAACCCTGAAGTGGTTTAATGCCATGGCCACATTTGCGCCCGCCACACCCACTCAAAGGTGCCCAAAAATCGCTTTCACTCTAGCTTTCACTCATTCAAAATAACGCCAAAAATCCAATTTTACTCCGATTTTTAAATTTATTTCACCATTATACTCCCAGATAGTTGCTCTCTTATATACAGCATCAAACTCAACTTTTTTGATGATTATCTCGCAGAAATAATTTGTTTTGTTGATTTCCACAACAATGCTCATTCAGAATTTTAAATTTTAAAAATACTAAGAATTCCAAAAAGTTGAATTTGATGTTGTATATAAGAGAGCAACTATCTGGGAGTATAATGGTGAAATAAATTTGAAAATCGGAGTAAAATTGGATTTTTGGCGTTATTTTGAATGAGTGAAAGCTAGAGTGAAAGCGATTTTTGGGCACCTTTGAGTGGGTGTGGCGGGCGCAAATGTGGCCATGGCATTAAACCACTTCAGGGTTCTTGTTCATTCATGGGACACTACAACATATCCAAAGGGCATCGAGATCCGGGAGTTGATAGTACACAACCTCCCCTCCTCAGTCATTCTCGTTTTCCTTCGATGTCTGTATCTGAGGTAATAAAAGCATGAATTGGATTTAACGTACCATATAAGAGCTAGTTTCAGACGTGTCATTTAGAATGACTCATTCTTGCTTATGTAGAAAGTCTTATTACGTAAAGTGCAAACCAAATAAAAATGAACGAAACGATTCTCCAAGCGAGAAGAAAGTCACTTACTTTTTATGTATGCATGCATGAAATGTTCTCATTCAACAAGCTGCCTGCACTTTTACTCAAGTCATACCATATAGAGTTGTATATAGAGATGTATATATTATATGTAAGTCATACTATTTATTATTCGAAGGTGTATAAAGGGGGGTGTCTAACGCTCATGCATGCAATTCGTTCATCTTCGTGGTTGAATTGGCACTTTAAGTTGATATAATGTGTACAATTAAAGCTTAAATTACTGATGGTAAGTACGCACCACGCCCTCAGATATATTCAAATGAATCATATGCAGAAATTGGAGTTTTCACAATTCATATCCAGGCGATATTAATATTTAATTGTACACTCAACAATGACTTCGAAAATCAATGTAGCCGTCAATCTATCAACAAAAAGATGGTTGATCTTGTTAATATTTAGCATAGCTTTCTAACCACCAGTCGCCAAAGTTTCTTGTTTTTCAATCTTGTGTTGAGATTCAAGTACCAAAATTTTCAAAATAGATGATACGCTGTCATTTGGCTGTGTATACTTGCGAATAAGTAAATTCGAGGTGTGTGTTTATTGGGTAGAATGGCGTGACAAAACGGTCTATTGCTTTTTCCTCACATTTGCAACATGCTGGGGTGATGTGGTTGTAGTCAAGTCAGTAAGAGCAGCGTCCTTTCCCTTTCTACTCTGCCTTCTTTTATGCCGTAAATATTTGATTCGACCTTCATTCACTTCCTGCCCTTTGTCGAGCTCGGGACTCAGCTTATCGTTGCTTGAGCTGATATCCGTACTCAGCCAGCACCCCAGTTTTATAAACGTTTTGAAAGCGTCTTGTATCTCGTGCGTCAAGGATACCTCGAAGGGAGTAAAAATGGTAAGTGGCTTAATGTAGTTCTCAGCCAACAACAAAATTATAAAATTGTAAAAGAGTTTAAGATCCAAAGAATATAACGAGCTTAATAGTTTGTAACAGTAATTGTAATTGAGAATCATGTATGGGGTGTGCAATCAAAATCTATTTACAGCTTGTCAAAAAGTCTCAATTTCCCTGCTTTACTGCATGTACATACATTACATACATACATATGTGCATATACATATGTAACTGAAATAAAATAAAGTAAAATAAATATGCATGGTTGATTGAAACCTACAAATATTTGTAAACGTAAAAAAGTTAAATAATGTAAGCTCAACACAATATCGCTAACATAACAGCCATAGTTTTTTTCCTGGAAAGCAAGCTTTGCAAGCATGCATAAAAACTAAATCTTCAAACTTCAAACATCACTGAATAAAAGACACAATCTCTAAAATCCCATTATATATCAAATTCCGACTCCAATCTTATCAATTTTTTACCTTTGACCACAGATTATGGAATTCAGATAGACTTGTATTTATACTTTTTGCTATATAATTAATTATATAATTCTCATCAAAATCTCACTTTGACATCTTTTGAAGGTACTGATTGCTTGTCCATTTTCTTACAACAATTTAGCGTGAATGCATCTCGGTTCACATAGGACAAGCCGGGGTTCAGATCGGAAATGCGTGTTGGGAATTGTACTGCCTTGAACATGGGATCCAACCCGATGGTCAGATGCCGTCGGACAAAACCGCCGGGGTTGGAGACGACTCTTTCAACACGTTCTTCAGTGAAACGGGGGCTGGAAAACACGTCCCGAGAGCTGTCTTTGTTGATTTGGAACCTACCGTTGTTGGTGAGTAATGGAATTCTAGAGATTCGTATCCGTCGTCTCATTTCAGATAGTAGCAATTCTAGGCACGAAGTGGATTAGTTGTAATTAATCTCCTGAATGCAACGCACATAGATGAACAATTTCGTTTGTGCACTGGTTCAATGATATAATCATGGATATTCAGATACGATACCCTGCATTACCTTCAATATAATCTTTATTACGAACACATATAGACTAGCAGATTTTAATTTAAAAAAAAAACATGTCCGTTTATACTTGCACCCTCTAAATTGTTATAAATATATGAAGCTTGAAGCAAGTCTAGTTGCACGACTTATTTAGGGTAATTTGATAATACACAACTGTGCAGATGAAGTCCGTACGGGAACCTATCGACAACTTTTCCACCCAGAACAACTCATTACTGGGAAAGAAGACGCAGCCAACAACTATGCCCGTGGTCACTACACCATAGGCAAAGAAATCGTTGACGTCGTTCTTGACCGCGTTCGAAAGTTGGCTGATCAATGCACTGGACTTCAAGGTTTCCTAATTTTCCACTCCTTTGGAGGTGGTACCGGCTCTGGGTTCACCTCGCTCTTAATGGAACGACTCTCTGTTGACTATGGGAAGAAGTCAAAACTCGAGTTTTCCGTTTATCCAGCCCCTCAGGTGTGTATACATGCACTTACAGTCTTTTTGAAATCGTACAAAACTATGGACGTAATTTTTTTTGTAAATTATGTGATAATGAATACACACAGGTGTCCACTGCGGTGGTGGAGCCGTACAACTCCATCCTTACTACTCACACAACTCTGGAACACTCTGACTGTTCCTTCATGGTTGATAACGAAGCAATTTATGACATTTGTCGCCGCAATCTCGACATTGAGCGTCCCACTTACACCAACTTGAATCGGCTCATTGGGCAGATTGTGTCATCCATTACCGCATCACTGCGCTTCGACGGAGCTCTGAATGTTGACTTAACTGAGTTTCAGGTGATTTCGCTTACTAATAACCCAACGAGAATATCTGAACTTATCCGTGTTGCAATTTGTAGACCAACTTGGTCCCCTATCCTCGGATCCACTTCCCCCTGGCAACTTATGCCCCTGTAATAAGTGCCGAGAAAGCGTATCACGAGCAACTTACCGTATCCGAAATTACAAACTCCTGCTTCGAACCAGCCAACCAAATGGTGAAATGCGACCCCCGTCACGGAAAATACATGGCTTGTTGCATGTTGTACAGGGGAGACGTCGTCCCGAAAGATGTCAACGCTGCCATTGCATCAATCAAGACCAAAAGGTCGATTCAGTTTGTTGATTGGTGTCCTACTGGTTTCAAGGTTGGAATCAACTACCAGCCCCCCACCGTCGTGCCAGGCGGTGACTTGGCCAAAGTTCAACGTGCTGTTTGCATGTTGTCCAACACGACGGCAATCGCTGAAGCATGGGCTCGACTTGACCACAAGTTTGACTTGATGTACGCCAAGCGCGCTTTTGTCCACTGGTATGTTGGAGAGGGGATGGAGGAAGGTGAGTTCAGCGAGGCTCGAGAGGATTTGGCCGCCCTGGAGAAGGACTACGAAGAAGTTGGCGTTGATTCGAGGGACGAAGCCCAAGGTGGGGATGAGTACTAATCCTAGAGCAGGAAATAAATATTTGTAAGAGTTCTGCAAGTGATCTTCATTTTTGACCAATTTTCATTATTTATTCTATGTCGAGTTGACATATTTATATTATCGATTCCAAAATATTCAAAGCTCAGCAGTTCCATCATTGCTATTTTATTAATTGTGTGGGGGGTATTTACAGTAAATATTGAATTATACTAATTGACTCGGCTTTGTGTACCTTGCTTAAAATAAAATGCGACAATTCATGTAAAAATTACGAATTGATTATCTTGTTCATTGACTCATCAACAAATTTCAAACAATACTGTCATCGAACAAGTTTAAGATAATGAAGATTCTTCATTGAAGAACTTATTTTTGAAGCAATACTTAAAAGGGAACCTTAAGTACTGCCTCATCTCGATTGGTTTTAATTAATAGATTGATGGGGCCGTGTCGTTGAAGTGTTTTTTCCCTTGGGGTGACTTGGTGTGGAAATGTGTACCCTTTTTGGTTTATGAATGTGTGCACTTTTGGTGTGGATAGGTGTGCATAAATCAGTGGGTGGACTTGGACAAACTCGAATAACCTTGACTTGACTTTACTTGACAATGACTCGTAACAGAATGGACAGGAGTATGAATGTTGAGATTGTTTAAATAGACTTTTACATACGTGTATAGAATGTTCTAGAACATGAAGAAAATGAACTCGAGGTTATTGTAGTCAAGTTTAAGAGATATGGTAAGTAAATTAGAGATAAAAGTTCATACAATTAGCATGGGTCATAAAATAATAGAAATAGGTAAATCATATTATGAAATAGATTTCAGTCAAAAAGATAGGAAATGGTTTACATATGCATACATACTAAGTTACCGAACATAGATAATTCAGTGTAACTAAAACTTTGTAATAGAACATACGATGCAAAATCACGTTTTTACGAAATATGTATTGGGCGAAAGATGCACCCAAACGTGTAATTTTTCCAATGCTTTTAACATAGATAACAGCTTTGGAATAATGGTATGAAGTTTATCAATTATATACCTGTCCGTAAACGCCGTAATTTCATGCTCATCACCAATATGCAAGAAAAAACATGTAAACATAGGCCAACTTTTTTTCTAATTGCGAAAATCAGCAATTTTTTTTTAATTTGAATTTCGTCGTGATTTTTGAAATTTTAACAAAATTTAAATGTTAAGATTCTTTTATTTAAGCATTGCAAAAAAGTTTCAAAAAAGAAATTGTTTTCTTCATGCAACAAAATGGGCCAAAATTTTCAAAACTCAGTGTTTCATGAAAAAAGATATAATGACCAATGCTATTCTATTTTACGTATTTTTCAAAATTGTTGTCCATGTTTCTTTTTGCAAGCTGCGAACAATTTTAGGAATGTATTTAACTTATTCAGCAAAATAAGTTTTCAACACCTCGTTCGAGATTTTAAGCTTTTTGGGAAACTGAAAAAAATTCATCTGGGAGGGACCCTATGGGGTCCCTGCACTATATATATGCCCTATATATATGCCCTATATATATACGTCCTATATATATGCCACATATATAGGCCTACGTTTATATTCCATAGTGCAGGGACCCCATAGGGTCCCTCCCAGATGAATTTTTTTCAGTTTCCCAAAAAGCTTAAAATCTCGAACGAGGTGTTGAAAACTTATTTTGCTGAATAAGTTAAATACATTCCTAAAATTGTTCGCAGCTTGCAAAAGGAAACATGGACAACAATTTTGAAAAATACGTAAAATAGAATAGCATTGGTCATTATATCTTTTTTCATGAAACACTGAGTTTTGAAAATTTTGGCCCATTTTGTTGCATGAAGAAAACAATTTCTTTTTTGAAACTTTTTTGCAATGCTTAAATAATAGAATCTTAACATTTAAATTTTGTTAAAATTTCAAAAATCACGACGAAATTCAAATTAAAAAAAAAATTGCTGATTTTCGCAATTAGAAAAAAAGTTGGCCTATGTTTACATGTTTTTTCTTGCATATTGGTGATGAGCATGAAATTACGGCGTTTACGGACAGGTATATAATTGATAAACTTCATACCATTATTCCAAAGCTGTTATCTATGTTAAAAGCATTGGAAAAATTACACGTTTGGGTGCATCTTTCGCCCAATACATATTTCGTAAAAACGTGATTTTGCATCGTATGTTCTATTACAAAGTTTTAGTTACACTGAATTATCTATCAATTAAGACCATCCGAAAGGAAATCGAGATGAGGCAGTACTTAAGGTTCCACTCTGAGCAAGATTTCAATACAATTTCAAGTGTGGCATGTCATAAATCCATGAAATCGCAAATCGCAATCACGTAACGCGATTCAAGTTGGAGTAATGAGGAAATTGAGACGAAATGAATGAAAACAACAAGGGTTGAGAATTGAGATTCCAAATCGGACACGATATACGATGAGAGGACGAATGGATTTGCAGCTGATTCGTTCATTTGTCGTCCGGCTCTCTCTCTCTCTCTTTGTCTTTCTAATCCTTCGATCGACGGACAACATATAAATGAGGAACAATTCCTCGGTTTGTTAACAATTAAATAAATTCAGAGCAATTCTTTTGTATTTTAAACTAGTTATAGTGTGGAACCGTCAAGAATAGATCCATTACACATCTTATATGAAACCAGCCGAATACAGGTAAAAAAATAACATTTAATCCATACATTCAGCATTCAACTTACGATCTGGCGAATGTTGGCGAATGTTCAATGATAGTAAAACAAATTGCTCTACATTTTCTTTTACATATAATTGATATCGCTAATCGTAGACTACTTCTCGTCACTAGAGATGTCATTGTCAAAACCAGAAGAATGGAGCAATGATAATGCGTCAACGTCTTGTGACGCCGCTTTACTTTTATCTCTTGGAGCGAATGTCGTGGACAGAGAACAGTTCGATAACAGTTTGGTTAACTTAATACAACAACAATTATTACAAGGACAAAATCAAGATGACATTGATGAACGTGAAGACGGTCAAATTTCGGATGACAATAATACCAACGAACCCGTTCAATTACTTCAGGACCAAGAATATATCTACACAAATTCTAGAGGGTTACGAAACAATGATTCAACAGCAGCTAGTGAGTCTGTCGCAGGCCTCAATAATAATTTGGAGAGTGGTCCATCATCACTTGCAGAAGAAACTGAGCATGATAAACGGGTGAGACGTGGCGAAGTTACACCCTTTGGGTCAGGAATTGAAGAAACTGAAATACAGACGACTTCGAAAAAGTATGATCATATTGATTAATTGATTATATTTGAGTGTTCTCTAATGTTTTGGTTTGTTTGATAGAGATACGTTTCTTAACTTCAATAAGTATATGCAAGACCAAATTGACCTTCAACAAAGAAAAAAATTAACTGCGACAGGAGCAAGGAAAGAAAAAGCAGGGGAATCTACAAGGACATCTAAGAAAACTCACAAAAAGACCCGAAAGGATCCATTAAATTTGAATATACTTTTTCCCAAAAAACGGAAGCAGAAAGAAAAACTTGGATTAGGCGTTAGTGAAAATCCAAGGTAAATTTATTTCCCTTACTTATCCTCAGCGGCGTAGCCAAGGGGGGGCTAGGGGCTTGAGCCCCTCCCAGAGCCCGAGAATATTAAAAAAATACTTAAAAAATTGCAAAAAATTGCAGAAAATTAAAAAATTAAAAAGTAGCGTATGAATATATATGTTACACATTATGGGAATTCTTTATTACTTCGTGGCCTTAGTATTTTTTGTGTCGAAAAATCAGTTGCGAAAGCGAAGAGAGTTTGTAAGCGTCGTAAAGCTATACCAAAAATCACGCTACTGTTTATTAAATACCAAACGGTTTTCTCCGATTTTAATGGTACGAATTTTGGATTGTTGACGCACAGAAATTAAAATATCTACAGTTTTACATTTTTGTAGATGCACGTATTTGCCCTTGTAACGTAATTCTTAACAAAATCAGAGTCATTCAATATTCAATAATATTTTCAATTTAAAAGTGATTTCAGAAATTAAAGAACTTTATAATGTTCTTTAATTTCTGAAATTCTTATTATAATATGCAAAATTACATTTCAAAAACTTTTAATGTTAAATAGTTTGCTATTTTTTTGTATTTTTAAAACTTCGAAAGCAGCATGCAAATCTCAAAATTTAAAGTTTATAGTTAAGTACTTTTTTGTTCTTTAATGTTTGTAATCGGGTTAAAATTGGAAAAGTTATAGCGTTTTGAAACATCCTGATTTTGGTTAAAAATTCGGGCAAAGGGAAAACTACGCGCATTCAAGAAATTCAAAAAGATCACTTATTTCTGCGTACGAACTGCCTAAAATTTCCCGGTCACAATCGGAGAAAACAACCTGCGGTCTCCACATTGGCAAGTTTCCAATTGAAACTGGCCGTTTTCATGAGCCTTGGCACTTCGTTTTTGATTTCTGTGCTATTTCTATAATATTCTATGCTAAGGATGCGAAGACAAATTTGTATACCGGTTTTGAATGTGAGGCGTGTGTATTTAATTCGTCGTTTAATTTTTCAGTCAAATGTTTGAGACTTCTTTAGTCAAATGTATTGTAGGCTTCGTCGCCAAGATTTTGTTAAATATATTTAAAGGATCTAAATTTATTCCGGTAACATTTTTCACTACAAAGAAAATGTGTCTTTTTCGAAAATGCAGGTGCTACAAAACTCAATTTTACGTCACACCATCGCCCTCCGAGGTCACTGAGGAGGGATGATGGTTGACAAGTAGTATGTAAGTTCACCGGCAGGGAAAGGCGTATTTTGAAGCAAAAAGCATAGAACAAAGTAAAAAGACTCCTCCTTCTTCCATCCACACGCGCGCCACCACCAACCCTCAGTGTTGGTTCATACGCGGCAGAGGAAATCAGCTCACGTTTTCGCTCTCTCCATCCAAAATGGCTTCCAGTAAAGACGAAAATTCGGAAATTATAGGAAATTCATAAAAACGGTAAGATATTGGGGTTTATTTTTCCTCCGCCCCGTCGCGCACACACTAGGTTTTTCGATTAGTGAAAATTTTATTAATGCGCTGCAAACCGTTCCACGAATAAATGAATCGCCCTTCTGTATTTTGGATTAGAGGTGAACCAAATGCTCAGTTGGGCCGAGCTCGGTTCGGTCAAATGGCTTGAGCGAGCCGAGCGTTTTTCAGCTTTGTCTGAGTCGAACTTTTTTCGAGATTTTTGCGACCCATCCTTGGGCGACCCGAGCTTTTGGAAAGTGCTGCTCGACTCACCTCTATTTTCAATTGTTCAGGTCATTTTACATCCTTGTAGAACTTGTTATTCACGCATTGCTACGAAATATTTTAAACACATGCGAATTTTCGATGATTCTAATTTTTAATTGGAATTTCCTGCTTCGAAGACCTACATTTGAAAGATATGGTGCTTTTAATTAGCATTTATCTTCATTCCAACCATGGTAAGCATTTCAACGAAAATCATTGACGGGATTAATGGTTATGGCTGATTTTGTATCGAGCAGGGGCTAAAAAATGAATGCTACCCGAATAAATTTACATCCTTTACTTTACATCAGTCCTTAATCTTTGAACCAATTCTGTATTCCGATCATGCCCCAAACTCCTTGTTGATGACTTTTGGCAAATTTTTCTCAGGAAAAACCTGGTTTGATATTTGAGTAATCGTTAAAATTTCGTTATTAAACCCTTCATGTTACCAGGATGTTTTAGTACAATGTTTCTTTGAATGTACAACAGGTATCTAAGGAATACAAGGTTGATTGTTTAACTGGCCACTACCATTTGATGTGTCACGCTTTGCGCTAGAGCCACTTGGAACCACCAAACTTTAACCCAAATTTGCAGACCCTCGTTAATGTGTAATCCGATTTTTTTGTCATAAAAAACACTGGGATGAATTAGATACACACAATTTACTACAGATAAAATAAGTGTTTGAGGCGTTATTAGGTCAGGCATTAGATGTGGCGTGCTCATAGTTAGTGGTTTCAGACGCTCAAAGCTAGGATATGTGTACCCGTGTATCTATCTATACCCTGTGTTAAAGCGATGGGAGTGAGTGAACGTAGAAATTTTAAGCTTAAAAAGGGTAATCTAAATATTTTTTTGGCTGGGCCCCCCCCAAAGCCCAATCCTGGCTACGCCGCTGCTTATCCTTTTCCTTTACGTTTAAGATGTTGATTTAAATGAGTGTGCACAAATTCTATTTATTCCAGAGACGCTCGAAAACTACCTGGGAAATCTTTAGCAGAAACAACATCAACGTACCTGAACTCTAGTGATGACAGTGACTATCTTCCCAGTGACCAAGAGGATAATGAAAACTCAGACGATAATGGTTCGTCGATGGGCTAATCACGTTTTCTATTTTTACAACAATGCTCCTATGTATTTTTATTAGGAAACAAATCTAAAACCAAAGTAGCTCGATCCACTGGAAGAAAATTGAAACCGGTGAAAAGATCGTTGAAGGATAAATCCTCAGATGAAGATTCTTCAGATTATGATAGTGACTATAGACGGCCAACAAAAAGATGTATGTATGGTTTGTTGTCAGTATACGTTACTAAAGCATTGCTGATAAAATAATTGTGTATACGACCTACTTATAATTTATGTTGGTGCTTATCTAGTGAAAAAGGAGACTGACGATGGTGACTTAAAATACTACCAGACTCGAGTTCAGCATTGGAAAGAGCAGGAAACACGATTAACTGGAGAGTTCCAAAAGTTTGATGGTGGATTCAAAATTCCAATTCATCTGTGGGAAAGTTTATACCAGTGAGTTGATGAATCAGTTAATCTATAAATTGGCCAGCTATCGTAGATAGCGTAAATCTTTGTACAAGTATAATCAAGCGAAACCATACTCGCACTTTTTCTAATAAACAGATATCAAAAAGTAGGTGTTAAATGGCTTTGGGAGCTTCACCAACAAAGATGCGGAGGTATACTTGGAGATGAAATGGGTCTTGGCAAGACAATACAAGTCATCAATTTCTTTATTGGAATTTCGTGTTCAAATATGCTATTTAGGATGTCACAGTAAGGGTTTGCTAAATATATGTATAGTGTTTTATTATGTTGTAATTAATCAGAATCGTCTCCTTACAGACATTGCGGTTTGGGTCCAGTCCTATTGGTTACTCCTGCCACCGTTATGCACCAATGTAAAGAAAACAATTTTTACATCCAAGAGATAACAACTTAATATTTTGAATCTTCAATGGTGGCAAAATGCTACTATAGGGGTCAAAGAATTTCATACTTGGTGGCCCCCATTTCGAGTTGCAATTCTTCATGAGTCGGGGTCCTTCTCCGGAACGAAAGCAGGCGAGTGACCAATTTCATAACATTCAATAATTATGTAGCATGTTATGCAACATGGACTATGAACGATTTGACAATACCTACGTATGTACATATGTATACTTAGATAAGTATTTTTTATGATTTTTTCAGGTCTTATAAGATCTATGAATGAAGGAAGAGGATTTCTCATCACATCATACAGTGGATTAGTTAACAATCAAAATGAAATTTTACAGTACGATTGGCATTACGTGGTGTTAGATGAAGGTCACAAAATCCGGAATCCAGATGCACAAGTATGTCTTATCTTTTGCACGGCATCCTGTTAATTATTGCTAGAATAACGCTTTTGTATTTCTACTTAATTTGATGATTCCTTTTTCAGATAACGCTTGTTGTAAAGCAGGTCAAGACACCTCATCGTCTTATACTGTCAGGATCTCCTTTGCAAAATAATTTAAAAGAACTATGGAGTCTATTTGACTTTGTTTATCCGGGTAAACTTGGTATATTGCCGACTTTCATTGAAGAATTTAGCATTCCTATAACTCACGGCGGATACTCTAATGCGACACAAGTTCAAGTGGCGATCGCTTATAAATGTGCTAAAGCGTTGAGAGATTTGATAAACCCATATTTACTGCGTCGAATGAAATCCGACGTTAAGGATCACATAAATCTTCCTGAGAAAAGCGAGCAGGTAACACATTGTCGTTAATATGCACCATGATTGATTGTTGTGAAGGGATTACAAAAATTGTAATAATTGTTCGTGTAGGTTTTGTTCTGCAAAATGACAGACGACCAACGATCTCTTTATAAGGATTACATTGCCTCAAAAGAAATTGAAGGTATTATCAAAGGGAATTTTAACATGTTTGTGGGGCTGATAAATTTGAGGAAAATTTGCAATCATCCCCACCTTTTTGACGGCGGGCCGAAAATTATCAAAGCAAATCCACACTACATCAAGTATCTTCCGAAAACTAAATCTGGCCTTGGTGATGCAAATTCCAATGATATTGAAGATGATGAAGGTGAAGACATTGATGTAAATCCAATTGATGCTTTCGGACATTGGTCAAAGTCTGGCAAGATGGTCGTATTAGAAACGTTGCTCAAGCTTTGGCATACCCAAGGCCACAAAGTTCTACTTTTCACACAAAGTAGACAGGTATTACTATAATATTTATCATTTGAACACAATTAATTATGACATTTTTCTCAAAATTTATATTTTTTATTTATATTAAGATGCTCTGTATACTGGAAAAATTTATAATTCAATGCAAGTACAACTATCTAAGATTAGACGGATCAACGTCAATTGGCTCACGACAACCAATGATAACCAAGTTCAATACCGTAAGAATACTTTAAAATAATTAATTATTACCTAAGTCACATTTATATATATTTATAGGATCCAAGTATTTTTATTTTCATTCTCACAACTCGGGTCGGTGGATTAGGTGTCAACTTGACCGCTGCGAATCGTGTCATTTTGTATGATCCTGATTGGAATCCATCGACAGACATGCAAGCTAGAGAAAGAGCTTGGAGGATTGGGCAGCTACGGGAAGTTACAATATACCGACTTATAACCTCTTTCACCATCGAAGAAAAAATTTATCATCGACAAGTTTTCAAGCAATTTCTAACCAATCGAGTTCTTAAAGATCCCAAGCAAAAGCGGTTCTTTAAGAGCAATGACATGCTCGAACTCTTTACCTTTAATGAAGGAACCAAAGGAACTGAATCTCAGGCCATTTTTGCTGGAACAGGTTCAAACATCAAAATAAAAAAACCTAAAAAGACGACGAAACAACCGCGTGAAAAGACTTCTGGAAAATTAAGAGATGTCCCAAATCTAGTTAAGCAGCGGCCAGCAAAACCGCAATCCATGACAGCAATAGCAAATGATGAACCCGAATCTAATAACCCAAAGTTTTCGGCTACAGGCGATTCTCAAACAAATGCAGAACAAAATGAATATGTCCTTCAAAAACTGTTTTCTAAATCTGGTGTTCATGCTGCCTTACGACATGATAAAATCGTTGATACCAACGAGTCTGACTATATGATTGTTGAAAAGGAAGCAGAATCAGTTGCCAAAAAGGCTATCGAAACTTTAAAAAGATCACGACAGCAGTGTTGGGATGCTCAGTCTGGGCACGTAAATTACACTGGTCAACAAGGGGAAATTCGTGTGCAACCTAAACTAAGGTTTGGTAAGAAAAAGTTAGAAAAACCGTCCACATCAACATCCACCACCGAAACAACTCTGTTAGAATCTGCTTCCAGACTGAAAAAGGGGCAACAGCAACTTGAAGAACCCCTTTTACTCGCACCAGACAAGTACTTTTCTGGACACTCGCTCCTTCAAGAGGCTCTTACTAACAAGAAAATTACCACTTCAAAAAATGCTGTAATGTCTTCAGCCGATTTGTTATCTATAATTCGAGCTAGAAGATCATCACTTCCTATTCCAGAACAACCAGAACCAGGAACAAGTGGTATGCTAGTATCCACGGACAGCGACTCACACTCGGGACCAGAATTAAAACCTGAGCAAATTGAGCTTCTTGGGGATATTCGTGAATTCATCGCATTCCAAGCAACTGTTGATGGTCAGGCGACAACTGACGAGTTGGTTGATAAATTTGGACCTCGACTGCCCAATGGACAATCTCCATTATTTAAGCAAATGCTGAGCCAACTTTGTACTTTTAGAAAAGTTGAAGGTCGAGGCATGTGGCGATTAAAACCAGAGTTTAGATAATTCAATTATTATGTTACATTACTCCTCAGTATCGAAATGTACCATTATTTTGTATGCGTTACTATTAATAATGACGAGATTAATAAATACATGAAAATTTTGAAGGCACGTCAGTTGTGGTTTGATAATGTATTTCGAGTTAGCTTAATTTATGCATGCATTAAAAACTTGCAACTCACATAGAGAATGATAATGCCTCATACAAAAAAGTACATACAATTAATTTAACTTATTTTGATTGATTTAGTACATATTTATCTTATGCAGACATTGTGCAGTTTGTGGATAATTCAAACTCGGCGATAATATAAATATCTTGGAGTTTGAATGTAAAAACTAATACATCCATATTGCGTACGAGCAGAGAAGCCAGTCTTTCGACTGGCAGTCATGCTAAGCATTTGAAAATGGTCGATAAAATAAATCTGAGGCGACTGCCGGAATCTGCTGACATCCATCCAAACCGCTATGCAAATACGGTTGAAATTTTGGTGACCTATGACCCTTGTGCTGTAAGTGGTCAGATGACGGAGTGTATACTGCCGACGGACAAATCGTCGTGCTGAATAGCACGACGTAATCGACGTAATAGACGTAAAAGTAATAGGATACGAATGTAGACGGCATAGAGCGATCTGGTAACTCCATGTATATACGGCAATACTCTCTCTCATGTTGATCACCTATATTGAAAGTAGTACTCTCCTATAATGGCTTGTTGGTCTAGTGGTATGATTCTCGCTTAGGGTGCGAGAGGTCCCGGGTTCAATTCCCGGACAAGCCCAAAAATTTTTGCACACTTTATCTTAAAATTTTTGATAACCCAAATTTGCCACCTTCCTTAACCCTCAAAACGATAAATTTCGGTAAAAATCTCATTTTTCACCAGCCACACCCACTGGTGCTGAGGGGGGTGGTCCGATTGACCCCTTAAGGTGATAAGATCCTCCCCCTGGGGTCATATGTACGATGCCGCAAACCGATTTCGATTATCTCGATCCGTTCTCGCGTTATCCTGCTGGACGAACAGTAGTCATTGGAGCCACACCCCTCTGCATTAAATAGTATTTGTTCTTTAAATTTAACGTTTGGTGACCTTTCAGTGGCCTTACGTGACCTTTGATGTCTAAATGCGTGTCACCATTGAGTTCGGGGTTAAATTTCAGTGCAAATTGACATGTATCAGAATTAACGTTTGGTGACCTTTTGACCTTCACAGGTATGACCTACAGTGTCCATCTTCGAACTTGACCTTAGTTTTTATATGAAGTATTTATGATCCAAATTTGAAGTCAATATGTTAAACCGTTCTTGAGTTATTGAACGGGCAGATGGACTGACGGACTGACATATCAATCTTGTAAAGGGGGTTCGCCCTTTAATAATTATAAACATTAATCAGTTTCAGTCAGTGTCTCATGGTAGAAAACGTATAATATAATAATTTAATTTATGTAAATATCTTATTAATAGTCTACAATTAGATAGAATTATTTGAAGTATGATTCCAGTGAATTGCACAATTTGTTCAGCAACTCACTTGGATGACTCAAAATAACTCTTCGTGTCCCATCACACAAGGTTCCCTGTTGATAAACCACATAAAAAGTCAATTATAATCTCATAATTATCCCAATTGACCTAATTTTATCAGTAACTCACAACATCAATTGATATTTCTCGCATCATATTTTGTCTCTGTTTCGCAGTAACGGACGGATGCTCAAGAACCCTCCTTCCATGAAACAGGTATAAACTAAGAGTTCTCTCAAGAGTATCAATAATCCGAGCAGTGTTTGAACTCGTTGACGCTACAACGACAGGATGTATTGTTGTGTGGGTGTGTACATGCGAATGTGAGTGACCTCCGGAAGTATGAGATCTTCTCTCTGGTTTAGAAATTGATGTAATGCAAGCTTGGGCCACTTGGTTGGATGCTGCAAGAATCTTGGAATTTTCAATCACGTCACTAGTCCACGTTCTTAAATACCAGAAAATGTAGGTTGATAGGTGAATGACATCCCACAATCTAAATAATACGTACAATTACAATAAGGAAAATATATAATACGGCATTTAATAATATCAACCTATAAACCGTAACTCACTTCAAGTGTAGCTCTAGTAATTGTCCCGTTGGTCGAGTCTCAAGAAATGTTGATGATTTACTGTGCATATGAGATATAAAAGATTGTAGAAATTGCGGCTGGTCTAATAGGTTAACCGATGTCTGCATGGATGTGAATACAGCATCCTAAAAATAGTTGAATGTTATTAATGAAATTTTTGAATTAAAAAATGCTATATTTTCTTTGTACATACCAAAACCTGAAGATGCTCATAATTGTTGTGAAGTGTCCAATGTTTCCAATATGGAATCATCGCTATCACAGCGTCCAAAGCGTATACATTAAAAGTGAGCAAGCTCTTCATCATCCTAAAGTTGTAGTCGTGCTGATTCAACTTGCACGCCGTGGTCATAGCCGGAAGCGAATTAAGCCGGTCCACTATGTGGCTCCCATGACTTCCCCATAAGTTTAGACATTGCTCGACGAAAAATATCTTTTCTGTGCGTAGAATTTGCGTCATTAGTTGTAGACTTACTAGGTAAATCTGCACAAAATAATCATGTTGCCCGTTATGTATTGAATCTTGTAATATAATACTAATAATTATGTATTAAATACCTTGGTCCAGTTAGAACAGTCTTCACGTGAAGATGTTTCTATTGGTTCTTTATATGAACGTTCTGCGTTGCGCATCACAAGGACAAATACTTTTTCAACAATTAAACCGGATATGAGGGCCTCCGCACACTCTTTGACCTCTGCCATCTTCAGCAATACACCAAGAAGCTCCATAATGATATCTTCTTTTCGACATTTCTAAATAAATTAAAACAAATTTTGTACCATGCACTTTCAATTCATAAATAAATGTAAACAACTTATAATTACTTACAGCAATCCCTTCATGGGTAGCATGAACAATCGCATGAGGAATCGTATAGCTAAAATTACAAATACATTATTACTACAAAACGTAATAAACCCGAAAGTAACACTGAGTAAAATTCATTAGATATTTTTATGAATTGTATTTGATGATAATTGAAGTACTTTTATGTATAAAAGTATAGTTACCGATGAAACAAAGGCTGCCACTCTTGCCCATCTACCGTCTTAATTGTTGTTATGATAATTGACGCGGATAAGGTAATAAGAGGTCCTATAGAGTCTAGGCTTGCATCAACGTGCTTAAACACTTTTGAGGCGTTATCCAAAATGTGGGCTATAACGCGTATAATATTTTCCAAAGTTGTAGTTTCCATCTTCCCATTTGGGACTTTCTTCATGCAAATATTAACCAGTCGCAGTGTACTTATTTGCACAGGAGCAGTGTCTTCAAAGAAATGCTTGCTTAGTCGTCCAGAGAGGTTAACCAAATACGTGTTGATGTAGCCAACATCGCTAATGGAATTGACAAGTTGGCATATCAGGTCCATCATTACTTTAGAAGCGTGGGGGTCAGTTATCTACAACAATTTAGAAATATGTTGCTTGCCATTCAATATATGGTTCTGACTGATTTAATTTTAAAAAACGTACCTCGTCTTCTTTCATCGCCCAGTATGGTTGACTGATAACGTCCAACAACCTCTTTTTCATATCATCCTTAAATGTGTCTTCTAAATCATTTCGGTGTAGCACAACACTGATAAAATGTTTAAAAGCAAGTAAACACTTTGTGCTCTGCTCGCCAGGTTGAGATAATGGCATCTGAATAATATATCAAATTTGATTAAATCAATTCGAAACTACTTGCAAATACACACAATGCAACCAGTTTACGAATATTGCGCTTACCTGAAGCAAACGGAAGAAATTTTCTTCTTTAAGCAAAGACTTGATTTCAATTCCAAATTTTGTGTTAATTATTCCAAAGCGAAACAGTTCCAGTGACGCAATGTTAAGCGTGCATGTAATAATTTTCAAACGACCACCGCTGTAAATCAATTAATAAGTTTAGTTGAATAAACAGTTTAATCAGAATAAATCATAGTACTCACGGTCGTAATTGATTAATTGGATGAAACATGTTGTCCCATAAATTCTGACATTTCTTCATGACGGACGCTCCTTTGCGAAACAAAGCTCTTAGAAAGCATAACACTGATAGTGCTAGACCTTCATCCTGCAAAAACATAATGTTAATGTACATATATACAAGAAAGATATGCCTTATTTTAGATATACTTATTTACATATTTATGTACCTTCTCTGTTGGCAAATCTATAATTTTCTGGGCAAGAAAGTCATCCATAAAAATGAATTGAATGAGACCAGGTTGGGTGTGTGCCGCAACAGTTAGAAAGTCTAGAATAGACACTTTGAGATTCACATCTTCTGATCTGAATTCTAATCGCTGAGAAATTAGATCACGAAATGCCACTTCTTCACTCCCAAAACATGATAAAAGTGACATGTTCATCTCTTCGGCAATCTTTTTCAAAATGGCCATGGACAAAGTTGGGATTTTATAGTCCAGGCGATGACGAGCAAATCTACCAAGTTTTTGAACAAGTGTCGATCCAAGTGATTCGTCTACTAATCGGATAGATTCCCGTTGAAATTGGAATAATTTAAGTAGAACAGCCAGGGATTCATAAATTATTTCTGGAATGAGCCAATTCTCTTTGGTAGGTTGAAGTACACAAACTTGTAGCCCATCTTCCGCTGAAAGGTTATAGGGTGGAAATAAATAATTTTAATTTATATTTACAAACTCATTGGGAAATTAATATTATTACTGATGATGGATAAGTACTTACAAGCGGATAATACAGACATTAAAGAGCTGTTTGGAGACAACAACGAAATTGCACAAGCATCTTTAAGTTGTGCCCAGTCTTGTGACTGCACATCAAACACAAGACTGTAAACTTTCAAACAGTAGAGTAGAATTTTGTGTTTAGCTTCAGCAGTGCTGAAACGCCACCTCGTAAAGGAATGAAAGACGTTTTCGTTCAAAAAATCAATCGCATGATATGCAATCTTTTCTTCAATATCACTGGCGAATTGAACTACGCCAGCGCCTCCCTAAAAAAATAATATAACGATATAGCCTTTTATTTTTTAACTGTGTAATGTAAGAAAAAAACTATACAAACTACCTTGAAAAATGTTTGGATTGATTGCAAAAAGGAAATCGTAACGAGGCATTCGTTGTTGGCTACACTTTCATATCCCATGATAATATCTGCAATGAAGGAGGACGACTCGATCCTTGTAGGCCATACTTCACTGAAGTACACGTGGCTCCATTTTTGTACTCCAAACTTATTTGCTGCAACAAGAAGCTCGATCAACTTACTGCACAGTTCCGATTTTGTCTCCCACTGGTTGATGTAATCAAGAGTTCTGCGAAAATCATTCAACAAAACATAAATAAATAAGAATGATAAAATTAGCTTAAATAACACGTACTTGAACACTATGAAGGCCATTGGCTCATACAGTTGACTTAGAGTCTCGGTAATTGCAGGTGCACACGAGGCATACTTGATAAGAAACTTTAAAACGCTCCATACATTTTCATTCTCATCGTGAACCCATTTCACCATCTCAGTAATAGGCGCCTGTCCCATAGCACCACTCTGAAGATGAGTTGCAATGGGGATAAGCCTCTGAATATTGAACACAATTATATTTCGATTATTTAGTACTATTTAATGAAACATCTGTGAACACATAAATCTTTCAAGAGCTGTGTTAATTCTGTACACATACCTGGCTGTTTATCACAGAGAAAACATCAATAACAACGTTATCAGGAATGCGCCAGTATAACGTGAACACATTTTTTTCTGGGTCTTCCTGCATGTGATCCAATTCTGTCCCTGTAGGAAGTCGAACGCCAGCCACAACGCGGGGTGCAACGAGCTTATACCCGTTCGAATTTAATGATAAAATTTCCTTGATACTGTCTGGATCTTCAACACACTCTGCCAACGTCGTCACCATTTTACAATAATCTTTCAATAGCTATTTAAAGGACAATTAAATTTTTGTAATATTGAATTAAGTAAAGTAGTAAACATGAGATAATAAATGATTATATGAACTGTAAATGATATAGAAAACTTACAGGAATACACTGATTCTGATGGAGACATGCATTTGCAGCACATAAACTTCCCCAAATTTCAGTCATATTCTTTACTTTTAGAGGAAATTCAGACATTGCAGAGAAAACCATCAATTGGAGGACAGAACCTTCATCTGAACACAATATGGCTGCAACTTCAGACTAAAATATTAGATAAAGACAATTAAATATGGGCACATAATATTAATATTTGTTTCGTTGTATTTACAATTCGTTGAAAAATCAATTTACAAACATACATGATTCAGGAGAACAGTTGCAAGTTGATAAAAATCATCACTTGTTCCACATCTAAAGATTCTTTCTTCGGTAAGCCTCGTGGCCAATGCACGGAGGGCGAATAGCAACGACTTCAGTATTACATTTGACAAGTTGTTCCTCTGTAATAATGTAATTCATTAACAATAATTATAAGCATTTTAGTACATAGTCAGTAAAACAATACGCACATTATTTTCAACACTTTTCGTGGAATATGTTTGAGCTATTTCCAACATGGTTGAGAAAGTCGTGTCAAGCTGATGCTTTGGATGTCCAAGGATGCCCTTGACCTTTACATTCTTTTGGAAGCATGTTGAGAAATATCCGCTCAAGACTGAACCTTTATTAAAGTCATTCATCAACAAATCTTCCGCGCTCGCTTCTAACAAGTTTTCTACAGCCATTCGAAGTGCGGCGGAAACTTCTTCCTCAGCTTCTTGTAATAATGGAAAGTTCATGAGAGTGAACATCAGAGCTGCCTCAGCCAACATCACCTTCTTATCTTTTCGCCCTAACGTAATCATAGCACACATTTTAATTTTAGGATTCTGTAAATTTTAAAACTGCATGTACATTCTGGTCACACGCTCACACTTACCTGGTCGAAATGACTTGAATTCCTTACAAAAGTCTTCTATGCCAGGAGAAGGCATATGATAAATGAAGACGCTAAGGGCGTGCAGAACTTGTATTTCCTCTTGTGAATTTCTTGATAAATCCAAGGATTTCACTAGATTCGCTGTAAGTTTTGTAGCTCCGTCTTGTTTGACCCACTCACACACAGATTGAAAGATGTTCTACACATGTACATAAGTAAATTGATATTAAATATGTTCCGTGTTAAAGAAAATTCAAAGTATAATTAACTATATATTCCTTACGTTATATTTGTGACCAGGTTGGCTCGCATACCCAAAAATAGCCTGAATCACAAGCACAACAGAGAGCCTCTCGTTCTGGTAGTATTGTTGCAAGTCGGTCAAAAAGTCTGTCGAGACTCGAGGTGCCTCCAACAGCTTTTCGAAGGATGTACTACCTCCACGGTATTCAAACATCATGTAGCTGCAAAATATATCCCACGCCACATTTTCATCCAGCTCCAGTTGCGCCGAAATTCGTTTCCTCAACTTTTTCTCATTGTCCAGTTTCTCTGATGATGCGTTCCCAGTTGTCCCTGCTGCAGTTGTTGTCGGAGCAGAGGACGACGATGCGGTGGACGTTGATGGGTTAGGAACATCAGTCGTTGTAGTTGGCACCGCATCCTCATTCGGTTTTTCGGCATGGGCGAATTGTGTGAGGGCAAGAATTATTCGTTCGTACGATACGCGCAACTCCTCCAATATCACGTCGTCATCGGCCACAATAGACGCACCCCGTAGTACGTTCCACAAGTATTTGTACGGCCTACGAAAACGATATTATTAACATAACCAATAACCAGTAGCAAATCCTGAATTACAAATTTAAATGAATGTTTGAAGAAATTATCAAATTGCAAAAAAAACGTTCTACATAAAATGCATAAATTAGAAATTGTTACCATTGAACCCGCAACTCATGGTCTTCTGACGTGCTCATCCCTGGACAATGATATTACTTTTATAAACTTTGTAATTAATTGAAAATATTATTACATAGAGAAACAAATCAGAAAATATTCCACGTTATTATGCAGAGCGGAATTCGTGAGGGAAAGTCGTTTCCCGGCCCGTTGCATACCCTTGCAATGCGATCGTGAGATTGATTCTTATGCATTTCGATATGACTAAATGAAAATAAACGCAATTTGTGTGTACATATGTGTGTATTTAAATGATTCTGCCAATAGTAAACTGTGATTAGCTAATAATTTAGTAAAATTTGAACAAATCATTCCTGATGCAATTAGATTTGGATGTAATTTCGGCGGGGCATTGCACTCTTTGGAACGAGACATCTGGATTATCGGCATTTCGGAACCAATTAAATCTCCAGCGGCACCTGAAAAATTGCCGTATATTTAATTAGCTTTTACATAAATTATTTTGCCAAAGATTAATCAGATAGAATACCCCTCTCTAATTTGGGATGGAAGTTGTTCACATTCTTCAATAGTACGCACACCTCCGTATCGATCTGACACAGTGAATACAAATTACAATTGAATTCATTCTCATATTTTTTCTGGACAAATGTCAAATTCACATACCACCCCACCCAGCGTCAGGAGCTCCCCATTGTGGCTGACAACCATTGAAAAGTCCCACCCCTCCTCCTGGCATTAGGATGTCGAAATGATTTTCCTATACACACAGAAAATAAAACGGATTACACTTTGTTATGTTAAGTATTTTTACAGATAGGATTGCACAGAGCATGTCTTACGCCGAGATCTCCTCCCGTGTTGGTGACTTGAACAATCAATTTCTTGCCCTGGACGGGTCCTGTCAAGAAATTAAGCTCGTAGCAGGCACAACACCAGTCCCATTCACCCTGATTCGAGAGATAAGCCTGAAAAATGGTATGCATTACAAGTAAGAAAACAATAGATCGGTATATACTTATCATCGGAAAATAATTATATGCAAGTGGAAAATTCACGACTGAAGGATTCGTTGTTCTAGTTTAGCATTTATCTATGAGGGTATTCGTAATATGAAAGGTGAGTAAGAAATCAGAGTTCTACTTACTGCAGCAAACCCATAAGCCAAGTTATCATTGACAGCCCATGGCTGATTGTTGTTGCATGTGTAGGAAGCTAAAAACATAAATTATTTAAATATTTTGGGGATGACAGAATGTTTCTTATGCTTGTTTTTATCTTTCTCGTACGTCCTCCATTGCACCCACTCTGAGCGTTGACATCGATAACTCGTACACCGTCCGCCTCGCAGGTATCCACAGGTTTATTCACTGGACCTTTGTCACCCCAACCGCAGGACGGCTAATGTCAATTATTTTGTAAGTAAGTGTTTCGAACAGTTCATTTGATATAAGATATCAGTCACGCTTTACCTTACAACAATCCCAATATCGCGTTGTTCTCCCGTTTTGTTGGCCATGAGCTACACCAAGCAAAACGAGGGCAAAAAGCACAAGAGTCTGAAATTATTTAGCGTAATAAATAATTATTACAGGGAATAATATGCCTCTCATAATGGGACAATTGGTGTACCTTCATAATGTTCTGTTTTAAAAGGATCAAAAACAAGTCAACCATCCGATATCAATAAAGGTTCTAATTAAATTTGGGTTCGGTCGTCATCTATTTATACGAATTTTCAAGCTGCATAACCATTTTCCACAATAAGGCTGACATCAAGACGTTTTGATTGATCGATTATTGATTATTGTGCATGCATTATTATTGTCAAATGAAATTATAAAGCATGCTGTCACATACTTCTAATCAGTGTTTAACAAGGTGTGCCATTCCAACTACATATGTACAGATACAATTTCCATTCGTCGTTGCACCCAAATTATACATACATACACACGACCAGAGATACATATCTTCCCAAAGAAGAACAAAGTAACATGCCTCATCGTGTGCAAAATTATATATCAATCAAAACATCACAAAATCAGCACATGCACAAATATTTACAAAAACTGTCATACTTATCTTGGTCCAACTTATCTTTATGAATATCTCGTACATTGTGCAAATAGGAATAAAGTCACATACTTTATAGTTTCACAAAATATTTGTTAGCAAAAAATGTAAATTAGTATCTGATAATAACAATGCTCTTATTTCTTGATAAGCGATAACCTTGATAACTAAGCTGTCCAATTAAAGTGTACATGATGAACAACTATTTATAGATACTCACATTGAGTTAATCGAAACACTACATAACAAAAATTGAGATAATAAAAATGATAGCTTATTTAGCTGACATTAAATAATAATCAATACAATTAAAGAGTAATATATTTTTGTCCAAATGACGAGTAATTCATAAGTAAATTAATATTTCATTATTATGAAAAATTGTATACATGACAAGTCGCAATACTTAAGTGTTTTGTCTGTAGTTTGGCGTAAAGTGGAAATTAAGGTACGAATTTGGACTTTGGTCTAACCATCTGCCGTGCAGAACATCGTATAGATATTGATATTTATACGCACATAATTTATAGATAATTTGTTGCTTATTTTATTTGTCGACATCATAGTATAATGCATTTCGTACGTATGCATGCACGTGTTGATAAGTACTTAATGATGTCACCCACAGGAAATTCATACTTATGTAAATATGTATAAATTGCAATGCTACACATAATCCTCCAGCATTTTGTCCAAGTCGTAACAAGAAAGCATACAAAAAACTGCTAACAATGAAACAGTTTTGGTATCCGTGCATCCTAATAATAGTGACAATTATCCAATTATCCGCAGGTTATTCTTTTAGTAATATGTGCAAAATTTTCTACATGTTAATTGCTAATCGTGCATGTTTCTATCTATAGGATTACGCTGTTACGAATGCATTTCAGAAAAAGGTTTGAGCTTGTTTGGTGCATATCATAAGGATTGCAAAGAAGGTGACCTCCCCGACTTTCTCGGCATTGAATGTAGACCAGAAAATAACATACGGAACAGTTAGTACATACTTTTGATTTTTGCAGTAATAAATAATTTAAATGACCTTTTTGAAAATTTTAACATTGAGATTCGACATATTTAGAATCTCTGAGACTGTTCCCACAAGAGCTACGAGAGGTCTTCAAACGACGAGATGTCTTCAAGGCAAAATTTACATGGTTTTGTACCAAACTCCAAGTAAAATTATGCATGTGCCTACATACATATATTCAATACCAATATATCTAATTCTCAAAATAATTAATGGCCTAATGATTACCTATTTTATTGTAAAGTTGAAAAAGGCCTCACAATAAAAGGGTGTGACTGGGTTCCGGTGGAGTTGGGACTGGTCGAGAATTGTGCTCCTACTAAAGAAAATGACCTCAATGGGATGCTGTGCCAATGTAACACGGACTTGTGCAATGGATCACAAAAATTAGTATCAACTTTTATTTTCATAACCGTCCCATGCATTGGCACATTAATGTACTTTTTGGCTAATAAAATATAACGTAGTAAAATATTTAGCAAATATGTACACATAAATTATTTATAAACAAGTTACTTAATCTGTGCCAATTTATTCAGTGGGGGAAAAATTCCTTTATCTTGGTCATACTGCAGACAACATGCTTCGCCATCCCAAATTAACTGATTTTTTGGACATCCATTAATCCTGTGTTATAAAATGAAACAATTATTTTTTAAATAATAAAACGTGCAAAAATTGATATTAATATTGTCGTACTGTTCATACATTTGTACAGGATGATTTTTGGCATCTTTCTCATCGACGATTTGCTTCATTGGTTTTCGAAGCCAATTATTGTACACCTGAGAAGTATTGTGAAAGTGGGTGTGCACTACCATATCGGCCATTTCAAGCGTCCCCTCATGTAAACCAGGAAGGATTACAGGGTACACTTTTCGTTGTTTTTCACTCAACTGGCGAAACCTGAATCAAATATTCACAAATTCATTTATGTAAATGTTCGTTTAAAAAATAAAATATGATAGGTGATTTGCCACCATCTATATTGAACTGCATCCTGAAGAAAAAAGTGTTCCATTGCCATCGCAAATAGTCGGTGTGCGTTCTTATTAATGGTGAAATACCGGAAGCACTCAGAATGGACCAAATCCACTCCCTTCCAGAGCAACTCGACGATCATATCATTCTTATCTGGGTTAAAATTCCGACCTTCTGGGAGTTCAGGTTTCTTCTGGATTTCAGGGTTGTATAACTCTTATTATTGCCATCATACATGATAATAATTAAATGGACATAATGTAAAAATCACAACGGTACTAGCGAATATCATGTAAATCAACCTCATCATCTCAGTAATTCTCTGATTTCTCACCGTCTTAGCAGCTGCACCCTCTTGACCGGGTGTGGCAGGACAACTGAGGAAAGTGTGTGGAAGTGGGTCCACGTGTTGTAGGCATTTATTTAAAGAAAATTTAATTAATTTAAATTCATTTTCATCCAGAATATCTCCTTCGCCAGTGTCGAAATATAAGTATTCTACCAGCCGGTAGTTGGCATTCAAAACGATTAAGAAGTTTATTGGCCATCTAAATAATAATAAGTTTCATATTATACTCTGAGATGAAAACTTATTCATATCTTGCTGCACAAACCTTGCCAAAAATTTTTGTAGCAATGTCTAATAATTTAAGAGCCCGTGAAAAGTTGTTTGATTCGATATGAGCATTTTGCAACTCTATTCGCATTCTGTACTCGACCAACTGTTCCATTTCAGATCGAAGTCGGTCATGGAGCTGGGAGACGGTCAACCTTCCCCAGTCGGAATTAAGAGGTCTGGTTACCCATAATGCGTTCTTTACAACGCATTCAGCTTTAGGTGGGGCGTTACAACCTACATATTAGAGAAATCTTAATTTATTAATATAGATAAATCATCCATATGAATGTATGTATTCATTCTTTATGTGTGTACTTTCATATTTTCCAAGTCCAGATTCAAAGATAAAACCTCCAGATCCTTTTGATTTTCCAGGAATCATAGTCCAAGTGTCATCAATTTTTCTACTCGTGGCTGAATCATGCAACCAATAAATATACTTATGTATAACCTGATTGGATAAGTTAGTCTCTCACATACTTATCTTGCACATTGCAAACTTTTTCGGCAAATCTTGAAGCGCCAGTTGTCGTAAATCACAATTCTGAACACTCCCATCTGTGTGGCGCAAGTTCATATTGATTTTTTCTCCTTGGACGTTTGATGCCCTAGGATGAGACCAAAATGCGTAACTTTTCTCTCCCAGCTTGCGACTGCCCATTGCTTCTGAAACGGAACAATTGTTGAAGACTACAGACGTTACTATGCACTCTGATAACACTCACCTTGAGAATATGGTGTCCAATTCCCATGCTGTCTCAACCATTTTACAGGAACCCTACGAAAGTTTCCTTCGTCATCGAACTCGCCGACATGATCCTCTAAAGTAGGGACCAGGCCATAAATATCCCCAGTAACATCCACATTTTTATTCTGCTTTATCGAGTAGCGAATACACTTATTAGTCTGCTCAGCCGACGGGACACTCCATGCCAGAGTAGACTTGTCTTGCTTTAAAGGAGTTCGTGCGAGGAAACTACACACGTTGAAAAATTGCATGACAATTTTATTGCAAATTTCTGAATTGAAATGAAAAAATATTCATCTTACTGTCCATGATGACAGATACATGTATCCTTTGGAATCGCCTTTCGTAACATGGAGATTCCACCGGGGCAGGCTTTTGACGTAAATCCACGAACAATGCCATCGCCATCGCAGAAAGCTATGTAGTGCGTCCATGAAGAAAAATTCGGATAGAGTATCCCATTTCCTTCAATATTTGTGCAAAATAGTACAAAAAATATCGCAATTGCCCTAACTTCTCGCTAGAACATTCAAAGAAACAACTTTTTAAAGTTTTATTACTTTTGCAACAGTAGTGCATCAAAATATATATGTGTACACGGCTGCATATGCTTACCCAAATTCTCATATTTGGTTGATTTGACTGATAAAATGTCCTAAACTGTACTATTTATTAAGTGATATTGATTGTAAGCAATTTATATTTAAAATAATTTATTGACATAATCCAAAGAAAAGTAGAAAGTCCACAACAAAAGTGCATCATAACAAATGTGCCATTGTCCAACCATAACTGCTTACATACTTAGCATAAATGAATGAAAGTACTACATTTGACAGTTTAAGAAAAGCTATAGATTAAATTAAAGTGATACGCTATTCATAAAATATTTTCTTTTACTTGGACATATATGACTTATGTTGGTATTGGTGTAACCGATAAGGGTCTTGACATCATGACTTCTTCATATTTTGGAGGTGGATCCCTATTTTGCCTAGCGATGTTCAAAAATTCTGGCCTCGGTCTACTACATCTGTGCTGACCGTATTGTGGTGGTGGTTGAACAATGCTGGGCGAATTTTCAAGTGGCGAACTACGAACTACTGGAATTGTATAAACGGTGGTGGCAGCCGTTTGTTCATGCCTACTTCCACAGTTCCGATGATGTCGGCAGGCGTATCTTTGGCGTATAATATCTATGATTTTAACAAATAGAAGGTGAAATTTACATTTAAATCTCAAATTCAACCACGGATGAGGTGTATAATTATTTACACGTGGGTGATCCGTTAAAACTTGCTGCCGATAAGATTGTAGTTTTGCGATGTGCCCAAAAACAGAAATAGACCACAAGCGCAAACTATAATATTAAAAATATTTATAAATATGTATGCACATATCTGCATGTGCACCACTCTTTTTAAAGAGTGGTTTCGATTTTATATATTTTTAAAATTTACCATTATAATACAAAATCCTATGACTGATATGGTTGCGATCGTCATGTTTTTTTTGTAAATGATTGAAATGTAATTTTAAAATTTAAGTTTATTAAGAGAGGTATGTTAATATATCACAAAAGTACAGAGGAAAAAGATGATATCTACAATGCTAAGTTGAAATCAATATTATATGAAGATTGATTGCGATTCCGACAATAAAATAAAGTTAGCATAGATTATTGTCTTCCAATATCACCTCTCGTAATATAATAATGTTAATCTAGTGGGGAAAGGGTGATTTATGTTATCTTAAGATAAGGAACTGACTCGAAATTACAATTTGCTTCACTATTGCATATTGTTTACTGTTCGTGAGCAAATTAATACTTTCTACCCATAATGCATGTTACGCACTTGTAAATATGTACATACATTCATACATACATACATGCAAATCATGTTAGATATCCAAAAAACGCATAATCGAAGGTCTGGTTAATAATTTCAATTGCCGCCTTAAAATGTTATTTAATATTTAAGAAATAGTTACGACACAAAATTACAATTAAAATCGCGATTCTTCCAAATTTGCAACAACAGAATATTCTTGGCTGTCCCTAGTAGGCGTGGAATTTGCAACTTTCTTGATCTTGTATTTTTCTTTTCTTGCTTCATATCCACACCACCCTCGATTTTTCGCTTCATTGTTAATTACACAGATTATTATTGCAATGAAAATGACAGTCATAACAATCCCAATCGCAATTAAAATCCAAGTAGTGGAACCTGTAAATTTACATTACCCATAACTAAACGCATCGCATACTTATTCAACCGTACAGGTATTTACTAGTATGAATATATATATACCGTTGTCATCCCCACTCGGTTGTGGCGGTGTCACAATTTCCACACCCACGTCTTTCCCCAAAATATTCTCTACCGTTATTTGAAGCATTAGGTCACCTTCCATCTCATTTGGGGCATCAATCGTTACTATAAACTCGTTACTATTCCTCTAAACAACCACCAATTAATGTAATCAAATTTAGCAAATACTCTGACAAAATATTATGGTTTAAGTATTGAGTGTACCTCAGAGTGAACCGTGACATTCCTGATGTGAACATCTTCCAACTTGTAATCGTCAGAATTGGTAACATTTTTCTTCATGTCGACGCTTGGGATAGGATTGCCTTTGACTGAAAAGTGAACATCAACTTGATTGTTGTCACCGTAAACCAGCATTGTGATAAAGGTCCCATCGTTGTTGGAATACACAATTTCGGGAGAATCTGTAAGTAAATAATACGTGAACGTAACAAAATTGCGTCAATTAAAACCAACGCCACTTACATTCCACATTCACAGTTAGCGAGTGCTGCACTTCTTCGCTGCCTTGCTCAACATCTTTAAATCCTGGATGGGAAACACGGCAAACGAATATTTGATCGTTAAACTCTTTAGTGAAAGTTTCGGTCCATTGGATACATGTTGAACTAGAGTCGTTTTTCTTGAGGACAAAATCCGAAATTGGTTTCTCATCTAAACATTATGCACATGGAACGTTAGTACTTAAACTGTAATCCATATTTACTAATAACTAATGAAAATCATAATGTTAATGTTGTTACCCAAGTAGAAAGCAAGTTTCGTCTCCGCAATGGGCTTACCACCAGAAGAGCAACATACAATGGTTGTATCGTTTTGAGTAATTGACTCATCTTGCCAATCGGTAACATTTATTTCGTTTTTGAAACCGTCCACAATTATTATTGGTGGGTCTGGCTTTTCTGAATATCAGGATAATTTGAAAAATTACAATATGCATTACATATATAGAAAGCAGTATATTTTGAGTTAGTTTTTTAGCGTTTTTAAAAAATTTTATTTCGTTAGGTTTGAGACTAAAATGTGCGATTCTTGGGTGGTCAGTTTTTGCGATATTTTGCATTTTACTTTACCATCGACAGTACGAATAATCAAGATTAAAGTCAATAACGTGCTGATTTAAAATTTGTACCGTATTGGAAAACTTCAATGTCTGCTCGCCATATTGTCCCAGCCGCGATGAAGGAACACACCCAATCTCCAATTTGCTCTTCGTTAGCAGCAACCATTTTGAGTCCACATTGACCATTGTTTACTCCAGTGCCCACATACTCATAAACCCCTGGACCTTCCTGCTTCGATATCGCACAATCGGTTGCGTTTATAATTATGTCCCGGGAGTTGGTTTCATCAATGTGGTAGTAACGACATAATCTTTCCCCCGGTGGGAGTTCCCGAACAGCCTCTTCTGGTGCGAAACATAGTATCTCAGCGTCGTCTCCGTAATTTATGTACACCACGGCTTGGGATACATTTGCATTTATGGCAGACACTACAGACGTTGGAGATTGAAGACCGGTAACTTAGTTGTTCGTTAAAAAGAAATAAATATTATTCTCAATATTAATAAAATTCGGAGGAATATGCAAATTAAATGAAAGTAATTTCGAGAGACGAGAGTCTTCATACTTACCAAAAATGAGGGTTAGTAACGTCGCACCCATGCTTGACTCCATTCTAACTCTTTCTATCAGATTATCCTAACTTCGAAAACTAGTCCTGGTCAACTCTCTCTCTCTCGGAGACTCCAGTTAACAATGATCCAATGATCGAGTCTAGGGGCGAATTATTTTTTAACTCATTTTCCTTAAATTGTTTAACTTTATTGTAGATTTAAGAGATAAATACATAGACTTGATCTAAATTAATAAATTAGTTCAAACATAGTGTTATTAATACATTAGCGCAGTGGCATAACGTTTTTTTTTTTGCATGTGCATACCTATATACGCGTATAAATATTGTCATTTTATTATATCTTTCAAATACGAGGTCTTTTTACATTTTTATTTTGGCCCGCATACGACAAATGGTTTCCAGTACATAAAGTTTCAATTTTCAAATTCATTTATTTCAAATCCAACGAGAAAACGTTGGTTTTTATCCTGAATTTATGTTATTTTATAAATGAGTCATATATTGTGTTGACAATGAGAGAGTTTGTTTAAAATTGAATAATGCGTACAAGGTATAATATTTGAAACAAAATCCTGTGCTATATAGTAATACCAGCATTCAAACCTGTAAATGTACATATGTATGTACATAAAAAGATCGAATAATATTTGTTATCCGTAGTTTCCCCATTTCCTCCAGTTCAATGTTAGACGACTAACATTGCTGGTTGCATTTAATAAGTATATATTTGGCCGTGGAGAACATAAAATAGTTCACATTGAGTAGATATTAATAATGGCGTTAAACTTTGCTTTGCAAACAATATTTTGCATATTTAAAACAGCTAAAAGTTATACAGTTGGTGATTCACGACCTATTTACAGTACTGTATAATAATGTATCGATACAATCTATACATAAAATGTAATCGATAAGTCATATTTTAATTTGATATATTTAAAATACAGCTTTATTTTTGCTTATCCTCTTCGATCCGCATCTTATGAACAATGAAAACCAACTGAAATAAATGTGAGATTTGGAAATTGATAATCTAATTTTATTTTATATGTGATTGTAATTCCATGACCAAATTGAGCATACATTTTGATCGTTGCATAATCTTCATGCAACTTGGTTCCAATGTTCCCATTGAACAAAGACATCTCCAGACAAACGCGGTAGGCTGATTCTTCACGTGTTATTGTTTTTGTCGTAAAAATATCATTTCAGTTGTTACATTTTTCATATATAATTTGACTTGATGAACACAAACCTCTTCAACCAAAGTGGATTATTTCACTATTTTCATTAAGTATTTTATGTCGACATAACCAAAATTGGCAGGAATCTTTTTTTGTTCACGGATGCCGTTAGACGCTTTCGTTTCGTCATTGCTGGTGAGGGTTTCGTATTTGCTGAAATTATATTATGACAACAAGAGTTCATCGCCTGATATAATTGTTCAATCATAATTATGGCACATTGTTGAATTTGTTAGGCCGGAAGTGCAGCAGGGATGTCAGTGGATATGGGTTTATTTCCTTTGGATACCTTAAAAACTCGCCTCCAAAGCCAAGCAGGATTTTGGAAAAGTGGAGGATTTTCCGGTATCTATCGCGGAATTGGTCCGGCCTTTGTTGGATCTGCCCCTAATGGTATTACTGATATGTATCTTATGACCAATATTTTAGTAAATGTAGGATATATTATATTATCGTTTTTGGTCATACAGCCGCCGTGTTTTTCTGTACGTATGATTCTTGTAAAAAGCTTCTGGAGAGGAGAGTGGGGCAAAATCTCCCTTGGGTTCACATGTTGTCCGCGTCTATAGGAGAAGTGGTATGAAATTGTTATTAATTATTACGATCTGATCAATTTATTGCTTCATTCGTTTCATTCTTTTATTTCTAGGGAGCATGCGTCGTGCGTGTACCTGTCGAAATTGTAAAACAAAGACGACAAGTATCCCACCATAGTGTTCGCCACGTCTTCAATCAAGTTTTGAAACATGAAGGGTTTCTGGTAATATAAATTACAAATCAGAACTAAAAAGTTTTAGCTTTTGATTAATTAACTTTATGCAGGGTTTTTATCGTGGCTATTTTAGCACAATTCTGAGAGAGGTCCCGTTTTCAGTGATCCAGTTCCCATTGTGGGAAGCGTTGAAGGTGCAAATAGCGTCTGAGCAGGGTCACTGCTCTCCATTTGAATCTTCAATGTCGGGGGCGATTGCGGGTGGTGTCGCCGCCTGTCTCACCACTCCTCTCGACGTAGCCAAGACGCGCATCATGCTGGCCGAGGCTGGTACGGTCGAGTCCAAAGGGTCCATTGTTCCTGTCCTTAGAATCGTTTATAGGGAGAAAGGGATCTCAGGGTTAGTTAATTAGCATTATTAGAAGTTTCTTGTTTGTCCAATCAATTAGTATTATTTTGCAAATATGATAAGACCGTGGTAAACTGTAAATTAATGCATCTTGTTTATTGCAGACTATTTGCTGGTGTGCTTCCCAGAACCATGTGGATTTCCATTGGGGGTTCAATATTCTTTGGAACTTATGAACTAGTCAAGAAATACTTGGCGGATAATTGTGACTGATGATGTACTTTTTGATCTAGTTGTTAGCTATTAAAGTGTAAGAAATACGTTTTATGAAATTCATCTTTCAGTCCATTAAGATGAGGCCTTATACTTTCTCTATCTTCCTCTTTGTGACATAAAACGGAACATAAAGTTGGTTCGAAAGAGGGCGAGTGCGGATAAAAATATTTAATATAAATGCATACATCATCAAACATTTTCCGATTTATTCATGGTTAGCCCTATTATAGGACTTCTATATTATTTTTTATACAGATAAGTGTTTCTTTTTCCATGGTCTGTCTAAATATCACTGCATACATTTTGGGGACATTTGAGATGTTAAAAGAAATGTGAAAGGAAAATATGCACACAAACTAGCCGAAAAAAGAAGCATAGGAATAGGACATTCTAAGATCGAGTCAAATTGAAATTGATTAAACTAATTTGGTTAACTTATCCAGATGGAGGACACCTCATCTTTTCCCGACCTTCCACCCTTATCTTCGCAGACCACAGTTCCAAATAAGGATGAAGATGATGACGATTACGATTCTGAAATAGTTGTTCACCCTCCTTCTAAGCCAGAACCTCCTCCTCCCTCCTCGATGGGCTCGTCAACCGTTCCCGTATCTACGTCATCGACGCCTTCGTCGTCAACTTCTTTAGAGGGAGGTGGGCTGTCTATTTCTCTTCCTACTCCAACTCCTGCACCATGTCCGCCTCCAGCAGTGCAAAGCGGACCGCTTACTTTGGGGGAAGAGATGCGACGAGCTTATCGAGAGCAGCAGTCCAAGAGTAGGAAGGAGGTTGAAGAGGAGGAGAGGGAGAAGATGCAGTAAGTTTTGAATTTCGAAACTCAATTAAAAGTAAATATGTATAATAAATGGAATAAACCTTAATTTTTTAGAGTTCTGGTATCCAATTTCTCAGAAGAACAACTTGACCGGTATGTATACATTATGAAATTATAAATTTACATGTATTACAATTCTCGAAATTAAATTTCTATTATACATAGATATGAAATGTACCGAAGGTCTGCATTTCCGAAGGCTGCGATAAAAAGGGTTAGTGTATGATAGCATATGAGCTTTTATTGCTCTTTAATGATGACACGGAATTTCTCATGTTTTCAGCTGATGCAAACTATCACAGGAAATTCAATTTCTCAAAATGTGGTAATCGCAATGGCTGGGATTGCTAAAGTATTTGTTGGAGAAATTGTTGAAGAAGGTATGTATTAAATTGTGCACATATATTTAATGATGTATTTATGCAATAGATTCATAATAATTCGTCTTCATTATAATTTTAGCTTTGGATGTGATGGAACGTAACGGCGAAACAGGGCCCGTTCAGCCTAAACATTTACGGGAAGCGGTTCGAAAATTAAGACTTCAAGGCCACATTCCTCGCAGTCGAGTTCGAAGATTTAATCCATTTCATTTGTAAATTGAAGTTACTCATAATTTTAAAGCGAAGTTGTTAATCGTAAGCTCAAGTTTATTCACTGATGTAGTAAATTTTATGTTTTTTTTTACTTTAAAGTTTAAATTGTTCAATTACAATTACATAAAATATATTGTACACTATATTCGATTCTGTAATTAAATGCTAAAACTTAGCTCTTGTCAATATTACACGGAACACACCATATTAATTTACATATTCTGTACGTTACATCTAACGATAGGTATATCTTTCTAATATTACCTATCACGGGTGGGCAAGATACTTGGTCCAGATACAAGATAAAAGATACAAGATACAAGATAGTATCTTTATCTTGTATCTTCGTCGCCTGATCAGAGAAGTATCTTCTATCTTGTATCTTGTATCTTTTAGAAAGTCGAAAGTATCTTGTGTAAGTATCTTATCTAGATACGCCTGGCAGAAAAGTATCTTAAGATAGTTGACAAGATACAAGATACTTTTTTTCAAAATTCCGTCAAATTAAGTCAATTTCTTACCACAGTCAGTCAATTTGACCATGAATTTGGCGTAACCAGAGTTTGGTGAATTTTTATTTTATGTTTTGCCAATTAGTAACAAACCTGTATATACATACACATGTACATATACTCATGTATATGTATATATACATATACAGGGGTGGGACAGAAGAAGGAGCCACTTGAATTTTAGGGGTGGCGTGTGATGCACAGTCGCGGCATTTTCAAAATTTGCATATGTCATACCCAGATAGTTAACGAAAATTTAGCACTATTCAGATTTTCCCTACGGTTAAAAATGCCCCTGCAGCACCCCCCAGAGTGCGAGGCACGCATAAAAGTGTTTTCCAAAGACATACTGAGCCAGAGAGCGATTGTTAGAAAATTTGCTGCAAATGTATTTATCGTCGATCGAAAGTACGTTTCTAATGTACTTAAAAACGTTGGAATCAAGCGGAGGGAAAAAGCGGTTAGAGCTCCACCCCCACGGAAAGGATACCCAAGATCCGCTTGAACCAAAAAGTTTATCCGGAAAATCAATTTTTCGCCAAAACGGTAAATCCACCAACTAAAAGTTGCATGGCGAAAATGTTAAACGTTAGTAGGAGAACATTTCTAGAGTCATTCACAATGACCTACAGCAAGTGACTCGTAGGAAATCCCGAGATCATGCTCTCATCCCAACTTATTTCTCACAAAATATCAGCCTACACGAAGGATTTTAAAAAAAGTTTGGGTATAACAATTATTCCTACTATAGAAACTCTCGTTAGTTCCTCTGATATCAATCCGATGTTTTTTTTTGGATTCGAGTACTTAAAACAGAGCCTTCTTGAAAGGAAAACGCGTGCGTTTTGATGCACTTTGGAAAAGTGTTCAGGACGAGTGGTGCAGAATCACTCTGAAAATTGTGTCAAAGGTCATGACTGGTTGGAAAAAGCGACTGAGGCTCGTTAGATAAACTAAAGGGCTTCACACTGAACCAATTACCAAACTTCACAAACGAATAATAAGGCCGGAATAAATTTAGGCAAAGTGGCTCCTTCTTCTGTCCCACCCCTCTGTATATAATATATATGTATATAAGTTCATGTGCACATATACACATACACATGCACAACGTGCATTGCACATTACATGATATGTAACTACGCTTTTAACTATCTGTAATGTATAGGTATTGTAGGGTTTAGTTTGATTTGAATAAGCAGGGAATATATTACGAACTTCGTAAAAATATACGCATGTTAGTTAGAGGTCTAGTTTTTCGAAACTTAGAAATTTTTAGAAATACAAGCACTGGCAACAAAATTTGTATGATTATAGAATGATTTTAAATTTTGTACTCACCAGATTTTCTCGTTTAAATTATTAAACATGACTAATTGGGCATGAATATCAGGCTAAAAAAATAAAGTATCTTATCTAATATAAAAGTATCTTAAGATACATATCTTGTATCTTGTATCTTGACTACTCAATTTTTAGGAAAGTATCTTGTATCTTGTATCTTGTGTACTTGAACAAGATGTATCTTATATCTTGTATCTCATATCTTATCCTAGAAAGTATCTTATCTTGTATCTCATATCTTATCCTAGAAAGTATCTTATCTTGTATCTTGTATCTTATGACCAAAGTATCTTGCCCACCCCTGTTACCTATAGGATAATAAGCATTATTAGCACATAGAGACCCCAGGATACTGGAACCTTTGCATTTCCCCCACTTCGACTTGTCTGTCGCTGATGTACATTTCTAGATTTGCTGTTATTTTTTAATCCAGTTTTGACTTGGATTTTAGCTGTCTTGTTTTCTGGTTTTAACTCACATAACATTCCTTCCTTACAGTCGGCAGAAGAAATTTCAGGAGACTTATTTTCTAGTTTGGTTGTGTTTGACATAATTTCTTCAGAGTCAATCTCGTTATCAAGAGTTGTGCTGCTAATCATAGTCGTTTCAAACACAGGTTCATATAACGTTCCATTGTCGTTGTCCGAGATTTCGTCGTCATCAGTAGTATTAAATACGAGAACATCGTCACTCTCAATTATCGAGATTAGTGTTTCTGATTCAATATCTTGTAATGAGCTTGTTGTTGTTTCAGTAATAGGTTCGATATTTGGACTGGATGTTTGTGAAACCTGTCGCAAATTATTCCAGTTGCAATCAACGGGACCTAACGATACGTATATATTTAAATGTCTCAACTTACCTCTTCCAGTTTGATTTCGGAAATATTGTTAACAAGTAACAAAACTACCACCAATTGCAAGTGAAACTTTTGTCTCATTTTTGAAATTGTTCAAGTTTTTAACGGCTTTACAAAGAAATCACATAAGATCAACTAAATGAGGATAAGAATTACAGCCCTGGCCAATTTTTTGCACCAAGAATAAAGTGAAACTTTGGGTTTTGGTTCTCTACAGAGCTTTGTAAAAGTTCAGGTGTACTTAACGTAGCCAAATTTACTTACGTTAGCCATAAATGTTCACAAGACGCAGCATAATTTCAGATTGATTTAGTGATATAATGTAAAACATTATCCAGCGTTTGCCTAACTAACTGATGCAATTTTGGTTTGTCATCATTGTGCATACATTTTAATGAGCATGTATGTATCTCAAGAGTAGACGTATGTACGTAAGAAAGCTATGTATATGTATGTAGATCCACTTGCACTCTGCCACATTAAACGCCAAAAAGTAATTGTAATTAAATTTATATAAATAATATTCTACGGTTCGATTTGTGCATGCAAGCATATGTGGTTTATTTTACAACATTATACTACAACTGCAAGGAACTATGCGACCCCGACCATGATATAAAAATGAACATCAAATCAGTATCAAGGACTTCTGGTTTTCCTATTCTCATTGAAAAGGTGTATCCAGTGTCAATTTTGAATTATGGAGGCGAAATAATAATATCTTGGCACAAAACATAATTTTACTAGACGTGGGATGCTGCATCATGGATGTAAATTACTGTTGTCGACTAATCACGCATTTACTTACTTATTTTAGTGTTCTTTAGATTATGCATACTATGCATATGCTTATGTCGACTAGACCCACCTACAAACTTATTCTTCCTACATTGTTGTCAGAGTGAGTAGGTTCATCTGAAAGATATGGCTGCATTTTCTTGGTCACCATGAAGTTCTATACATATTCATGATATGAATATACAAGAGGTATCAACTTTTACCACATCAACACCCTGTGACAGTTGTGAGACTACTACGAGATCAGATCATATTTCAACCTGTTGCAGATTTGCCAATAACTTTATTGAATATTTAGGCTGACCCTTGTAATTTACAAGTTGGATCCTGAGGGGTTCTTTATTATAAAACATGAGTATGCCGACATATATATGTACATATATATATGCATACGTATTTGAGAATCATGTTTCATTTTATGATTAAAACTGTCGCACAACAGAATAATTAGGTAGAATATTAAATAAACATATTTGTGAATCCAGATCAAAACTACGCATTCATGTCTGAGTGAGTGAGCAATTTATCTGCAGGTTTATAGTTTTGCTAGCAAGTCATGATCCTTGAAAATCATACAGCTAAATACATATGCATTTATATACAAGCTAGCTTTAGGCGATACGGACAATTTTGTAATGGTCGTTTACCCTTTTTTTAAAAAAATGTGAAATGTGGATCATATACATACTCTGTGAATACAATTTAAACTCCAATGATTAAAATACAAGCTAGGCCATTCACTAAATACGTAATTTAACGTTTCGAGCGTCATGTTCTCCGGATCAATAAAAAATATTCGCCCACACATTTTAATATTGACGAAAATGACCAAGCAGTAATTAGCTATGCATACATGAGAAGTTTAATATTTATATATCTAAGTATATAATGCGTATACACTACGTTAAGTCGCATATTCATTGTTGTCATTATAATATGAGGCCTGAGGATGAGTCATGGTTTGACTTATCTAATCTATTCAATTCATAACATCTGGTTACTACTCAAGCTATGCATATTTACATTTCCCGAGTTATTGTTGTGACTTGTATTGTAAATTATAACCATCTGCGTGATTCTTAGCATGACTAAAAGCTTTTTTTGAAATCCTGCGTTTATTTATTTATCTATTTTAATTACTAAAATCATATTTACATATAAATTAGAAGCAGAATTGGTCGAAATAGAAGCTCAGAATGAGATATTACTCTTGTTCGTCATTTTCTTGGTGTGCCATTTTTTACTTGGCTAGCCTGCTCCATTTCCAGGTCACAAATTGTCATCGGACGAGTGGGTACTCGCACGAAAGTGAGATTTCTGGTGAAAATTCGAAATGGATGTCCTCGCTGCCGGACAACGTCCCCCTCTCGTCCCTCTCGCTCCCTGGGACACACGAGTCTCTGTCCCGAGGTCATGGTGGCGCAATTGCAGAGTGCCAAACCCTCTCCTTGGAGTCTCAACTGAGAGCAGGTATCCGTGTGTTGGATGTTCGTTGTCGACACATTGAGGACAGTTTTGCCATTCATCATGGGATGATATTTCTGCACATCATGTTTGGGGACGTTCTTCAACAATTGGAAGCATTTTTGAAGAACAACCCCAGTGAAACTATCTTGATGCGAGTGAAGGAAGAATATGAGGCAGTCAATGTTACTGGCACCTTTGAGGTTAAGTTTCATGATTGTCTTTGCAAAATAAAATACCATAAAAAATGAGACATCAAAATATTACAGGAAACGTTTAGCCACTACTACAATGAAAATCCTACCCTGTTTTGGCATACGGACAATGAAACAGGTGAGAGACCGGATCCAACGTTGAGGTCTGTCCGTGGAAAAGTCGTGATTTTGGACAATTTTTCCTCTACCACGAAATATGGGTTGAATTATGGAGATTCTGGACAATTTATTATCCAAGATGATTTTAAATTTTCTACAAATTGGGACCTCTACGACAAATGGATGAAAGTGAAGGATCAAGTTCGTAACGCGGATGTGTCGAGACGTTCTGGAGAAAATAAGTTCTTTCTCAATTATCTCTCGGGATCTTTTGGGTCGTTTCCTTACTTTGTAGCAAGTGGACATGTAACGTCCGGAACTGGAGAACACCGTCTGAGTACTGGATTAACAACTCTTACTGCAAGGGACAAGTAATAAACGCAGAGAAAATGCACATTTGCATATAAAATCTGATACTGATTTTATTAAATTATTCTTTTGTACCTTATGTATGTAGATACCCAGATTTTCCGAGGCTGGACTGCATATTAAAGGTGTGTACGATTTCCTTTGAAGGTGAGATAATTTGATACGCATTCATGTCTGAGTGAGTGAGCAATTTATCTGCAGGTTTATAGTTTTGCTAGCAAGTCATGATCCTTGAAAATCATACAGCTAAATACATATGCATTTATATACAAGCTAGCTTTAGGCGATACGGACAATTTTGTAATGGTCGTATTTACTTTACGTACTTATTTTTAGAGCATTAACATTATTTTGAAATTTGAAGACTTGGAAAATTAAAAATTTCGAAATTTATTTGAAGGGACAAATGTACTCTTAATGCAGTTTCTGCAGGAAAGAACCGACATGAAGTTTGTAGGGATAATAATGGCCGACTTTCCAGGGGACGGTTTAATTTCTACGATTATATCACTTAATAATCGGAAACTGGAGGCATCACCTTCACTGTGGACGATATTATTTATTGTTTTGTCTATTACCGTATTCAGTCTGACTTTGATTTTCGTATTAATCAAAGCATTTAAGATAAGAAAAAATCGTAACAATTTATCCGAAGCAGGGATCTCGACACAATTTAACGTAAACATTGTAACTGCTCGTCTCAATGAATGCGATATGAAGTATCAACGCTTTTGACGAATTTTTGATTGTATACCGTATGCATAAATACATACTTATTAGCGAATCATGTTACCGATGTAAAGTTTTTTCATGTACCTTTATGGGCCTTAAGGCCTACACAAAGGCGGCAATAAATCTAATCTAATCTAAATACATACTTATTATATATTAGCTTTGAAAACGGTTTTTAGCATTATTTAATATTTTATTTCGTGTACATTTTTTAAAGTATACTTCGGTGTAAATCTATTTATTGACCCGAGTTAAGGTAGCGTAAAGTTTTTCAGATTTTGTATTTCAGAAATTTTGTAATCCTTAATAAAAAATACATAATTGGTGTAAGCATTTTATCTATTGTCGTTGGAATTAATACATACTTAGTAAACATTCTTTGGTCATTAGTGAATGATGCATAAAAATAAAACAGGCAAGTGTTTAAGTAATTTGTTTTCTTTTATGTAAAATCTCCGACTTTTGTCGTACAATTTCAGTGATCATCAATCATGTTTTGTAAATATAGAAGTGGTGCATATAAGTGGTGAAAGTATGCTAAACTAGTTGTATATTTTTTTAATATGGTGACAAGCTAAGGATTTTGCATTAACAAGAATCTGAATAAAATGAGTACTCCCCAACTACCAATGCATGGCGTTAAGTTACTTCCAGAGGAACGGTCAACTTTAACTTGGTTCCCAGTTACAAAATGGGACTCGTTATTCTTAGTTATATTTGACCTCGCAGTCGCATTGTTAACTTGAATTTTTGTCTTGTCACTTGTGATGGTCTTATCAAAAATGGGTTCAAATCCACACTCGTCTCCGTCCAATCTAAACTCGTATGCGACTAGGACGTAACGCGTATAATATTTCCCCTCGTGCTTACTGTCCACCTTGTAAACTTGCAAAGGGGAAAAAATAACTTCCTCCTCATGATCAAAGTAAGAATGGTGTCGGATCGACATTGTGGTTCCGTAAAATGGTCCTTCCATCTCAAACAGAGTTTTTCCAGCAAAATTTTCTGCTACCTTTAATGAGGTTGATGTTGAAACAAAATGTTGAAAAGCAAGAATTTGTCCAACCTGAGACAGACAAAAAAATACCGTTTAAAAATATTCTTAATTGTACATATTTAGTTTTTAATTACATCCAATTTGAAGATTGATCCCACGCCACGGTACAAAAATCGGTTTGCACTTTTGAACTTTGTCTCTTTTCCTAATGCTTGAATTGCAAGGAGCAAGAGTTTAAAGTAACTTTTGTAGTGAAAATCTTCAACATCTTTTCCTGAACAAACTTCCCGTGTCTTTTTGTTAAAGTCGGCATACATGGCCGGGGAGGAAAGGGTGTAAGTGACGAGGGCGATATGATATTCTTCCGGAACATGTAATATGCTCGAATTCTTCATACCTTTAAAAATTTCGAAAAGTTCCCATCGCTTTGACTCGTTAAAAAGTCGCAATCCTGCGGCCCAGCCATTTTTGTATTCTTTGTTTAGCTCAAATTCCTATATATGAAAAGTTAACAAAAGGATTTATAGTAAACAGGTTATGTATGAAATAAGATACATGTTTAGGATATGCCAGATGTACTTTTTCTTGGAGGAGTTTTAGCTCTGTGAGATTATTTGAAGTACTTCGAGCAATGTGCTTTAGACGTAGCTGAACAAAGTCAATGTGTTCCAATGAGATTTCGGAAGGTTTGCTCGTGAATTTTTCTTCATTTTCCTCCTCCTCTTCCTCGATTTCTTCAGATTTTTCATCAAGGTAGTCGTCATTGTTGTCGTCGTCTAAATCTTCTGATTCTTTGTCTTGTCTGCTTCTTTCCCCATCGGTCTTTCGTTGATCAGGTTTTGTAGTGTTGAGAGTAAAATTTGTTTCCGTGAAATTGGAAGTCGTTACGGCTGGGACTGGGAGTTCAGTTGGAGCGACAAGAGTTGGTTTGTACTTTATTTCTGTTTCATTTTGCTCTGCATTCAGAGTTTCATTGACGGTGAAAGTGGTGAGATTGGTAACGTTAATAGTTGTGTCGGAGTTATTGGCAGTGATATTCTCGTTGAATTTGGGAAAAATTGTAGTTGTCTGTGAAAAATTAACTGTTAGAGCTTGTGTGAAACTAAATAAAACTAAATATTATTTAGTTACCTCTTCCCCACAAATGCTAACAATCAACAGAATTAATATTGACAATTGTCGTTGCAATCTCATTTTGATTCGGAATTTTTTTCCAATGCTACTGCAGGTCAGTCCACGAAATAAAACTAATTAATTCCACAAATGCGGATGCATATGTATGTACGTGTCAAATGATAAACTAATAAGTAGCACAACTGAATAAAATCATGAAGTGTGCCCCGTCCAGCACTAAATGACTTCCAAATTTATGGAATAAATTATCCAAAATAAGCCTAATAATGCAACTCGTGCTTCTCATAGGTACACTCCAACAATACCTGCGAACTGAATTCACATAACAATAAACTAGCAAAAACTAGTGATGCAGCAAGTTCTTAATCCTTAATCCATATTATCCAATAACAATAGATTGAGTTATAGAAAGGGAAGGGAAGCACAAAACAATAATGCACATTACTGAGGATGGCCTGCGACCTAGCAAAATACACAATCGTGCCATTGAGATCAATGTGTAAGGCAAATATAATTGCCTACCAACCAACCTTACTAACCTTACTTGCAATTTGACCTATGCTATAAATTTCTAATAAAACTTGTACTACTACATGATTAACCGGCCATTGAGTAACTTTTAGGTTGAGTAAGCTTGGGAATTTAACACAGTTCCCATGCTACTACAGATATTTCATTTAAATAAGCTAAACACCTGCATAAACTTACATATGGGTATAAATAAATTGGTATTAATCCGTATATTCAGATGAACGTGCAGTGTTACAGAAAGAAGAATTGATATATATTAATACTTGAGTGAGCATGTTATAAGTACATATTATTTACGTAGGTAAATAAGTAAATATTTATTTACTTATGCATAAGATGAGACGGGAAATAACCAAGGACTTCTTTTTAGTTTTGGACGTCACTTTTTTATAGTTGACTAGTTACTACGTGCACTTTTAGGGCAAAAAATGTGGTCGGTAAACGTTAAACATTAAAAAAATGCGTCACATATCTTCTGTCGACAAACAGTATGCAATGGCTAATATATTCAGTACGCAGGTGACTATCTATAATACTCTAAATGGCAGAAGAGTTTGTCAAGTTTCAACGTATAATAATATGAGATTCATTCGAATTGAACATGTTTAATTAATGCTATGCAATTAATGAATAGCTGTAATTTCCAGCAATAAATATTTCAATAATATGAGTTTATTCTGCTCCATTTCATTGATTAGCAATCTGTGATGTTAGTTATCATCAGTATGAATCATGGATAGTTAAGATAGTGCTGAATTAACATGGTATATAGTGATCGGTTCCTCTCTGAAAACAAATCACACTGAAAAATGAAACTTGAATATGTAAAGAAATAAATATGCAACAAATCATAAACTTTGCCATTCTATTAAGTTCAATGCATTCATTCACGATTCGTAAAAACTTGCTTATAGATATGTACATAAGTAAAAACATGCATATGCATATATGTACGAAATACATTCCAAGTCCAAGTATTATCTAATTCTTGAGCATGAGTCACTATGTTTTATTTTAACACGTCTTGAGCTTGATAGTTTACAGTAGCAACTTAGTGGCTGTAAGTTTTGCATTCTGGACTATATTTAAGTAAGATTGGAGTCGAGTAAGCAATTTCGTATCAATAAAACTAATATGATTTCGGACAATGTGACTCATAAACCCGTCTCAGTCGTTTCCATTCACAATACAACAATAACCTTTCTTCATCAATTAAAAAAAGTTGTATACATTTACAGCAAATGTTTTACCACCGTTCAGAAAGTTGTTAATAAGAAAATAAACTGAAGAAACATGGAAATTTCAAACCACTTTCATCGAAGCCATATAATATTCTCTTTACTGATTACAATTTCTTTATTCCGAGTTGGTGCTGCTGGAGAATCTACTAAAAACTTTTTCAAGACGCTGACGAGCTGGGTGGATCCTGATAAGTCAGTTTTAGTGGCAATTACTTCATATTAATTATTGGGTCAATTTTAACTTTCTAATTGGCATAAAAAAAGAAGCCTCGCTTTTAAGTATGTACCTCAATGACAATTGTTATTTTTCTCTTGCAGAATTCCATCCGTAGAAGTTAAGGTGGGATATGATGGCGTATCCGTGTCGACGGGACCATCCAGAGAGCAGATTTATTGGACCATTGGGGTCTGCATTGGTGGCTTCTTCGTAGGAATTTTCGTCCTTGCTACTATAATTCTAGTCTGCATACATTGCAAGAAAAGGAGACAAAATCAGATGGAATTATCACTGTGGAATGCCCCCCGAGGAGGCCACAGACTTAATGTGGATATTCCTGGAAGTTTCATGATTCTTAACCCCACGTTGGGAACGCCTGTTCGCTCCTTCGTTCCCGGACCTTCTAGTCAGCCCCAGATATTTGCTACGACCTCTTCTAAAGAGTTTGTCAATGTGGGACATGGGATGTGGGCAAGAAAATGACGAATATTTCTTTGAATAATGAATGATACATTTTGCATATACATATGTATGTATATTTACATATGTATGTACATGTGTAACATTTTGTTTGTATTCTACTCTTTATTTGAAACCTATTTAGTTTCTCTTTCATTTTCATTTCGCACACGTAATTTTTAAAGTGAGTCGTTTCGAATGTTAAACATGACAATTAGTTGAAATACGGTCAATGTTAAAATTAGTTTACATATTCATACATGCACACTGCGACACTTATTTTATTATGTTTTTGTTACTTATTTCAACTCTGCTTTCTGTTTTGCAATATATATAATTCTTTTAGCAATTAAGGTTTAACTTATGTATTTACTTACTTATTTGGAATGCATTGTGCAAGTGTAACTTAATAATTAAGATATTAAATTAATATATGACACGCATGTTTTTTCGAGCCTTTGTAAAAGGATAATTCTCAAAGTTAAATTTTGCATATCTTCTCGTCATCGTTTATAAACCACGACTGTTACTGTAAACTTTTAGCGAACAAACTCGATTCTCAACAACACTGACAAAGGAAAATTGAGTGGATTTAGGCGAGACATGTGCATGCAATATGCATACAACTAACTAGAAATGTACATATGTACGTATAATTATTTAACGCACAATTCGCATGTCTGCCTTGGTTTGTAATTTTACGTCGGTTTATATTCTTTGTAGCATAAAATGGAATGAATGGCATGGTTTGGTTTGGTTTACTTTTCCAATTAATATCATCCACATGCAGCGGCACTGAGGTTTAAGCTAAAAGAGGTGTTTTCTTGAATGTCTTTGTTTTCTTATTACCTGTCCACCCAATAAGCAAGATGACATGACTACACAGCCACAAAGTATTACACGGTGGTGGGGCACACTGTACATATTTACCTGATGCTGATCTGATGTTATGCTTAAACTAACACACCTGCTTTTCATATCAAGGTGTAACTTTAACACGAGACAGATTAAGATGAGGAGGGCTCAGGACACAGGTGCAAAATATAAAGAAAAGACCCACTTTTTGTTACCCACTTGTTATTAGATTACATTACATCTGCACCATCTAATTCTAACACGTCTTGTGCAGTCTACTAGTGATCTTGCGGTGGTTTATTGTGGCCCTAATGCTACAAAAAGTACCTGTCCATTGAAAATTCAAGTTGTGAAAAAATTCATTGTCATCAGTTATTGACATTTCTCGTTTGAAGGAGCTTCTTTTTCTTTGTCTTTGTTCAACTGATTCAAACAAATAATTGTCAAAACATATTGCACGGTATTTTCTATGAACACTGTTATTAAAGCAAGAACCATGAATTTTGGTGAAAATCTGCTAAACTTTCAAGGGAAGATTCCCAGGCCAAAATTTTCAAAAATTAATACATGTTCTGGATCTAACCCCCTGTCCAATTTTGGAAACAACGGGTACTTTGACTTGTGTGCTTGGCTACTGAAAATCAGACTTGTTATGTAAATAAGTATTTATTTCAACGTGTTTGTAATCTTGTAGACACCACGACTCGGCATTGTACCTCTCGAGGACGACACCACCGCCGGATTATCTCAGTGCCAGTGGGGGCGACGGTGGAGGTGCTTCATCGTCATCGGCGTCATCGGTTTCTAGTTTTGGTGGTGGGGCTAGTGGGAGTTCCAGCGATGTATTCACAATTTCTATGTCTCCATCAAAACTCACTTCAGATCTGGCCAACATTACAAACCGCCTGGATAAGTTATAAGGATTATTTGCTCTGACCCTAATCCTAAAGGCGGAGAATTAAGTATATAACTTCATTTAATCACTAGATCAATACGATACCAATATGTACATACATGCATAAGATAAAAATACATATATTGTAATTCCCCTGTCATTCACACAATATTGCTAAATATAATTCGAAATATTGCGCTTTCCATTTGCATAATAAAGATTTCTGTTTTTTAAAGAATTGTACATAATAACACGATTACCAATTTTGTCTGTCACGGTCACGGCAAATACTGGAGTACCACGGAATTCGTGGAATGAATGACAAAAATTCACAACGTTCGATAATTGATAAAATTAATCATTATCATTTTAGTCGTACACATACTGATACTTACTTGACCCAGAACTCTTAAAATAATTTGTGACAGTTGAATAAATGCAATTTTAGAGTTGAAATTTCCTGGATATTGTAACTCAGAAAAGCACTTATGTGCATTATATACATAAAAATGTTGACACGAATTCATAGCCTACTATTCACATTGTACTCAATCAATTTTGTAGCTTTATAAAGTTGGGTATATAAATGAACCATTTATTAAAGCATTTCACCAAATTTGCTAAATATATTAAAAATCGCTGATATAATGAAGCTGTTCTACGCTATCACAATCATTCCTTTCGTACTTCTCTCCTTTTCGAGAGAAAGTGAGTTTTTTTAAATCCTAAACCTTTTGATCACTTATACTAATTGCTGTATGCACTTTCCTTTCCAGATTCCTGTTACGAAGGAAAAGAAATATGCAAATTGGGACAAGAACTTTGTGGCAGACGATGCTACGACCCTAAAACCTTCAAATGTTTTTTTAATTCTACTAACGGATTAAATGTCTTGTGCAGTCCGGGGGAGCTAATCTGTGGACAAAGATATCAAGCTACTTGTTACGACCCCAAGTCCGAAGTCTGTCACACCACCAAAAAGGACAACAACAGCACAATGACTCCGGAATGGTCTGCAGTGTGTAGCAAAGGTCAAAAGACGTGCAGCACCTCGTACTCGCTGACTTGTTATACTCCTGCGGTTCAAGATTGCTTGGAGGTTGAGACGACGAGCTCATCAGTTCAATATTCAGTAGTTTGCATGAAAGGACAAAAACTTTGTGACAGAGGTTGCTACTCTCCAGAATCTCATCAATGCTTAACTTATAAGGATGAGTAAAATGACGCGAATTACTGCATAAAACTACAGAAGTTAAAATTGGCAAAAATTACAAATTAACTTTGGTGTGCTTGATAAAAAAATTCAAATTGTATGGAATAAAATCATTGGTAAAAATCGCATCAAATTTACTCCATTTACATTATTCCATTGACATAGATATAAATATGTTTAATGACTATATAAATGAATCTGTTTGCTGTGTGTTGAATTAAGAAGGTAATAAATTTCTAGTTGAAAACTGTGTAGGGCTGTGGAATCGTGGGGACAGTGTGGGGATAGTAAGTAATATTGTAAATTATAAGGAATTGGTGGAGTGACACTTCATATAGCACTTCAAGAATTGGGAATGTGAGGACATTGCGTCGTCCCCACGGTTCTGCAGTCCTACTTGTATCCCATGTCCAGAATTAAAACAACTTACCTACATTATTATACATAGTATAATAAAGTATTTATTGTTTTCCTCAAGGGCGTGGTTCAAAAGGTTCTTTGGTTTTCGCAGAACCTTAACCTTTCTATTGAACCACGCCCTCAAGAACACAATAAGGAGTTCAATGCTGGATATGAGATTTTTGAAGTAATACAAAACAATTCTGTTTAAAAAAGTCGCAAGTTAAAGTTAAATAATTTGAGATTATAAAAAATTAAACAGCTAAGTGTACATTTCTATTTCTACTGTCTGAACTTTAAAAAGGTTAAAATGCGTATATACACACATAAAAAATAAAAACTCTGTAAAATGTTATGAATTAAAAGGCTATTTTTAAAACGCTGATTTTTAGTGTGAGTCAATCAAACACTAGTTTCAGCTGCGACTTTTTTAAGCAATTTAACCTTTTCAATTATTGCACTTGGTTCTTCAGCAGGATATTCAGCAGAATTTGGACTATTTAGGTTGCATCTGGAAACGGAAAAGAGATTCTGTGGAATTCGAATTGATTCTTCTTCCCCTTCTTCCAACTCCTCGTTGCTATTTCTTCGTGAGTCATTGCTGGCCATCGGATTAGAAAATACGACAGCGCTTACATTATCCATCCCACTGCTAGCACTATCCGCGACTCCTCGACCATGATGATCACTGGTTCTACTGTTACTCCGACGACGGTGACTGTGGTAATTCCCATTAAACTGTCTTCCACTCCCACCATACCCATCAGCAAAATACAGACGGCAAATTGAGATACACAGATCCTTCATCTTTTCAAAGAGATCCAAAATTGGACTTAGGAAAAAGACCGAATACAGCCAACTGATAAATATAAGAACGGTGAAGAAAGCTCCGATTTGTTGGTACACCAAAACATTAGAGAACAGTAGCATTGAGAGACCGATGGTAATCGTGGTCATGGCTGAGAAAAATGTGGGCGATGTCATTTTCAGGACAGACTTTCTTTTGGAGAACTCGAGCGAGTGGTGAGCAGTGAAATCTGATAAGCCAACAGCTACTGTAACAGCGATGGACTCGAACACTCCCAATTTCCAGTTGAAGACCGAAATCAGCACAGCCGAGGACACAATCACTGGAAAAATTACAAGAAATCCAATTTGAAGAAATTAGAGCTAAATTTTTACGCATTATAGTTACGAGGATATAGATGAGGGAATATCTCATAAAATTCTTAAATATGAAAACTATTAAATAGAAATGTCCCCCAGGTATACCCACGTGGTTATGTGCTTGTATCTACTTACCAATTGTAACAATGCAAAGAACAGCTCCTACTGATACGAGGAAACTTCTGCTAAAAATCCATAAAAATCCGAAGCACAATCCTGCAGATATCAGCACACTCATCCACGTGTCATTTAGTAAACTATTTTGCAAATCAAAAAAGTCTAAATGCGCCGAAATGAAGAATCCGTGGTCTAGTCCGCTGGGTACTTTGTCTTGTACTTCTGTTTGATAGAAAGTTTCTAACGTTTGGTAAAACTCGTACATTTTCTCATAACTCAGCGAGAAGGTAATGTTGGTGCGGACTCGTAGAGTAAATGTAGCCAAATGACCGGAATTTTCAGCAGATTCGTGTGAATTGTTCGAATTTTCTCTTAAAATAAAAAACTTTGGACCAGCAATGTCTGGTTGGAAGTAAGCTGTAGGAGTTCTGTAAAGATCACGGGCCGCCACTTCGACACATTTAGTAAAGACTTCAGCGTCGTATGGAAATTTCGACGATTTGCAACATGGTTTGTAAGTCTCGTTTTTTATAAATACATGTTGACAATCCCTCTTCATCCACTCTGTAATTGAATTATTTTATTAATTATTTTATCCAGAAGATCAAGACTGCATATTATAGAAGTGTATGACGCGACCGTATGACATCGAATTATTGAGCATAATATAAATATTTACATATGTGCATATATAGCAAAAATCGACTCAATCACTTTTTTTGTGCATATCATATACTTCCATCGGATAAACAACTTGTTCCACTGCAGATAAAAGAATCGTACTTTGCATCGTGTCCATGAAGCAAGAATCATAATGAGCACCCACGACCTGCAATATTCGCATCAAACATTATTACGCAACTCTAATCAATGTCGAAATCGGTTATTTAGTAAGAAAAAGAATCAACCGTGTTGGAAACTTGGTTATAGAAACTTTGTTTCTTGAGTTTGGAGCACAATTTTCTCATCCATTTTTGACTTTTGGGTTGCTCAAGAGAAAAGTCTTTATCAAATTGAAGTGCACCATTGTCATGTGGGTCCAACCCGTATCCATTGTCTTCGGGGAGAACCCCCCAAATAAAGTAAATAGTTAATTGCTCTTCAGAGAGCTCTGCATCGGAAGAAGATGAGAGAAATCCCGGAAATCTGGGTTCAATTTCACGATCAAAACGTTCAATAGGATGCCTCGTCGAGAGAAGTTGGAACTGTTCAGAGTTTGGGAGTTGAAAACCTGGTTCATGAAACAAAACTAAGCACGCCCACATTAAAATACTGAGTAGACTTAGGAACGATGCTGTCCACAAAACTGTGCTCTGTTTTTGGAACGCGTTTTTTACTTTGTCTGGACATTTAATTACACTGAAGGATTTAATTGAGACCACAAACTTTATCACTTTTGAAGAGATCTTCTTTCCATTCTGGGTGGAAGGTTGTTGGGAGCTCGTTGATAAATCAGAATCACTAAACAGTGACGTGAGGTATGAGATGCACATGTCACTTAAGAGTAACGTTGTTGGCACACAGAAATACAGCAGAATAAATCCGACAATGATTGAGGTCCCCGCAAATATACTGCACATTACAAGTCAAATGACAAAAGAGCAATTTTAATGACAGATCATAATAACAAAAAGCTTTAAATATTTCACCTAAAACATCGAATTGTAGTGATGGAACTCGTCAGCGACGCAAAGAATGCTCCAGCCGTTGTACATGTGGTGACCACTAATGGGGCAGTGGTTTCTTGAAGTAAAAGAAGCATCATCTTGTCCCAAGCTTTTTGGTCGGGATCTTTGTACTTGGATTTCAATCTTTGCCACTCTGCGCCTAAAATAAGCGTTCCGTCCGTCCCAATTCCTGAAAATTCAAATTTACTTGTTAAATAGTGATCCATGCATATACGCGAAATGTAATTGCTTACCCATTACAATTATGCTGACCAACATGTTCATGAAGGGAAAATAAGGAATACGAAATATAGCAGTATACAGAAAATAAGAAATTCCTAATGATAAAACTAAAACGAGAAAGGAAATTAATGAAACACTAATAGATTTTGTGTAGCCGACCAAAATCAAGAAAATTATGGCAGATCCAGCTACTACGTATTGAAGATCCGAGATCAAATATCGCTTGAAAACCAAGTCTTTGTCACCTATAAATTTATACATGTATAACCGAACGGGTTGCAAAATATGCGCTATATCATTATAAAATGTAAATTACCAAAATCAAAACCTGCCAAAGAAACTGACACTTCTGGCAACTTGATATTAATTAATGCAGTTTGCAGGGCGGCTGTTCTTGACCGAGATCCACGACTTTTCGGAGTTGGCAGTATGATTATGGAGAACATAATATCCTGCCAATGTAGATAAGAAATTTACTTACAAAAAAATTATCAGCAAAGTTGTGCAGTGCACTACTAGTAGCGACGACGAGACATAAATGATTTTACCTCGTCTGCAGAATAACCTTTGTCAACTGTTAAGAACATGGCGGAATAAATGGCTTCGTCGCGATGGCACTTGTGGCGACAGAGTTCGTGTTTGAGAGTGCATGCTTCAAACATTGCTGGATCACGGTACAGATCTCTGCAAAAATGCATGCCTTCCTTGAATAGCTGAATGTCGTACTCCTGTAAAACAGCCACAGTCGTCATTATTAAGTAATTTTGCACATGTCAACTATTTATTTACTTATGAGTAATTAACTAGGTTTTCTTAATTTAACCTTGATAGTACTGCAGTCAGTATTATTAGTGTACTCTGCAATATAGTTCGGAAGAGACCACATGGGACAGCAGTTTTCGTTGTCATCATGTTCACAAACCTTGCCGTATTCAGGAAGTACTTCGGTGAGCTTTTGAAAGTAGCAGATAGAGATCACAATTTCATGAGAGAACACATCCTTGGGCATTGCGATTTCCAGTGCAACTCGGGAATATTCGTCAACTATACAAAATTATGTACAATAGCATGATGAATATCCAATCATAGATATCTAATACTTGTTATATTTTGAACACATACGAGGAGCTTTGGTACAGTATCCAGCACTTATTAATGGGTCAATGTCATCATCTGAAGATTGATTTTCCACAATCTCATCGTATCCGTCATCGTACACATCTCGTTTCTTCCTTTTTCTTCTAAATTCTCTTCCTGTCAGTTTTTCTCCAGGGTAGTTCTCAAGTGACTCAAGTTTATTAACATCTTTTCGCAAGTTTTCCAGTGTGATGAGACGTTTTGCGATTGGAGTGAATCTCGTCTCGAATCCCTATTCCAATTACATAGTAGTGCATATTTAGGTATTTACGTGCATATTGTTATGCAATTTAGTAACGTGTACATATTAAGTATATACAAATATCAAATGTCTGGTGCCTCTTACCAAGTAGGGGTCTTCAAAATCAGGAAAGCCATACTCACTGATGCCAAACTTTGAAACGATTGTGGATACGCTCAGCGTGATAAACAGGACAAGAAATGGTCTTCGACTAAATGTTTTCGCCACAAAGCTTAATGCCGGAGATGGTTTTTCTTTTTTATCCTGAACGATCCTGGAGGAAATTTCGTTATCCTCTTCACCATTTCCGGTAGAATTGTGATCACTGGAGGAGCAGCAGCATCCTCGTTTACGCCCAGCAAACCTCCAACAGCATCCGTTTCTCTGAGAGCTCATCTTTTTGTTTTTGTTATTACAACAAGTTTGATGTTTGGTGAGTTACACCCTTGTCCGTGTGTCACCTGTACTTATTCTTCAATCGGTATCGAAATAAAATTCGCGTCATTTTTGCAGGGTTTGGCTAGTAAGTCCACGCGTGTAGCACTAAAGATACATTTTTCGCGTAAACTCTATGATTTATAAAGAATAAATTTACAGATGTATACTGCTTTATGCATAATATTCAATATTATGTATATGCTTCTTCAAACTCACCTGACCTTCGTGTCCACCTTTCTTTTATCCAGCAGCAGTAGATCGAGTTCAATGAATTCTTGTACAAACAAACAAAATTCAACAACTAACTCGAAGAACTTCTTATCATCATGCTCAATTGGTGGACCCCATATTTGTAAATGAAATTAAGTATCGATCACCCCACTTCTACAAGTCGAGCCATGATACAGCCCCGTTGTTGCATTAATACTGAGAATTCTTGTGAATATAATGCATGTAAACTTCTATCCCACTAGTCACAATATGTACATAACTCCCAAAATCCAGGTGTATAATCAGGTAACTGGTTAAAAACAACAAGAAAATAACCTGGACAGGGTTGGGTATCCAATCCAGTATTGCATCAACCCTTATTACCTACATAGTTTTTCTAGTCTGCTTGTTCATACAAACTACAACTTGATGATGTGATATTATTCAGTGGAAAATGGTAACATGATGGCATGCATGGAATGAATATGACGATGGCAATATAGGTTTTTCCTTTGAAGAATCATCCTTTAACAGAAAATAGCCGCCTTCCTACCTATCTACGTGCCTACATACATCTTTACTACATGTAAAAGACAAACTTTTCAGCCTATTATTCAGGTAGATAAATGCATGCTCCTGGTTGAGCGAGGAGGTGAGGCAGGAATCAAAGAAAAGGTGAGAATGTTCAACAAAATAATGAAATTCTTTCATCAAACCACTCGGCACTCACAGCATATAATACGTAGCGAAAGTATGTATGTATATGTACCTGTGTATGTCTCATTCACTCGGTTATCCTAACAAGAAAGCTAAATTACTCATTTCCTCTCGTCTTAAAATGACAAATTAGCCGTATATCTATCTATGTATTCTATGTATATTGGATTCCAATGGTATAATGTGGTGTTAAATTGCTATAATTACGACTACTACTAATAGGGTGGGATTGCTACTTATGGTATATTTTTAAGGAAATGAGAAATGTGAAGATTTGACGACAGTGAAGGCAGTTCATGCAAAGACCTCCGACAAGACAAAAAACCTTTTGTATCCTGTATTTCGTAAAGGTAACAATATTCAAGGCCTGGCTACTTAAAAAAACGACGTACCTTTCAATGGGGTACAATTCAGCCCTCGGGCAAATTAGAAATACGAACACTAGTGACATGCATGCACAACCGATACAAAGTGTGAGAACAAAGATTAGGGAGTCAAGTTGGGCCGACGTCACTGGTGTTGACATTGAACATACATAAATCCATAAATGAATTATTATGCAGCTAGGTCCAGGAATAAAAGTGAAATGACTTTACATTGGTACTGACCGGCATAACATCCTGTCACACGAACCCTATTTTTTTTTCATTGGAAGTTATTTTTCAGTCTGTAGCAAAGAGGTTTACTTTCAGATATCAGTTTCTATTTACTTTTCATGTAATCTATACTTCATCAACGGAGGAATATGTTTGAGCAGATGGACAGTCTCAATAATAAAACCTAGTCTAATGGACTCTTCATTTCTGCTTGCTGATGATAAAAATAGGATGTATCCAAGATCAAGACATTTGTGACATAGTTAACCTTGAGAAAAACTACCCGAAAAATGTAACTGATATGTCAAGCAACGAACTAATAACAAAACAATATAATCCAAGTGCAAAAACACGTTCAATTGGCAAAGAAATATATTCCATTTTATACACATTAGACTAGGTTAGACTAACAAAAGTAATTTGCTATATTGAATTTACATGAAATATCCATGCAGATAATATGTAAATGTATCGTAAGTTAGTAGTGGTTTAGGCCGAAGCTTGACTCATGATGGCTCGCTGAAAAGAATGAAATATATGATTTAAAATATTACTGCGAATGATGTTAGGATTCCACGATTCCAGTGGAAAATGGCTGACCTTTAACGTTTCAGATGAATTGAAAACAGAGAGTCCTATTGTTCTAAGGGCTACGACTGGTGCAAACTCATAATTATACAATCTGTGGAGAAAATCAACACCGCCTTGAATTGCCAGATTGTGCCGTTGCCGTTCAGTTTCGTATTCTTTTAAGTTATCTAAACTTCCTATAGACGTAGAATAATACACACAAGACAAATTTGTAAAAACGTTATTTATGTAGATACATTTATACGGGCTGGTAAAAATAGTTACCAATATCACCCCCTATTCCAACCACATCATCCAAAACTCTTTGCAAAGTCTCGGCATCTCCTATTCCTAAATTTAGCCCCTGTCCTGCGAGTGGGTGGAGTCGGTGAGCTGCGTCACTGTAAATATAATTATATAATGGTACTTTTGAACAATCCTAAAAAAGACAATATTTCTTACCCTATTAATGCTGTTCGCCTACTAACATAAAACGAAGAATGACCAAATCCTAAAGGAAAAGCTGCCCTAGACTTTTCAACAACATCCATAATAGAAGGTGGGTAAATTTTAGGGCCAGAATTCCGAAGATTGAAAGTTGATAGTATTTCGCATGATTTTTTGACTAGTGGTGATTGTGAATACTCTTGCCACTGTAAAAAGGTGTAATTATGCACTAAATATGGTTATGACTTTGATTTTATGCAACTATCTAATTTGAAAATTAATGTGGGTGTATTACAAATGCTGAATTAACTGCATCTACAAATTCCTCAACAGTCATATTTAAAAGTTTCTTTGCATATTCCGGGGTGGTACTCCAGACAAGAGAGCTAAACTGTGGGGACAACTAAAATTGAAACCCAACAATTCGTCATGTAATAATAGTTTCGATTTTGATCAGTTAATGCGGTAATAAATATTTACAGGAAGTAGAGCGATGGGTCCACCTGTTGGCACAAATCTTTGCCAAGCTGCTCGATTATCGGTTGGCTGTAATTATTTGATATAGTTCAATTTGGCATGCTTCATTGCTGTTGGAAAACGTTGCCGGTCATACCTCATTTAGCTTTAGAGTTGCAACCACGGCCATTCGGTCGTAATTAAATCCTAAATATGGAGAACCCATCGTTGTTCTCACTCGAGAGTTAAATCCGTCTGCCCCTATCTTGCAAATAAGTTCAACATTAATAAGAAGCAGATCAGTCCATTCGAAAAAAAACATTAAAATGTGTCCTATTATTACCAACAAATCAGTAGCTATCATACGCTCATCTTTCAAACTGATATAAGCCTTCTCCCCAAGTTTACTTTCTGATGGAATAACACATGATTTAAGACTAGATCCAAATGCTACAGTGACATTTGACACCTGAACATAGATAAAAAAAATTATGCTCACTGCTCTTCAAAACAATGTATTGATAAAATTTGTGTCAAAACGTCTTTACATCATTTAGAAATTTAGAAACTGCATGTGCCAGTACCGCGTTCTCTACAATGTGTGCAACCGGCTGCTGATAATCTGAATTATTGAAGGAAATGTGCGCATCTGACAAAGCATCCCAAACCTGAAAAATTCAAATTGTCAAAATTAGTAAATGTAACCAAAAATCTTCTGCATCAGCTCATTTTCCAACTATTTATTGAACCTGTAGACAAGAAACTGGTCGACTCCTCCAAACTTCTTCCCAAATTCCTAGTTTCGCCAAGAATTTTTTCGACCCTGGAGATAAGGCCACGACTCGGTTGCTGAAATCTGGATCATCATCCGATGTTTTAATTGATTCCGGACCTTTAGTCCAAAATTTGTCTGCAGATTCCAGCATTAATATCTTCTTGTTGGATAAACGACTTAGTTGTCCTGAAAATTATTGTTGTCATTAATTAATGAATTGCATGTATTATTATAATCAATCATTAGTTTTCCCTTAATCAAAAGTGCAATTAAATTATTTACCCAGTGCTACGGCTAATATAGTTCCAACGAGCCCACCCCCTGCGATCACAATATCGTAAAACTCTGCCGTTTTTTGTGGTGGTGCAGCGTCGGTGGACAACACACGATTGTGGTGCCACTGCTCGAATAGAGCACATTGTGTGAACTTGCTCAATAAAATCTTATTGCTACTGTTAGATATTAGGGTTAAGGGGTTAAGGATCCTCATGTTGCTGAAAACACGGTTTCATTCAAGAAGTACAAAATATTCAGATGAATAAAAACAAACCCCAAAAAAAACGACCTATGAGTTGGCGGTGTGTGATACTGAAATGAGACAACTTATTGTATTGCTCATTTCACGAGCTTTCATTTTACAAGGCAATCAGAAATTCTTGTCCGATAATAAGTTGAGACAAGAAATAACATGCAGGTTGATGAACACGGTGCAAATATCTTTAGATTATTTTATTCTGCGCTAATGCCGCATACTGAGCATGTAATCTTTGTTTGCAAAACTCATAAAATTCAATTTCCCTTGTAAAGTTTTGTCTCAAGAGGCGTTTCACTTCCGGTGAAACTGGAGGTTTATAAATGTTTCTGTTTATGTGGGGCGTTGCATGAGCTAGATGAAACATACAAACATTGTAATTAGTTGTGTCATTTAGCCTAAAAAAATATTTTGCAAGATTTCGAGTACCTCTGTAAACATCCAATGCACCGTTAAAAAACAATGGGACATATTTCTCAAGTACTTGTAAACTCAATTCCAATTCTTCCAAGACGCCAACAACGGCGTAGTGCTGTTCAACATTGGATTTCGCCTTTTGAAGGGCATAGTTAGAGTTGAACGAGCTTAAATTAACATAGGAGTTTTGTTTCAAAAGCTTAAAAACATTCGTTCGATGTACATTTATTTGATGGAAATTTAAAATGATTATGAATTGCAACTCACACACACTCCTCCTCATGGCCACAAAAGAACATGGCTGCAGGTTAAGAAATTAAGTATAAAAAACATTAAATATGCATTATGATAAGAGACAAAAAATATCTTTATAAATTTTTTCCATCATAATTATTTGGTCACATTTAATAATTCCCACCTTGTCTTCTGTGATCACCCACGCCGTCATGATATTCCTGTTTATTTTTTGAAAATGGTTATTCCAGATGCAATTAGTAATCAGATTATTATACATAAATATGACATACTTAAATAACGTTATGTACTTACACCCTGTAAGAATTGACACTCCCGATCGCCTTCCAAAACGCAACTATCAAAGTCCTGCAAGAATTAATTAAAAAATAGACAATTTTTTCATGTACGTCATTCGTTATGCTACTTGTCATTTGTGTAAGGGTTGATTTGCTATATGACTTAACCTTTTTTAGCCACTTTGGATGAGGCAAAGGCAATTCCGGAAAGGCCTGTTTCCGCTCGATAATATACCACGGAGCACGGATGTAGTAAAACCACGAAATCACGCGTTCGATCGGATCTCGGACAATATTCATGTAGATTGGCATAGGATAGCCGTGCCTGATAGTAACGGATGTATTTATTGGTCATTTTGTTAGTAGTAAAAAAAAATTAAGAAGACAAGAAGACGATTATTTTACCTAGTAAAATTAGAAAAGCATGTATGCTTGACATATGCGGAAGGTGGTGTAAACATATCAATCATTGTAGTGAGGCGACTCTAAAAGTGTGTAATTAAACTTTTAAGTACAGCTTTTACTAACTAATTGCGTATGTATATAAATACTTGCCTCTTCATAATAGCTAAGTTTTATAGTTTCCACTTTTTGCGTCCCGTCCCGATGAAACTCAAATCCATTGCGAACTGCCAATTTGCTAATTAAATCCATCAACGTCTGAGGATATGCATAAATAATACTAGAATTATGTCCAGTAATTATGGTATCTGATGACATAATGAAATGCGAATGCTAACCTGAGAACCAACTTTTGGGACTCGATTAAAGAACAACGTCGACTTTTGAGCGTGTCTTGTATTATTGAGAAGTGTGGGCGAATACTGCGCAGATTAGTGACCATAATAGTTCTTAGTTTTTCGCTAATTTAATAAAAAATATGATGTCAAATACCTGTTGATCTGGTAAAGTAAACTGAATCTGTTGCACCGATTCTTCTGCATGGAGATCTGAATCTTCTTTCAAAGATAATTTATTATTACTCTCTTGAATTGCATTTATTTTAGCGTGTAGCGTTTGTGTATGGATAAAAAGAAAAATTGATGTGGACACAGAGGCAAAGGCGATGAGATCCAGCCTATAAAATAAAATGAATTGTATGTATGTATGTGGAAGGAAATCTAGAAATAAAAACAGAAATATTGTGTCTCAATTTACCTCCACCCACGCAAAATTGACAATATTCGATGTTTCTTAATCATTATAAATCGATAGATGATAAAATAGAGAGCAGAATGCTGACTTTTTAGACGTAGAAGCACCATATATTTAGACTAGAGTGCCGACACCTGTACAAAGTGTACATAAATATAATATTATCGCTATGAGCGAAGAAAAATTAGCAAACCCATAAAAGAAACAGTTATGTTTGCAGAAAGTAAAGAAGAGAAGTCAAGATGAAGCCGTGCAGTGCAGTTTTGCAAGCAGCGGAGCTAAAAATTGCAGTAGTAGAGCATAATTAATAACAGTAACGATGAAGATGATGCATGAGATTGCGTTTTTGAGAGCTTTCGTGGTGGTTGGCTGGTGGACCACATTTCATTTCAGTAATGACGGATTGTCCGAAGGATTGGTACCGAAAATAACGCTTAATACTTTTTACATAGCCCGAGCCGGGGCTTATGTATCTGTCTATCTGGCTGTCCGTCCAAACCGTTTTCATCTGCTTAGTTAGTCTTTAACTTTCGCAGCATTAGATGCTTCGAAAATGGGTATTTTGGTGGGTGACGTGTGGGGACCACTTAAAGTAGTGAGGTGAATCGAATCAATTTAAAATATATTGTCATATAGAACTTGGACATGCAGATGAAGGTGCATAGCAAGGTGCACTTTAAACATAGCAAAAGACTTTTTGAGAATACAAAGTTTGAAACGTTAAACTCGAGAGTATTTTGTCAGAGAGACCTTAAGGTTCTCTGAGTAGAGGGTGACCCACACCTGTTTTTAAAATTTATTTAAAAAGTTGAAATATGGAAAATTGAGGCACAATAATGATCCTAGTTTGGTAACATAATTCTCATAGGGATTCCACTACTACTGGCATTCGGAATATGTACGAAGCAAATGACTGGCTCGGGCTGTATGAGTCTGCTGCACTGTATTTTTTTGCATGACGTGAATTTTTTTAGATGACCCACGATCACGATTTGTTCAAATAGGCATGACTACCAAGATATTTACTAATATGAGGATTCAGCAGGTCGAAATCTTGGTGTGGCGATAATCACGATTGCTTGACTTTAAGTATCTAGGTAACGTTAGTCTCCCTTAACGGTTGCGACAAATGGTCGAGTTACAAATAAAAAATTCATTTTAAAATCCTTGGTTCAAAAAGGGCGTTTGAGTCTCCAACTACTTTGACCCTTAATAACTTTTGAATAGGCAGACATAGAGACTTAATTCTTGAGGATGAAATCATCGTAATTTTTAGCTTGATTTTTTAAGCTAAAAATCTCGAGGGTATTATTTCGAAAATTAAACTTGAAATCTCCAGTGAGCCCGAGTCAGACTCGGTGGTTGTCGGTTAAACCAACCATTTTCCATGAAATTGTAATGTACCAAATGCATTTAAACTTGTGGAGTGACATATTTTTGAAAAATCTGTATGGATCAAGCCCTACGGTCTCACCCGTTCTGAAAATTTCAGCTCAATCGGTTCAGCCATTTTGGCTATCGTGTTCCGGAAGGACATGATGGTTCCATAAGAACTGACTTAGGCTAAAAAGACAACAATTTTGCAGAGCCTTGTAAGATGGCATTATTCTGAGAGCAGGACTCGTAATGAACGATGTGCATATAATTTTGTGATTTATTTTTTGTATATAAACCATTACAAAACACGAACTTAATAAACTCGGAAAATTTTTCCTATTTTAATTCATATTGTTACGATTAGTTTTACGACAGTTATCGCAAGAGACGAACAGACGGACATAACGGGTACATGCATAAGCCCTGATTCGGGCTAAAAACCTAAATTTAGTTAAAATTTTCACCAATGCATAATATGTATGCACGTGCATAATACACATTGTATATTTGGCAAAAAACAGGCGTAAAGTGCATTAGTATAATGCATTTGGTACAATAAAATTCTGCAAAATGGTCGGTTTGACCGATAACAGCGAGCTTGACTCGGGCTGCACACTGGAGATTTCAAGTTCAAACTTCGAAATAGTACCCTCGAGATTTTTAGCTTAAAAAATCAAGCTAAAAATTACGATGATTTCATCTTTAAGAATTAAGTCTCTGTGTCTTCCCATTCAAAAGTTATTAAACGTCAAAGAGTTGTTTTTTTCGACCATCGAGAAGAAACAACTATTTTTAAAATTAATTATTTTATTTGTAACTCGATCATTTGTCGCAACCGTTAAGGGTAACTAGGCACTAAAAGTCAAGCAATCGTGGGCGATAATTAATAATTATTTATGCACAGTAAATCTATCACCACTCATAAAATTCATTTAAGTACATACATCACCGCACGAGGAAAAAAAAACACTAAAACATGTCGATGCCACCACCCCCACCACCAATGCCACCAATCTCTTTTATTCCACCACCATTACGATTCCGTTGCACATTTTCCGGAACAATTTGTGATGCCATGAGACGCCGTGGGTGGCAACAGGTACAACAGGAAGCTACTTATTATTTTTCTCGATCCATGTACGTATATGTAATACTGAATTTAAGTAGCTTAAAACCTCTGCAATTTTTAATTAGTCACCAGAACCATCTATTCTCTCACGAGAAGTCAACTCAGATTGGTCTCTCTTCTTTTGCGATATGACACAATTCAGAGATGCCATGATTAATGTCACAAACTATCGACCGTTGCTCGATTATCAGCGTCTTGGCCATTTTCGAAACTGTCAAGAAATTTCTAGGAAAAACAATTTGGTCAAAAATTTGAAGAGATTCCGGTATGAGCACACACACAATTTCTACAAGTGAAGCATGTTTGTATCAGATTCTTAGATTATAAAGATTTTATAAAAATTTTAGTGGCCGTCTAGAAAGAGCGTTCGGCAAAGCTACTGGTGACAAGTGTCTGTTTATGCCAGAGACATTCATACTTCCGGTACACGTGGTTTGAGTTATCAAATTTAACGAGCTTCGAACAAAAATTCTTTGTATAAAAATTGTTTGCAGTCAGAACATTCCAAATTCTTGGCTGAGTTTCGCACCAATTCGGATACTTTATGGATTATTAAACCGGCTGCAGGTGCACAGGTAAATTCATTAATTTGCCAAGTCGAACACATATATTTTTTTACACTTATGCTATGTTGAAAAAATTAGAAAAATTCATTTATATACACATAAACAGCATTTTTCTGAATATTTATGATAGTCAAGTTGAATTTATTGATTTGATTTAATTTTTCTTCACAGGGCAGAGGAATATTCATCTTCAAAAGGTATAATTTCATCTGAAAATCTCTTGATCGTATAGCATACCCCAATGTTTACACATGCATGTTTTTTCACAGTCCTACGGACTATCTTACCTGGCGTACAACGTTTGACTACGACAATGCCTCTAATGATGATCCTTTGACAGACAACAATAATGCGCCAATTACTTGTGTAACCACAAATGATCAACCACAACAGCAGTCACAAAATTTATCTCCACGCATCGACACTCGTGCCGATACTTATGTCGTCCAAAAGTACATTACAGATCCATATTTAATAGGAGGCAGAAAGTTTGACATTCGATTTTATGTTTTGGTCACATCGGTATATATGCAAAATAATTTCGCAAATATGTAATGCCATTTTAATGAACCATTTCAACGGTATATTAATTGTTTTAAAGTTCACACCCCTTCGCTGCTACATTTATCGGGAAGGGTTTGCTCGGTTTTCTGCTGGACAATTCTCCCTTGATGCACTTCAAGATGTGTACATTCACCTCACGAATGTTGCCATTCAGAAAACTAGTGAGGACTACAATCCTGAAAAGGTTTCTTAACAGATTCTCATTTCAGATGAACGAATACACAATTATTTTAGTAAAATAATTAATGCTTGATTTGTAGGGGTCGAAGTGGTCCCTTCAATCCCTTCGAGAATACCTTTCTGGTCAGTTTAAAATAAATTTAGACTATGCACATATAGTCGCAATATTTAATTTCCTGAACCATGATTAAAGCTCGCCATGGTCGTGAGAAGGTCCAGGGCCTGTTTAATACAATTGACATGATTGTCATTCGAACACTCCAATCCGCAGTAGGTTTAGTTTCAGGAGACCCACATTGCTTTGAGGTGTACGGGTTTGACGTACTCATTGACCGGATGCTCAAACCGTATGTTTTTAAATAGTCGGATTTCCAAACACCTACTCATTTCACTATATTTTTGCGTAATATTTCTCCCATAGCTGGCTGTTGGAGGTCAACGCGTCCCCAGCATTTACACCGTCCAACGAGGAGGATTATGTTTTAAAACTGGGTCTCATTGACGACACGGCAACTGTACTAGATCTAGAAGGAAGGTTTGCTTCTTACAAGTTTGTGACATTTTTTATTGGTGAATAGGTCAATGATATTAAATTGTATGTTAAGACTAACAACACTCGAGATAAGAATTGGTGGTTATGACTTGCTCTATGATGACGGCCCTGTATACGCAAATCCCAATGATTCAGGGCATGCAATTGGGTGGGACAATGGGCGGAAGCTGAATTCTTTTTTGGGTAACAATGATCAATAGTGTGAAATAATTATATGCAAATAGTCACTGCAATTTCTAATTTACAACTAACTGTGCATGCACATATTTACAAGGTTGCAAGAATGATCGAGTTCCTCAACTCAGAGACCTCCATAGGTCTGCAAGCATTTTGAAATCTTTAATACCATCGGAACCTCAAGAGATACTAAAATTACGAAACCGAAAATCCAACAACAAGGATGATCGGTTTCTAATGCCGCCAGCACTTCCATAATTCGACTTTCCATAATTCATATTTACCAGCTCACCTACTCTACAATATTGTAATAAAATCTACATATTTCACATTATGATGAATATTATAAATTATTTAGCAGAATTATTTAGCTATTGACATGAGTCATACGATTTCGATGCAAAATAAGAAACATTGGGAAAGTAACTAGGAACGTTAATATTATATTTTCAGTAGATATTCTAAAAAATTGATCAAATAGGTTCCGCCAAGTTAAAAACATTGTAGTTTTTTTTCGCTTTCCAATCTCGGTCTGAGCTCATTTTCCCTTTAAGTTTTGCAGGAAATGCGTACCTGACTGCGACACGCACTATGTTATTGATCTCTCCGCGTGCAGGAGTCACAAGAAGTGAATACGAATATCAATTTTCTTTACTTAATCCGTCCGCATTTCTCCACACTTTGCACTACTCTTGTCATGTTTTGGAATGTGTTTCTTGGTGACCAGACCAGGGCACCTCCACCACCGTATGAAAGATGGTTTGATATGAAACTCTGTGAATTCCATAACTTTCTCCAGTCTGTTCCAGTGCCCCACAGAAACTGGTTGTTACTAATTTTTGTTTGCGGTGTAAGCAATTTCACAATGTTCAAACCGGGCATAATCCGCAACTCGTTAGCCGCCTCGACCAATACAACTTCAGCCGACAATCTCCTCTCACTTTATAACAAAATCCCAGATTATGCGGAGGTCAAGCACTTAGGACATTCTGACTTTGTTCGGGCCTTGGAGAAACTCAAAGAAGAATTTCGAAGGGTTCGATCTTCTCTTTACATTTCAAATGAGGATGGTCACCTGGAAGATATCGACGTTGATGATGTAAGCTATTTAGAAAGCCGCCTCAAAATTCTCAACATACGGGATTCAGCATCCTTATCTCCAATTAGAAGACCAGGCACTGCACTTAAGAGTGCAACCGGATATGAACAAGGGTCCGAAAAATCCAACTTGGAAGTGCACGGTCGCCAAAGTCAACTCCACCGAAGTCCAACAACAAGCAATTATGCCATCAATTACTTAAACTATAACAAACCCAGTAGATCACTAAGCTTTGTTAACTTTGACCGGAAAGAGAGGCAAAACTTTTCCTCAGATGAAGAGGAGAACAATAAGCGCGTAGACGAGTACACGTCGATAAATTCAGAATCGTGTTCAGAAGGTTCCAGCCCAGATTTGGGAAGTTACGCATACCGTGAATTTAAAGAGTATGAACGTAAAGACTATGTACCAAAGAATATTGAAAAAAGGTAAAATAACAATTACTCTAATTCGGCGGGTGTACATATTTTTTACTAAAATTAAAGTCTGTATAATATCGAATAATTATAGATTACTGGAAAGAAAAGCGTTCAACAATAGTGCTCCATCATTGTCAGGAGGTGGAAAGGGTCCAACTCGAGAAGACGAGGGTTCTCACTTATTCAAAGCTCATCCTGTACCAAGTCACGTTTATAAACCTCTGTATGATTTTATCATGCTCAAGAATCAACGAAGGTATTAATTTTTATTAAGTGCTCCTATGTAGATTGTAACTATTTTTGTCCTCATAAATACTTTGTCACGTTGCATTATTACACAGAAGCCAAAAAGTCAGGGAGCAAAGCAAACAAAAGTTGATGGCTCAAGTGAAGCCATTTAATTTTGCCAATAAGCCATCGTCATCAAAATCATTTCCTCATGCTTCTTCGGATAATAAACCATTGACAAATTATGAACGAGCCGCAATGACACAATCTCACAAAGAAGTTTTAAATAATGCTAAACCCCTCAAGTCATCAAGACGATGCTCTAGTCATACAAATAATTTTCGAATGGTGAATCACTTCAAAGCCAATCCAGCCCCACCAAGGACAAGAGCGCTGTTGTCAGCCATGCGATTAAAGGAACAGCAGGAATATCGGTAAACGGGTCTTTAACTAATTTTCATAAACTTTTTTGAAATACTCTAAAGATTTAATATAATAAATACCTCTGTTGGTTGGGGTCAATATTTATATCTGCATATAGTGAGCTGAAAAAGAGGCTACGAGCTGAAGCACTTTTAAAAAATGCAGCTCTGCCACCGTCAATGGCTGCAAGGGATAAACGCACCAAAATATCTAATACCAAACTGGATACAATCATCCAAGAATATCAAAACTCTTGCAACAGTACAAGAGATAAGAACAACAAAAATCGAGATAAGGAGCAAAGCACCGATCTGGATGGCGACAATGATAACAACACTTTCACCGATGAGGATCGACTAAGCGAAGATTCCTTTCGATATGTTGATGGAACCCCGAACAATATTTCTCCCGTGACATCGGCAATCAGCAGGAAACGGGGAAACTTTACGCCGTTTGGAAAGTCAAGGCATAGTTCTGCAGCCTCCGGAATCTTTGAGTGCACTTCTAATGATAATGTGGCCTCGAGGTTGAGAATTCAGGAAACAAGGTGCATATTACTTAAGTACTTTGAGAAGTAATAATATTTTGATATATTTATCCAACTTGGAATTGTTAAATGTTTTTTTTGGTTTTGCAGGAGGAAAGAAGCCAACCGGATTAAACGAGAAGAGGAAGAACTCTTAAAGCTTATGCGAAATGAAACTCGCCGTAAGAAACTCAAAGATTCTCATCTTTCCGCATGGCGTAGAGGTAAACATAAACATCATACATAACAAGTATTATAGCAGTAATGAAAATTTTGAAATTGCCATTTCTTGTTTATTATATAAATACATAAATGCAAAATAACTTGCAGCACACAGTTATTCCTCTCACCAGGATATTACAATGCGTCGTCAGTTAAGAGAGGCTGCGTCAATTTTAGAGAGACAATCTTTCGTCAAAGACATGTCATCCATGCTCAGGTATGTAACTCTAATTAATTAAAAATTTTATAGTAAAATATTCAATTTTTCTAATAAAATTCGAAAGCAAATTATTAATAAATGCCAATTTTTATATTCTCAGCCGCGTTAGAAGTGCACCTCTGCTCCTCGAAGGAACTCGTGTAAGTTTTTCATGGTATCAATTATCCTTACCCAGATTTATTTTCGGACACAAAAATCTGCAATATCTCCAGAAAACCTTCAATTTCGCATTCGTTAAACTTGACATCAGGTTATTTTTAGAGCATTCAATGCCAATCAAGACCAAGTAATAGTGTCTTGACACGCAATGTCATTTATTCTCTGAGGTTTCCTTCCTATTGAAATGATTTCAGTTTCATTAATGTTGTCAAACATAATCAAGAAAGATTATGCGAATTTATTGATCAGTTTTTGATGAATGATTTTCACAATCACTGCAATGGGTATGCAACCTGTAAGTAAGTGGTATCGTAAATGTCATACATTTTTATGGTATTCCCACATATAGCGAAAAGCATAATGGATGTAATGGAACAAACTTGGAAGCACTAACCTTTGACATGATACGTTTCTGTAATAAATCAAAATGCATCTTATTGTATTGAACGTTATTTTGAGATTGGAGATCTCTACAACATTGATCAATCAGATATATTTCGTTGCATGTTTTGTGCTACAAGAATTTTTACTTGTGTATGCATGTAAATGTCCACTAATTGAGTTCCTGCGTTCCTTGCAGAAAACTGTATAGTTACTTTCTTCTCTTTTTAGGAGAGACGATACGAGCCATGCAAAAAGCACAAAGAAGAATTCCTTCAATATGGAGATCGATCGTTATCGAATAACAACAAACAACTAGCTACACACAGATTCAGTCCGCGAAAGGCAGGAAGTAGAAATGGTAATTGGTTTCTGGATCGATACGGCTTTGGCGACGATGACGGACCAAGTCGGAGTGAAACGGTTGCACTGGCTGAGGGAAGTTTGACCAACGCTTCAGAGGAGGAAGACGATGATAATGACATGGGTGGTGCCGACGAGAATGACGATACAGCCAATTATGCTGAGAACGACGAGAATAAAATAGTGCCCACACCGATGCCACGCAATACGAAGAAAAAACATGTCCGAGTCAATCTGGTTGATAATGATGGGGAAGGATTGCACAGTGAATCAGTCGATAAAGAATGAATTAAACCATGTTTAAAAACACATCTAAAAGTAATTAATCATGGAAAGAAGATAATCAATTTCTTGAGACAATCAACCAATTGTGAGTAGTAATATGTAATAGTTTACTTTAATCAATTTTTTCTACATTTTTCACTTTCAATAAACTATACATAATTATGTCCCTTACAAATTTACATAAGTATGTGCACGTGTTATTATTGCACTGGTTGTACTTCCTCCAATTTCAATTTATTGCTGCCCTCCAGTTGTGGCGTTTCGTGTCTGCACATGAAGAATCTCCATACCAATTGATCTCTTTCTGTGGGTGTAACCATAAGTGCAGCTCCCCACCCAACCACCACCACTGCCAACAGCCACCACGAGTTAACGTTGTATGCAAACGGATTACTTGGGTTTTCTGGGTCATTGAGGTCATTAAACAATAGTGTGAATATTATGCCACCCACTATTCCAGCCGTTGACCACGCTGTGAGAATTACCCCATGACATGCCCCCACATTGTACGTTCCAAACTTATCCGACAGAAATGCAGGTATTACACTGAAGCCTGCACCGTAACAGGACGTGAGTATCCACATTGCGGCAAGAAATGGATAGTACGCCTTTGTATCCGTCAAGGTGGAAAATATGGCCAATATCGCAAGCTAAGAATTAAAATAATTTCATTTTACATAAGCAACATACACAGTCCTGTCCTGTTAATCCGAATGCATTCAGATCTGATAATATTCTTGCCTGAGTAGAGAGCATAAAAACGTAACAATTTTTCCTTCCTACAAAATCTGAAAATAATGAAAAAATGAGACGTCCAGCCAAGTTGAAGCCACCATTTATCGCAACAACGCTGGCTGCTTCATCTTTGCCTCGTCCAAATATATCGGTTACAATGTTGGAAAAACGAGAGATGAGAACAAGACCAAACATTATGTTTGCCAAGAAAGCCAAGTACATTAATCGAAAGTCTACAGATTTTAGATCAGTAATCAAAGTTTGTTCGTCAGCCACACTAATTGAGTTTTCTGTCATTTAAAATAAAAATATGCAAGTTCATCAGCTTAGGAATTTTAGAATTATATACATTTGTAAATACTTACGTTTAGTTTGCTCGATTTCACGCATCGCTTTAGGTTGATAATTGGGAGGAGGCGATCGAAGCACAAAAGATGCTAAGGCCATTACTATGAAATATATACAGCCAAGAATGAGAAACGTTGATGGCAGCCCCACCAGAGCCAGCAACCACACCTGGATATTCAGAACGACGCTATATATTTAATTTGTTCTCCGTTCTGAACTGCATTGTCAAATAAATAAGTATGCATGTAGATACCTGAACTTTGGCCATCGCAATAGATCCAGATCCGAATCCTGCAACAGCAACCCCTGAGGCTAAACCCCTTCGGTCTGGGAACCACTTTTGAAGTGCAGAAACTGGCGCAATGTAGCATAACCCGATACCGGCCCCACCCACCAGACCGTATCCTATCCATATCAACCACATCCACTGTAATTGCGAGCAATTTGATTATTATACAAGTATGTATATAGATAATTCTTGTCAGATTGTTTGGATCAGCTCATTTCTTCTGTCACCTTGAGATAAAGGGCAAGTGATGCCAATAGATTTCCTAGAAAAAACAAGCTGGTTCCTAGCAGTGCTGCTTTTCGGGGTCCATTTCTTTCCAACCATGGTCCCATGAGGGCGGCGGAGAAGCCGAGGAGGGCAATGGCAATGGTAAAAGTGATTGGCGTCCGATTGCTAATCATGCCATCGACATGCTCATCGACTGGTTTATTGAGAACGCTAAACGCGTAAACGGACCCCACGCAGAACTGAAGAGCCACACCCGCCGGCATGCAAAACCAACGCCGGAATTTTACACCCGGAAATAGCTCAGACTCATTACGTAACTCTTCCAAGCTACGAATTTGTTTCGTATTCCTGAGACAAAGTAAAAGAGTGATACTGAGGATGAATGTGTAGTAATTCCGCGGATAATTATTTGGTAAAACATGTGCTTACCTGTAGTGATTAAGAATTAGTTTTAGTAGACCATTATGGTCACCCATTTTCCTAGAAAAATATTTGGCTAGAAAAGAAACAATTATTTTGGTAGTTATACAAGGTCTTAATGTTTTAATTTAATGGCACAAATACGAATAGTACATGCTACATATATATATGTATGTTAGTACGTATGTAAGTTGACGCTAAAATCATGCAAATTAAGCTCTTAGATTATCCTCATGTGTGTGTACGTAGCATCTTTTGTAATAATGACATGTGTGGAATATCATAATGAGGTGGATATATGTAATGCAGATCAATGTCGACCATAAGTTGGTTAGTGTTTGTTATTGTTTATACTATAGTAAATAAGCTTTATTACAGGATGGTGCAAATGATCAACAGGAAAACGTGAGTAATTTAACATTATGTAATACCAACTTTATTTAACATATCAGTGTGTGTATCGCGTATATAAGTTTTAAGAAAGGATCCTAACATTGTAGAACTTTAACTGAACACTCATCAACAACTACATAAGTATTTAATGATAAATACCAGCATATCCTTTAACATACGATTAATGCCACACGTTACAACAACTAATCCTAGTTAAAGGAGTTCACAAATCAGAAAAAAGTATGTTCAAGCCATTGGTATCTCGAAAACTATTAAGTTCCAAAGACCTCGCTATTAGCTCGACAGTGTGGAAGAGTACGACTCGCGTCACACTTATCACTTTTGCATCTATATTTTACTCCCTGAAGTAATGAGTACAACAGACAGCCAGAAGCAGATGCGGGAATAGAACCTGTACTATTTAGTCTAAGTATTCCAATAATTGGATCCCTGTCCCAATCCCGGGATCACTCTTCGTTTAATGTAGCTAGGTTTGATGCCAAATGGAATGTGGCAGATGTCATCAAACTTCGCGTGTTGTGGTGGGTGTGGCTGTGCATCCTCTTCAAGTACGGAAAAGATCCAAATCCCGTCCCTCGCCATCTTTCTAGCTTTTTCTTCCAAAACGCCATTCTCATCCAAATGCTTCACCTCGGGGGAGGTCATGATAAATTTGGGCTTCTCTGGACTCTTCTGATTCCATTCGTCCGCATAATACTGTTGAAAAAAGGATAATTAAATTTAGATAATTATTAAAATAAATCCAACAGTTGGAACAAAGATTGAAAGTATAAAATTACCAGAAGAAAAGCTTCTCCAAAGTGAGCAGCAAACTGATTTAAGCACTGCTGTGCCAACACCTCGTTGTACTGGTTTTTGGGGTCGCTCGTTAGTTTATACACTATACAGTCTGGGTTACAAAAATGTGATTGTCGGCAGGTGATGTGGACACCGCGATTTGATGAGTCCCACTCACCTACGTAGATCACCATGTCGCTGTCTGGGTTACACAGATGTGCAACCGTCAGGGGTCCAATTATTGGAGAAATCACTAATATGTAGAGGACATAGGTGCTTGGCGTGTTGCTTCTTAGTTCATTCATGTACAATTTGAATTTATCTCGCCTCTCTGGAGTTGCATGGTCTTTTTTAGCGCGATTTGAAAGTGAGTTTCTCCACTGGTTTGGAAAGATGGATTTGAGGAACAAATTTTTTCCGCCATTCTGTGTAGTGGCGAATCCTTTCTTCTGAACCCAATGGACTTGTTTTTTGGCATGATAGTCAACCAAATCGCACAACCACAAAAACTTCTTTTCATGGTCATCGAAGAAACCATTGGTGGTAACTGACAGCCAATCTCTAAAGATAACACGATTGATGTGCTGGATTGGGTCGTTTGAATACTGAAAAGATGCACAAATAAAACTTAATTAATATCACTAATTCCAATTGTTGGACCACTATTTACCCGGGGAAAATGTTTGTTGTCAACTTACCAAGTCCGGTAACACTATCTGTCGGGTAGTGGTGATTTTCACGAGGCCTTTATACTTCTTCTTAACAAATCTTTTATCAATGCTTTCAAAATCCAAAAACACAATTGCTGGACCAGGAGTGAAGAGGCTATTGTTAATAACTTCCCGAGAGTCGTCGTCATCATCGTCCACGTAGTACTCGTCCAATTGTTGGAACAGATCAAAGTCCAGAATCCCGACTCCTCCCTGACTGGTCCACAGCTTCAAAGAATTGATTTGCACTTTGATATCCTCTCCTTCCCACAAGTCATGAATTAAAGGTCTCTGGTCGGGGTCAACATTTTCAAAAACCTTGTGAATTTCATCTGACCAAATTTCTCTCTTGAGAAGGGGGCAGAGGAGAAGGATTGTCGTAAGTCCCGGTCGCGGCTCGTTTTTCAGTACTGCCTGCGCGAACGCTGCGACTTGTGTCTCTCTCCCAGGTCCCTGTAAAATATACCAAAGTAAATGCTTGACAATCTTCTTCCAAGTCCAACTTTTGGAAATGCGCATAATAAATTAAAAATTACTTACAATGAGGTAATCCAAAGTGAACATGTCAGAGTGATATCGTGCTTCTTGTTCGAAGCCCCCAAAGCAAGTTTCATACATGAACTTTATGCCACGAAAGTGATGAGGGAGGAGCTCCGCCATTATGCCTGGGTTGACTTCAACAACTCTTCCAGAAATTGGATCATCCTCCAAAATTAGACGTGTAACTACTCCATCCTCGATATGAGCGTCATTCTCGAAGAATCCAACAATCTGGAAAAGTTATAAATTAAATTTGATGCTTCATCTTTCAAATTATTTCAAATACTTACCTCGTTGTGCTTCTTCACAATCCACTCCTCCCACTCCTTCTTCTCAGTCTCGTCATCGGCATTGAGGTGGGAATCTTCCGTCTTCTTGACTAGACAAGTGTCATGGTCGTCGTCGTCATCATCGTCGTCATCCGTATAGCTCAGTGGTGGACTTTTCTTTTTCGGTGGTGGAACTATTATATTATTCATACATTCAATTGGTCATTAATTTAATATTGATTATTTATCAGTATTATCCAACTATTGGAAATTTGATAAGCAAACTCACCTTCCGCCGACACCTCCTGCTGATGGTGGCGACCATCAACTTTTTCTACGGCTGAAGCAGAGGCACGTTGAGAAGGTCGAGAATGACTAAGTTCTGCTACTATGTTCTCCTGCCATAAATAGTTAAAGTTTATGAAAAACAATGACAATAAACTCCAAATGTTGGAAACAATCTAATATAATTTAGTGGTGAACCTGTGAGGCTTTTATCGCGGAGGGAACAAAGCAGGTTGCGGACCCAGAAAGTAGACAAAGTGGACCACCAACACGGGATGACGACGATACATCTCGCTCCGGACCTGATGGTGAAGAGGGGAAATTATTAATTAGTTATTATTGTCCAATTGTTGGAAAACTGCACATTAGTTTACCTAGTTTAACGCAGTCGTCGACGTCACTCCGATTCTCCTTATCGCCTAACGTTGATGAGTCAGTGGTCATGGAGGCGAGGGGTACACGTTGGGCTAAAGTTGGGACAAATTTAATTGTTAAATTTACTTCATACAGTTAATACATCCAACTATTGGAATGAGACACTAACCTCTACACTGTTCCATATATTCGTCGATCGTGAAATATCGGTTTCCTTGAAATTCGAAACTCAAGTCTAGAAATAAGACACAAAATGGTTAATCTACAAATAATTAATAAAATTCGTTAATGTTGAAATAATAGCTTACCCAAGTCTCCTTCATCCAACTCATCTCTATTTGAAGTCATTATACCAAATCTGCAAGTAAGACGGAACGAGACGGAATGAGAAATGTTGCGAAAAAATGAGAAAAAATGAGAAATGAGAAATATCCAACTATTGGAATTGAAAATAAATAATTACCTCTTGTCACCCAGCACAGGGTGTAGTAGTGGGGGTGGGGTTTGAAAATGTAGACGGTTTTTTAAGTATTGACTTTAAAACAATTGATTAAAAAAAATTCCCGAGAGCGAAAATCTCGTCTCAGTCCCGGACAGAGGTTGAGTTGAAATCCAGCCGAGCATGTTTACTTGCTCACTCACATTCGATACCGTGTCTCAACATTTCTCATCTCAGCAGACAAGTTGAACACAACACCGCCACCACCACTCAACCTGTCAGTCGCCCTCGCTCACATGACGTGTTGCTGAGACCTCCGAACCAGAGCGACCCAACTATTCCTCAGAGCTATCACGGCTCCTAAAAATGTGGGGTGCTTTTCACGATGATGAATGAAATTAGTGCCAGTTTTACTGAATTTAAGAATTCCAATCAATTGGTTAATTTAATCATATATAAGCACAAAACAACCAATGTTAATACACCAAGAGGAATATTTGAGGAGGTGTTTGATGTTGTCGTTGGAGGCAACGTTGATGTCGTTGGTTGAGTTGTTTCTGGCAGTGTCATGCGGTTTCCGTACATTTTCAAAAAATCTAAAATTACGCCATTCGTCCAACCAAATCCCACAACGACTGCATATTCTCCACCCCCACCAGCGCATCCAAGGCAAGTCACGTCATACTATTTGAATAAAAATCAAGAAGCCAGGTAAAAATATGTATTTTTTGCGGTTGGAGTGCACCAAACAGTGCGCACAAAATTTGCCTAAAAGCATAAGTCCATAGCATGAAAGCTTGTGACCGTGGTAAAATTAATTTGATAAGCGTCAAATTGTCTCTTAGGGTCAAGTTATCTTAATTAAGTTAGGATAGGTACTAGAAGCTGTTATCTCTAGTTTAGCAATAACTACCAGTAATACTGAGTTCTCAGTAGTGAGAACTACCTAGCCAATCCTATTAAGATAACCCAACCCTAGGAGACAATTTGGAACTTATCAAATTAATTGGAAATTGTTAAGGACTTGGAAATTTTCTGTGCACACGGTTAGACGCACTTCAACTATACTTCACCATTTTTGATAATCTTTCAGGATTTTAAAAATTGTACTTTTTCAAACATAGTATTGTTATATTTTTCGTAGGCCAAGTAGTTTGTCCTTGTCCATCTTTCTGCCAAATCAAATGCTAAATCTTTTGCAGCTTGATGTCCAGAATACTCGAATGCTTCGACAACCTATGTAAAAGGACGAATTCATTATTCATTTATCAACCTGGTCTGGTATCCTCTGTTGGCACATACTTAGTACTCATAAATGATTACAATATGTAATTTATAATTCATTAAATCACCATATGATTAAGTGGGGGCCACCCGTTTGGGAAATCCCACTGTTCTCCTGTTTGCTTCATGGATGCAGGAATTCCTCCGGGAAAAGTCGTAGCTTTACTATCAATGTAGTACTGAAATATTTTGGGAATAGCGGAGTCATTATGATGGGCGTTTACCCAAAGAGGGACAACGTTCGTTGCAAAGAATTCTTTGCGAAGATTTCCTCTGATGTAGTCATAATCGAACCAGGATCCAGTTTCTTCATCCCAAAGCACATCATGAATCGCCGTTTTCCATTCTGTCGCTTTGTCAGTGTAATATTGTGGGGTTTCAGTACAGTCCTCAGTAATCTGTTGTATGTATGCATACACCGATAAAAACGACAAGTCAACTAATTAATTGCTAAAAGTTAAGCAACTTGTTTTATGGATTGATGAAATATTGCAAACTGACCACTTCACAAAATTATTTCAAAATGACGGCATTCCAGTATAAAAATCCATTTAAATCCACTGGGATGATATCTCTTGTTTTCGTGTGAGATAAGTTGGCTGCTAATTGATTTTTATGCATAAATCAAAGCTGTACCGCCTTGTATGATTTAATGCTTAAATGTAAAAATTTAATTGACAGTGACAACCTTCAGAGTTCCCCTCGGCGACAAACCACCGAGATGAAAAGTCCCATCCAGATTCTGCACCAGTTTTCAAATTTGCATACAAAATGTCCTTCTCATTGCTTGTGAGGTTTAATGGTTCAACTAACTCGTAGTCCTTGCTAACGATTAAAAATACATTATTAATTAATTTATTATTAATTTATTTGACTTATACGAGATGAGTTACAATTATGTACCGACCTGTAAGATTCTGGTCTAGGACTTTTCAGATGCACATTATATCTGGCCATAGTATAATTACGCCCACCAACTTGAAAAGTAACGTTTCTTTGCTCCATGAAAAATTTGAATTCCTTTTCCATTGTTTTTATGTTATTTCTTAGAAAAGTTATATTTCTCGTGACATCGTAGTAATTTTTAACCATCGGGATAAACAGTGGTGGTTGACTTCGCTCATAGTAGATCCTACCACCATTAGGAATATATCCCAAGTTTTCCACCATTTCCACAAAATTTTCAATCATTCCACGCACGGTGTCGGTCATTTGAGACACAAGAAGCCCCTTCTGAATCCTATCATTTAAAATTTGGACAGGAAAGTTAGGAATGAGGTTCATTCGTGTAAATAATGGTGCGTATGTATTTATTAATAATTGCGTAGTACCAGTACGAATCCCAGTAGTAAAATTCCTTAAAGCGCCCTCCAGGAATAATGACAGGATGTGACACATAATGCATAGAGTAGCGATCACTACCATTTACTGCTGGCTTAATTTTTCGACCTAATTCTTCCCAAAACCCATGAAGACTTCGGGCCCACTCTTTAAATACTGGGTCAGAAATACTGTTGAGAAAATCAGGATTGTCTATCCAATCTCCTGGGACCCAGGGCTCAAATTCTGTTCCGTCTTCAAAGTTGTTGGCGACAAAATTTTTCAGCAATTGTATCTTTGCATCGTCTCCATCTACATCCCCAACAATGTCAAGGAGCTCGAAATTAGCCATAACGACTTCCGGAGAGGATTTTAAAGCCAAATCGACGAAGGTTTTATCATCCGGATTAAGGTGGTTGAGTTGAACGGTTTTAAGAAGATCCCCCTGACAGTATATTTGGCTGAAATACAATTTTCGTTTCAGAGGTCAATGATATACTTATACGTACCGAAAGAGTTTCTAATTTTAGTTATCTTACTCATCACATGGTTCCGAAAACTCCTGTGCAAGGTTACCACTGAACAGAAAACATAACGCCGTGATACAAAACCTGACCCCCATCGTCGAAGCGCTTTCGTGTGTGCGTCCTGCACCTTACAGAGTAGCGTTCAAGAAATGAAAGCTAATTATCAACTTGGCATATGCACGGTTGACGGTGGAACAAAATTATATGTCTGCATGTTAGCTTTGTACAACTGATAGCGGTGCCTTATTTACGCAGGTGACAGTATTTGTATTATCATAATTACTAATTTCAAGTGTTTATACATACATATTAGATCATGCTGAAGTGGAACAAGTTATACAAATTGATGAAAATTAAGTCGTTTGTGATCAAAAAAATTGCTGTTGTTGAAAAAGTCAGTGTTTATTGCTTACAATTGAGCATATATATATGATTTTATAAAAGTCGTCAATAAGTAGATGGAATGGAATCTATGAATGGAATATATTTCATGGATGTGTAACTAAATTCGTTAGAGATATATTCAACATATATAAATAACATTTGAACATTAGAATAAAAATTACGAGGGAAATTATTTTCGACAATGTCGAAATTGTGGGTCTCTTTATTGGCACAGGATTTACCACTTTGGAAAATATTCCTTACGATTCAGTATGTAAAACTCTTGTAACTGCAATTCGCGATATCTCCCTTCCTGAAAGAAAGTATAAAGAACTGTAGTAAGTTCAGGAAACCTGCATAAAAAGTATGGTCCATAGTTCGATCCATCAGGTCCAAACACATCTTTTTGTCGCAGCCTATCACCCTCGAATAGTTTCCATTCTTCATAATGCTGGTAATAATCCCTGATAAATTCTATCAATTTTAAGAACGATGCCTCATTATACTTTTTAATCTGTAAAGCGTTGCCCTTTTTCTGCTCTCTCATTTGATCCTTATAAACCATGAAAGCTTGAACCTCTGTGCATAACCTTGACCTCCAATTCATTGTTATCTGTGCCTCATTACAAAACCTGGTGTACATGTTGACCATTTCTGACTTGCATTCTGGAGCATCTGCAGATTTCTGCGAATTTTTTAAATCATTGTTAACAGCCAACACGTAGTCTAAGCCTTTTTTAAAATCCCAGAAAAACGGATGTTCAAGGACTATATCTGGATCGGGGCGTCGACCCTGAGCAACGTACAACATTGCTGCTAACAAATTTTTCAATGAAGTCCATTTATTCTCGCCCAGTAATCCCCAATTTGGACGATATTCCAAAATATTAGACTGAATCTGCAGAGGAACCTCGTTGTCTTTGTAGGAGAATACATGCTTACCACATGTCATGGTATAAAATATTGTGAGACCTAGAGAAAATATATCAAAACTAGGCAAGAGCCTGAATGGTTCCGAGGAACCGATTGCTTTTAGTCCTTCTGGTGGCATCCATATTCTCGTGCCTCGAGCAGCTTCCGTTAAAACCCCTTGAGTGCATGAATCTAATTCTTTGCTTATCCCAAAATCAGCTAGTTTTGCCACATACCCATTAAATATTAGGACATTGCTCGGCTTAAGATCCCTATGCACAATTCTAGCAGAATGTAGTACGGCCAAACCCCTGGTAGAATCTGCACACCATTTCTTCAACATTTGGGGATCAATCATTTTATTTGCTTTAATTGCATCTTCGAGTGTGGAGCTCGCTAGTTCCATCACAATAAATGTTTGGTGTCCAATATCTTCAGTTGTGTAGTACGTTACGACGTTAGGATCGTTAAGTTTCCGCATGATATCTAACTCTTTATTCTTTTCGTGGTAGATAATGTCTTTGGGGCAAATTTTCACGGCAGCCTTCCTGGTCGGTTTCTCAAAGTAGCCTTCAAATACCGTGGCTGTAGCTCCTGTACCAATTATTGCATCAGGGTAATACACAATTTTTTGGGTCACTTGTTTAGTTGGTCTCGAAACACTTTGCTCCACTGGTGGTTGGACTCTGACAGGCGAGATTGGTTCTGTTGTGTGAAAAGAAAAAATAATTAAGTAAAATTGTCACTTAATTTTATATGTAGGCACAGAAGTAAAAAAATTCTTACGAATTTGAATCATGGTACTTGTCGAAGGCATAGTCCCGGATGGTGAATTTGTCAGAACGCCTAATGCCTGCAATACTTTGTAAGCAGCAATCTTTTTGGCACTCATTTTAATCTTTGCCACTCCATATTTTTTAATGTCCCCAATGCTGCAAGCCACTTTATGTCTGTTGGAGTTGTCAGGACCAATCCATTGAGTCTGAAGTCACAGTCCAAATGAAAAATAATTAGGATTGTCATAATCACACCTTATACATAAATTCTCATTTTCTCCGAATACAGTATTCTCATTACCACGTCCGAGTAATCAGCAGGAGAAAGCCCGTTCTTCACACAAAATTCTTGCAGCTCTCCAATTCTATTGCCCTCGGTTGCTTTCTTCAACACGTCTTCTTCATCCAACTGTAACTCATCGGGAGCTATTGTTGTATTTTGCAATAAATTTGACTTAGGGCTTTTTGGTTTAGTATTCGAGTGCATCACAAAGGTTTCTCCATTGTTGAAAAGTTGCTGCCTTCGATGCATTTCCATAGATGAGGATGGTGACAGCTCGGGAATAACAACAACTGGTGGCATAGGACTTGTCCTTAATCCAGACAATCTGTCACTTACGTTGGACACGTTATTAAATTCCTCGTCTTCTATCAAGTCCAATACCCGCTGGCATGCGGCGTGTTTTGCTACTTTTTTGGCACTTCCGGTTCCTGTTCCTGCATACATAAGTGAAAATGTAAATGAAAATCTAAAAGTTATAAATTGTATTTGACATTCAATTTATAATGGGCAAACAATAATGTTAATGTCATACCTTCAAAAATTCGTCCGTTTTTGCCTTTTGTAAATTGACATGTAAAGTGAAAATGGCCATTTGGCACGGTTACATCACCGTTAGAACTAGTACTGTCGAATACAATAAGTTGAGCACCAAGTCCACTGTATTGGTCAGCCATCTCTTTAAGTCGCGACTTTGGTGTTTTTGCCATTGTTCAAATTCCATGCAATTTAATTTTCAATAAATAATTCAACCATTCGTCATCTGGCAGCTGACCCTTATGTAAAAGCCACGTTTACTGTGCAAGTTAAGAAGTGGAGCAGAAGCAATTCGTAAAAAACAGGGTTCAGATTCATTCCATCCATGCACATGCAATCTTGTTCGTGTGCACTTTATGGGTTATGTAATGCCACATATTTATAGTATTATTATTGGAGATATCCTCCTCGTATGACTAATGGAACAAGATGTGTATGTTGAGATAGGTCCTGCAAAACCTAAATGATTTGATTACATATTTGACTATATTCAAACCAATACACTATAAACTCAACAAAAAATATAAAGTTTTATCATAAAACTTTTATGCAAAAGGATCATTGTAACAATATATAGCGCATTACAAAACTTGGGTTAGCAGCGCAGGAAGGTAGAAAAAGCAGATCTAATAATCATTTAAGCTTATTGCTATCAGAATGCACAAAATAAGACTGAAAATGCTTATCAAATTTATATTTTACCATAAACTATGTACAATCAACCACAATGATTTGCATAAATACGGACATAACAAATATAAATAGCTGTCCCATAGTACTTCAATATCAGCACTTAACCGCTAAACATCATCTCAGATTTATAGATGTTTGATTGCACATTCAAAGTCAGACTTCAAAGAACAAATCATCCGGTTATGGTGGTTTGTGATTGATCAAGATACCGCAACAAATAATTAATGGCGTTTTAGATCTAAGGACTACTACTGTGGAACTTCAAAGCTTTATTCATTTCGAATGTCAAAGTAGATTACAATTATGGTATTCATAATAGGAATATGAATTTCATATCCAATTCAGTTTGACCTGAGAGGCTGATTTCCTTGCAATTTTGGGTATTAATTTTCAATATCTTATGTCTTCACGTAACTTTTAGTGAATAGGTATATACATATATTTATGTGCCTATACTGTTGACTGTAATGGTTAGAATGTTAAGAGTATGCTTATCCACTAATATAACCTAAGTCACGTTTCCATTGGTCTAATCCATTGCAACTCCCGTTCGGAGTCATTCAGTACAACCTAACCAAACTTTTGGCTCAGCCAAGTATTAGAAGTCTCCACTTATCCCGCAGAGTTATGCAGAAAGGGATGAAATTAAAGCCAAGGTCTAAATGTAAATAAAGTTTTTTATTAAACAAATTGCATACAAAGTATGTTTAAAATGGGCAATAAAGAAAACAGTTTTCTGGATTAAAATTAATTTAAACTAAAGAAATTTTGAGTTTTAATCAATCGCACGTGCAGTCGTGTTGGTATTACTAATACTTTGGTAATTCAGTCGTTAGCAGATTGGGGGAATTGTACGGTGATATAACGGGTGAAGTATAAATGCAGCTTTAATATATGTTATTGGACTTTTGGACGCTATTATTACAAACTCACCCGAGTAAGACGACAAACTTGGGAAGAGCGTCATTATTTATTATTAGAAATAGCGTTTTATCGTACTACCGGTTGCAGCTATCGTCGTATTGCGGTCGTATTGCACTGTCATATTAGAAACGTGAGCAAAGTACAAAATATCAGAAAGGAAAGTCCACACGTGCAAGACCACTCATTGTCACCAAGTCTTCCCATTGTCATCATCGTAAAAAGGCTATGTGTGCTATGTATGTACATGGCCAAGGGTTGTACGGGTCCGCACTGCAGTCTTCACATTAAACGAAGCGTGTACTTTTTTTATACTTTTTTTTTTACTTTTTTAGCAAGTTTTGGAAAGTTATGATTGCACACCGAAAACTAAGAAAAACATGAAAATCATACACCTATTTGCCAATCTGTATGTAAATATATAGGTATTTGTGTATACATATGACATGCTTTAACTAATTATAAGAATTACACAAATAAATCATCTTACGCATGTAAATCATCATAAGTATGAAAACAAAAGCTGAGAGATTTTCGTTCTTGACATTATGTACTCGCACAGTTCGTTTGTTACAGCTTATCACATTCCATCGATGACTACTGCGACCACATTCATGAAATGATACTGATTTTCCAGATTTGTACAAAACTTGCTCTACATAATATCCATATGTTGTACTTTGCTACTACTGGTATACATATGTGTACGTATATTAAATTTCCATAACTGGGTAATGTAAGTATGCAATTTATGTAGGCACCATGTGCAAATAAATGCCTTAATGGTATTTTATAATTAGTCCTCTTGTTCTCTTCTACAGTTCTCACAAACAAATAAGTATGTATGTGTGAGTCATACAATAGCATGGAAATGTTCAAATTATCACATTTTCTGCATTAAAATTTTGCGTATGTACTTACTTATGTGCCTCCGTATGTACAAATGTTTTTTCACATGAACCTTTACATATTTTAAATGTGAAATATCTCCGAAATATGCGATTAGAAAGTTACAAAATCTAGTTTCAACCGACGGGAATGTATTCAAATTACTTTCTCTCGTATTCGCATCATCCAACTTTCTTGATGAGTTTAATCCTAACTTGAATCTTCTGCGACTCGCAGTATACATGTAGTTATTCATATTTTGTGATGCACTGTTAACACCAGTGTGACATAATGCATAACCTACATATGATATACATATGTATGTTGAATACTAACGTAATACTGACAGGAATATTGTTTCGGATTCTCTATATTCTTATTGTCTTTCGTTGAAAACAAAGAATCTACAAAATTCCAATCTATGTAGAAATTGTGCGATAGCTAATACAGTAAGAACTATGTGCGTCACAATCTATATTCTATATCAGTATCGTCAATATTTCCCTAACCAGTGATGTTCGAAAAATATCTGGCTTTCTTTTTTTACTAAATACATATACTGTAAAGAATTGCAATTGATTTGTGCTTAGTTAACATACAAAATGTGAGCGGACATGTTTAAATGATATCGGTTATTACGGATTATATGAGAAGGGTCGGATGCATATTTTCAGAGTTAAGACCGATCGCAAAAATGTGAAATGCGGAAGAAACGATGCAAAGGAATTCGATAAAAATTGTCGTGTAGATAATAATATAACAATTACGTTTAGTCCATCACAAGGATGGGACATCTCGCGAAGAAGATTTTCAGTTTTTTGTAGTGTAATGTCATACCCCTTCCAGCACTTTCCATCCTTGACCCTTCCATTTAAATAGGAAAAGTGTTTTATTGGTTTACTAGTGGACTTCCGTATTGAAAAAATAACACCCTCTGACGCTTACTGACTTAAAAAAATTCTGAGAATTTCATCATTCGACTACAGTAAGAAGGTTTCTGAACTTTGGAGCCCATTCCTTGCTGATAGATAACCTATCGCTGACGGACTTTCATTAAACCAATATTCAATATTGTAGAAATAACTCAGCTCTCATACACCCTGAGCGAGTAGAGCTTTTCACAAACCACGAAACCGCAAACATCGATTCTCTCTATGCTATTTACCCCCAAATATAGATAAGCGGTTAGTAATTACATTAGTATATAAGCGTGTGATAAATATATTTGTATCTTAACTCGACAGATTTAAAACCTTAATAATTGCAATGGATCGATTGTTTTATTCCCATACGAAACAACCTAAAATCTCATTAGATCCATGCACAATCACAAGCAAAACCGGATCTAAACACACAAAAACTATTTTCCCTTCTTTTGTTTGTTTACTTATCTTCGTAGTTTGTGTAATAAAGTAAAGAATGACGGATGAAAGTCTTTAAGGTGCAGCTGTTCCTCCGTGACAAAGTATTCTTTGAGTATTCTCCTGTTGTAATTTGGCTTCAGTTGTTGTATTCGTCACGCGTACATCAAAATTTGCAGGAAAAGGTGGTCCAACTGTCTTGTTATCATTTCATATAATTCAAACATGCTGGTAGTAATTATACCTTAAACTTAATATAATAATGGTAAATATTACTTATACGATGATATATATGCACATCCATGCATGAGTGTAGAGTCATCCTGACTTTTGTTGTACATTTTCAGAGTCGACCAGCATGACAGGAAATCACGGCAGAGTATTCAAGATTTACCAGGAAGCCAGGACCAACCACAAACACGACAACTTTCTGCTGATGGATTCTCACAAGCTTTCACTTTCTCTTCTCACTATCATCTCATTCAGACCACCGCAGCACCCACCACACCAAACACTGCATAATACTGCCGCTCATCCCCTCCAAACTACAGCGAAGGAAGAAAACTTGAAGGAACGCTGGGAGAAAGTAAAGTGAGCAAACCCAAGTAAAACTAATCTCAGCGTGAGGCAGCCCAAAAGAAAGTTGGACGTTTTCTTCAAATTCTTGAGCCTCACAGTTTCACCAGCAGAAACGAGCATGGCCCAACTGCACTAGGATGCAACGGATGCAACATAAGTGTACTAACGTTTATTTGATTTTTGGCAAGTTTGCAGAAAACTTTTAACCATTTAAAATTTTGTAGCAATGAGAGTTTGGAGCATCGAAAATTAAATTAAATGTGAATATAAGTACACAGACTATTTTCAATTTCTGCTTGAGCCAGATGTCCTGAAAAGCTTAATTTCTTAATAAATATGAACCTTTTTCTTATTAAATTAACACATATTTTATATGATGGGCATGTCTACTATTAATATTCTTATGTTTGTAATTAATTGTGTTTATATTGTGGGATGACACATACTCACAAAAAAAGATTTTATTATTTAGCGATTATTCTATTTTCTACGACATTTTGGTTTATTTCTGTCGAGATGAAACCATTTTTAGGTTCAAAGTCAGTAGCTTAAAATTTGGTTCATGAGGATATCTCCGTTTCTTTTGTCGAGTTCTCGAGTTGTAGTAAAGCAACTCGAAAAGCAAATTGAGCTTGTTACACAGAACGAGATGATTTATGGCTAATAAGGACGGCATGATGGGGCAGATCGTAGATCCCGTAGCCGCTATGTTACTATAAATGTATGTAGTTGTACACTATGTAACAGTCAGTATGTACGAAACCGTATACACAGATTGTATTACCCTCGATGTAGAAAATGTCACTGAGTTGCATTAAAAATTGGTTCTACTTTCCGCTTTCCTGCAGCAAGTGAGAAAGTGTCAGAAATTGGGACAGACAGATATGAAGTAACTAATCTCATCCAACTGGAAAAACGAAGTCCAATATATGAATGTCGACGTTTGGATTTAGTTGATACACATGAGGAAATCTATCAAACCGTTTTCTATAATGCTTGAAACCTTCTATCAAATAGACTTTATGGCTGCTACACGTATTTGACAGACCCAACTTTCGAACGTATTATTCTATACTTTATAGCTACTCTTTACCCATTTCTCTCAATTCGTCTATTCAAATTCAGGTGAGTGACAGATTTCTGCCTGAAATTTATCTGATTTATGGTCAAACAAGACACTTTTCGAAAATTTAAGGAATTCTTCTAAAGACACGTCAAGGTTGGATCAAGTTTGTAAAAAGTAGATGAGCTCACACAACGCAAATGACACTGCATATTGCATACTTCCTTCTCAACTTCACTGCAGTGCCGTAGGTATGTAGATATCAACCCGACGGTGATTTATATTAGGCGTATTTATACCTATGAGTTGGTTGGTAGTACGACGGATGTCTTCTTAAATCCATCTAGCCGGAATATTCTAAATTCTCACATTGAGTACTAGCAAATTTGTTTAGCAAATCTAATTTGCTTGATATTTTTCCATATTAAAAATTAGATCTTTTCCAAAAATCGTAATGCTACACTTCAAAATATCTAAAATGCCCCCTTAATATCTAAAATGCATATAGATAGGTAAACATTTCTGTATTCGCCGAGACGAATATAATTTTTTAATGCATGCACATAAAAATGTCTCCAATTAAAAACAAAATAAAATAAACATGAATAAAAACTGGCATTGTAAACTCTGGACTCAAAGTCAAGATTAAAGTATAGTTAAGTATTATGGTTCTACAGAAAAAATTAGCATCATAAAAAGCCGTTCTCTATTTAGCCCTCCAGGCCGTACTCCAGGGAACGGCACTGCAGAACTGTAGTGTACGTTTCCTTTCTAACTTTCCTTGGACATGTTATCCACCGTTTGCGCATTTCATATCAATGGCAAGTCATGTGTCCTAGCATTACAGTCGCACCCCGTTTTTTCCACCCAGAACTTTCGGAGTTGTTAGGAATAAGCTGAGTAGGTAATTAAGTGGAGCTGTCAACAAAACTCGCACTGATTCGAATTAAGTTCATAATTCAATTTTCTAAATGTGTTTTTAAAGCTTTTCTGTTTTCTTCATGCTTTATGACTTAAAATTTGGGGTTTAGCAATGATGATGAGAATGCTATATCTTATTTGCTCAAATAATTTTGCAGACAATTGATTTCACGAAGCTGAATCACTTCCTTATAATTAGGCCCCTTTACTCTTCCTTCGTTTGATATCAGCAAATACCGCTGACGACACCCCAGGGTTTACGTTTTCGAACTGAGGAGCAGGTTTAACTCTTAAATTGGGCTAATTTAGACCTTGAAGTTACTTTGGTCAGCCCTTTGCATTAGGGAATTGACACAAGTTACTTGAATTTGGACATAAACCATGCAATCAATGTAGATATTTCACAATATGGGACACTTGTGCTGAAATTTAGAATTTCGGCATCTGGAGGCTCTGGAAATCGTTTTATTTGCATAGTCTCAGCCAATGAACTATGGTACACGTTACTCTATTGAACTACAGTAAACTAAATACTTAATGCTAAATTTTTAGCTTGAACTTTTATGCCTCAGATTCCAAGTGCTTAAACTTATTTTAAAGTATTCCAACTTCCCCAAAATCTTTCCAAAATCTTTCAAAGAAATTTCCCGTCATCATTTCGCTTGAAAAACTGTCTTTGCTATATGATTCATGAGCACTAGAATTACTGGATGTGACCTCTTATGACATATTTTATAAGCTGCATCGACGAGCTAAGTTGCGCTCTGTGGTTGAGTTAAAGTTTTGAACTCTATCAAGAAAATGAACATCTTAGTCGTTCTTGATTCCCTCATTCATCATCCATTAGCCATTTGAGTGAAAGTGGAATGACGAAAATGTGATAAGTCAACTTTGGACTTAGACTGGGAAGCCGAAGCCCCAACTTGTTTCCAAAAGAAGTGACATAAATAAATTGAACTGCACACTGCACTTCTCTTATTTCTTATACGTAAGGAGAGAGGAGTCTCCTCTTTCTTCGCGTTTTGAGAAATTGGACGACCAACGGTATAACTGTAGGATCATAAAGGTGGAAGAATCTGATCCAGTGATCAGAACTACTTATGGAATTCCAATAAAGACTGAACTGACCAGATAAGACCTTGAAGACAAGTTCTTCACTAACTCTGTGGCGAATGAGGAAAATCTCGTATTTCCCATAAGCTATGAGACTTATTGCTGAGGATGAGTCATAGCAAATCTCGTGCATTCTCATGCGTCTTATTTTGATGTAATTTCGCAAAGTGTTAATTTTAAATTAAGGAATAATTAATATTATCACGTAAACTCGTAGGGCTACATATTGCTTAACCGCTTATAATAACTCGGAAAAATGTACATATGTATATGTATGTAGACGACTAATTTACAAATTCTGGACTGAAGAAAAATATGGACGCATGCACACGTATTAATCACTCTAAACACGTTGGAGAAAGTACATTTACACGAAATAAATACGTTATATAGTTCAAAATGAATGCTTAAAAATTCCAGAACGCACCCTTAAATAAACTATTGGAAATCTGTGCAGTACGAGCGAGTAGAAATCGTTGGCGAAAAGATAGAAATGAGCTCGGACTTGAACGTGCAGGAAAGACTTGCTTTCTTGCTCTACTTGAGCATCCTTCCTACTCATCATGTTTCAATGCATGACATGAGTGAAATTGTACTCCATTTGTAAGTAAAATCTTGCCTTGACTGGTTCAAATTGCGCTCAACATTATCTACTCTCTGCTGGAGTGCATTGAAGTTGTTCCAATAAAACGTAATTGTATATCGGATTAAGATGGGAAGGATGTGAAGGGAAATTGGATGCGATTTCATCCAAGAAGTGGAAGGAAACGCAGTGCGACGTTACAGGAAATTGGAGGAGTTTGCAAAATAAGCAAGTGTTATATAAATATGTACTTCATACATATATTCTCTTTGGTTAAAAATTTTATTATTCACTTTTTTGGACAAATATACTGGGATTTTTTTGGCGTTTTATTACATTTAAATAGTTAGGGAAATACATATTTAAAATTATTTGTAGCAAATATTGCAATTGAGTTTGGAAAATAATACATTTAGATAAATACTTGTGGTAGTACATACTTGTACGTTCATATATATATTTATAGTAATTTACTTATACATGTCTTACATAAGTTAAATATTTCGGATGAGAGAACATTAAAAAATAAACAGTAATATGATATTGATAAATGCACAACTCAATACATGGTGTCGTAATTATTTTAATAATTCTAAGGTAAAACATTTTTGTGTGTATAACACTCAATTTATAAGTCTTTAAGCAGCTACTGAATAGATATATAGATGTATGCATACACTTATTTGGTAACACTTGATCAACATCCACAATACTGTTTAGACATGAAAATGTATATTTTTATGCACAGATAAAATTCGTTTCAATATCACATAAAATATTTAATTTTGTAGTTTATCATCAGTTGAATACCACAAAATGTTATATTTCTCATTTCTGTAATGTTTTCCATTTCACAATAGAGCATACGGTCCTTTAATACAAATTTTATTACATGGTGAAATATATGTACATTATTGAAAAATTGTGGAAAATGCCCTGATTTGAGCATGCATTTATGTAACATTCCACATAATATTCTACCATAAGAGTATGTTGAGTTTTAAGAAAACTATCTTGCACGGTGTAACAATAATAAATATTGACCTCAATAAAATTTAATCTTTAACATTGGACCATACAAAATAGTTTTTTGCTAATGTCCAGTATACCCTTAGTTAATCTTAATAGATAATTCATCATTTTCTTCGAGTGGAATTATTAATATTAGCTTTCAGACAATGACCGTTTTCACCTCAGTTGTTGGACGCTTGTGACTCCAATGCTTCCTTGATCGTGCTGGGCCGGACATCCTTTCGCGATTTATTTCGTTTCATTCTTTTCGTCAAACCGCAGCAATTTTTTCTAAAGCTGCCATAGACCAGAGGATTTACAGAAGAATTTGCAACTGCCATCATAAACAGGGCATCTTGAATGCGTTGGTCGACCCTCTGTGCCGTTGCCCAATCAAAGCAGTACCTGTAAAGTACGACCAATCGTTAGGCATACATAATATAATTTATAACTTCAGCTCGTCAGTTACGAACTCAAATTTCCAATGCACAATTTGTGTCATCTTATGATGTGCTACCTGAATGCTAAATATTTTTTACAAGTACGCATTTGTAAATGCTTACATAGATTTGAATACAGTTCAGTCAATTAGGAAACTATACACAAACAGAGGAGATTACGTGGTGTTTGAATTTTGCAGTTCCACATTAGTTCTCTAAAAAATCCTAGAGGTTTAGTTCCATTTGTACTCATGCATGTATGTACTTACGTATGTTACGTATGTCAACCCATTTGCACCCATAATTTTTTGTGGTTTTGGTCCCCTTAAAGGGTTAAGCGGGACTAACTATGTAGGCTCATAGAGCTTAGCTAATGCTACGAAAATTTTAAAGAATTATAAACGGGCATTGAAAACATTGAATATAGTTTTTCCTGAACGTACCCGCATTTCTTTGTGCTGCTCAGAGAAGTTACACCTGAGTAGGCAAAATATATAAAAACTTCCAAGATGAAGTTATTTCTATGTAGTGCTATCTGAGTTTTTGTTTGAAGAAGTTTGCGAGACAATACAAAAGAATTGTTGACAGTTTTCTCTATTTTTTTGCAATGTCATAATCGACACTATTGTCAGCTTTGTGTCAACTCTTTTCCGCATTTTCTCAAAAATTCTTCTCAAACCCGCACATCTTACTATGTGCGATTGGCACTCTTCAAGATAAAAATAGGCAGTTACAGTAAAACTTTATAAACTACTTCCCTGAGGAGAAAATACGCTGAACAATAAAAATGATTTAATGCCACGGGGCAGCTAAACCCATGATGCACTAAATTGTACTGTAAAAGGTTTTCTAATATATACATAAGTACTTATTTGGCAGTACCCCAACAAAGTGAAAATGGCAATGTTTCAAAGGACCAGGGAGCGAGTGAAAGTTATTAAAAAGAATAAATGATGCTCGACCAAAAACTATTAATTTCTGGAGTTGGGTTCCAAAATATTGATTATATCAGGAAACCAATTTGATAGAATAAGGTATGAGAAAGAGGAGAAAGTTTTTCATCTTGAAAATTGTGTGTTGCCTTTTTTTGCCTTGAACGTTGAACCACAGGGCTAGATTTTCGTACAGTTGACAGCGTACCCAACTCGAAAACAGCTGAAGCGTCATCCACGAGTTTGCATAAATAAGCTTATACATACGTAACTACGTAAATATGTTGACACCAAAATTCATCGTATTTCTTGGTATTCCTAAGCTCCTTTGATAAGATTGAATATATTGAGCGAAGATTTTCGTAATGAAAACACACATTTATATACCTATTAAGTAGGCGAGTACAATTTTTAATGGTAGCTTATCTCCAAACATATCACTGTTCGAGTTAACCTTTGGACAATGTTGTGCTTTCCAAGAACTATTTTTGCGTCCAGATATATGTATAAATTAAATGATCCAGCAATTACAAACTATCCAGGAGAAAATTCTGTTAACGTCATTCATTTTCCACAAACTAGAATTAGAAATATTCCTTATCCTAATCTACATTTTGAAATGGAGTCTTAAACTCGCGTCATCCAGATTTTTAAAAAAATGTTACATAAGTAAATGGGTATGGTGTTTATATATGTGTATGTTTTTTTGATGAGATCCACGGTTTTGGAAATAATATTTAATCTATAAAACATTCAACTCATTAGAAGGAGGAGATTACAGGGGGATTTAGACCAAAAATTAATGTTCTTGGTTTGGCACAAGTCCAGGTTGAATAGGTACATATATTTTATAATAGGAAACATCTCATTATTTCTTTGCCAAGATAGAAAATTTAGTGGTTTAAATTCCAGGTATGAAATGCTGTAAAATTGGTATTTAACTTACTAGTAGGAGAAATTTAGACATGCTATAATATTTTGAAATCCCTAAAAAAAGGTGCAAAGTATTCTGTTGCTTATTTCTAAATTTACTTAGCATTAGAAGGAATGCTGTGCCGTAGAATTCCTAATTTTATCCTACGAAAGTTTGTTCCGGATAGAAAAGGTGAAGGTGAGAGTCAGTGAAAGTAGAGGGAAAGTGGAAAGTGAGGTCGATTATGAATTTTTATGAGGACATTACAAAGAATTTATCGGTTTTCTTCTTCCTGTTTTTCATTCTTCTCTCCAGATACTCACAACGTCTGTCACATTCAAAATCTATGTATCCAGTTATGAAGAATAGAATACGTGTGTACGTGAGTACATAAGATGCTATGCGTTCCGTTGGATTTTAATAAGAATTTTACCTTCATTCCTAGAGGGCAAATTGTTGCTCAAAATGTTCTTTATATTTACACACATACTTATTTGCATTCATATATGTAACCACGTTCCACAAATATTTAATTTATATCAACATTCCTCCATTGTGAAAATTAGTGACGGTTCTTTATCTCTCAACTTTCCTACTGAATATGTATTTTAAGCCAAAAGTGCGCATTAATATTTAATCGTTCGGAATTCTGTAATGAGAGAACTTGGAAAGCCTTCGGAACATCAAACAACAGGAGAGAATATTATTACGATTAAAGGTATAAACTTGACGAAGAAAATAATACTATAAAATCTTCTTCATTATTTGTCTCCAAGTTGTGCAACTAGGTTATGCAAATATATTTTTCATTTGAAACTCAAATCAGGTTAGGATCAACATTACGAAATGAAATATTAATCCAGACTTTACCCCAGCCTGAAGCCTACTAAATATGGCAGTAAATGTTAGTGTCTCACAAAATTGTATTTTAGAGATATGTAGGTGTTCAGACTTTATACCTTGAGAGTTATACTTTATTCCACAAACGTGTGCTCATTACAAATAAGTCGACATGTAAAAAGACCATGTACTGCCTTTCTCAGGCGTTGTCCATAATGTTTTATTCTGCCCAAGAGTACAACTTCTGTATGTAACCCATATTATTTAGATTAATGATTGAATGAACAATGTCTGAAGACTATGTAGTACGTACCATATGTGTATATACATACGTATATTATAGATATATGCACATATCGTTTTCTGCACATACTTATATGTATTCGTATAGTTTCAGTTCAATATTAACAGTATACTGCAGTGACCTGCAGTATATTTGACAACCGTTGTCAAATTCTGCAGAGATTCACAAAAAAGTTTGAGTGTTTGAATATAAAAATGAATTTGTCACATAAAGGACATCAACTTTCTAGACTTTATTTTTATGGAGGTTGCAAGGTGCATGGTGATTTCAACTTTATTCCTCTTGCTCAGATTATTAGGTAAGACACAACTGAGGACGAGTATTACATAGGTATGTACGTAAGCGCATAAGTATAGAGAAGTAGTGCATTTCGTTGAGCTTCATTTCCCTAACAATTTGTCTGCATATTGCGTACACCTACAAATGTATTTGTAAATGCGTACAAGTGCAAAGGTTTGACTAAAAATAAAGATACAATTTATAGACCTCGTTTAGTGGTACATTTTGTATATCGAAACGAGACATATTTATACGGAGAAAGCCGTGTGACAGATATTTATATTAAACTGTAAGAAAGCAATCCAATACTAGCATTATTAAATAGCAATATTGATATTATAGCGGTTCTTATAAATTTCTAAATGGAGGTTTGTTTGAGTATGAAATATTCACAATTGTATTCCTGGGTTTATGGAATTACTACCTGCTGATAAGATCACGTCACTCTCACATCTACAATAAACCACAATAATAAACGTAATAGGTGTCTATACTATAATGTTTTATCATCATAAATTCTGAGACAAGTGCAAACATACCTCCTTTAAGGAGGAACCATAAAGTAATCTTATTGAGGCCGGTGATGGAGAAAGTACATTACCATACAAAGTGTAACGAATTACAGATACATATCAGCCACCCAAAATAATGGATAAATACGAATATGTACAGGTGGAGTAAATCAGACATATGCAGCAGTAATTACCCATAGCAAGTGACGTTGCAAATACAAGTTGTGATTTGTGTGGTAGGTTTTGAGAATGAACTTTCACCACACGAAAGATACATATGTATACCTCTTGCATAAATAAAGTGCATACTTATATGTATTGCAGTTTTAGAAGAAAACTACTTATACAATGGGAAACTTCAGGATAAGTACAAGATTGTCCAGCCAACCTTGTCATTATTGTTCATGAGTGAATAAACTTGCACCCCACTAAATCATCTTGGACTGGATCGAGTCCATAATACAAAATATGTACCAGGAAACCAAACTTCTCGCAAATCTACTTCCAAACCTTTTATAAAAAACAAGCACGGACATAAAACTAATTGAAGAGCTCGCAACAACTTTCTTACACGTTCTCATAAAATCCCTTCTGGGGATCAAACTTTTTTTACGTAAACGTAAACACTCATCAGCGCCCGTTAATATTGATATTGTTATCCTCCCATTCTTCCCATTCACGTTTTACTGATTCCAAGAACATTTCAAATGCATAGTTTCAATGAAAGTGAAATTAATTTAAGGGAACCCCACAAAAAGAGAAAGTTCTCACAGTGTCGCTAAGAAGTAAAAGAGGTAAAAATGTTACTCGTCATCGCCCTTTATCAAGCTGACTAACTTGAATGGTTGAATGATTATTAAGTATACGGTAACAGGAGGAAAACTAATTTGGCAGGAGGAAAGTAAACTTGCAGGATTTATGAGAGAATGTCAATTATCATGCGAAAGAAGCTTCATTTACATTTCATTACTTTAGCTTCGTAATTTCATGAGCGGATCGTAATGAAAGTGCAGAACTTTTTTAATTGGGAATAATTTTGAGATGAACGAACGGGTTCCTTCAGGAATGCAGAGAGTCGATAGCAGAAAGACGTGACGTCAACGAAAATGATGTATTTTTAAATATTTCGCACTATTTCGCAGTGAATGTGCTATTTTTGAAGTCGTCTCCAGTGTTTCAGACACACACACACAATGACGCACTTATTACGCCTATTACAAAAACTACATGTGTACGTGCATAACTCCTCGTTCTGTTGAAACACAGGTTTCTTATGAGCTAGATTTAGGATTAGCCATTGTTCACAGTATCTGTGTGCACATACTCGCTTTCTCTGAATTTCCAAGTCAGTACCATCTGAGACTGCTTTGAAAGCAAGCCTTCTCGCAAAATTAAATAACGTCCAGCTTGTCAAAACTTGAAGCATGAGCTCACTCGACAAGCGAAGGCAGGAGGAGATAATAATCGAATAATTTAGTTTACAACTGCCAATATGAATAATGAAAATAGTATAACTTGGATGTTATTATGAGTATATGATCATAAATTAATGACTTTTGCGTGGATTTCAAAGTTTAGAATTAAAATTAAGAACCTGTCACTATAAAAATCTCACCAATCTATTAAATGTGATGAAAAAGCCATGATGATTTAGGTTTATTTCTCTCAGAAATCCGTTGGTGTTTAATTTTATCTACGTATGTAAACCTCTTACTAGACTCAAAAACTTTGCTATATGTAACACCATATTCTGTCAATCTATCCTAAAAATTGACACTACAATAAAAGCTACAAGTTTTTCAGCCCATTCGGATTATCCGTCAAGGACAAATTTCATAGTAAATGCTTGGCGTTTAAACTATCCTTCGAATCTTCTGGAAAAATAATACAAACTTTTCCTTCTTATGCATACATAGATAAAATATGCATCACTTTAATATGATTGGTCAACCATGTAAAATTCCTCTCTACTTTAATATTCACACAACGACCAGCCAAGCAGGACTTGTTCAGTAGTTTCTCCATGAAAATAAGCCAAATATCTACTTGTGCACACTGCTCCGAAACTGCCTCAATATTTGATCTGTCATTCCTCCTGACCATCACACCATTCTGCTTTATCACGTACACAATTTGAGAGATGAGACCGGCCGCAAGAAGTTTGGAAGCTGGGTCCAATCCAACTTCATATCTATCTCCTGTCAAACCCATACATCACTCATCTATATGAAAGTTTTATGAACGCTACCATTTTCAAGTATGCACGACATGCCATAGAAGATATATATTTCTTATCCATTCAATTTACCATCACCACAAGCGAGTAAATTTAAACCCATCAATAGTTTACACCACATCTCCAAAAGACGTATAGATGTGTGTGAATAGTCTCATTCTCGTATTACGTGAGAACAACTCGTCCATTGATCATCTTGCTGAACTTTGCAAGCAAACTGTACTTGTGTGACCTTGTATATTCACACTTCCTCTCATTCAAACACCACGAGCTCCTCAAGATGAAAGAGAAAGTCAACAAAGTAAACTCAAAGTAATATCCCTTAGCACTCGATGATGTTGACTTCAAAGTTTTAATCTAAAGTCATGGACGGTTCAACTATACAAAGGAAGTGATCACACGCTAAACTAATGCTCACCATAGTGTCATCACGACGTACGGGGTCCAACATAGGATGAATACCAGAAGGATGACGATTGTCAATCTCAAGGTCCGGCTCTTGGCCCTGGTAATATTTGATGTGGCATTACTGCTCATCCTCAGAATGAGCTGCGTCTTCCCATTACTTCGCATCGACATGGTCCTCGATAGCTGTTCGTTATTAGTGCTTGCCATAGGAACACTGATTGGGGTCAGTGGGTTCATCGATATTGAAGTTGAGGAGTCATCTGCAATACATGAAATAGTACGAAAATCCAGAGGTTATTTTTTTCTAAACTGCAAATTTTCTCATGAGGTGAATTTCTAAATACCCAGAGATTCGTCAATATCGTTCTGTCCTTTAAGTTGGCAGTGACATTGGTTGTTAGGGTTGGATGTACTATTGTCAGCAACACATGCACATCCAGTATTCTGGCAATCGTCCTCTCCAGGGACTTTTAAGAAGGTTCCACGGCTCCATCGAACACTTGCACTCCGATTCTGTGTTCTTTCTGAAATAACATGAGAAACCTTATCAATTATCTTAGTGATAACTTATCACTGATACGCATGTTAAATTTTTCTAAGAAACGCTCAAACACAAATTTCTAATTAGATAGATACACACAATTTTTTTTTATTTTGTTACATGTACCAAGGCTATGTATTGATGATCACACCGCTGCTGAAGCGCTGGATTTATCGAAATTTCTCTGGTTGTCTGAACATAAGACACATCACCAGCATTAAATGAACGTGCACACAAAGGTCAACAATATGTATTTTGATTTTGACTGTTGTCTACCCATTAAATTTGCAATATGATATTTTCCACATGACACACGAGCGCATTAATCCTATTTAATCCTACAAAGAGGGATTTAAGTCCGTGTATTATTTGTGTTTTTGATTCCACGTATTTTGAACCCCAATATCATATCCGACATCATTTTCATTTCATGAAATGTTGGGTTACCACTAGATTAATCAGTTCGTTATTCACCGGTACATTACACATGTTTTTTGATATTTACTCCCACTACAACCTAAATATTACCATTAAAGTCTGACCCCAATTTAAATAATGGAACATTCGTCTACACTATGTATGGTACTTGTAATTCATGCGAAGTGAAATCAACGTACATAAATACGTATTTATCTTGGTGGAAGCTAAAGTCAAGGGAAATATGTACGCGTTATTTTATGAATGTGCTAATATTGAAGGCTCACTTTTACTGTAATTCATAGCTTACACCTACTTTCATCCTGATGAAATGAATCATGATGTAGGTTCACAAAAGTAGATGTATCAATCAATAGCAAAAGAAACCCAACTTTAACCTTTTCATTCGTAATTTATTATTATTACTGACTCTGTATGATCATCTTCACGGTATTTGAAAGAAGCAATACTAATCAAAATAAGAGCAAAAACCAGAATAAGTCTGCTCTTTATTGCGATCTCAGAAGCATTGAAAAGGGAACCAATTCATTTGATCAAAAAATGGGCTCGAGTCTGAAAGAAAGCTCAACACGTATGTACATATAGCCAGTGACCAGCATGTATTTCCACTATTTCCTTAGAATCCTAAGCTCCAGTTTCGTTGAAATATACGTACGTACATAATACAAAGCTACCTCCACGTATGGTCACACTCCCACCTACATCAATACTAAAAATAAATAATGCTATCAGAGATATCCAAACCATGTATGTAAATATGTAACTACACTAATTTACGTCAGGGTATAACTGGCATGCAGTCTGGATACATATGTACATAAATACGTGACAACTCAAATTTGCGAGCGATTCAAGGCGCACTCTTTTCTAAAAGGCAATAACTTTCACTAGTATGAACCATTTATCGGACAAATGATGATGTATCTACATAATGTACATACATATGTACATAGATCGAACCAAACCAAAATTCCGATCAAAACCACTCCAATAAATTCTTGTTGAATGGGAAGTGCACGAAAGGATTTTCGAGTGGGAGTACATACACTTCTTTCTTCGAATCTGTTCGAAATTTACAAAGGGTGATGGTTAGACGAAAGGATTTGCAAGAGTTTCTTCGTGGTCTATTAAACAAGGAAACAGCTTGTGTTTGCTACACAGACTGGAATGGGCAACTGGTGCCGTGTGAGAAGGTCGTGTCATTTGGGTCCCTTCAAGTGAAAAATATCCTTGCGGTCTACATTCTGTTAGACTATTTTATTTCCCTCCGCCATGAAAGGAATAACGAGCATCGGCTTTCAATTCGCAAGGCCATGGTCGCACATGTCGTGCGAACACTCGTTGGTGACATGACAAATAAGAGATGGTTCCGAGGACAAAAACGATTGGGTTTACTCTGGCAACCTATAATCAGATGCATTCTTGATGGTACCCTCTCAACACACTTGGGAAAGTAAATTGCAGCTGTTATCTGTTGGTTAAAGTTTCTGTGGGATGTTCCTGTTTTGAGTGCTTAGATGAGCACCAGTTTTCAACTCTCTTAACATATTTTCCAAATGGATTTTGTTACCCACATAAAATATGACTTTTAAGTATTCATTTGTGCATAGATATTTTCTAATTTATTAAACTCAATGTTTAGCAAATTTCATCAAAATTAGTATTTGGAAAATATTTATAATGGTATTTTCTCACATTGCGTTTTTTGTATTAACCCTTTACATATATATATTTTAAAACCAGAACCTTAAAAATATAGCTGATGAATCTGGTGGAAAGTTTTTTCCGTGAAACACCAGACTTCACTTTTGATATTACAGCGCAGTTTTATAGATCACTAAAGATTGTGTGCTGAGACTCTTAAAATGCACTCAAATATTTGCAAGCATAGAAATAATAAACTAATTCTTTAAAAAAAACTTAGGTGAGGCTTGCTTAAAAGGAGAAAACAAGCTGTTATCATCGTGTACTAGAATAATGTGCTAAATCAATGTTCATCTCACCATTTATAATTTTCGGTAAATAGAACAGCAAAGTGTATGCGTTTGGGACCATTTGCCTCGCCGTGGGCCGTGATTGATTGTAGAATATAAATATGCCATCTTACGTGAATATTACAATTTTGCTGTAATTAAACTTTGTTACTTTATGAATTTTTAATCTTTGAATATATTTCTAGAATATGTCTAGATTTTTAAAATTCATGTTCTGCAATTGTATGTAATATTGTGCATTGGAATTTAACCTATACGCTTGATAAATTTCATCAGCAATCGATTATGGATAACAAAGTTAACCAAAAATTTTGTATCGTTACATACGACATATTTGCCGCATGTGATCTGAATACTAATAAATTATTAAATTATTTGAATTCTTTGTATCATAAAACGGCCCACGGCGAGGCAAGTGGTCCCAAACGCATACACTTTGCTGTTCTATTTACCGAAAATTATAAATGGTGAGATGAACATTGATTTAGCACATTATTCTAGTACACGATGATAACAGCTTGTTTTCTCCTTTTAAGCAAGCCTCACCTAAGTTTTTTTTAAAGAATTAGTTTATTTTTTGTTTTTAAGTCTCTTTAAGTTGTCCCCAATAATAGACACCCCAGTGGGTGTGGATACGTGACGTACCAAATTAAATTCCCCCGTCACTCGTGGACTCATAGTAAAGAAATGCATCAACATCATATATACATACATACACTTTTAGAAATCTGTAATTAAATTCTCAGTGGTTGCTACTGCTTATCGGTAATAGCAAAATTATGTGCGTAAGATTTGCTACCGATATAGTTAGGCTTTAATATCGACCTATTACCGCACAGTTTTACTTATCAATGCCGTCTTGCTAGGCATTTCTGTATACCGCTTGGTACATTTTAATACTGGATTTCTTAAAGTGCATAAATGAACATAAAGGTTTGCATACAGATCATGCTTCTTTTGTGCTGGTTGCTAATAGAAACTTGGATTTATTATGAGTACTGAAGACCCATTATAATTAACTGGCTGCATATACGACCAAGAAAAGTCTCTCATTCCTTATCCGATTTCGCTCGGGTTTGTTTTAAATGATGCGTTATAGATTTCCGCACATTTAATATCAGGCTTGACACTATCATTGCATGGTAAAAGTGAATTTGCCAGTCATTTGAAAGTTTAAAATCGATTTTAAATGCGTTGAAATAAGATTGGCATGCCCCTCTTATTGACTGGCATCATCTACCCAGCAAGGTCTGCACGATTGCCTTTTACACCATTTTGATACGATTAGCCGTTTTGCCACAATCTTGAGTGGAATTTTGGGAGGGGGGGTCTGTTCGCATACTTAGGCTTCGCCATAACCATGCATTTTTTCATGTGGTCATGGTTACTATGCCTCACCTAAGAAAAAAAACCTTCTTATACTAATAATTTTGAAGGGCTATACTGCCTGCCAAATAATAACGTATTTCACAGAAAAATTACTTTTCAAGTTATACAGTCATGCAGCAAATGCAACCTACATAAATATTTATATTCATATCGTAAAATGAATGTAAGTACATATGTATATTTGTATGTGCATATGTATTTACAAACTTTCTCCAAGTTGAGTGGGCAGCTGAAATTGGCAAACGCGAGATTGGGTATATTTACCGAAATTGTTGTATTTTCTACACAGCGATGAAGTCAATCTTGTTGAACAGCAATATTGGCTTAACATATATATACATATGTATTTGTTGGTTTCCTAATTGCAAACATTTACTGCGTTCAGAAATAAGTACATAAATGGGTTCGCTTTTTCAATTTTTCTTTTATGTAAGCACAACAGTGAAATCTACCCCCGGCAATTTTGCTAAAACAATCATACAGCTAGGTCATTTGTATGGTTTACAAGTTTTCAGCGTTTAAGCACGAGTTCCAAGTTACTTGTAAAAATGGGATAAACCTCGAGAGACCTGAATCAAGGAACATGTTGTTTGTTTCTTGGAATAAGATAATAATAAGGTTTGTTTGTACTATGTTGTTCAGAAGAAATGCTTCAGTATGTTGGCTAACTTTTGTGTTGTAATAAAATAATATTGTATCATCCCTTCTTACAAGTAAATATATGTAGACGAAGGAATGAGACGAACTTGGCTAAACCCAGTTTCACTTTCGATAGGTCCACATTTAAATTTTTCAGCCCCTCCAATGTGGCACGTAGGTTATTGGTAGCTAGAAATTATTCCGTTGCTTATGAAATGTGCTTTACCTATCTACTCACGATAAGAATAAGCGTCATAGCTTTATATTACCTTGGCAGATGTCTGCGTTGCATATAAATAGTGAAAACATTATGTTTTTAGCACGAGTCAGGGGTTATGGAACCGGTAAGTCTGTGTGTTTGTGTCTGCATCTGCGACACGCTAGCGGACGAACCACTGAACCGATTTTGACCGACTTGGTGCTCTCAACAAGGCATTGGATGAGTTCGAAAATGGGCAAGAACGGTGCTTCTGTATTAAAATGTCGAATCCTTTTTTTCAGTGTTTTTCATAGTTTGTCCAACTACCAAATATGTATGTAATCGAAACTGATGGGCTTTTGAACCATGTAACAGTATCATTCTTAATTATTTTTGTGTACAGAAATCAATTACGCAAAACGTGTTTTAAGCTTTCAGTATCATGCCAAAGAGAAAGTTATCAATGTCTGAGACTTGTCCTACTGGTGTTATTTAGAATTACCTTTTTTCTTGCAACCTTGCATTTGCATCAGTCATAGTGCTAACAACTTAAAAATTAAATAGGTTTGATCGTAATACAATTTAAACTTTCAATTGACTTCATCCAAACCATAATTACAATTCAGATTTGAATTTCGTCATGTTTTAAAATAATGTAGACAACTTTCAATTTATGTTATCAAAATGTTTAGTTAAATGTGTGGACGGTTGTAACTTCAGCAGTATTTACAATACAAAAAAACGTCGATAAATTTGTCTTCCTAAATGTGTACTTACCAATAGAAGATTGGCTAAAGTTGAAACGCAGTGCAGTAGCAACCTTGGAGCTGGGCGATGGTGTAAACGTCCCAATTGAATCTCTGCTTGCATTGCCACCATTCGGATTAACTCTCAGATTGGGATTAATCGGAAGTGATGTGCTTGCTGACATGGAATGAGACGCTGAAGCTGAGTTTACTCGTCGCAGAGCATTGCTGGCTGGGTTGCTGTTGTTTATCGGAGGTGTTGCTGAGGTCGAGATTGGGTGGGAAAGTGCATTGTTACTTTGTTGTTGCCTCGATTTTCGTATAATTTTCAACAGGATCGCCGTGTATGTAAAGATTATCACGAGCAAGGGGACAAAGTACATGGCAGACACGGAGAAAATGGAGTACATTCGGACGTCCTCAGGGGAAGAGAGGAATGATGAAGTGACGCACTGCCGGAATGTTATGAATTTTGGATGAGTTTCTACACTGAAGAAGATAGCCTGTAAAGTTTAAGAATAATTTTGTGAAATTTAATTACCATTATTTTCTATAAATAGATTGAGTTTACATTACTAAAGAATTACTTTCACTGAGATATCACTTTCAACTAAAATCAGAGTCACCTTAACCGTTCTCGAAGTAAGAAACCGGAGAAAATTTAGAATCCTTGGGGATTTTGTAATCGTTTAATATGCAAATTATACACGGTTTGTTTAAAGTGAACTAGGGCATAATTATTCGCAGCACACAAGATGTTTAGATTATTACAGCTCATGCATTCAAACAGGCAAGCAATTAAATGCAGCAGGGAGGGTGGTGACGAGGAAAGAAATGAATCTTGACAGAATGACGGAAGGCTTTACTTTCTCCAAGCTTTTCGACCGACCAACGGAAAAGACTGGATTATATTGAGTGGAATTGAAGTGAACAAACGCTGGAAATAACTTTTTCTACATCTCTGCTATTCCTTAAAGACTTCTTCCCAACTGCGGCGAGGAAGCTACTGGATTAAGTGGATTAAATTACTGAGACAACTTGTTGGACTGACTGACAGATTGAGGGAAAGTTGGCTGGCGACTTAACTAAAATTGCAGCTCAGACGACTGCAGACAAAAACTGTGTGCAGCACAAGTACTTTGTTTTATTATCGACGACTGCGATGGATAAGATTGACTCATGTGTAATGTAATCTCATTTGAATTAGAGGGTAAGTTACTATGTATTTTTTCCTACTGCTACATATCATAAATTCAATTAGCAATTAAGGACTTGATGAATTAATCCATTAAAATTCATGTTCACATAACCTGGCCTACTGAATCTTCTCTTGGGCGAGATAAGTAAATTTCTCTTGTAACAAATACAGTGAGTGGGTTTCCTCAACTCCACTACTGTCATCTGTAACTCAAGGGATAATGCAACGGGCTGTGTGACAGTCACAATCTTGACATTAAAACAATCTCTTTGTGACAACAATGCATACATAAAACCTGGGAAGACAATGTAGAATGCGAGAAACTCACCATACAACTAAAAAGTTTGTATGGAATGGGGAATTTCTAAGAAAGTGGGGAGAATGAAAAACTATAAATCACAAGAATATGTATACGGGTAGGACGTTAGCAGAATAATGCTTTCTCCTCTGCCTTACTGCAAGGAACAGTTATAATCTCAGTTCTTAAGCACCTCAACAGCCAGATTCTTTTATTTCCAGTGGACGTCATACAGACAAAGTAGACCAAAAGTGGCAGGTACACAAGCAAACATAGACATTCATACATAAAACTAGCCGGCATGCTGCATGATTGTAGTTGAGTTGGGAGATTTCAAAAACACTTGAGCCAATAAATCTGTTTTAGTCCTTTGTTTTATGGTTTGAAGAACCAGTTGATTCCGCTAAACTGGAAAGTTTGCGTTATTTAAGCAGCTTTTAGAATTTTCATCGTACATGCATTTCAGAACATTCGACTGATATTGGCAATTAGTGAGCGATTGTCTGAGATTGAATCAATTCAATTTGAAACTTTTTGACTAATTAATTTTGTTTTTGAACGTTCAGGGCTTTGCCAAATGGAAAAAGTACAAATTTATTTCCAAGTATTTCCTGTAGTTAAATCTCGTATGCCTTGTTTGGAAGTATTGCTAAGTATGAATATTTACCTTGTTGAGAATCACAAAGGTTTTTTGAGAAATACTTTGCAAAGAAAATCTTTTCTGTTCACAAAGCCTCAAAGTAGCAAGATCATATATTGAAGAGTTTATTGGGTTTGTAGGAAAGCCAAATACAAATAATAGCGTTGACGGTTCCGTTCTCAATTTCATTCAATCGACTCACGAAAACTCTAGTTTCTTCAATCAGCAACCAGAGAGAGGAAACGAGCTTCATAATCCAACCAAATAACAAGAACTCATCTTCAGTAATAATGAGCAACTCGTTCCTGGGGATGTTCATTCGTTTGATTTGACACATTCGTGGACACTAAATATTGACGTTTCTCCATTTCAATATTTGGTGTCCACTCAACCAAATTAGTTGCATTGAGTTGTTCCATCGATACAATAATGACATCCTGCTGGGTGTCTAATCTGATATTTCCAGATCTTTGCACATATTTTGAGGCTATACAGTTAAATATATTATTTGACATTTGTATGTATATGGCGAGTAAGTGGATGCCACTGTCAACTATTAATTCATATTGTTAACGGTTAGTACAGGAATAGTACTTTGTGATAGCTTGGCAATTTGATATTGCTAGCTTGTTGGGAGCTATTAGATTAGATTGTTTTCGTATATGCGACTTCGAATATGTTATTAGTGGATGATTCTTTGTATAATAATCATCGGTTTACGATTGTGCAATACTTATGATTAGGGTGGTAGTTTGAATTTATGATGATATCCAAATAAAAGTCTAAATGATCCATTATATTTCCAGTTCCACCTCTATACCGCTTGCTATGGTTAAATCAAAACGTAAAGTGTTTTTAAAATATAGGGAAACAATTTGAAGGGTACAACTTTCAAGGAAATTTCAATTATGTTTTATTTGCGATGACTTTCAAGTTATATAGCCAAATTCGGCATGTGTTAAAAATATCTGAGATATATATGCATCTATAATCAATAAATATAACATACATTCCCCTCGGTTTAGAAATCATGATAGATACATACATCTAAATATGTATGAATATGCAGCAAAATTCTTGGTGCAAATATGATGTATACCTGTTTAATACTGAAGTTCTGTCAATAGACAAAGGTAGGAGAAAGGTGATAGTTGGAACATGCCAGGATGTGCCTTTTTATTTACATTCGAATTATATTAGCAGTGTTTGACAAACAATAGATAAAAACACTCTGCTGCAAGTTTCAATATTGATAGACCATTCAATTTAATCGTAAGTGATAAGTAGGTCTAAACCTTTACTAGACAGAATTTTATAGAAAATATTTTCACACAATTTTCATAGATATACAGTTTTAGCTCGACTTAGGGCTTACGTACCAGACCAGTCATCTGCGTCTGACGTTTGTCTATCCCTAACTATAGTAAAACTCGTTTAAACGACTTAGAACTTTGTAGTACAAATTTACTACGGGCAAATGAGCAATTTCAAAGATGGGTAAGATCACTCAAAAGAGGTTGACCGGTTGGGTCTTTAAGATCGGATGGAGTCATCGGTGCAGAATATTAGGAATTATTGGGTAGGGTGATCTCCACTGTTTTTTAGAATTGTAGAAGGTTTAAACTTGGTACGAACGCTCAAGTGCACATAGATCTAGGAATAGAATTTTCAAGAATTTGTTTATCAGAGGGACGCAACAGGGTGGTCCACACTGGTTTTACAAGTTTTTATAAGTGAGAGAAAGTTGAAATTAATGTTTTTGGGACCGTTGAAGTATGCATAAAATGATTTGAGAAATAAACGAGCTGACGGGAAAAAATTGTAGTGATGACATATTTACAAGTATAAACCCTGACTCGGGCTAAATAAGGTTGCACACACAGTTAGTTTTTACTCTCAATCGTGAGTACGTAAGCTCTTGCTCCAATGTGTACGAACATAAGTTCATACAGACACAAATTTTAGGCAATTATGTGGACATCGAAACTACATTTCAAATACTAAAAGATACATTCATACTTATGCTTTGTTATATCTATAATTATAGGTACAATTTTCCTTCCTTGGTTCCTTCCGTCCTCATCCTATCACACCTCTCCTTCAATTATTGCGAAGAGCTATGTGTATTCGCCTCTATACAAACATAGTTAAAGGTAAAGTATAGAATGTAACATTATGGGGCATTTTGCACATAAAACCCCAATTTAGATCCGGCTTTCTGAGTATTGTGTCTAATGTCCACATTCTGGTCTGCTTAATGACATGAGGCAGTATTCACAACATACTCGTATTTCTGCACATTTCCCCCAAAAATAAGTATCATATCACTTTCGAGAGAAAGTTTTTCTCAAGGTATCGTATTTGGCAAATCCTTGAAGCCAAGAACTCACTTTGATAGGATCGTGAATGGAGTGGCAAGCTGATTAGGACGTTGATAAACCAAACATTTTTCTTCTCTGACGCAGAGTCAGCATTAATTACTGACTGCAGACACGACATGAAAAAAACACTTGAACAATAGGCATTCTACAACTCTTCAGATTTCATTCAACGGAATAAAGTAATCTGTAAACGCCTACGCGTGGTATTTCATTACAAAAACAACAACTTGTGTTCAATAACATTCACTTTGATTTAGAATTGATGAAATTGCAATGTAATTTTCGGGTATCACAGCAAGAAATTCCATGATGGCTTTTATGATATATATTGAACTAGCTGAACGTGTGGAATAAAGGTTATTCGAAACACGGGAATTGTAGTAACTCTAGAATCTATTGACAAAATTAAGTAGAGTCAGGTCATTACCAAGAGATTGATGATCAGACACGCAGGTCATTAAGATTGCACGTCCTGCATCCCACACCACAACGAAATCATACATAACTCACACATGGACCAGCTTTATCTACTTTTTGCTATCGGAGAAAGTAGAAAGTCAAATTATTTACTGGATTCCAAAAATTGGTACCTTATACAAATATTTCATGTGGATATATTAACCGGATGTGATGCAATATATCCGTAATATTTTATCATCGACTTTACTTCTAATAATTGTAATTTACCATTATAAAGTTGCCAATACAAAATGAAAGAATTAAGTATTTAAATAGATAAGGTTGTCTATGCTGCAGTTTACTAATAAACATTTCATTCTCCGGAATTAAAGCGAAATAAATCCGGACAAATTATCATAAATTACAAATATATGTAATATGTAAAGGTTGAACAATAAGTACATTAGGAATTGCTGCAGACCAGTTAATGCATATGGCAAATCATGACAAAAAATGAATTCCACGGTCCGGAAGCCGGAACCTTTTGATTAAGTGACAAGCGCCTTACCATTGGACTACCACGACATTGCTATTGCCTTTACTAACTGGTCTCCTACTCTTATTATGTCTCTCGCAACATGTATAATTTCTAGTCTTCCGCAGTGCCATCCACATAATTTATTAAGTCCCAGAAGGCAGCTACCAGAAGGAGATGAAAAAACCATTTGTAGAGATTTATGGAGAAGAAGATTGCGAGAATGGCTAAATAACCAGACAACCTACTCTCCACTTATCGAATCCGCTACAACTCGAAACTCGTGTTTCGCTTGTGACGATCTTGTTTAACAGACTGTAATTTACATTACACTTTCTCCGCTCTTCTCACCATTTTAAAACGCCTTGGTGGTCTTGAATTCTCAAACAGTTAAGCTGTAGTCTTTTCCCATTTTTGTGCATTTTGTAAATATATGGAAGGCAGGTACGATTAATCACAATTCAATTTTGCTTTCTCATCTAAACCATCTTACATGCGGGGTACTGCACACACATTTATACTTTTACTTAGCATGTGAAATCGCTTTCGGTAATGGGAGTGGTTTAAAGAATGAAATATTGTACTGTGAACTCATTATATGAAACGCAAATGCATTAGTGGGATTAAATTACGGAATTTGGGATTCGTGGTTAGGAGCATGAGTTCATTAATCTGATTTTGTGTGATAAGCTGAGGAAATAAATTCAAAAACATTTATTGCAAAATCGAATTCCATATCTACGTCTTTCTTTCTTTTGTCTAATGCGCCGTCTCGAAAAAAATTGTACTGCAGTTTAATTTGATGCTAATGCAACAATATGAGATTTAATGTGTTGTTTGTCTTGTGAAAGCCAGTTTACATAGAGCCTGTATGCTAAACAGTTTTGTTGCAATTTTCCTTTTGAAACTCTTGAACTTCACTGTATATACTTGCTCCAGGTGTCATTAGACATACATATATTTGACTTTTTGCCAAGTAAATTTGCCTTATTACCGTCCCTTTTGTTCTTGCCAAACCATAAAATCTTACAGCCACAGCGTCCGACGTTATGCACAAGTGAGCACATCATCCGTTGTGACCTTTCCTCAATGTGCGTTGTTACAGGATTAAAACTTTTCACTGTATGACGTTCATGCATGGACTCGTATTTATCTAATAATCTGGAAGTCTGAGGAATAATCAACAAATAGTTTGGATAATCCTCTTCCATCATGCATTTCATAATAAAATTGCGATAACCTGAAAATAAAACTAAGCTAATTACAAATAATATCATGATTTAAATGGTTCTGATGTATCGATTTTCCCAATATTTGCTACAGTCACAGTATACCAGTAAAGAAGTAATAAGTTGTTAATTATCTACAAAATTTGCGAAAAAATTCATGGACGTGTAACTGTTCAGCATGTTAAAACTTCTGCATATGTACATACATTGACATTATTTGACATTTTCCCTTCTCCTTAAATATTAGTGCTAGAAAATTACAATTTTATTTTTTAATATGGGTTTTAGAACCACCAGGGGTTCATTTCGAGCAAAGCTGTTCTTGAAGTTTTGAAATTCGTATTCGTTTGAAAGTCCATAATTTTGTCGTAAATAATTTCGAAAATTCATATTTACTCATTATGGCGTGTTGATTGACCAAGTTAAATTTGTCCTGGTCAAAATCTGAGTGTATGTATCACTTGACACCATCGCATTTTGACATAAATAATTAGGTATATCACTCACTAATTATAGTTCGGATTACTCCTCTCACATCGATTTTTACTTGTATTGTTTGTTATACGCTAACGCTACACTATCTTTTGTGTCATAGGCTTCAGACCAGTTTTTGCAAACTGATATCTATTACCACTGAATAAAGGTCGAAATGAAATCGCTCAAACGTGTAACATATGCCATCATACGACTACATAATATTATAAATTTTATCAATATTGTGTATTACATGTACATACAATGTGTAACAATAGGCAATACATGTAATGAACAATCTGGAATTTTTTCGACAAAATTTGGAATGCATTGGATTGGATCACGAAAAATCGATATTACAAAAATGCTTACTCGATGAACTATGTACATATATTCGTAAAAACATAGTTTATGAGGATGTGCTATAACCTTTTTCCTACATATATTATTTTTATGCCATAGCATTGAACATGGTATGTTAATTCGCAAATTCCACATTTCCCCTTGAAAGTTTTACCTCTAGCGTCAAGTCAAAGCGCACGAAGGGTTTGTCGTTTGTAGATAATAATTTAAATTTATGAAGGTTTCTCGCAAATGAGAAATTGAATAGGGCCACTTGAGCATGTAAAGCACGGAATAGTGATGACTCCATGACGCGACTTGTAATCATACAGATTCACACAGCCTGAAAGATAGTCAGTCAGCCAGCCAAACCGAATGATATGCGAGAAATGAACAGAATTTAAAATAAGTTAGAGCATTGTCTTAACTTTGGTAAAAAATATTGCTAACATGCAAAGTTTAAAGCATGGCTCTGCATATATTAAGAGCTGAGAGAAAGATAAACTTTTCTCTACCTTACACATTGTCTGTACGCACTGCCCGATAGATAAATATGCAACGGGGAATATGAGACTCTATGATTTCAGAACTGGAGAAAGTGAATGCTGCAACGCTTTCTTCCTTCAAACTTTTAAAACTTAAAGGAAATTGCTATGTACATATGTATGCATTTAAATAGTCGAATATATATTGATTTTTTTATTATCTTCGCTTTATGTACATTAAGTTTGTTTTCTAATTCAACCAAACCCCCTTCAAGTTTGTCATATATTAAGTGTGCACAATATGAAAATTATAAACACTCACACACACTGTAGTATATGCATGAATACTACATACATACATATGTATACTTATTGTAGTGAATGGCATGAGCAAAATTAACGGTCAATGAACACTTGCCGACGAAATTAGCTTTCGGATCTTTTAGTTTAACAATATAAATAAACACGCTCTGCTATTGTCTTTCAATTTCCAACTTTGTCGTATTTAAATTAAATAGATGGAGACTGTGATAAAGTTTAAAATAATAATTACTCTACCATTCCCCACCCTCACTACTTTCACTTGAGAAAGCTAGAGAAAAAGGGAACCGCAGCTGAAGGTTTTCAAGTCATACGTGAAAACTTCTCCAGTAGAAATGTTTCCCTGTTTGCAAATTTCGGATGCTATGATTGGTTTTTGTTAAAACAACCAAAATGAATCTGAATGCAATTGTTTAGACTTTATGTTTCAAGTTTGGGTCTGTCTAATATCTACCCTCAATTTGTAATTTTTGTGTTTCTTTAAGATAGAATTGGGTCAAATATCTAATTACAGATCCGTACATAAACTTTAGAGCGTAAGATTTACAATCTGTTATTACCAAAATTGTGCTTAACATGCACATAATTTTAGAAAAACGGCGCATGTACGTACATACATATGTACATATGTATATGCATGTTTGCAACTGATGGATTACATATGCACATGATAAAAGTAAAATTGCTACCAGAAGTTTACCAGACAACTACAAATAACTACTGTTTGCACTTTTACTTCCTTTCTACATCCATCACAAGCAGAGTTCTTTCTCGCCCACGAAGTAGCGAAAAATGGTAACAAAGCTCAAGGGAATTTACTTCAAACGATTTTGTTCGTTGATTTTGCTTGTTGTTTTCTTCAGCAGAAAAAGGATAAAGTTATCGTATTAAACTATGGACCGTATTATAAAACACCACGACAATCATAAACATGCGTTTAGTAGTAAGGTCAAAATATTACTAGCATTAAAATATTCAGCTAGAAGAATTGGGGCAATCAGATATTCATACTTGCATAAGTATTCTCCATTGACCTTTTACTAGCTTACTTAAATAGTACGTGAATACACTTTGCATCTCTGCCCTTTTTGAAAATAACGAAGGAAATATCGATTGCCTTAAACTGGCCACGTACAAAATTTCTTGCTATTTTGACATACAAAATTTATCTAGATCGTGTGTATATTGGTTAACAATCTGAGTATGCATTTGTTGACACTATCATAGAACTGCTTATATATTTACTATGAGGTTTATGAGGTTGCTTACCTGTGGCAGAGAAAATATCACAGATGCGACCCATGCCAATCCCAGCATGACCTTGACCCTGTGCTTCCCACCTGCAAATTTGAGTGGAAATAGGATGGAGAAAAATCTATCAAAGCTTACACAGATCAAAACCATGGAGCTGAGATAAAGTCCGAATGCTCGCATGAATTGACAGAGTTTGCACAGTATATTGCCCCCATACCACTGAATAGTCATACGCCAAGCAATCTCTATTGGAATCAGGCAGAAAGTCACAATGAGATCTGCCACAGAAAGGTGAAGGATTAGAAGAGTGATTCGACTCTTGTGCTTCTTATACTGTCGGTAGCAAGAGGCAAACACTGTTAGATTTCCAGTGGATGCAATGATCCAAATTATCGAGTAGATAAGCACACTCGTCCTTGCACTTTGAGACATTTCTCTCATTTCTTTGGGCATTTCAGAGAACTCTGTGAAATTGTTTGAAGAAGAGTTTGTAAAATTACTGGTGGAGAAGTAAGTGTCAGAGGCCAAGTTGTCCGAAGGGTCCTCTTCCATTAACAGAGAAGACATGGTTGCGGACAACCACCAGCTACCGGTGCCAACAGCAGCCTGCAGGGAGTCATCTTCTTGGCGAAAATCCATAGAGCCGACTTCTTGCGAAAGAAACGTCTCAGCGGAAGCGTCATCCATCATTTATTTAAAGGTTTGGGCAGGTTTTCATGAACGTGGTATGCTTGTTTGAACTGCTGTAGTTAATAGTCACAGGTTGATTAATTATACTACCTCTAATTCTTGGACAAACTCTAATACTTAATTTTTAGCACTACTTATGCATAAATGTACTTTAGACTTTTAAAGCTTTCAATTAATTGGATTGCTTTGATCTCTTCTTTTAGGTTGAACACGGAAGAATGAGTATCTGAGTGGTCGGCAGGTAATAATACTGACAGGGTTTGTTCATATAGCACATAAATTTGTTTTATTATTTTATTCTGAACTAACGTTATACTACTATATGTAGCGGCTTACAAGTTGACAACCGTGACCTTTCTTGTCAGAGATGAACTCACTATTTGCTTCGAGTTTACTATGTTTGTAGGTTCTACGCTAGGACAAAAAATGCACCACTGATATTTGATAATTCTGCTGGAGGATCTGTCAATAATTTCGTTACGCTTGGTTTTTCGTCATCCAAGGATTTGATAAATCCGCAGTATCAAGCAGGATTAAGCTTCATTAAGGGAATCTTGCGTGTTCTATTTTTGAAGAGACTTGGATATGTCCAAACCCATCAAAACGGCAATTTCTCAAGTTGAAAGTCAAAAGAATTTATACACTCAACTTGTGTTTTCCATCACTCAACTGACGTGAATAAGGAGCGACGAGTAACGAAGGGATCAACTGGCTTTGACACTTATCACGTTTGAGGTTCTGAGTACTCGAGTCTTCCTTTGGCAGGTAGTGGGTAATGTAATCTAATTTTATTGACAGATTGAGTTTTTTCTTCAAAAAGCTCTTGGAGAATTCAAAATAAATCTCACTTTTCCCAAAGTAAACTACTCACAGCAATCTCACACCACCGACGCTCAGGCATGAACTGAGACCAGTTTACCCGGATTCGGGATTTTCTTTCGTTATTTGCCTCAATCTATGTGGTATTACTGAACTGTGGGAATCGTTCACAACTTCCCACGAATCTCTTTGATACGAGAGCTTTGTGAAGGGAAAGGTGTGCATTCAATCTCGTAAAGATAGCATTCAAAACTTTTAAAATATGTATTTGCATATGTATGCACTAAAATTATTGCAGGTTGCAGACACTAAAAATCCAGTCGAAAAACCAATATGAATAAGTTTCGTCGCAAAGAGTATGAACAAAACTAAAAATACTTTGTGATCAGGATTGTGTATTTATCTATTATTTCACAATGTGCAGGGATAATTAATAAGTAAGTGATCACAATTAAGTACTTTCTCTGGAAGGAATTTAGAAATTCCAGCAAAATATTTACACAACGGAAACCCTAGACGTTTTCACATGTGCGTGTAACTCAACTGACTATTTACATGAATAAACTAATATTCAACATTATTAACGAATGAATGCTAAAGGATTAGGATCAGGCTCACATTACCTAACCTTTCAGCAGGTGGTTTTCCCTGTGCACTTTGCAACCAAATCATACTCCTAAAATCATACGCATAAAAATACAGCATAAAAGTTAGTTAAATTTAATTTATGGTCATATAATGCAAAGAAACCTGCACGTGCGTTGTTTGTTAGTCTTTCAAAACCTCCAAGGATTGGAGAACCGCAGTCAAAATCTTATCGCTGTGCTTTGTACCGCATCTTAATGATGCATCATTTTTAAGGCTTATTTGTTATTCTATTTATTTTGGCGGTTCAAGCCAATAAAGTGGAGCATCCTATCATACTGTACATATTAGAGGAGAGGATTTGCATACATATGAAAATCCAAAATGCAGTTTGTAATATAGGAGAACCGAAAAGGAGGAAAAGAAGGAACAGGAGAACATTTTTGCTGTGTTCTAAGATAAACGGATCAAGGAAGACGTAGAATCGCAACTTTTACCAAAAGTAAGTACTGAACAAGGCTTGAACGTGAACCTTCAGTTAAGTACATGCTCACACATTGTACACACGTGTCTTTTTACTCTGCAATCTCCCATCATTATATTGTTTTGAATATCGCTTCAAACCACACCCCTTGTTCTTTATTTTTCAAACAAGGATGCTTATCCACTTAACTTCGCCAATTTAACTCGTACATTCATTTGTTATTTTTCAAATCGATTTTCACATAAAGAAAAGTTCTAAAATACATAAGTGTAGATTTGTGGAGTATTGTGTACTGTTTCTTTCCGATTACGCATCACAATTTGCGATGAAATTATCTACCATTAGATTCAAAGTACGGATGTAGTTAGTTAGTTAGTTTTTTAGTAATTTGGTTTAATGACAAGATTCTAGACAAAGTTATGTGCTTGGTTTTAAGACATTTACACAGGGTAAATTTAATACGAGAAAGTTTTCTTGAAATAGTTTGATATCGGTTGTTGTACATACATATAAGAACAGTAAGAAGCCAAAGCAATCAAATTCCCATCTGCAATGTATACACCAGTAAGCACGATGCTCAAATTGCTTTTTACATATTTATTTGCCCACAATAAAATCGACTCCATATCAGCCAGCTCCTACTAATATGTGCTACCTTGCAGATTTCTATTTGGGTATCATACGATACTAATCTAACTACTAACTATCATAGTGCTACATATGCTAGTTCGTTTTAAACTACAATTGATTTTATAAGTAAATATAACAATCAACAACAAATATTTCAACCATTTACTCGACAGGAACATAAGATTGAACTTTTTAGTATAAAACTCTGTAAATATACATATGTGCATGTCCGTTATAAGGTTTATGTCCCTAATAAGTATTTACTGAATGTCAATTAAGATAAAGACGACATGATATCAAGGTATACGATTTATCAATAAAAATCAATTTAGCACAATTGCACTTCCACTAAAGAAAATTGATTAGTTGAAATTTTTACCTATGTAGAAGCCGGTTATTTTTATCCAGTTTATGACATACTAAACACAAACCTACTACTTCTGGACTGACAATTAAATGTTTCGTGTCATAAATACTTTATGAATACAACAGATTCAACGAATTATCAGGATCGAAAAGTATGCGAAAACATTTAATATATATTCGGTGAAATAAATTCGGAATAAATTTCTTAAACGGTAATGGATATGAAAATCATGAGTTGGATATGGTAATATTTACATATCTATACAATATATATACAATATGTTTACAATTAAGCGCATGTATACTATCTATACGTACATACATATACCGATTATGTAGTTTGTAAGTAATTAATTCATAATTTGATGCCAATTAGTCTAAAGCTTCGTTGTAAACCAAATAAAACGCATTGCATTCTTATGGCGAGTCTTATGTCTGTAAACCTGGTGACAAACAAGCAGATTTCCTAAAGAAAATTAGATTGCAGATCCTTGTTTATGGCAAAGGTTTAACTCCACTTCCATTACTTTCACTAGAAGTTTTCAGTGCAGCATGTGCATACGTACAGGCAAGGCTAATTGTTTGGGAATTTAAATGCATGTAAATATAATCATGGTCACCTTTGTCCTATCACTTTAATTCTATCTAACCATCCCAAAGTCACAACGAGCCAGGTGCCAGGTCAAATTCAGTACTTGGATAAATTCCCAAAAGAGAAGGGTCATAAATACTTGCTTTAAATTTTATCCCTTTCCGTCAGCACGGACTCTTCTGCCCTTTGAAGAGACTTATTTATCAGTGTGACATTTAGAGCATATACAGAAACTCGTTACTTAGATTTACAGAGCCTTCAATCCCAATAAGTGTTCTTACGTGTGAATTTTATTCGTTTTAATTTTCATTGTAGGCAGTGCCCACGTGGCGATGAAAGTGGGAAAGTGGCATTGGAGAAAGCCATGTTAAGTTAGATTAGAGCAAAACTTTATGGATGGCAGACTTTCTTTTGTTAGTGCCAGCCTAACTCAAGAAGGGATGCGGATGGGCTCCTTCCTTGTACATTTGTGCGCTCTAACTCTGGCGATGTGAACAACTTTCTATTTATTAGCTCGCTGATTCTGGGTATAATATAGAAAATTAACTGCATTTGTACTCCTCCTAAATATGCTCATGTAAAAGTAGGTAGGCCAAGTATATAAGTAAGTTTTTTTAATTCCAAGAAAATTGAAGTGATAGATAAGTATGTAGGTGAATATATTAAAATATAGCTAACTGTTGCTTCATATGTATATACCTATGTTTATACAGAGAGAACACCATCTAAATTACTGTACTTTTACATGCCAACTGTGCAGTGTGCCGTCCTTATTTGAAAATATAGGTAGTTATATGCGTGGTTGATATGTAAATACATAAATGTTCATTATTGAGATCGTTCCAGTCATTAATGTGTACTACATATACATATACTACACTCAATAATGATCCCATGGGCGTTTTTTGTAGTTTTGTTCTATAGGTTGTGTGAACAAATAAATGTTTGCCTATCTACCCAATGCAATGCTTGAACACGTAGGTCTGTTATTGGTGGCTCAATAACATTATTATAATATCGAGGGTATGTTGATTATGGATATCACATTGAGCAGAGCCTAAGAGAGATTTAGTGAATGATGGTCTAATGTGCGTAATAATTACTGAATGTCAGTTTTTGAAACCAGTTTCCCAGTTGTTGACAGGCAGAGTGACAGAGCGTCCCTGAAAGCAGCAATTAATTCAAAAACAACACAATGCCACTTGTCGGCTGTTACATTTTTCCTCATGGAGCTATTTCGCTGGATCCTTCTACTCGAGACCTGACTAAAGTTCCGGCATACAGGCCCAACACAAAACGGGACTGTCTCAAACTTCACGCCGCCATGAACCTGCAGGCAAAAATACTTGTCGAAAGTAAACCCAATGTCATTTTTCTTACCACGCCTCATGGATTGAGACTCAGAGAGAATTTCGTGGCACATGGGAACACAATGGTACAGTTACATTTTACTGTGATGCTAAAAAGGACAATTTTATAGCTTCTGATTTGTGACAGTCTTCTGGAAGTGCAGAGTGGGACGGTGATTGGGTGAACTTCAAGGCAGATATTGAAATCGATACGGAAATTACAATAAAACTAGTGGATTCGTTAAAGGAAAGTGGAAACTTGATAGAGATGCTGATGGTAGGGTACGTATGTAAAAGGATTTCAATATTCTTCTCATGTATAAATAGACACAACGATGACCAATTAAGTTTAAATAATTTAAAAATATATATAAAAAGTAGGGGAGTTGCTAAAATATATATTTGTACCTATTAGGGCTCCCGACAATCAAAAATTACCTCTCAATTGGGGAGAGGCAATTCCAATGTGGTTTATCAACGAGGCGTATAAAGCTCAGTCTCTTTCCCCTCCGAAGTCAGTAATTATTGGAATGCCAACAAGTTATGCTCGAGTTCCGGTATTTATAATTTTACCGACTTTCTGTCCAGAAAATAGATCAATTAGTTTTCACCTTGATCTGATCTCTCAAATAATAATTTACTCTATGCAGGAGAAAATTCCGGATCTTGTGAAAATAGGACGAGACATTTGGACTTTCTTGAAATCAGAATTGCAGGAGAAGCGTGTGGCGGTGGTAGTCAGTTGTGACCTTTCGCACTACCATTCCACTGACCCCACAAGTCCATATCCCTTCGACCCAGATGCTCAACCTTTCGATGACCTTTGCGTTCTCTGGTCCAGGTTGGACATTGATAGGGACTCTGCTGCAGAAGGGGGCAAAAGTAGTGACACTTTACTCAAGAAAGCAGGATCAATTACTGATCACATTGGGTCCTGTGGTTACACAGGTTTGGCATTATTACAAGGAATCCTTGCCTCCTGTGCAACCGATCCTGATCAAACTATTGCTCAAGAGTTTGTCTCAAATTTTATCGAGTACTCTTGGCCAACTTATTATGGCATGCTGGTAGCACATTTTGTTCCAAGAATGATCTAATAAATGTCCATATAATTGCTGTCTTGGCAGTAGAACACCCTTGTTAAATATACTGAATTTTCGATAAATTAAATGAACAATAAATTCAAGGAACGACGACGATTCGGCATAAACATTACACATGTACTATTGCTATGTCGCACAATCGACGCTTGCTTGTAAATGTAACTACACATGATTATTTATTACTGACTCTGAATTTATCGTAATTTTATGTGCGTGATACATAATATTTAACATCGGTTAGTTTCTTTCTGCAACCAAGATTTGCATGGAAAGCGGAAACTGGGACCAGTAAAGGATGATGCATACATGCATGTGAAACCGATTTAACTATTGATTTTTTGGACTTTCATCAGTTTCAGTAACTCGTAGCTGAGAAATCAGAAGGATTGCGTAGTCTAGATGATGGGCCATCGTGTTGTCGCCATGATGCTACTTCAATGTAGGACATGATTTTACTCAAGGTTTGCAGTGGATTGTACTTAATATATCATAGTCGAATATTGGTGAAATCCTAGGCATGCCCATCAAGGTTTACAGCTCATTTAACGTTTTTATTAAATTTCTTCTGGCCACACACTGAAAACTCAAGTTGTATCTCAGATGCAAAAATTCATGCTATATTCCTATATACGCCAGCTATAAATTGACTCCTCTCTCTAATACGTTCCAGTATATTTAATATAGAAACAAGGTATGGGGAGGAGAGATAAATCAAGTTTTGTTCTCCGTTTTTTCCTACTTTTCTTTCCCTCAGAGAGCGATGGAGGGCTGCGGTGTTGGACTTACATATGTATGTACATATGGACAGCCTGTAGTACAAAGGCAGGGATAAATTAAATGAGCGTGGTGGTGAGGGCTGAAAATTGCATTGCCTTATCCCGTACTTTTATTTCTGCTTGGAGTGGAAACATGGAGGATTTTAATGCAAGCAATTTCAGCAAAAACGAAGGAAACGGGTGGGGAAAGTTCGTATGTGCGCACTTTGGCAGCAAATCCTTTGACTTCCTTATTCGAGGATCAGACCACACTACATGCATATTCGATCTAACCACCGTGTAGGTGTTTCAGTAGTATCATACAGTTGGACTGCAAATGGGATTAAAGTTAAAAGCTATATAATTTCTTTGACAAATTTCAACTGAATTGACTTATCAAGGCCAAACTAGGTCAATTAGTTTATTCCCTTCCGGAAGAGAGGGGTTTGAAGCTTACGTATGTACATTGTTCTAGCTTGCTTTGCTTCTGTTTTGTTCTGAACTTTGCTTTGCTTTGCTTCTGTTTTTTGGCAAATGAAGGTGGCATTTTCAGGTGAAAGTTAAAATTAGATTTTAGCCACCGAAGAAAACTATCAAAGAAAGTTTTTCTTTTTATACTCTGGAAGTGTCTAAATCTTCTTTGATTCGCTCACAGTTCTGATTTATCTTGCTGTATTTCTTCTTCAATTAAGCTTACTCATGCGGCTTGGCATTTTTTTTCTCGTTAAAACGAGTACTTTATTTTATGGATCTACATATTGTTAAGTAGGTTTTATTCCTATAATTCAGTACATATATACACATGTACATACCCATACACAGACATGTACATTATGTACTACATAGTCGAAGTGAGAGTTTTCCACGTGCTTACCATGAATATTGAGTCTATTCGGTATAAGATTTCTTAAGCTTAATACTTTTTTCACTTCCTATGTTGCAAGCATATTCTTGTCCCAGATCGAGACTACATGAAAAAGCTTCTTAGTTTAAAGTTAAATCATTAACCATCGGATTTTGTTCCCCATTTTATTGCGCGTAAAGTTAGGCTTATCGGATATGTGTTTATCATACCGTACGGTAACAGCAAACAGTTCTGAATCAAAGTAATCGGACTGATTGGTAACGACAAAAGGTGAAAGTCGAAAATTTGTAAATACCTACATCCATATTGCAGACTTAGCGTTTAATTTATATTAATGGTTGGTAGACGACAATTTATATCTCAACCAATTATGGACTCGATTTTAGAAGAATCAATGAAGGGGCCAGACAATAATCGTCAATTTTGATCATGACAATATTAGATTTCCTTTTATGTGTATAGGTATATAACTCAAAAATAAAAGTATAAAATCATGCCAAGTTAGGTCATCCAGTTTCCATTGTATTTTTCTCATTCACAATTAATGCATTCTTCCTTACTTTTGAAATGCCTCATAATGAAAAATGGACTCAAAATTACAAGGGTTCGAAATAATAAATTAGCTTGAATCCAATTCGAAATTGCTTTGATCAGTGTACTTAAATAATATCATTCATTGAGACGTATAGTACTTCAAATGATTTTTGTTATTTCTATTCATACTTACGAGTATTTATGGATATTACAACCACGCTATAATTAAAACATTACAAATCATCATCTGATCTCATGCTACCTAGTCGTTAGCAATCCTATAACATGCTTGCGTACTTACATATTAGTGTACATATGTATATGTACACGACAAATTTAATGCAGAAATTATTTTTAAATGAGTACTCCCAACATGCTGTCCAGTTTACCAATCTTATAAAAATACGTGTCATTAATTAAACCTTTATGTTATCCTATAAATACTATCTTCATCTCACTATTCAATTAAAATTATTCGGGGTTTGGCACAAGTTATCTTCATACGACGTGCATATGCAGACTCTTCTGCCCCAACTTTGTCAAATGTAGACCGCAAAATTTTTTGAAGTATGTTAATTCTTCTTGAGTGGTTTGCTTGATCAATATTTTGCAATATTTTTATTTGCTTCACCGACGTGTCTTCATTATAATCTCCTGATTGCAAACCCAGTTATTTGCCATTAGAATATATTTTTAATATTTTAACCTGTGAACATGGAAGACATTCAAGACGTAAAATTGCAGCCTATGCCTGTATCTCAGTTTTTGAAACCTCTAAGGATGACATTCAAGCAGGTTTAATTTTTTCAATATTTTGTCTTTAATCCATATGTTCTTTTGAGAATTTCCTGTACTTCACGAGTTCTTGGTTTTTATGTAGCATTTTGTAACTTTTCAGAACGGGAAAGAACGCTTCTGGGATTTTGTTAAACTTCATGAAAGGTAAAATAACAAATTATTTTCAACTTCATTAATATGGCATATAAAATCTTATTCTTAACCCTATTTTTGATTATTTTTTTGCAGTGTTTCTTGCATTTTATTCAACCGAAAACGAGGCGTACTCGTGTTCGTAAAGCAGTTTCGCCCAGGTTCTCATATAAATTTAATTTTCAACTGCTTTAAAAACTGAATTGTTCGTGACATTATCTGACCAAATAATGCTATCCTTTGCCTTATTTGTGTCTGTCAGCCGTATATTACGGAAATTCCGTTCCTACCACGGGGGACAATTCAGTGAAAGATATGGATTGGACAAAAGTTCCGGCCAAGAACGGGATTACGATTGAGCTCTGTGCAGGAATTGTGGACGATCCTAAGCTTTCCTTGGCTGAAATTGTGAAAAAAGAAATCTTAGAAGAGTGTGGTTATGAAGTACCTCTGGACAAGATTGAGAAAGTTATCGGCTACAGGTGTAGTTTAGTTATTTTACTTCGACAGAATTCATGCACTATGTATGATGTGACCATACGTCGTATTTTTTAGATCCGGAGTTGGTGTAAGTGGCGACAAAAATAACATGTTTTATGCAGAAATTACTGATGAAATGAAAGTTCATGAAGGTAATAAGTCTATGAAACGATAATGTTTTCGTCTATGTATCTGTCATTTAAAGTGACGTTTTTATTACCTATATAGGAGGCGGTTTGGAGCATGAGGGTGAATTTATTGATGTTGTAGAAATGACGGTACCTGAAATTCGAAAGTTTATTGAACAAGATAACGTTCCTAGTCCTGGTGGATTTCTTTTTGCAATTCTCTGGTTTCTTACACACAAAGCACCAAAATAAAATTAGTCCCAAACTATGGTTGTAATAAATATTTTATTGCATACACCATTTCGATGCGTATTTATTTCTGTTAATTATGATAAAAGGTATATGTATAATTATACACAAGACTTGCATCAATTTTTTATAAATAGCAGTCAATACATAAATCAGATACTTATCATTGAGCCAATTTGGCATATAATTAATTCGAATTTTTACATACTAATCACAGAAACACATTGTATATAGTTAGTTTTTCTGACTAGTATCCATTAAATATCTTAAGCGAACCTTTACGTAATTTGGTTGATGTGGTCCGCCTCTGTTGAAAATAGCAAACTTGTCGACAATGGCGTCGAAGGTTTAGAACGCGTAGATGTCACATTCAGTAACATATCTATAAGGGTAGACGGGGGAGGCATACTGGATTGTGTGGTGAGAGGTGAATGCGCTGTAGTGGGTGCTGTTCCCACCGGTGTTTCACTATCCGTCAGTCTCATAATCGTTGTAGTGAGAACAATGAATAAAAATAATGAGAACACCCTGAAATAAATCAGAATGAATGAAAATCTCTGTATCAGTGGTACGAATAGGTGTTTTGGAAAACTTACGTCACACCGCAAAAGATCACCCACTGGAATCTCTTCTTCTTCTTGGCCCTCCCGAAGCGGTACTGATCCATGGACTCATGGCTTCCTGTCCAAATTATGGGGTCTTGGATTAATCGGGATCTCTCATCCCGGTCATGTAACAAACTTTCTTTTTCTCTGAACATTTTAAATATACTAATAATTACAATATTCTACATAATGCTAAGATTTGTTTGATGTAAAACTATACAAAAATTGTGCGTAAAATATTTGAATATTTTGATCTGCACAATAAGTACGCAATAGATTTGTTAGTGGGTTGCAAAAAATATTTGCGAGCTTTACAAAAGTACCAGGGCAGTTGAATTTCACAAAAGCATTGATGATGGATGAGCTAAACAACTCCTGACTTGTTATTTTTCAACGCAGTAAACAGAACAAAATGTAATAGGTGTATATTTAAGTTGTTTACTGGATCAAAGTACATCAGTCATGAAGTATAATACCGAAATGTTTACAGAACTAATATTATTCCAGTTAACCATTCGATATCACCTTAATTCAATACGCAGAGTATAAAGTACATACGCAGAAGCACCGTAAAAAAGCTATCGCATCGATATCAACTCGTGCAAATACGTATCATTCATAATGATTCATGGTTTCTTAAAACAAAAACATAGATGCATAGACTTATAAATGTCTTTTACACTACTACATATTTCATCACCACATACAGTGGACTAAATATTTTCAAACTCTGTGTTTAATAAACAATTTTCTACGCAAGTGACAAAATTGTCCTAAAGTCTAGTTGGGACAATTGACAAGTTGCATATTTGCTTTGCTTGTCTCCATCCTTTTATGCTTACAAGTTTATGATCCCATCCTTCTTACCATCCAGATTACCAGCGTCCTTCAACAAAGGGTGAATCTTGTACATATGTACAAGCATTAAAATGGTGGTGATAATTTCCCCTTTTCCATCCCATCCTAGCTTAGGGGAAGATTTTTTCCAATAGGATCAAACCCTGTTGGAAATGGTTACCATTTCTTCATATTATAAACAGGCCTATTACAGCAAAAATTCTGCTGTAAAATTGTATAAGGAAACCAAACCCAACGTTGTGACGTAGATACGTGGTAAGATATAGAATTAATCATCCATATGATTCATTTTTCTTTAAACAAATTGCCCAAAAAACGAAATACCCTGATTAAGCTGAAAGAATAAATTTATACTCATTTGGAACCTCGACAAATTATATTTTGTACAGATTACGCTTTACTTTGTTATCTCGAAATAATAGCTACGAATTTTTATCGGGTTTAAACTTTTAGCAGAGATTCCGGCAGCTTTAGATAAAATGAAGTCTACCGTTATATTTCTGGGATTATTGGTTGCCGTTCTTCTCATCGCAACACCTTCGGAAGTAAATGGTGATGTGACGGGAAACAATTTTGATCATCCCAATGGTGGACAGGTAATTAATAAGAAATGAGTATCCGAACTTATTAGATCTTAGAGCATAAGTGACAAATACGTCGTTTTTGTTCTCCAGTGTTTGAAGAACAATGATAGATGCGAAAGGAATAAAGATTGCTGCGAAGGGTCCTGCATTCCTTCAGGTAACGCGAAACACCATTTTTGTTCTACAAATTCTTCCTTTGTATTAATATTTGTAGGATTGGAAAGGTTGAATTTTTGTTAAATCGTGAATTTTAGAGTTTAAAATGACCTTCAAATTTTTACCCTAAAGAAAAAATTCATCCGATTTTTACAAGATTCAAAACTCTTTCTTGCTTTGTATTTTTTGAGAAATTTGCTACATCTGTGGAATTTCTATCTTCTCAAAAATCGTGAATTTTATTTTGAACTGTACATACCACTTTTAATGCTCGCAATTTCCAAATTCTCTTTTAAATTTTCAAAATTCATGCGATTTTTACAAGATTCAGAATTCTTCCTTCAGAAAGCAACAAATGCCGAATTTCGATCATCATTTGAATTTTATTTTGATAAACACGACTCAGTTTCCAATTCTTTCTCAAAAATTCCAAAATTCATACCATTTTATCCTATGTATTCCTTCAGGACTGTTCGGGTTCGGAGCTTCTCGATGCGGATGAATAATCACTGGGAAAGTGTGGACATCATGTAGTTTAAATACTTTCTCATAACAATAGAGAAGCAATATCAAAGAGGCACTAATTAATAATTGCAACGATCATGTGAGCTGAAAAATATATGTAATCCTGTGTTCAAAGTTGTTGAAGTAAATATGTACGAAATGTTTTAAGATTTTTAAATATTGTCATTCATTAAAGTTTTGTTATTAATCTTAACCTCTCTACGATGCGATTTTTATTTCATAGCTTGAGCCTAAATCGGCATGGAATGTTTTACTAACGTTGTATTTTTTTAACAATTCATCTTGTAATGTTCGTTAATATGAAATTTCAAATTTCGGGAACGCCTTTTGTTTTGTCATGATTCTTGTGTGTGGTAGTATTTCTATACATGAAAAGGAAATAATTCACACAGGCATAATATTATAATTATACATATATTGCTGATAGTATTTACTATATGTAACTTCTGTTACAAATTCTATAGATGTATCAAATCCTAATCAAAGTGCAACTAGAAATCCATACGAAACTGTGATTGAGATTCAACAACAATTTCAGGTAAAGTTTGTCGCATATGTATGCCAGATCATTTTGGCTATTCCTAAATACAATCTACAATTGGTTCAAAATATAGGATGCTTTCATCAACAATATCAATTGATGCAAGTAACAAACCCAATTAACCCACTCAAAACTCAAACCACAATTAAATGTATTTATGGATCATATAATACACAAAAAAATTATTTTTTCATGTTCAACATGTAAGTCTCTTATATTTGCATACAAGTAAGGGACAGGACAAAAGCATACGATCGATTTGAGGAGGATTAAGGGCTAATTGTAACACGGGGCATATAGGTCAGCCTAGGAAGCTAGGGGTCAAAATTCTCCGAAAACCGATCACTTTATTATGAAAGTTGATTTTCATCATGAAAAAAATTGTGCAGCGGGGAAACTTCGAAGTAGGTTCACAGCCATACAGTCACATTGATATCGTGAATTAAACTCGCTATTAAATGTCTTAATTGCAATAAGTAACTATTGTTAAATTATAAAAATGAAGCTACCAAAAGCGAGATATCTGATAACGATAGTGTGTGTGCCAATGGTGGGACTGCATCTAGTTCAGTTGTACTTTAAAGAGCAGAGGAATTTAAAAACACAACAAATTGTTGAACAAAACAAAAGTACAAGTACTAAAAGTTAAAATATTGGAGGGATTATGCTTAACCTCGTAAACCCAGCGAGTTAAATTTATGAGGTATATTTATTTGCCAAATTTGTGTCAATCAATTTTCCATTGCATTGGTCAGAGTTATTTAATTTCGGAAATTTTTTTGCAGAAAGTCTGGTTGCTCAACACCGAAACAATTTAATGGTAGTGATTTTATAATTTATAATGTATCGGATGAGAATGATAATACGATATTACGCTGAAGTTGTTGAATATGTCCTTGCAAACTCTGAACATGTGAACATACTACTTGATAAGTAATGCATTTGTGAAAATAAATATAAAATTTTAAGCTGACTGAATCTGTATTTTGTCATGAAGTCGTGAGTTGCATTTTAATTGTGATTGGATTTTTGCAATTTCACTTTATTGCAATCAGATATTTGAACAGTGCATGATGCATATTATGCACTTTGTTGCACAAGATTATATTATTGCACGCATCAAAAATGAAGATAACCAATTTGTCGACGAGATTAATTCCTTAAAACACGACTTTGTTACATATATATTTTCGCTATAATGCAATACAAAAGTTTATTAGCTGAAAATTATAATAATAATTTTTTAATGTATGTTCGAACAAAATATATGCGATACAGTTTTACCGTCTTCAAATCGATTAATTTGTTTTGCTAAGAAATTTCATAACTTTCATAAATCAGCAAACAAATGCATTTATTTGTGGTCAAACTTCCCCTGCACCCTCTATTATTATATAACTCCATGTCTCCTGTACTGTACCTGATAATCCATTATCGCATCGTTTCAGGCACGCAAATATATACATAAGTTGGTATTGCACCGGTAAAATTAGGACAAAAAGTGCGATGAACAATTAAACTTGTAATTATAATCGATAAAAATATACTTCCCTTTCAATTGTATAATTGTAAATGTAGAAATAATACGAGAAGACGATCCTTATACATGCCTCTAACTGCTCACAAGAACCCTACCTGTTTCTACATAGATAATTCTGACAGTGACAGTTATGTATATTACAACTACTTCAAATCGTGGGTGTTTAATGCCAGTCGTACAATATGTTGTATGAATCTTTAGATTGTGACACTTATTTTAGGCACTGTTATGATTGCGTAAGAAGAAGTGCATTCGAATTAAGGTAGGCTTGACAATCTTCACTCCACTCACCAGGCAGTCATGAATTTTTGAGCACGCTTTTTACCTTTATCAGAATGTACATACGTATGTACATAAATATATGTATCACAACAACCAAGTGGGCGATTTCAAGAAGATATCGCACATCAAAAATAAATTACATTAATCATCTTCATTGGGGATGACGACGTGACGTTTTTTTTACTTTCTACCATTCCTGCTTCATTTTCATGTACTAGTTACAAAACGCAGCTAGAAACCTAAATATGTATTTATATAGGTGAGCAGGAGGATTGTGTATCTATAGTTTGAAGTGATAGCTTAAAAACTAGTACAAGAATGCATGCATGCAAATGCATTCGTGCATATGGCTTGTGTAATTGACAACTTTTAAATGCATTAACAATCATTATCATAATCTTCTTCTTTAATAAAGTAAGCTTTCTGATACCTACTGAAACTTTATAATGATCTATTTTTGCTTGTTTGCAAAATACGAAAATTGAAGTGTACATCATGTTCTGATTTTGTCTAAATACCATAACTGACGATTATCATTGTGCCATTTGCCATACGTTGCAATTATCTCGTTTAGATGTGAAGATAAGTGCTTCAATCCGTACTTTTTTTGCTATTACTGAAAACAACTGTGAATCGAATCAAATGAAACGAAACTGAAAGTTAGAAATTTCTTCGTAAGAAATATCCTAACTAAAAACGCTTTACGCTTGATATGTCAACCAAACCGGCATCAGCAGAATCACAACGCAGCAGCAGCAGAGATCATTATTTAATCATAAGTGGAATGTAGTTGGAGCAGAATAATCAAGTGGCTGAAATATTATATTATTTAGTGTGATTCATTTTTTTCTATATATGTGCAGATGTAAGTACGTGCCTTTCCCATTTGCCAAAGAGTTTATTTTAACTCAAGAATAATTTTGGCATTCTTGGAATGCACATTGCTGACTTTACGCAAAGTGAGTGAACTACCAAAGGTCCAAAAAGAGTTGTTAAAAAGAGTTGTACGTCTGATCTGTTGTGATTGGATTTTGGTTGTCCCAACCCAAAGATGACAACCATTTTTTGTCTTCCTTTGTTTCGGCCTTTGAGTGATTGTTGCAGAACAATTTACATGAGACTACTTTGTGTGTGATTGTAGTACCAGTAACCCAAAGTATCAAAGAGTAACTCCCTTGAGAGAAGTCGAAGGATAGACGACCCGACTCCACTCAACCAAAATAGATCACTAATTCACTATACGATGTTGTAAGTAATCCAAATCTAAGAGATTGGTTGGTATTGGTTCTATATTATGAATCTGAACATCAAGTCTCAATTTTATCCCAGAGACAAAAGTAGAGTCAGTCAGAGTTAAAAGAGCACTTGACCTGATTGGTGTGAAGAAATATTTATATCGAATCCATCCATTGTTACATGAGATTGATTGTTGCCTCCCACGTCTCAAGTAGTGTTGGCGAGCAAAAAGTGATACAATAATCCTATTTATTTACTAATTATACAGTTTGATAAGTGTTGAATTTTGAAATCATACGAAAACATTGCGTGCATGTTTGCACAAGATATAATTCCGGAAGGTGGGACTGGCTCGTCTAGTTTTGAAAATTTAGTGATATTTGACTAAAAGTGATTTTCATATGAAGTAAAGAAAACCAGCATTATGCTGTAGAAACAAAGAAACTGAAAGGCGTCGTTGGCACATATGTAAGGTGTTCCGTGTCGTGCTCAGCAGAAGAATTGGTTGTTAAATGGTATGCAATCTATATAAAAATTTTGTGCTGAAATTTCAAATGATATATATTCTAGTTTTGACAATTATTATATAATGCGAGCATTTTTTGATAGGTTATGTAAGACTTGTACATCAATAATACTTATTTAGGTGCTCAGTTCCTTTTCCGTATTTTCATCACTTTTTGGCAAACTCAACAAAATGTTTCGACAAATGATCAAATTATTTAATCAGAACACATCATATTAACACTTAACATCAGGGTGGTACCCAAAATGAATTAGAGAATGCTTTCTGTAACACAATCTTAACCACAAACAGAAATTCTCGAGTCAAATTGTTTAAAAAGATAAAAATCTGAGTTCACTAAAGTTAATCGAGTATAACGATGATTTAAATGCAGGTCTTAATACTTAATATAAACTAAATTCTCTTTCAGATTTTTGCCAAACCTACGATCGTGAGTCAGTAATCCGTATCACAAAACCAACCTGTACAACTTTCCTCACCTTCCTCAAATCAAAAGTCATTCATCATTGAAATCTTGATATCTTTGAAAAAATGACTCTTATTAATCCCAATAACGTTATCATTTGCACTGCTACGTTTGTGATTCTGTGTCTAAATTTAACGGGAGGAAATGCCCTTGAATTCCCCAGAAAAATTAATCAGAAAGGTTACGGCTTCCCCTTGAAAAGAAATGCACCAAGTGATGATGCTTTCGCAGAGTCATTTGAGGATCTCGTCCCCTTGGCGCAATCCTACTTTATAACCCCGGAAACCCCATCCACAACTACGATAAAACCCACTTTCAAGCGACGATCGACTCTTCAACCAATTACATCTTGGGGTGGAGATCGTCAAAACAAAAATAAGAAAAAGGGATATACAATTCCTTCCGAGGTTGACACTTCAACAAACAATTATAACCCATTTAGTCAAATCGTGGATACCGGTTTCCAACCTAAAAAATCCTACGGTAATGGTGCTAATAAAAAGAGGCGACCTTCTTCCATCGATATGATGCGAAGAGACCAGAATGTTAATGAGGGTGGAGTTCCATCAATCAATATTGAGAGCAGCACTGCCAATTATGAGAAGGAAACAGGAAATGCAAAAGACAATAAAAAAACTATTGGTAGAAGGAAGCCCAAGAAGGTTATTGATTATGCTGGAGGACCGAGTTTTGCTGTCAATAATAATAAGAATAATAATGATAATAATAAAATATCATCTCCACGACCCCAGAGATTTGTTGGGCAGAGGAGAACATATCAAGCGAAGGTAAAAAACGTGGAAAATGCCCCTGCAACTAGTTCGGAAACTCCAGTAGCATTTACTAGCCCAAATCCCTCAAGGGGGTCGTTTTCTCGAAGTGGACGGCAATACGGTCGTCAGCAAATCAGAACAACTGAGAAGTTGTACCCAGTGGAGATCCAACCTCAATATGAAACCACTGATAGCAAACCCCTTCTTCGCCGGAAAAAATTTACCACCACCACCGCAACATCTACAAACGATGGTGACAATGCTAATAATGTTGACAAAATCCGACCCCGTCAATCTCCCAATTTAAATGATGCTGATTTGCAACGAATTAACTCCAACGTGTTTGCAAGTCGTAAGCCTTTTGCACTTGGCCGTGGTTCTACAACTTTTATAAATCCAGTTGACAATGCTCAAGCCCAACAAGATAGTGCTCCACTGAATCGAAGGATGCGACATCGGCCAGGAACCCCCATCGCGCAGAAGACATTGCTCACACCTTTGGTTCCAGACTCTGAGCATGAATCTTCATCGGATGCCATTACGGTTTTTGCTGATTCCGATGATTCTCCTAATATCTCTTCCAACGCAACAAGTTTGTCATCAGATAGCTTACCACCAGTCTCTCGAAATCTGTCCAATAGGAAGCCAAACGCTTTGGATAGACTTTCCAATAGACAGGCATCCGCTCAGAGGTTTCTGACACCAAAAAAGAACACTGAAGCTTCATTAATTGCGTCGCCACCTACGACAAAAGCACCTGCAATCCAAAGCAAAACTCCGAGAAAAAGCCCCTTGTCTTTGGCCAACTTGAGGAATCGTAGATTGGGAGGCAGCTCTTCAACAACTACCAGCACAGAAGCACCGATTGTGTCGCAAGTAGACCCCGAGAGCCACGAAGTCCTCGGAAACTTGGACGCCCTGGAAGGGACCGTCGTCGTAGAAAATAATCAAACCGCTCAAAACGGCACTGAAGCCGATTCTCCGAAAGAAACAGCAGAAGTACAAGAAGAAGAGCCAAATAAGTCGCCTTTGTCAGGATTGCTTAGAAACAGGCGACCACCTCTTCGACGCCCTTTACCGGGTGCAAAACCTGGACACGAAAATTCCCCAGTTATTCAGATCAAGCCACGTGGACCTAATTTGAAACCAAGAACAACAGAGGCAACCACTCCCAAACCAATAAATATCGAGACTACCACCCCACCCTCGTGTGAAGATGGGAAAAGGTACAATAAAATATTGAGAAAATGCATCCCTGCTTTTAAATCTGGTTGAAGACTGGTTACTTAAATGTTGATAATTTTTTTATTTTGAATTAAATATTGTTTTGTGTACATGCCTTTAGACTTATGATTGTTGTGACTCAGTTTTGTAGGATTCTATAATTTGCTAGAAATATCCGTCTGTCATTTTAATGCATATTTAATTTAATTAATCATTGGGTAGTTTTATTTCACATGTTTAATTAAGTACAATTCATGCGACATGAAAATTGCATGCAGACTATAATTAATATTACAATAATCTGATAACTTGGTTGTTTGCTAAAATAATTACTTATAAAATACTAGGCTAGAATTACGGCACATATAAATATGACAATTAATATAATTAGTAAAGCAGTGTAAAGGTAGGTACCCGCATAATAAATGCACATTTTAAAGTTATGTATAAATTTATATCTATGTAGTAAACAAGATTATCAATAAAAGATTTAATGGATGCTTGTGGTATCACAAATGTAATTTGCCTAACCAATCACGTCACTCTAAATCAAAATTATCTACATGAAACGCATCATTCAGTCAATCATCTTTTCATTTGGGTATTGATTTTCAATCAATTTCTTTGTGCATGCACGTTTTCCAAAACAAATTCTCATCTATAGATATGCATACAGTCGACGTGTCATAAAAATTATCAACAAAATAGCTGCAGTTATGTAACCAACAACATTCCCCCACAGATCATTATACAAAAAAAGAAATGTCAAGATCAGCCAAGTGGAATACCAAAAATTAAAGTCACGATGCATCCTAAAATTAGGCGTAATCAAATTATACATAAAACAACTTTTTTTGTCGAAGTGCAACTATGTATATTTGTGGAAGATAATTTACATTTTTTCAATTATTGATCGGCAAGGGGTATGTAAAATAGTTAAAAAAATTCTCTTGTTGCATGTACTTGACGTATGAATACAACAACAATTGCTAAAACTATAAACATTACTTATATAAGACTTAGATGCGATGACCCTTCAGGTATGAGTTTATCAAAGATGACCATTTCTAGCTACCTTCAGCATCTGGCATAATATACATTACTTACATACATTTGTAATGTACACATTTATACATATTACAGCTTATAAAGTTAAATAAATACATGTATATCAATGCATAACATATAATATCACCTATCTGTATGTATGTACATATCTATGGACAATACATGTCTAATTCATTCAGTTCATCTTTAACGCAACTGTGCAAGTTTTTCCCATAAAATCGCATCAAGAAGTGTACAATCAAAGCGACAAGGTGCAATTAATTTCATCATTATACTCGCATCTTGGTGATATTCTCACAGCTTATGTACCAGTTACTGATAGCACTATACAACTGCGTGCATGTCATGTGGGGTGTTACAATCATAAATCTTTTTTCTGCTTTTATGGGGCATTTTTTAGTAAGCTACTTCAAGATCAAAAATTAGGCTACCTGCAACCATTAAGTGCTGCTTATTTATTTACCAATTTCTGCAGACCCTTAGATTCTTAGAAGTATGCACTATACTTGGTACAATCAGCGTACCTATATTCCATCCACTCAATCGTCTTCTTAAAAACAATGAAATTCCTATCGTGTTTGTTGTTTGGACGATTTTCATTTTGGACCAATTACATAGGTTATAGGTCCCAAAACTAAGGGGACTTGCTCTGACATGCAATTTACTCTATCATCACCAGTCGTTAATTGGAAGTTGTCGCAAGAAGTAACTGACTTGCGTATGATTTTTAGTGTCATTATTATTGAAAAGTTGAGGCATTCTTATTAGTCATTTCAGAATAGGTGCAATACGAGGATAGAGTAATTTTAGCAAAATATGAAGACACATTTGCTCCTATTGTTCGTGGGAGTTGCACACTTCTGTGGCACAGAGGGAAAGCGGAGACGCGTATTTTTTCGGGAAGTAACACCCACAACAAGCGATGCCATAATAAGGTCACAACGTGGCGTGAGTTGATTTAACTATACAGCATTCCAGCGCATACAACAGGATATCGATATACCAATGTTCGTAGATAATTACATCCGGTTACGGGAGCAAAGTAATTGAGCAACATGCAGCTGCCACACGTGCTTTGGAGGAGGCGACAACGTCCGAACAAGCGACCCAGTTTCTGGCAGAAAATCTTCAAAATTCCATCAAACTACGTCAACAACTTGGAACACAACAGGTTATCTGAATTTATTTTCCATCCATTCTTACACAATAAATAGCATTATCTTCTTATTTCTCAACTCTCCGATCAATTTTGTCTACCCTTTAGTTAGGATCTCCCTTCTTTACTGGATTATTTAATTCCCCACAGGTCACTTATACGCCTGGACCCATTCGATTAGTGGACCAGTATGGAAATGAAGTAATGCATGGTCAACAACCAGCTCAAGAAAACAGGGAACTCATCAGCAGCAGTCATTCACAACCAGCAGGACCTCCACAAATAGTTCGCGACCCTGTGACCCCTGGACCACAGAATGCTTATCTTCCACCAGCACAGACTCAGCCTCCGCAGCAACCTCAACAACTTTACTACCAGCCACAATATCAGTACTTTCACCAGCCTCCAGTACTTCAATCACCACTTTTGCAGCAGTTCGTAACACCTGAAGGGCATGTGTTTCATCAGTTTGTAGAACAACAACCTCAGCATCAATCCCCACCACAACAAGTATATTATCATACTTATCAACAACCACACCTTGTGACACAACCAGAACCAGTTCAATATTACCACCCTCCTCAGACTCCCCACATATCCATCCTGGCACAACCACCAGTGGAAGTGGATACAGTTGTACAACAACAACCAATTCTTCCGGTCAAGGAGTTATCAACCACCAAAGTTGTAAAACAATCTATCCTTTCTCCAGCCGTGTTTCAAAAAGAAATTTTCGCCATAAAAAATCCACCAGTAAGTGTTCTCACGTACAGTGACTTGTGCACGGTGTATCCTTATCAGAGAAAGTTGTCCGCTTGTGTGTACAAAAAAGCTGCAATTCCTGAGCTCCACCATCCAGATATCCAATTGGTTATCGAGCAAAAGAGTGCCCCTCAAGTGCGAGAAGAAGGTGGTTATGGAGAGGGTCAACTCAACCCGAGAACACAACCACTTTTAAGGTTAAACGTTCCCAAAAGTGATTCCACCACGACTAGTTCTACCGTTGGTGGGGATGCAGGTTCCATCCAGGATATTTTAGGAAGAGGGAAGAAAAATAGTCTTAGCCCTGTTCCCCCAGTCTCATCTGAGGAACAAGATGATAACGACGATGATCCTCACGATCCGGAAATTGCAATTTTGGAAGAAGAAAGTACAAACATTGCAGAGTCTTCCAACAAAAAAGAGAAACTTGTAATAAAAACTACTAAACATTCCCCTCAAACCAGCACTACAACCAGCACGACCACCACTACAACAACTCCCCCATCGTCCACGACAAGGAAACCGAAAAAGTCTAAACGGAGGTCAAGAAATAATAGCAGTAAAAGAAGGAGGGACAGGAAGAACAAGGAGCAGTCCAACAATAACTCTTCCTCCATTTCCTCATCGACAGATCGCATGTTCAAACTAGCATAAACATTCGGGATTGATTCTATCTGACTAAAATTCTTATAAATCCGTATTTCAGAATGTATTACTTGAGTCCTATGCATACAAATAAATATGCTACAATATATAACCAATAACAAAAGCTCCACGATGTCAAAGTCACTTGATTAATGATTAATGCATACAAATAGAAAATTCCAGCATTCCTTATTTATTGTACTACTTATTACCTCTAAAATCTAGAATTAATGTTGCATAGCTTACTTTATTCTGATTTTCAGAATTACAAAATTCCAACTGATAGTATAAGAAAGATAAGACAAAATCCATTCATTCATGCAGTCCTCAACCTAGGAGCTTATCACACAAAAAACATGCAGCATCTAAATTCCACCCTACAATGACTGGACAAAGAAATTGTTGGTGGTGGTTTTAGTGGATATGCGCACTCACACTGCACAATGGGGCCGCCTTATGGTAGGAAATATCAGAAATTATTTTATGACTTTTTTTGAGCTATTTATGCATATGAGGTAGTTTGGGGACGGATGAGACAAATTATATGACTGTAGTGCGACCACACCCCCTGGGGGAGGAGTTATCTCCATTTGAAGGGGTGTGGCTTTGAAAACTATTGCATTCGATAGATCTTTGAAAGCTCACCCAAATTCATATAAGTTACACCAACGTACGACGCTTCAGAGCAAAGTTATTGGCCTCCAAGCATCGAAATTGTGCATTCTGCGCCAACTTTGCGCCCTCGTGGCGCAGTGCGCGACCTCATTCATGAGTTCGTAGCTATCTCAAACGACGCTACCTATGTTGGGCTCTCACCCCAAGAAAGTTGCCAGGCGATTACACGCCCCGTTTGGCCACAGGAATTTTTTGAAAATCGTCAAAAATATAGCCCAAATAGCCTATATCTGCACACTCAAAAATATTTGTGAAAATTTATTTAGAAATCGTAATGTATATGACTTCCCTGCTGCTAGCATTAAACCTAGTAAAGCCCGGTATATGGCTGAAGGGTGAGAGATTTGAGGATGAGGTCCAGCAAAAAAATTGTAAACGTTCGAATTTTGGTTTACAAATACAACGAAATATTTTTTAGTGTGCAGATATAGGCTATTTGGGCTATATTTTTGACGATTTTCAAAAAATTCCTGCGGCCAAACGGGGCGTGTAATCACCTGGCAACTTTCTTGGGGTGAGAGCCCAACATAGGTAGCGTCGTTTGAGATAGCTACGAACTCATGAATGAGGTCGCGCACTGCGCCACGAGGGCGCAAAGTTGGCGCAGAATGCACAATTTCGATGCTTGGAGGCCAATAACTTTGCTCTGAAGCGTCGTACGTTGGTGTAACTTATATGAATTTGGGTGAGCTTTCAAAGATCTATCGAATGCAATAGTTTTCAAAGCCACACCCCTTCAAATGGAGATAACTCCTCCCCCAGGGGGTGTGGTCGCACTACAGTCATATAATTTGTCTCATCCGTCCCCAAACTACCTCATATGCATAAATAGCTCAAAAAAAGTCATAAAATAATTTCTGATATTTCCTACCATAAGGCGGCCCCATTGTGCACTGCTCACCTTTGTTATGATAACAACGGGACTTTCCACAAAAATATACAACCTCGCAGGAGGTTACTTAATTAAATTATAGTAACTATAATTTAAATTAAGTTTAAATAGCAATACTTTTTTATGGAAAATATGTCACTCATCAGTTTATAGCAGCTTATCACGAAGGTTTGGATGCTACCGGAACCTCGGAATTGGGATAAATTGAGACCCATTATTTCATAACGTCTCCACGACAATCGCCCGGCCTCTCTCAAATTCTTCTCCCCAACCAAACAGAAACAGTGGTTCTGCAGAAAAATTATAAATTACAATTTTTGACGTAATTAAAATAAAGTAATTGTGAATTTTGGATCAAGACTTATCATAGAGTTGGATATGCCACGGGAGGGGGATGATGACACCTCGTCTAGGGCAGGGAGCATTGTGGATGTGACCTCCACACCTCCAATTGCCACAAGTCATCCTCGTCTGCCAGCAGCACAAGGGGAACCTCAAGTTCAAGATAATGCATTTACGACAGCCCAATTGAGCCTGGCTGATAACACCACTGGAGACAATGATGTTCCGGCTGTAATTTTATTAAGACGCAAAGATGTAAGTAAACTTAAAAGAATGACCATTACAAAAATCACATTTAGTGTTGATGAAACGCGAAATGTTTACTAATATAAAAGATATGATTTGAATTGGATGTAATCAAAATATAGATGCTCTTTGGTCGTGCCGCCACTTGCGACGTTTCCCTCAACTCTTTGCAGATCTCACGGCGTCATTGCAGTTTAGAGTATCGAAATGACAAGTGGTTCATTAGAGATTTGGTGAGTTCTCGTTGTAATAAATTTGAGGAGAGAAACGGAGAGAAGGTAAAATTTAATTCTCTATTTTACTTACTTGTTAGAGCACCAACGGTATCACAGTAGCTACCAAAAAAGTGATTAAAGATCAGTTACACCCCCTCAATCACCAAGATATCGTTCAATTAGTGCCCACCGGAGCGCTGACGTACCGCTTTACCGAAACGAATAAAGAGAACCAACAGCTTATATGTAATGCTTCCAATCCTATCACTATAGAGGACGATCAAGAATCGCTGTTATCATTAAAACACGAAGAAGACGAGGGTCTGCCCTCAATAGAGGTGGTTGATCATGCAAATAAGAAGCAACAAAATGAACAAGACAGTGTAATGTTACTTGACGACTCCATGTCATCAGCCTCAACAAAAAAGACAAATTCTCCCTCAAAACGTCCCTTCTCTGCATTTGCCCTTGAATCATCTCCTCCTTTCCTTGAAATTAAATCAAATAAAAAACAAAAGACTGATATACACCACCTTAGCCTCCAATTGCAGCGTATTAAAGCCGAAAATGAAGTTTTGAGGGTTGAACGAGTAATTGAGCGAGAAGAATATAAGCAGAAGAGGGATTTAGAAGTTTTATTCTTTAAGGAACAGTATAAGGAAGAGGTCAATAAAAAACTTCAAGATATTTTAGAATCGGAGTTTAGCTGCTGCATTTGTTCCTGCGTGTTTGTTGAGGTAATAATAAGCCAATCTCCAATAATAAATAGTACTTATAGAAATTAACTTGTACTAATAATGCAAACTTCCAGCCGTCAATTTCTCCCTCATGCGGCCACACTTACTGTCACCACTGCATTTCCGAGTGGCTAAAAAAGAAACCAGAATGTCCAATTTGCCGCAGCCCCATTAATACGCCTCCCAAGAAACATATTGAAATGGGGAACTATATAAATAAAGTCTACGAGTTTGCTGGAAATGATGTTAAGGAAAAACGTGACATACAAATTAAGGATCGACAGAAAGAGAAAGAAGCGGCGAAGAATGTCTTAAGAATGGCTGCCCCACATCCGATGCCTCAAGGATTTATGTTCGACTTGGAGCTGTTGAACGCAGCAATGAATGGAAGGGGGGGTGGAGGTCGAAGGGGACGAAGGAATAATACAGCGGCTGTAGCCGCCGCAGCAGCAGCAGCAGCAGCTGGCGGTGGAGCCGGTAATGCCCCACCACCCCCTCATCGACGAAGTGCCAGAAGGGGAAGAAATCAGAACAATAACCCAGCAACTGGTGGACTACCTGGCGGTGGAGCTCAAGTCCCCGGTTACCAGAGTAAGTGCAAAGAGCTAATCTATACATGCACTGTTTGGGATTAATTCATCAAGCTTGCATATTTCATTGCGTAATTTTTGCAATTGTTGTAGTGATACCGGGGATGCTGAACATGAATCCTCCTGGACCACCTCACCGTGGTGCAGGACATAATCATCCATTCTTTCACGTTCCAGCAATGCCACAAAATATGACTCATCAAGCAATGCACAACCACTTTCCTCAACTCTTCAATAATAATCAATTTGAACCATTTCTACACAACGATGTTCTGATGATTGACTAACTATAAGGTTCAGTTGTTTAATTAAATAATAAATGGTGTACAGTTATTCTCTGATTGTTGAAATAAACGCATTGTATTTTAACAAGCTCAATCCGGAATTATCAAGAAAAAATATATGACGTTTTATTATCATGATTACCTTGCTTTGACTTATTTTACTGAAGCCTTGGATTTTTCATCCATGTCCCGACAATTAATTAATTAATTAAAATAACAAGATGGCTATTGTAACTGATAATTCCGTGTAAATTATAAATGATGAAATAAATATGTTCGCCACGACGTAAACTATTCAGAACAGCGACGAAAATTGAAAATTATAGTTATTGTTTCTGTACTTTTTTGAGAGAACAACATGCTATATTTGCCTTTTGTCAAAACCTCGAAAACACAAAATTGATATGACATTGACGATGGGATCACTGTTGACTGTACGCCATTGAGTATATGTACATATGCATCATTTTTAACATGTTTACTGCCCGACGTCTTCTAATAATGCATTCCATTAACTATGCTTTCATATAGGAATCAAATAATAAATCTTAACTCATTATGAGTAGATGGACTTCAATTAAATTAACTGCATTATTTAAGAATCCAGTAACAGTATTTTCGGTGTAATGCTTATACACAAAGCTCTCGAGTTACTGAATTTTGCAAAATCCAACATAATGAAAAATCTCAGTGCATTTGCTATTTCTTATATTATTGTATTTTGAAGTGGAGTATTGTATACGGGAACTTAAAATATATACATATATATACAAATGCATATTGCATAATCCATTGTTGTACATAATCCATTCTTTCTTGCATATTTAGGCGGTGATGACGATGAGACAGTCACGACTTACGGCAACTCCAGAGGCCCATTCCTCAGGAAAATGGAAAACTCTGAAGAACACTCGGGAACAGCAAGTCGAGATAAGTTGCTTAATAACTTGTTTTCCAACTACAAGGTTTGCAATTATCTAGAGAACTCTACAGACAAATTGGGGCTTTCCATCATAAGCCTTGACTTTGTGAGACGGCAGCTACATATTTACTAATAAATAAGTGGATAATAGGTAGGGGTTGTGGAGAAAAGGAGAAAAGTAAAACATGTTTGCTTATTTTAGTGCGAGGAACGTATGAATATGGATGTCTGGATGCGTTATGTAATCACCTATTCACTCATGACAATATTTATAGAAGCAAAACAATATTGAATTGATTTTTAAAAATATTTAATTGATGTTATTTTGCCTTTCATAAAAGAGTTGGCAAGATAATCGACTCGTTTGGGACGAAAAAGAGAGTGGTATCAGCGTTCTCAGAGTACCGCAAGGTTTGGACACCCGACATTGCATTATGCAATGGTGAAAGTCGTCCTGTTAAACATAATGCACACAAATATTTTTATGAGTATTTATTATCTTCGCATTATTAAAAATTGCAGAGTCAATCCGAATATGAAGTGCGTCACTTCGAATGTCTTGTTGTATCCGAATGGAAGGACCTTTCCGAAAGGTGCTCGGGTCCCTCCTTGCAGGTAGATCTTTTTTCATTTGCCTACTAAACCTCATTCAGTATAAAAATTACCTTAATCGGTTGAAACATAAATAAATAAGTATGATTACATACGTACTTTTATAGCTTGAAAAGCTACTGTAACCTCACCATCGTTGACCATCATTATAAGGGGCCGTCCATAAATTACGTAACGCAAGAGGGGGGGAGGGGGGGTCATGGGAAGTGCGTTACGAATTGTTATGAAGGGGGTGGGGGGTATAAAAAATTTGTTACGTAACACATTTAATAAACTCGACTAAAATTCGCCAAATAGGATACGCCGAGCATATTGAATTCATGTCATCCAAAGGGTTTCAGTGTACGCATGTAAATATACATTTTTCATTAGTTTTCCAGGTGTAAATTGAGAAAAGGTTGCATTACAGTGGGGAATTTTAGGCGGAACCGGTCAAGAAAGGAGGGGGGGGGGTAACGAGTCCATCGTTCAATTCTGTTACCAAGAAATATACCAAAAAATCTAGTTTATTTTTACATAGATATGTACAACCAGATCAATTCATTTGCTTCATTTTGAAATATTTAAGTGCAAAGTTGTCACAAATTTTCTAGCTCAATGTAAAAAAGTTTGCGGTCAAAAGTTTGACCTTAAATATCTCAGAATGGAGTAACCGAAATAACCTGGTTATACAGGTAAAAATTAACTGGATTTTTGGCTCTATTTTGTGGTAACAGAATGAGAGATACCCCCCTTTCCTTTCATCGGTGCGGCCCCAAAATTCCCCACAATGCATTGCGAATGCTAAGTAAATCACCTGCGGTGAAATCAAATTTATGTTACGTTACGAAGGGGGAGGGGGGTAGTCGAGAAGCGTTACGATGCCGTTACGAGAGGGGAGGGGGGGTCTAAAAAATGACGATTTTTGCGTTACGTAATTTATGGACGGCCCCTAAGGAACAAGTGTGCATTCTTAAGTTTGGTAGCTGGACATTAGGATTAGGTCACTTTGATGCGGTGAGTGTTTGAGGAGAATTTTTACCAGTTTGCATATATTTAAACAATTTATTACATCCATGCGTAATTTAATTATGCCTTGCGAGCAGGATCGCATAGAGGATTTATGGACAGTATGCTGTTCTACAAATAAATATTGTCATTTTGTTTTATTTAAGAGCTTGGATTAATATGATAGGAGTTCATAATATTGCACAAATAATTATAGATTTACATTGTAGTTTTAATTTCCCTGCAATCATTTTGAAATCCAAGAAATTGCACAAACTATTGGGCATCGCACGCACTGATTAATATTATTAATACTATATGCATACTGTAAGAAATTCTAAATAAAAGCACCATATTAATAAATAAGTGCAGATTTGTGGATAATTCCCAATACAAAATTGTCGTAAATACAATTAGTTCAACAATAAAAAGACATGAAACATGTAGCACCTTCAAACCTTATCAGTTTGTGTAAGTATATGCAGTCCAGAGCGTACCCCTCAAGTTTACTAGTAAAAGGTGCCAACTCCCCCCCCCCCTTGAAGCATAAATTAATTTTATGCATTGGATTAAAATCAGTTTCAACTCTATAAGGTTTAGTAATACTTGCCGTAGTTCATATTTAGCTTCACAAAGACACAGCGTACACATGAAAAGCAATATTCCATTATCCATGAATTACATATTTGTTCCTGTTAATAATTCAAACACAAAGTTATGCGATTCTATGTGATAAGATTAATTAATGTGTAAACAAATACGAACGTGCTATTCTCTGTTATTGTTATTCATGAGTGATAAATTGTTTATTTATGCTGTGGGTGTTTTCTGTATTTTTGTATATTATTTTTCGCATCGTGGAAAATAATGATTTAGGCACTTAATGTTCCTGCGAAGCCATTAGCCTTGCCAGAGACTAATTTACTTCATACGGATCGTATAAGAACAAGTATTATTTTTATAATGTCGTTAGAAATAATTATACTTATTATTTCACCTATTGTGACTCTGATAGTGGTAACTTATAATCAATAGTTAACGTTTGACTGTTTTTTAAATTGGAAGTATGTAACAACTTTTGTATTAATGAATTTGCAGCTATTTTTTCTTATAAAAAAGATGTATAGAAATGCGTCTCTTCAAAACTGTGTCATCAGTGGTCATGGAGCAGAGGTCTGGCAAGGTCCATCCCAAAGTAAGTAACATACAATTATTAACCTGAGATACACAAATTTTTAACCCAAAATTAATAATGTATTTAGTGACGATATGGACAACGCCATTCCATTACGAGTCATTTACAAATTCGGGACGTTCGTCATTAGTTTGCACCACAGAGACTTTGCATTCTTCTGATCATTTTAACCCCAGATCATGTCACACTGTTGAAAGAGAAAGTGAACAAGTTCCGACCTATGAATCTGTAGTTACCGTTAATACTGAAATTGTTCATATGGGACATGATGGTTCCCTTCCAACATACAAAGAATACTTGAACATGGGCTATGAAAGATGACTGTGAGCATGTTGTAATTTACATTAAAATAATTTAAGAGGTTTGAGAGATTTCTTATCCATAATTTTCTAGTCTATGATAGGATCTGATAATTAAAGTATTGTCTCAATTATTATGAAATTAGATTATAAAACATGCAATTTCCCCGAATCAGTGTATGTAATTTATGATACTAGGATGATTTTTGTATATTTTCACATAGATTGCAAGTTGCTAATTAGTGTCCACGCATCATTAGTGTCTTACGAGAGGAGCTACATATGTATGTACCTAGTCATTAGTAAGTAGTTTATTCTATTCTCGATTTGATTGGAATAAATGCTTCGTATGTTGGACTTGTGAATTTTTAGCTACCCTGTTAAATTTCTTGTACACATATTTACGATGGTTGGATTACTTGCCATCACTTGGATTACACTTCTAACCTTGTTCTTTCTAATATTCTCCTTATTTGTATGGGCACTTTATTTTTAATGTCAGTCTAATGTATTTATATACACAAAATATTTTCCAATTTTCAGGTCTTCAGAACGTGCAGACAGCATATCGGCAGATTGCATACTCAACCATCTTCAGACATCGACACTGGAGGAATACATATTTCTACATTTCGTGTAGAAAATCGTGTAGAAAATCTTCCAACGCCTGCAATTTTTCCAATTTCTCCCCCGCAATATGTAAATTGTAGAGATTGTACAGAACCAAGCGCTGTTGTTGGGAGAACACCATCGAACACCTAATCATTTCATATCTACAGTCTTATAGCTGCAAATGTAATACGTACGTATGTAATTAGTTACTAACTTTTCGGTTGATTATCTAGTTATGATCAACTGTATAATTGTAATTTAAATCTGGTAATACTTTGTCAAGTACTCGCAAAATTCAAGAGATTTCGTCGCCAGAAAACGAGATGACTTGCAGCAACAACTATGTGCCTATGTATAGTTGTTGCACTTTATTCATGAATTATATATTCAATAATTCTGTAACATTTTTTACGAAATAACATGTTACAATGTATTTAGTAATACCAAAGATTTTGAAAGTTTTGTGTTGCTCATCTCACTACAAAACTTGATCATGATCATCTGTAAGATAACGCTGCTCTTATGATCCTGGAATAATTTTTCGACGAAATATTTGAATGCCGTTGCTAGCAAAAAACATTGGAATACCTTTCTAATGAGATTTTTCTTGAACCACGCCCTGGTTTCTAAGACTGTACATATATGCACAGGGCTATATATAACCATGTATATGCGAACATGTGTATAAAATGGATGAAGCGTATTTAAGTCTTGGACATCAAATAGAAAATGTTCATTTATGAATCATAAATTATTATGATCACGGAGTTAAATAGTATTTAAGTATTGGTAATCCCATGGCTCTCAGAGTTCATTATATGTATCAGTGAAAGATTTATCATTAAATGATAATTATTCAATTGACGTTTTGGCATATTAATATGCGAGATTGGGCAATATTACAGCTTGACATTAATCATGTCATGTTAGGCCAAAAATAGCTACTTAGCAGGTAAGTGCTGTCTAGTCAATCCATTGTGTTGTGTTACAGAATCTTATCAGACATCCTCTCGTACCCTGATCTTATAATTAGTTGTAATGTACTGTACTAAGTACTTATCAGATTAATTTTCTATGACGTGCGTTCAATCAGGTGAATCTAAAAGTGAATAAGCTTACCAGAATGCAGTCGATATTGCATATGAACATAAAGAAGTACAAGAAGTGCACAACGCTAAACTTAATACGATTGGTGCACAAAATAGCTAAAATTAAATTTTTCACACTAATGGATTGGTATCCTATTATGGCCATGGGGCTTGTGGCAGTAATAAAAATATTACTCCTTGTATTCGTAAGTTCATTACGTTTTGTATTTTTTATCGATATATTTATCAAATCAAATGAACGATACGACATTCTCAAAGCTTTGTATAAACTTGAAAATTTGTTCTAGAAATCATTTGTTGTAAATTCTAAATGAATGCAGGTCGTGAGGAGTCAAAGAGCTCGTAACGCACATGAAGATGAGAACAGCAATATCTGGACGAGGCAAAGTCCACCCAACTCAACACCAATCTCTCAAAATATCTCGATCATAGCTGCGCCGTCATATTCCGAAGTGGTCGACAACTCACACGATTTTCCTTCAGTTTTATACATCAACGAATGTACGAAGAACATCGATACTGATGATCCACCACCAACTTATCAAGAGTTTTTAACCATGAACAATACTCGCAAACAGGAGAACAATTTATAGCATTTCATGGACATACCTGTTTTTATTTTACTCTGTGATAATGGTAAATTTAATTTTTTTATACGACTTAAGTAAAAATATAAAGTGTAGGTAATAAATACAAGACTCGTCTCATTTTAATAACTCAAGAAAAGCCAATCTACAAAATACGGCTTCATTGTTGTATAATATAAGAAAAATATAAAAATATAAGTGATCGTATGGATCAATACGTCTGTGTATAGAAGTTAGATAACAATAAACATATTTAGTTTTAATAAACCTATATACATAGTTTCTGTAGACCATAGTACACATGCAAATACCTGTGTCTATTACATCATTCTAAACTAGCTATTCTAAGATAAGTCTCTCGATGTATGTGCATAAGTATACTTTTGTAAAACCCGAAAAGATAAATATGACGAAAAAAGTAGCCCAATTACACATTTATTATTACTTTAGGTTTATGTGAAATAGTTGGTTCAGACGCAGGCGTCTTCTGTAATAATTGTTTGATCGGTAAAACCATGGGCGTATCAATTTGTTGACTTTGACGCGTGTATAAACTTTTCTTGGATGGAATTTGAGCTTCTGGGTTGCTGAAGCCGTCCAAACTAAGAGTTTAATATGAAATAAATATGTAATAACTTTTGTACAAAAGATGTAATACTATAAATAGTGTCCGAAAAATGAATACTCACTGAATAGCCATTTCCACACTATTTCTAACAATAACTGGCACTTTTCTCAGCAACGAGGCACAATTAACGTCATAGAACTGCTTCCATTTGTAGTCGACATTCGGCGATAATCGCTTGTCGCTGTTAGAAAGGCGTTTTATAACTTCCTCGAGAGAACTCATGGAACCATTTGACATGGCTGATGTGGCGACATAGTTGTAGGCCAGTCTCGTCATCAAAATAACTTCCCAAATGTTTGTCATTGAAAATACCGCTTGTTCAATAACGCTCTGTACATTTTGCTGAGTCTTTATAAATATTGATCTCATCATCTTGCTATTATCTGGGGAAAGCCTGCAATAAGTAAAGTTGTAAATACCACATTACTAAAAATATTAGCGGATTCTTTGAAAATTACTTTGCGGATTGAAGCAAAGTGTTGAGGCTATTTCTCATTCGAATCATGTGAGGCAAAAGGACGGGAAGACCTCTGCTTTTCTTGCCACTAGCACTCTTGATCAATTTTAGCACGGATGGCATCGCTCCCAAAATCATTTTCAGCTTAACTACGATATCCGTGAGGCCATTCTGTACACGTGTCATTTGATCGCGAAACCTTAAGTCATGAAACTCTACCCATTCCATGTCTTGAACATCCCTTGTGTAAATTTTGAGCTTGATGTAGTCACGCATCTTGTACCGCCGGGAGTCAGGAATGATGGCTTCGTCAAAAATTTCACCAGCGCTAAAACACAAATTAACTAAAGTACTTTTTATAAACCGGCAATATTACCAGATTATGATCATTGCTAAACATTGCTAATATGTATCTATGCGTCATACTCGACTCCGAAATAAACTGGAGTCATCAATTTCACGTCCATTAGTGTCGTCAAATCATCCAAGGGTTGTAACAATTTCTCCAGTTCATTCACTGGTGACACAAAGTTTTGAAGCAAAATTCCAATCATTTCCGCTTGCAAAAGCATATTCTCGAAACATTCCCGATAAAACTCTTCCTTGTCGTTGTCACTGCTCGATGCTGTTCCCGCAGCATATGCAAGTATCCAAATAGAGTGCGTAACGTAATTAAATCCGCGAGCCTTCTTATGTTGGCCTCCTGGCAGTTTGGGCCACTCGAACAATGCCAGAATCGGACTCCATTCGGTGTCCAATGCGTTCATATAGGTCTTAATCCCTTCGGCCGAGTGGTGAAATGATTTTGTGGGTTGACATGGCTTGCAAAACTTAAAAAGGAAACGATCGAGACAGCTGAGGCTGGAGGTTTCGTCCATCAATTCAATAAGAGACTTGACAGAGGAAGACTTGCCCAAGGGTTGAACTAGCGAGGCAGGGCCATACCTCTCCGACCTCCGAGGGACGTTAATCCCAGGATATTCGAATTCCTCATCTAATTCATTTTTAAGCATGAGAATTGTTTCGTCGTAACAGCGGTTAAAATGTCAAAAACCCACCCTCATCTTCTGTGTTTAGCATTATTCCAGCAAAGTATCTCCTGTTGGTTTTCAGTGTGTTTAGATGGCTTAAAATCAGTGTCGAGTGAGGTGTCTTGGGTGGTACCGTGGGTGGGACGATGGATGAGACAGACTCTTGGTTTATACCGACATTGGGGGGAGCTTGCTTGTTTCCCGGGGACAACTTTATCTTACTCGGGCGCACGTAGTCTCCCATATTTCTGAACTTTATTTTCAATTATCACAATTTCCGGAGCAAAATATGGAAGGTTCTACAAAATATGGTTTTATTTTAACAGGACACATTACTAATAGCAAATCGATCGTCTGGATTTTCCGCATAATACCATTTACATGCACTGAGGGCACGATTGCTTGACATTTAGTATCTAGGTAACTCTTGTGTCTTTTAACGGTTGCGACAAATGGTGGAGTTACAAGTAAAATAATTATTTTTTAAATCGTTGGTACACGTCCCATGGTCGTGTGTACCAACGACTTTGACCTTTAATAACTTTTGAATGGGCAGACATAGAGATTTAATTCGTTAAGATGAAATCATCGTAATTTTTAGCTTGATTTTTTAAGATCAAAATCTCGAGGGTACTATTTCGAAAATTAAATTTGAAATCCCAGTGTGTAGCGTTTGTTTAGCCCGAGTCAGGGTCAGTGTCAGCTTCTAAACTTTAGTCAGACGACCTGCACCAACTACTATTCGTAATCGGCAAAAATGTTCCCACAATCCAGCATGCAAAATTTCAGCTCCTTGACCAATTTTAAAACCAGTACGGGTCTCAGTCTTCTGGGCTGGGCCCACAAAAATATTCATATTCGATGAATATGAACATTATTCATATTCTTTAGTCTGATGTGCCCTTACCCATGATACCGAATTTTATTTTTATTCTACCAATATAAAAAGCAGCGTGGGTCACCTTGTTAAATCTCTGTGGAAAAAATCTTAATATTTAGTTCATATTTTTCAATCTGGTCTACCCCCACGGGGTCGTGCCAAATTTCAGTCTTCTACGAGTGTCTAATTTCATCTTTTTAATACAATTTTTGAAAATCGATATGGGTCACCCCCTTAAAGGTCCCTCCACATAAAAATGGTACCAATTTCAATTCATATTCTTTCATCAGGGGCCATTAGCAATCTCTGCACTAATTTCAGCTCGATGGATAATTTTCAAAAATCGGTATGGTATCGGGTCCCTCCAGTCGGAAATTTTCCCAATTTAAATTCATATTCTTCAATTAGACACCATTAGCAATCTCAATGCCAGTTTACAGCTTTCAACGAGGATTTTGAAATACTCCACCCACCCAGATGACCACCACAGGTCAACCACTTAATTGATTTCGCCCATCTTCAAACTTAACTCCTCATTTGTCACATACTACATGTATACCAAATTTAAAGTCGCTAGGCCGAGTTTAACGAAAGTTATCGTAAAATGATCGGACGGACAGACAGACGGACAGACAGACGGACATGACGGTTACAAAATTACATTTCCAAAACTGTAACCAATGGCATATTTTCAACAATTTTTAGTTTTCTAAAAATGAAAATTTATTTTGTAACTCGGCCATTTGTCGTAACCTTATAGATTGATAAAGTGTCAAATAATCTTGCACTGAGGGTATTCATTTCGAGTTCGCATCGTTGGCAACGTTCGCAAAAAAATAAAGTTCGCAAGTTCGCAAAACAATTTGGCTTGAAAATTGATTTGCGAACTTGCGTATCTCCAAGGCTAGTATTTAGTTCGCAAAATATTTTTCACAAATTTCGCAATGGGAAAAGTCCATAAATCTCCATTAGTTACCAAAGTTGTGCCATTCAAATTTTTGAATTTTCTTATTTGGTAAATTTCAGATGCAAAATTTCGGTAACTAATGGAAATTAACGTATTTTTCCCATTGCAAAATTCGAGACATTTTAATAAAATTTTACGAACTTTTTCATTTGCAAAGTGTCTTCACTTCGTTGCTTCGCAAAATTCGCAATTTCGAAAAAGTTATGTTGCGATGCGAACATGCGAACTCGTAATGAATACCCTCACTGTTTTTTGTGTTTTTTATAAATACTAAAAAATAATATCGCATAGAAACAATTGCGAGGTATTCCACCATGTGTTAATTAAATACAAACACATTCATTTCTATAAAATTGCGATGGCTTTGTCATCATCCAGAAGTTACATAGAAAACTGAGTAGATTTCAATGTTTAAATCTCTTGAATTTTTTAAAATGTTCTATTTCAAAAATTAATTTGTAATAGAGAGATAAATTTTTCTAGCCCCAAACACAATATAGACATGAACGACCTAAAGCCTTGAAATTCTAGAACGACTTGGCAGCATTATATTATTTGCACCTTCCAACAGTTTATTACAAGTTTTATATAAAGCTGTACATGTTACAAAATTAAAGTATACTTTATGTAGTAATAATTGTTTCTTTAATACTGCTGTTTTAGCTATATTACAAAAATCAAAAATTAATTACGCTCTAAGAAATATCAGTAAACTCAAGGCAGACTTTTTTAAAACACTGGGATTTCAGACTTCGGTTTCTCGATTAGGTCATCATCCATTGTCAGCAAAGTCTAATATGAGAGCCAAAATATTCCTTAACCAATATATACACTTTCATGTAAGGATTTAATTCGTTCATATTAATCTTACCATCAACGAACTGAACAGGGCTGCAGCAGAAAGAAAATGCCAAACATCATGACTGTCATACCAAAATAGCCAAACACATTCCACATTTTTAGCTCTAGATTCCGCTGGAGACCTTTCCCATAACGTGACCACATCCCCGAAATAAGATAGCGACCATGTCCACAAAAGAATAGAAATTACTAAATAAATTGCTGGTTGAATCCAAAGAATGCTGCGGCATTCGTAATGCACCATCTACATAAAATAGATACACCCAGACCTGACTTAATCTTGCTACTTGCATATAACGAATATTATTTGACCGCATCTACAAAGTATTTGTAAATTTGTAGTAAGTATTAGCAAGTACCTTCATAACACAGTAATACACCGAATAAACTGAGCAATTGATTACATAAACGGCAAGTACTTGGGAAGCAAAGTTAGCTGTTCTCATCATTGTCCAAATCATGGTCAGAGCTCCAAAGTTTAACGCGACTACCAAAATTGGAAATATAAGTCGGCAGGGTCCCGGGAGCACTACGGTGCTGTTATTTTCTCCATGTGGACTACTCCACGTGTCCCATTGCAAGCGGAGAAGTCGCCAGTTTTTGATGTCATCAGTCCATTTTTGTCTCAAAATTTCAAACATTTTCTTCCACTCGGTTACCGTCACTCCATTTACTACGGTTATGATTATAACTTGAAGAATTATTGATACTATAACCTGTTCAAATTCCAAATGATATATATCAATGTCTTTCTAACCTCGAATATATCCTACGTAATGAATATAAACTAGGATCACAAGTAAAAATGTGATGTGCGTCACTGTGAAAAACAGCCTAAACTTGTAGCTTTCCCATAAAAGTCCAACAACTGTGGATGCCGCTACCAACGCAAGGACGAGAAAGGTCATGCTTCTGTTGAATTCAATTAATTTTACACAATGCTGTTTAATTCTTCAATTAATCTTATGGTTGAATAAAAGTATAAGCACTTACGCAGATACGTACGTGGGGTGCCTAAATTGATAAATTGTAACTACTCCCAATGCAGCAATGGTATACATGAAAGCGGTATCGAACTGGAAATTGTTCTGGTTGGGACGACAAGAAATAAGGCTAGTAAATTAGGCTGACCTTAATTTTTTAATTCACAAAGTGCGAATAAAATCAACATTAGCTCACATGATTGGGACAAACGTGGTATCCTCCACTCATTATACCGGTCATGAACAAAGAGAACCCCATGGCTAGAAATAGAATATGATAGATTCATAGTGTAACATTATGACATTTCTGCGACTATACCATAGAAAAGTCCATGATGAACAAAGACGCCCTTCGAAATATCCATCGGGGCTCGATACTTCTGCACTGCATAATGGATAATTTCTGTAAAGTATAAACGTACAAACGTATATGTTATAGATGTTGTTACATAATTGACTAGTTATTTATATCGCCTGTTTGATAACCAATAATCTGTGGTTTTACAGCAATCACAACCTTGTCTAATTTCTGACTACGTATGTATTTAGGTGACCATGATATTGTTCATGCTCTGTGCGTTTTCAAACAAATGCATTTTATGATTGGACTCTATCTATTGTCTGCCGATTAATATTTTGTGGTAGTGAAACAACAACTTTGTCAGGGATTTCTGAAGCCCTTATTTTAAATAAGCAGACGAAATTAAATTTTTATAACTTACGTGGAAGCCACATGTTACTATTATTGCTCCCAGAAGAAGCCAATGTTTTTTCGATAACTCCAATTTCTGGAGAATTAGTTGCCCTTCTAGTCGACCAGTCTTGCTCTACAGTAATTTGCCTTAGGTAGACGATAATCATAAATGCGAGGCCACAAATTAAGTAACCAATGTTGGAATAGATGTGATTAAAATCGTGAAACATTCCGAGCATGTGAGAACACATGTAGTTAAAATAGCACAGGTCCAGGTTCCCTGTTTCTCTTAAACGCTGTGTAAAAATTACACGAAATTAATTTTCTTGTAAACGAAGATTACTTATTACATGGTATTTAATCTTACGTGATGATAGCTGAGTATTAGTTGAAAAACTGGAACACAGTAAAACGAAGCCACAAGAATCCCAGCCATGTAGTATCGCTTTGATTGCACCATTAACCGTTCTGGGTGGCTATTGATAAGCTCTGAAATTTGAATCCGTGATCGGAAAATGGAGTCTGTGGAGCCCATCCTGATTGAACATTGATGAGAAATGTACAAAGCCTCAAATCTTTCACCCGCAGAGGCGCACGTAGGTGTAGATGAGGACGGTTCGCACTTTATAAGATTGCATCTGAGAAGAAAATAATTATGCCCAGATTAACGCGTTTCTCTATTTACCATGCACTGTACCTTATTCGATGAAAGTGTAAATGAATAATGAAGATAGTGCTGATAAAAATCAGAAATAATCCGAGTGGAATAAAAATGGCAACGTGATACTTTGCCGTAGGAAGTCCTATACTGATGTCGAAGTGGATTGTTTTCCTCCTGGCGATTATTTCTTGGGATGGCAAGGTTTCCATTGTGTATGAGGAAATTTTGCTAATTTCAGGCTGCCCGAGACTGACATGATTACACCAAGAGTCGTCAGGAAGTAGGAGAAACATGATAAAAAACCCAGAAGGAAAATCTTCCATCTAAAATTTATTGATTGAATGGTTACTTATAATTTGGATTTCAAATTATTAATCTCATCAGTGTAATCTGGCTCTCACCGGCAAGGTCATGGCGCTTTTCACTGAAACCGTCATCCACTGACCTTTGTGCATCATGGTTTCCAACGTCATTTCTCCAATTGGACACTACACATTTACACCGTGCATTCATCAGGATGTTAAATTTGCGAAATGTTCAGTGATATTAATTTACTTACAATTGGTTTCTGAATGGACATGACCATGCAGTAATTTGATGTTGAAGTTAGTTGAAGGAAAAAAAATTCCTGTCCATTATTCCTATTTTCTTGACGTTTCGCAAGTGGTGGAAAGTAGTACACAGTTGGTGAGGATGGCGTTAATTGTGATCTTGTCACTGTGTTCAGGCTGCCAATATTTACAATAAAATATAATTACGGACTTAATGAAAATGTATATAGTAAGTACAACTATACAATTACGATAAATTCCTTACGCTATTTGGAGATCGTTTCTTAACTGGACGGACAATGAGTAATGTATCGGCGTTTTGCTGCAAGTGGACAATTCTACCGTCACCATTTCTTCTAGTGACTCGTCGTCGAAACAAATCGTTCGTTCTGTGCTGCTAAACATCATAATAGAAATTAGTTTATTAATGCTTGTCATTCGAAATTGTATTCAACTGACTCTGAACTTGGATATTCGTAGGCAGGTATTGTCCAAAACACAACCGAGTTTTTTTGTGTCACTGTAATAATTAAGGGACAGCTGATCTCGACGATCTGCTGCGCTGAGCAAATAACCTTTAGTGCATTGTATTTCTAAAATTATTAGAACCAAATGTAAGTTATACATGTAACGAGATTTTGTGTTTTATAATATTGTAACGTCACAAATCGACTCACGTGATTTTTCTGGAATAACTCTCCAATAGTTTCGTATACTAAAATATGTTTTTGTTCCCGAGAGATTGGGAAATTATAGACGTTCTCCAGAGATGCGTTTATACTTTTAACCTCCAAGCCTTTCACCACTGTGTTCATTAAAAGTAACAAAATCAGTTGAATCATCGTTCCGAACTTGAGTAATGATCTCATTTCTTTCGAATTGATCAAACACTTTCAACGTCTCACTTTCCCTTCGTTTAACACTTTGGTCGAGTTCACTTGTAGAGTTCCTAAGATCTGGAGTTGTATGTATTACTTAACAATAATAATTACTTGTGATACACACACAAGTACAAATGTACCACATTTTGCACTTGGATTCAAAGACTCCATTACCATTATGGACAATGTCTCTGTAATTACTGAGTTGCATGTGTGCAAGCTGAATTCAATCCTTGAGATCACGTCTTTGGAGCAGACTTGTCCTCCACATGGTATAATGTTGAATGACGCATGGAGTTGTTATTACCACCGAATTGTCGGAAAAGTTTTTGGAATGTTAAAAATATCATCAACAATCGTTAATTACTCAACCCATCCCACTAATTTATCACCTATAAGTAATATAATATGTCACGATGCACATATGCACGTCTCTACGTATGATCTAGCATTCAAGACATGCAAAAGATTAATGAATATACAACACTATGAATTCTGAAACTGGATAAAGCAGGTATTTAACTTTTGTGCTTCCAGTCTTATCTTCGATGCAAAGTGACAAACTATAACTACACAATATGTAATTTTCGGTCTTCCAGTGACCTTCAATTTTGTAATAAAAAATATTTATTACTATTCTTTACTAGATACATGGGGCAGCCATGGACATATAACTTATAACTTAAAATTATGACGTATAACTTATTTTATAAGTTATAAGTCATAGAAACGCCATAAGGCGACGTATATTTATAATTATAAGTTAAGTTATACGTCATAATTTTAAGTTATAAGTTATATGTCCATGGCTGCCCCATGTATCTAATATAAATACAATGACCTAAACTGGGGTAGTTGGAAGTTGGAACTTTGAAATACTATAAGTTATCATATTACAAATTATGCCCAGTTTATTTATGCTCGCATGTAACTCGAAACTAACGACCACGACGAACTTATTGGCACAAATGAACTGAAACTTTAATTTCGCTTAATCAAGTGCGATGTTGACTCCAGAATTGTGAGCTCTGTCGAGTTAAGAAAAAACGGTTAATAAATATGTACGTATTTGTTACTGGATGAATAGGTTTGTAAATTAAATTACTTGTGACCGACTGAACTTTTACGTAAGCAATGTCGCAAATTGTTCTTTATTGCGCTGTAATCTACCACCTAAAAGCATTGTGTGATCCACTTATTCAGTATTTGTATCAAAAGTAAGGCAATGGAACGCTTAATACAACAGAATTAACAAACTATGTACACAAATATGTACATGGGAATGTTTATTTGTTGTTAATGCGTGTTCTTGGAAATATTTCGAGGGAGTCGGAGTTGGAATAATTCACGTGGCATTTAATCTTATGCTTACTGCATCCTGATTTAATTTTTCAGATTATTACAATAACCTTATTTATATATTTTTTTATGGGATGGCCAGACTCTCCATTAATATAGACAACCAGCCGCGGTAGCACATTTAAGGCTAATTACCAATAATATTTTATGTAAATGATGATGAGTTCTGTTAAAAAACGTGGATTTTATCCTGAGGAGTTGTCAACAAGTCGTCATCCACAATAAGTAAAGCCTGGAAAAAATAATATTGACTATGCACCACTTTTATAGCTTTTAAAGATCTGTACTCGAATTTATTAGCTATTACGTACCATAAATGATAGGAAGAGAGCTGCTGCAGAGAGAAAGTGCCATACGTCATGACTGCAATTTTTATGCATAATAAATATTAATAGCGATAATAAACTATACTAGACATAAAAAATCCGTATAAATCATCTGGATAATAATTAGTTTTAAAGGCCTAACCTGTCGTAGTACGGATAGAATGGAAACCACCAGCCCATGCATTCTTCGTTCCCAGCTCGTGATGCTGCGGCAGATAATTCCCACGCGGCTGGGGACCGAACAAAGTAATTGACTGCAAATCCACCGATTATTCCTGCCCCCAAAAAGTACAGACACGGCTGAACCCAAGTGTTATTCTTAAATTCTCCATGTAATGGCTGGAGTAAAAAAACAATCAAAGTTGTATGAAAATTAGGAACCATTACGTGAGCTAAATATGAATCTATATACCTTCATGATTCCCACATAGTATAATGTGGAACCAATTACATTGGAAACTAGTACGTATAAAAGGTATGTCGCGAAATCAATGTTTGTCAATTCACAATAGATAAGGACAGCAATTCCAAGGAGTAAAGATATTAGTGGGAGAATTAGTCTATCTCCATTAATTTGCTGATCTTTTAGTTGACCAAGATTCCGTAGAATTCTAATATCTGTGAGGAAACCTTGGTTGTCTGAAAGTGCAAAAGTGTAATGAAGGCATATGTACGCATCAATACAGACTAATTTGCACATTCTTACCACCAGATCGAATATATCCAAAACTATAAAAGTATGTAGCAATGAGTAGCATTGCGACAAATTGGAAACCAATAAATGTCCATCTGTAAGCCTTTTTTGCTCCATCCCCCTGGAATTCGAACATCAGACCAATCACAGAAATGAGCACGAAAGCAGCAAGAATAAGGAATGTATGATTTCTGTTGGAATAAATAAATGTTCAATGATAAGCATAACTTGCAGTGATATGTAGAACCACACCACTCACACAAATTTATCAATATAGTAAGAATTACTCACGCTCCAAAATACACAGAGTGTCGGAACTGATAAATTTTCAACAAAATTAGGACTGATATCACATACATAAAGCAGGTATCTGAAAACAGGAATACATTTCATGGTACAATTAATATAGAGTGAAAAAAATGCACGTGATAGTTGCAAATTGTAAAATTCACAAAATCAAAACCAAATTCACTTTAGAAATTGTGAAGGGTCTTGTTATCGTTAGAAAAATTTGCCTTGTTTATACATGGATACAATATCCATAAATATTTACCAAATTGGAAGCTTGATTGATTTGGACAAAGGTGATAGGCGGAAGATAGTACCTGCAAGATTTGTGTATTTACATAATAAATACAAGATATAATTAAGGGTAATAGGTAATCTCAACCGTACTCCTTCCATAGCAAGTGCAACTCCTAAGGCATAGAAAATGCCCCAGTTATGAGGGATCCCATGTCCCAATTGTGTTGGAATTTTTGCGTATCCACAACATCTTTTCAGATACCCAGGGTGGGTTTGATCATCATATTCGACAATATAGCCTGTAGCACCCCCGGTCCTTTTCCTTCGACTAAGTTGCCTTGTTGAAATCTTCACCAAACTCATAGCATGTGCCCTACGACCCACGAGGAAGATAAAAGCAAGCCCAAAGATTATGTACGAAATATTAGACCAAAAGTGATTAAAATCAATGAACAGTCCAAGTCGGTGAGAACACAAATAGTTGTAGTAACACAGGTCGTAATCGCCGGTTCGATATAGAACCTGACCAAAAATTATTAAATTAGCATATCATACTTAATACTTGCAAAATTGTGACTAAATACGTATCTGCACATATCCAGTTCAAGTTTAAGTAGATAAATAAATAATTCTCACCCTCAAGTAATGTAAAATGAGTTGATACACAGGAATGCAATAAAATATTGCCACGATAACAATTGTCCAGTAAAATCGCCGTCCAGACTTTTTCGTATCAAATGGATTTTTCTGGTTAAAGTCCCCGATTTTAAGATTTGCTCTCCATCGAATTCTTCCACCACTGTTTTGACCATCCTTCTTTTCATAGAAACGTTCTATGGGTGCTTTTAAATAGTCAGAGGGTTGACGTCGTATTGTTGGGCTCAAAATACCTTCACCTCTCGAGCTATTTAGTCTACTTTCAGGAGAGTCTGCATCTTCTGGGTCTTCTGTGGGACTTGGCAGAACGCCCAAATCATGGAGAACCAGGTCGTCTGAAGGTTGCATGTTGAGACGTTGTGGTCGCGCAACCCCAGATTCTTTTGCCGAACTTATGAAACCAGATTCCGATTCTGCCAGTCTAAATTGCTTTTCAGCTTCAACTCTGGATAAGGAAAAGTTGAATTTTAAACTTGATTTGGAATTATGCGCAGGAATTTTACTTATTTATCCCGTAATTACAAGTACCTCATCCAATTGTGTCGATTTCTGAAGAGACAGGTGACCAATACTACGAGGAGAATTGTCACAAAGACTGGAATTGCCATCACAAGGAACACGATCCAACCAGACACGGAACTTTCGTTTGTGATTATCAACGTCACATTTTTACTTCGAGGGGATGGACCGCTCCCGAATACAGCTCCGAAAATTGGGGACTTGTTATTTGTTCCACCTGCAACGCTATTAGTTCCTCCTCCTGGCATTGGTGGTAGGTCATAAGGATTTATATATCCCGATTTTGAACACCTACTGTCAGAATCATGAGCCACAAGCACAACAACAAATCCATCTTTAAAGCGATTGACCAACTAATTGACAAAGTAGCATAGTTTGTTCATTACATGAAATACATTACAAATAAAAATATGGTTTAAAATGTATCCAAGTACCTCCAAGGTCATGGCAGCAGAGAACGACATGGTCTGCCAAAGCCCTTTATGCCGCACACTTGCCTCTTTGTCGTAAATCGGGCACTACAAAAATTCACAGCAATAAATACGTGTAGAATAAGGGATAATAATAATAATATAGTTTCTTAGGATAGGTTTATTCACATGTGGGGGTTGAATTGATAGCGTCATGCATGATCCCGTGGCTGAAGAGGCCTTAATTTTAACAACACCAAGGTCAGGTCTACTTGATTGAAAACCTAGATATTTCGTATTTGAAGGTGAGACGTCGAGATAAATTTCTTTCCCCATCCTACAAATGCAGTCTTAATATTAATTTACATAAAAAATTGAACAAATCGAGTCAATAATTACGGGAGTTGAAAATCCGAAGTGAGATGCAATTTGAGTCGATAACTAATGTATCCAATACTCGAAGTTGTAACACGGACCGTAATATTTTGACCCTCAATAATTGCATCCTTTCTTTGAATGCAAAGTGTTCTTCCTGCCGTGTAATATATTGGTCTTCATTGATGCATACACAAGGAAATAAAAACAACAATAATTCGTCTTTCAGTAATTTTTGTAATTAGTAATATCAAATATGTACACATACGTGCTTCGTGTAACATTTTCGGTTCCGAAAACTTGGGGCAGCTCAAATGTACTGATGTATTTTCTCTGCCCTACTGCAAAAAGAACAGGCTCATTGAGAGTCGTCCTGTAATCAACTTCCATTTCTATTCTCAAGTTGGTATTCTGCAAGATAGTAAACAAACTTATCATATTAATTTCAGTAAAGACATTTATATACATATTTCTTCAATTTTTAATCTGATCTTTAAAAATCTCACGTACATGAGCATCCTGAAAATATTTCCGATCCACATAGAAAATGAAGACCAGTGGTTCATCCTTCCTGACTGCTCGCTCATATAATCTATTCACCACACCTTTGATAGACCTACAATTTCTTACGATAACTTCGTCGTCGCTTGCAGACGAAGATATCGGGAGGGAAGGATAATTTGAACCCTTTCTTGGAGGACGTTGATCTTGAGGTTGCAGAGGTTGTTGTGGAAAGCAAGTCGCAAAACTTATTGAAATGAGTGTCACATATATTATTGAATTAAGGACTTCAAGAGACGAGAATCGCATTTTGCTTTGATTCAACAAATATGCTACAACATAAGTCTACCGAGATGCAAAAAACAGTGATTTTGGCACTGTTTGCAAGTTCAACGACTTAATAATAAAAATGCTAAGCGTAAAATTTTAATTTTGTCCAAATAGACAGGTGCATGTTCTGAATTAAGTAGTTGGAAAGTGCTGCAGAAAAATGACAAAAAGATGAATGAATAAATACTCAATGAAATATATGCCGGTTAATATGTACATAAAGCTTATTTCGAGGATATTCAGTGTACTTGTACAAATGGTGTATTTGATGAGTAATCAGCAAACTGAGTGTACATTTAATAATAATTGCAAGGAAATGAGGTACTACATGTTGTGACGCAATGATGTTTGAGTGAGTGTATTAATGTACATATGTCTTTGATGCTAATTTTGGGTTTGTGCAAACATGGAGATTTGAGGTGACAACGGTTGATGAGATTGTGAATATGTTGGATTATTGCTATTGGAGAAGGACGACGGGGTTCGGCAGAGGATGAGATAAGGTTGTCGTTGTAGATAAGCAGGTAGGTAGGTTATCGTCAGACTGATTAATACACATGATCAAACAAAACTAACTTCAATTGATAAATAAGTAAGATTACCTACTTATGCATAGATTAAGTTATTCTTATCATTGACTAGCTTTAAATTATGGATACCATCCGTCCACATAGAAATGTTGTTATAAATAATGTACCTACTTATTCGTCAGATCTACATACATTCCTTACATACATAAGTACTTAAATTGTGAGCTTATTAAAAAATAGCTTCTTCATTACTTAAATTCATTAGCGAGTAGCCGAGTCGTTCACAAAAAGATTTACTGATTAGATTAGTGTTTGATTAGGACTCAATTAAATAGTTGAGAACATAACATTTTACTAGTTTTGATAGAATATTACACACTGATAAGTAGGAATTTATGTACATATATGTATTTATGAAGTATGATAAAAGTATCTGAATTTTTGTAGTAAAAATTAATTAAATTGTGCATCAATTAAAATGACATGTCAAACATGATGTCCAGTAATTATTTAGCCAACATAATCTGCACATTCCTGTTCCCACGGGAGTGAAAATGGATAATCGACTTATCTGTCAGATAACAATAAACTCATCGTGTCCAATAACTTGCCCTTTAAATGACACAGTCTCATTACAGACATTCGTACATGAAATAATTGTTTTAACAAGTTCTCATTAAATTATAATATATAGTAGACGGAAATAAATATGACTTTAAAGTATCGAACTGTGTTATTTTTTATGCTAATTTTGCATTGCTCCTGTGTCCTGGGAAGACGACAGGGAGATCCGGATGAGTGGGCTTGTGGAAACGAGTGCAGGTTAGTTGAGGCATCTGCACATTAATAAAAAATTATACATGTCTACATGAAGGGTCCTGTATTTTTAACCATTTTTTATCAGTTTGTCCATAGCGGAAACAATTCCTGATGGAATGACCCCTTCCACTTTTTCAACTACTTTTCAGTCTTGGTCTGATCTTATCACTCTTGCGACGGAGACAATTGAGATTGCGTCGTATTATTGGACACTTCGTGATTATGACACGCCTAACCATCCTCACCCTACTTCGAACCAGGTAAGCTACTTAATCCTAAAGCACATGATACTGATATGCCATATATATTCTACTAAATATGCATAGGGCGACGAAATCCTTGATGGGCTGCTTGCTGCCGCAAGAAATGGAATTCAAATCAGGATTGTCAAACATATTGATACCGATTCCTTCCCCAATGTAGACATTGGGGAATTACAAGCGGTTGGCGCAGATGTTCGCGACGTAAACTTTACGCGTCTACTCAATGCAGGAATTTTACACACGAAAATGTGGGTGGTTGACAGGAAACACGTGTACTTGGGGTCGTCCAACTTGGACTGGAGAGCACTGTACATAAATAAATATGACTTTAAATTATCGAACTAGGTTGTTTTTTATGCTAATTTTGCATTGATCCTGTGTCCAAGTACAGCACCCAAGTCAAAGAACTTGGACTGGTGGCTAAGAATTGTCCTTGCATAGCACGAGATATGGCAAAGACGTTTGATGTGAGGACACTAAATATCAATTTCAGTTAGCTACTATTCGCGAAGCCAATGCTTATAATTATGACCTTTTATAATTTTAGGTATACTGGGAGTTGGGCACTGAAGTTGCTCAAATTCCAGAAGAATGGCCAGTTGAGTATGAGTCCCCCTTCAACGAAGATGTCCCCGTGTCAGTCACCTCGGACGGCATTTCATACTCGGCATTTGTCTCAAGCGCACCCCCAGAACTATGTCCAAATGGGCGAACTACTGATTTGGACGCAATATTTCATGTGATGGACGATGCTAAAAAATTTATTCATATTGCTGTTATGGATTACTTTCCACTCATAATGTTTGATCCCCCACTACGGTAATACTTACATACACATATCTTTGTTAGTATGTCAATATGTCAGTTATGAGCGAACTGATTGGTGTGATTTTACAGATATTGGGGAGATTTGGACAATACACTTAGAAATGCTGCTTTACGTGGGGTATCAGTCAAATTATTGATGGCAAAATGGAGCAATACACGCTCTTCGGCACATGCATTTCTTTCGTCGTTGCGAAGTATGACAGAAGCTTATGACAACGTGGATATTCAAGTGGTAATACAAAAGTCATCAGTAGTCGTCAAAATCGGGAAGTATTGAATTATATGACTACTTAATGAGAAACTTTATTATATTCATATTCACAGAAAATGTATGTGGTTCCTGCGGATGAGGACCAAGCACTGATCCCATTTTCTCGAGTAAACCATAACAAGTACGTTGTCACAGATGTTTCTACTCACATCGGGACGTCAAATTGGTCGGGCGACTATTTTATTGCGTCTGGGGGGGTTGGTTTTGTAGCGAAACCTGCAAACAGGACGGGGGGAGAAGGGGCCGATTTGAGAATGCAGGTCGCCTCCGTCTTTGAGCGAGACTGGAACTCGGAATATTCGCTCACGTTAGAAGAAGTCTTTCCTGATGAATATCCAACCCCATTAAAATGCACGGCATCTTCAAATGCCATTAGTTCCGCCATTTCATTTATGTTTCTCGTACATGCTATGTATTAAGTCAGATTTTAATTCCAACATACAGCTTGGGCGAATGTTCATAGATAATTATCCAATTGTTTTGAATGATAAAAACGGTTTAAATTACCCTATTGTCTTCGCCGTATTTAAATTAAACTTTTTATTGCATCTCGAATGAAGAAAACATTGATACATAAAAAGTGTCGTAAATTATTTTAAATGCATCAAAATATTTAGATCTATTGTTCAGTAAAACGTACAATAGACCTACTATATTACAATTTTAGTGAAATATGGACATAAATCATGTCAACAAATTTTAGTGCATATTTACATATTTATGCTATTCTGCAGAATAATTTACTTTGGGTAATTTATTATGTCAAAAATAGTGTTTTATTTAGAAATTATAACATAAATTACCCCTAAGTGTGTATAGTTCCGAACGGATCAGATAATTCAGAACAGATAGGCGATAAACCTGATCCTAAAATTTCAGATACAGATTTTGCATATCTGAAGTTTTCAGATCAGATGCACGATCAACTAATCTGTTCAGAACTTGAAAATGCAAACTAATTGACCGAACCTACGTATCAATAAATAAGCATGCAAGCATCTTGCCAATTACTCCTCGAAACTGTATCATCCTTACGGGACCCACTAAAGAAAAAGGCCATACAGTCTCCAAGTCTCCAATGCTGAAATATATATGATATTCTCCGAGTCCAGTTTATAAACCGTGACACACGAGTTCTTTCAAACTACCAAATTATCAATTTACATTTAATAAAATGACATAGAGACAACTCCCGAATATTAATTTATTTTTGTGTATGTATATTAACCCATGCAATTCTTTCGTTACACAACATCCGAAGCAGACCACGGGATTTCGGAGTGAGTCCTCCTGCCTGGATCGATTATCCACCCACTCTGATTCATATGCTTTTAGCTTGTGAGTACACTATGGTATTTGCCAATTTTACTCTACTTTTCCATGTAGCAATACCGGTTATATATCTGAATTCACTAGAGTCATTCTAGTCTACGTGACGGCCAACTCGCATCTCTGCTACAATATTTAAAACAATAGCATTATCAGACCAAAACCACGTAACATGCATGTGCATGTATACACTACATCCATAATACTCACATCTCCAATATAAGAACAGGTGGATTCATCCTCTGTCAAAGATTCGTGTGTACGTGCTTCAAAATATTTACATTTTAATGTAAAAGTTAACAATAATCTTTCATAGAGTGCTATATATAAAAAGATCAAACGTCGAGTTCAATATCGGAGTAACAAACAGGAACAATAGTTGTTAACAACTTGGCAAAACGGAAGTATCCACTTTTTTTGTATATTCTGCGAAGATATTTGTACTATTACTACTATTACAGATACAGTGATTTTTGAAAATACACACGATGCAAGCTGCCCAGGTCGTTTCGCACGGCTCACCTCTTGTTATTCAAGAAGTGCCCATTCCCAGCCCATCGATAGGTGAAGTCCTTGTTCGCTTGGAAGTTTCGGGAGTATGCCACACCGACGTCCACGTGCAAATGGGGGACTGGAAGGTCAGTGCGCATATTTGTATATATGTGGATAGATAGAACGAATGAATATGTAGAATGTGTCCTCGTTTGGTTTCAGGTTAAATGTCCTCTCCCAATGACGCCTGGTCACGAGGGAGTCGGTACCGTGGTCAAGTTGGGGGAATCTGTAAACAATGTCAATTCAACTCTGCAAATTGGTGATCGAGTAACTGTCCCTTGGCTTCATTCCTCATGTGGTCAATGCGAACACTGTTGGAGTGGATGGGAAACGGTGTGTAGCCAGCAGAAGCGAACAGGTATTTGAAAACATTTAAATTTCATCCATTTTACCAGTCAAATATTTTAATTTCTCAAAAACTGATACATAATCTTTAATGATATCCAATACTTTAATGATAAATAATCTACATCCATATAATCATTATCATTTAATTCTAGGCTTCACATCTCATGGAACTTTCTCCCAGTACTGCATTGTTGATGCGGCCTTTGCTGTTCCAGTTCCGGAGGCGTTAAGCAGTGAACAAGCTGCGGTTATAAGCTGTGCAGGTGTCACTGTTTACAAAGGCCTGAAAGTTTCAGAGGTATATAAATAAGTAAAAGAGGTCCAATCTGCTTAGCATTGGAATATGTACATAATTAATTGTAGCTCAATAGCTTTAACACTTGTTTATATTTATATATTTATATTCAAAGGTACATCCTGGTCAGTGGGTTGTTATTGTCGGTGGGTCTGGAAATTTGGGACATGCAGCGATCCAATACGCACTTGCGATGGGAATGCGAGTTATTGGAGTCGGTGAGTTCAGGATTACTTAAATAATCGATTGGTTTTCGATCGCATATTATTGTGGTGACAATGGCTGTATCATTTTGTAGATACCTCGCAATCCAAATGTGACTTTATGACCTCACTTGGTGCTCATGCTACCGTGAACGTGTCCACTCAAGACATTGTTTCTACCATAAAATCTCTCACCGGAGGGGCTGGTGCTCACGGCGCACTGATAATCGCTCCCGTAGCCTCAGCTATCAGCATTGCAGTCAAATATTTGCGACCTCGAGGCACAGTTGTGGTTATTGGATTACCGCCAGGGAAATTTGAGGTGGACGTTTTTGACATGGTGCTTAATGCTATCACCATTCGAGGATCCATTGTGGGCACGCGGTTAGATTTACAGGTATGCAATACAAATTTCTGTCAAAACACAGGACTTCACTTTTTATCGGTGAACAGGAGGCCTTAAATCTCGCAACTGATGGGAAAATTCAGTGTAAAATCAGGAAAAGGAATTTTACAGAAATTCAGGATGTACTGGACGATTTGAAAGACGGAAAAATTGAAGGATGTGTGGCCATTGATATTCCATAATTACAGTATATTTGCATCTTATATCTTTACATCTTAAAGCAAGCAATTTTTGTGAACAGAGTAAAATAATTTACATGTACTTAATTTCTATTTAATTGTAATTGAAAAGTCTTAAATAAATAGTACTTAGTTTTCCTTGCCATCCCCCACAATGCTCTGTATCCACGTTCGATAAGCCGAAATTCTTGTATAAACAGAAAAATTTGCGCAATTTTTTGCACCGAATGAAGCAATTCCACATAGAATTTTCCGATCTGAATGACCATCTTCATTGCATGTTATACCTCCACCAGAGTCACCTTGACCTTAATAAATGCATAATATATCGTGTTAATTTTCATTGGTTCATAAAAGGTCACCAGTTTCCCGACTAGACTAATGGCATAAATTCTTACAAGGGGTCAATCCGCCTTCCTTCGTCCCCGTGCAAAACATTTCCTGTGACACATTGGCAACTCCACTGAAAACTTTTTTGCATTTTGACCACTCCACTAAAGGAATGTCCACCTTTCTCAGCACTCGCGTCCACCGCCCCGTCACTTCCTTCCTCCCATATCCGACCACTGTCCCATTTCCTTTGATTATAAAGTTGTCCGAATCCGGGAGTTGGATGGGCTGTACTCGTTCAGTAAATCTTAACCGTTTGTTGAGACGGATAAGGGCGATATCATGAACAGGAAATATTTGACCCTGAGTTTGGGAGCCATTTGACGACAAATTTGTATAGCGGAAAAGCGGATGCGGGTACAACTCACTCGCCCAAGAAACCTGTTCAAATTTACGAACTTCTGGGTCTTTCGTGATCAGATCATGCGTCCCTAAAACATTACAATCAAATATTACAATGTTTTCTAGCAAACAAGGAACGAATTTTTTAACGTTTTCTCATTAATCCATCATATGTGCCAACCTGCCGTGACCCAGATTTTCCTAGGTTTAGCCAATTCGCCACCCAATTCTTTCGGAAAGTATAAACAGTGGGCTGTGGTAATGACTATTTCTTCATTATAAATTGCCCCACCACACTTAAAAATTTTGGTAGAATTCCAAATTTTTTCGATAAATACATGATATGTAAATTCTTCAGGATTAGTGACTAATTCTCCACCGACGATCCGGAAGTCAGCAACGGAAGGATATTCTTTGGGGATAATAAACAAAAACGCAAAACTGATTTTTCACTAATTTTGACAATTATGAAATAATAAATAAATTTGTAAGTTCGAACTTATTTTGGTTGACGGACGCCATCGTGTACTTTTAGAAGAATCAATTGCACTAATGACATTACAACTGATCAGTGTAAAAATTAACTGATGGATAACAACGAAATAATAGAAAAATAATGATGAAGAGCAAACTGTTACCATATTTAAAATACTACCGTATGCTCAACCAACAACTTATTGTTAGTAACTAAATGAAGACTGTTTGATTTCTTCATGTTACCTTTATTTCATTTGCCAAAGTACTTATTGCGGATAATTAATTATGCAATAGTCAATAATTGATTTTCGCCAGATCGTGTTTGACCTTAGAATTGTGCATGCCCTTGTAAACGTAGCATTTACACAAAAATTTGCAAGGTTAATGTGTATCTCAATTATGACGCATGACTAATTAATAAACATCGTCGATATACTAAACTTGAAGTGAGTTAGTTATGTGCTGTGCGAATGGAGCTAAACTCACGAGAAACCCTAGTCTCAGCACAAGGTACTTCAGGAGGCCGTAGGTTTAAGCTCCACCCGCACAGTACATAACTCGTTCACTTTATGTATAAACTGATTAATTAATCTGTGTTTAAGGTATGCTTTCGTCTCAGGAGAATTCCCCTTTAAAGATTCAAACTATTCTTAACCTAGAATTTGTTGACATTGTTGATTGAATATTATTGTAAATATTTTGTCACAATAAAATTTTATTTCAATAAAAGGATGCATAAGGAATTAAAAGCAATTATAGTCATGTGTACAAATGCACAGCTTAGAGAAGAATTGCTCCATAATTCTTGCCCAATTTTTGTATTAAATCTTTTTTCTCTCCTTCCGGAAGAAAGCACGATCGAGCAGCATTAAAACTGGCACGCACAAAATGAGCCTCACATAATCCCCAGTTTGACAAAAGCTTGAACTCGTCATCCAACCTAGTCCCAGTCATTGTGGGGTCGTCAGTGTTTATCGAGAGGTTGAAACCATCCTGGAAGAATCTATGAATAAAAATCCAAGCTTAAATTAGCTAAAGTAAATAATAATTATTTAGTTAAATAGAGAAAGCTGTAAAATATTTAAAATACTTACTTGACAATGGGATGAGGATGCGTCCCAAGACTAACTGCTCCAGTGAGTAAACTGGACCACGGACAGCACTCTAAATGTATATTGGCTTGTTTGACTCTATTGTAAACTGAAGCATCCTCCACGATCCGATATCCATGACCAATCCTTTCTGTGCGAATTCAAATTCCTTACGATTAACTTAACCACGACTTAACCATTTATAGACTTATCAAAATTTCGAACCTGCGTGAAGTAAGTCGAGTGCGTTCATCACTTGAAATGCTCCACCAGATTCACCTGGGAATAAACCGGAAATATGAGATGATGACGCAAACTTATTTCTTAAAATCAATCAAAACTATTACTGGTTCAATAACCGAATATATACCAGCATGAACGGTGCGGTGAATTCCATGTTTCACAGCCATATCAAAAAGATCCAGAGCTTCTTTTTCAATCATGTGTGACTCTATAACCGCGTAATTAAGTATTTTGCTAGCAATTCCTTCCGAAAAAATATCTGTATTGAAATATATTTGTATTTTTTTGTACCACACGCTGTTTCTGGTAACGCCGCAATATCCAACCCGGCAATATACCCGCCATGAAAATTCTTATCGAGTAAAAGTTCAATCGTTTCCGTATACCAGACAGGCGTCATTCCCCTGATGCAGGTTGCAATTAGATTTACGTGACATCCAAATTCGGTCCGACCTTGTCGCAAACCTTTGATGAGAGCAGACGCAACATCCCATACCCATTTTTTACTGGATGGGGTTGACTCGCCCTGAACAATCGAAATATATCAAAGATTCATAAAAAAAGTAACAAATTGCATATTGACTCACCAGACTTTTCTGTTCAGCGATAATATCGTCGGGAATCAGTATGTGTGGACAGAATCTGGCTTCCGCATAAATAATCCCATGCTTGGAACAATCCTCTACAAATTCATAGCCGAGACGTTGAATCGAAACAAGGTCTCCCCTACAATGTGATACGTGCATTAATTGACTTCATCCGATCTGGTACACTTATTTAATAAATTACGACAATATTAAATATATAAATCTGTACTTGAGGCAAGCAAGAACGATGTCAAATCTGGATAAAAATCCACACAAATCAGTAGGACTCTTAACCACGAGGTAATCCACAAGTTCTTCAAAGGTGCCACGACCTGGGAGGCGTAATTTCTTTTCTCTGAAGTATAATATAATAATAAATTATTATATTAGGAAATCTTAAGTCCATCGAACCCATATAACTTTTGCATAAATAGTAAAAACATGAATGTATTGCTAAAATCCTTACTTTGCAATTTCATACACTGTTTCATGCCGTATGGATCCATCAATATGTACGTGTAGTTCCACCTTTTATTATTCATGGAAATAACAGTATTTAAAGATAATATTGGTTAGATTTCGTGATTACGATTTTTTATTTGAATAAATCGAGTAATCCAATAGCTTACCCGAGTAAGTGGTCTGTCAACCGTGTCAAGGACAAGATGACCGCCACGATTCGTTCGTTGCACGCCAAACATTTTTAAGTTTTACTTTAATCACTTTCTTTAGAGTTAAAATCAAGAGATTTATGTCTAGTATGCTATGACCAGTCTAATTCCAAACCATCAAAGGTAATACAGCTTGTGCTAGTCAATGGTGTTATGCAGTTAATGATTTTTGGCATATGTATGTATGCACATAGATGCATGCATATAAATATGTACGTTAATGATTTAATGGAAACTCTTTGATAGCTGATAAGTTATAAGTGATTATCGATTATTTAATTTTTGATTGAAAGTGAATTTGTTTATTTGAGTGATGAAAGTGGGTGTGTGACCAGTTCAGTAGGTTCTTTACATCAACCTCATACCATAACAATACATCAATAAAATCAGTCGAGGAAGGATGAGGCTATTGCATGAACTGATAATTTTGAGAGAGACCAGTCAAGGTCAAAGTCTAATTATGGATTACTGACAATATATACATACATATGAATCTCTATAATAGCTGTTTTGTCCAGTTCAGCATCCAGTGATTCGTAACACAATTGATAAAACCCAGTCCACAAACCAATAGTTTCTAAGGCTGAGAAAGTTAAACTGTGGTTGTTGTAACAGTCAGAGGGAAAAGTGTTGCTGTCAGCATTTTCTACATACAATACACAATGAAAACTCATCCTCAGTTCGTCTGTTATTTTCCTACTTGAGATAACTCACACGTCAATCAAAGTTGTCATAGGCTGGAGGTGATATGAGGTCCAGAAGGATGTACATTGTACAATGCTTCTCTCACAAATATTTTATTACTTTTAATGGAAAAATACAAAACTGAACGCATCATACTTAAAAGAAACAAGAGACATTACTGATATAATCTTCCTTTAAGTATCATTTTTCCTAAATTTTAGGAGTGGGGACAGCCCCATTTTTCTCCTATATTCATGTAGCACACCACTTAAATCATTTACATCTTCTGGTGCATAACCAAAATGCTGTTTTGCTTTATCAATCGAAAACCAGTGTGTCACCGACGTTTTCAGCAGTTCTGCCGGCGACAGAAATAATCCTCTTCCAGCCCCCCATATTTCCCCAAACACTCTTAAAAAGAATTGTCCCAAAAGTACAAAAATCCACATGAGTCCAACTGGCAATACCCATTTGGGATATGTATATCCTAAACCTTCAATTAAGGGTCTGAAGTACTCCCAATGTTCAATCGGTTTCCCGTCACTGATAAAATATGCCTCTCCTCCAACCACATCAGGGTCATCGTGCAACTTTTCTAACGCTTTTACATGAGCTTGTACAGCGTTCTTTATTCCCACAAATTGTACCTTAGCGTTGCCATACCGGAATTTGAGAAAGGGCAGAGAAGCTACGATTCGTGGGAGGTGACGAGTTTCTCCCACTCCCATCACTCCCGCTAAGCGAAGAGAACACGTATGAAACTTTTTATTTTTTCCAGACGAAGCAAGAACCAGACGCTCGGCCACACTTTTGCTGATGGAGTAATTGTCCCAATGTCGATGAAGGGGGAAGTATGGAAGGTTTTCGTCACCTCCGATGATCTCGTCGCAGCCAAAAACCACATTAAAAGTTGACGTGTATACTAAACTCGTGACGGAAGATGATGGTCCTGAGCAGACCTTGAGGAGTAGACTTGTTCCATCAATATTGATCGACTCGGTAAGCGATGAAGCGGATGGAAGTTGTTCTCTGGAGGACATTCCATGCGCTGCTGTAATTTACATAAATAGTAAATACGTACTATGTCGCTCATGTGCAGTAAATGTATGTTGATTTAATTGTAACTATGAAATACCACAATGGATGACACCCTCTGCTTTAGAGAGGGAGAGAACTTGTTCCAAATCGGGGAGACATAAAATGCTCCCCGTCACAAATGGAAGGGGGCATGTTTCGGATTTGTCATACCAGACCGGATTTGGGGGATGCAGATCAAATAGTGTAACTTCATGTTGGCGTGAGGCCAGTTCGAGACCAATGTGGAAACCAATGTAACCTCCCCCACCCACAATGAGAACACGCATTTTCAGATCGACAAGTTGAGGAATGGATAATTAACGACGGGTTTTATTTAAGCACTATGCACATATTTACGAATTCGGCGAAGTCAAAATTCGATAGAGTCTTAGATAATCAACCACAGAAGTTGCAAAAAATTGAAAACTTTCTTTATGGCTGTCTTTATGAGTTAATTGGTTACAAAATTATTGAATTAGAACATTGGGACAGTAGAAATGAAGAGATATTTCGGCCATTGGATAAAACACGGGCTATTCCAAGCTAAAGTGTACATACATATAACATAACGTATACGCACACATGGATCATCAGTGGTGGTTGGTGGTGGTGTTTTATGATAAGGCAAACTTAAATATGTATTTATGCATAGCTAGGATTTGATATTCAGATTCAGATTGATATTTATCTCGGCCGTCTTGCGTCACCATCTCAGCAAGCCCCATTCAGAAAATTTTTTAAGACATAAAATTTCCGAAATTATATGAAAATAAAATATACATATATCTAAAACCGTGCCCGGTGCCATGCATGTTGGAGTCAAACAAGATATAATTTCGATTATGCAGATATGGATATATATTTATAAATAACAGCTCCGATGAACTGCATACTTTTTTGTAACACACAATAAATAAACTACATTTTTAAGCGATTTGATTCAAATGATATTTGATACAAATTAAAGTTGAATAGTATTGTTTCTGCAATTTGGAATGTTGTGAGTAAAATCACAGCTTCCTCCGACATCATTTGCATTTGGGTTCCATACTAATCCGTGTCCACACGTGCGAGTCTCCCTCAGACAATTTTCATCCCCGGTATATTGGACGGAGCGGTCGTAGTCCTGGAAAATATAGTCCTTTTTGCAAGGCTCTCCTATATGCTTACATTCACAGCAAAATTCAGGCTCCAAGGAACATGCAGCATTCTCAATTCGGTCACAGGCCTTGGTGGCGGCGTTAAAGTGGAGACCATTCGGACAGCGGTACTCAGAGTAGACGCCGTCACGACATTGGAAGAACACAGCGCATTCGCAGGCAACTGGCTGGTATTCACAGTTTTCTGGACAGCGGGGATCGTCTGCAAAATAATATCCATAGGTCATTATCTACGTGTCATTGTCATCTTTGAGAAAAATGCACACATGTAAAATACATTTAGTTACCTTCAGCGTAGACCCCTACGATAATGACGAGTACGACAAAGGTTTTCAGGATATTCATAGCAGCGACAAGTATTTATATTTTTGTGATGAGTAAAGATCGTTGAGGACTGCAGATTGGTGCAAGTGTGACTTTGCTAAATAGACTCTCTGCCCCGGTTCCGATTTTATATATTTTTGATTTACCGTGATTTATTGTTTATTTATTACATTAAAAATAATCCGTGTAATTTGCATATAAAAAAATAATAGGCAAGCCTTAAAATGTCGGTGAATTATTATGGGATATTATGAATCATCATGTAAATGGATACGGATTATCTTGTAGTTGGCCACACCGACACGATGCAATAAAAACTTCGTCCTATCATTGCACTTGGTGAAATGACTAATTGAACCAAGGATAAGCAAGGGTTCAAAGAATCACCCTAACGTTAATGATGATCAATTCGAGCCATAAAAATAATTCACTTGGACACTGATTGATCACAACTTTATTACACACCTTCTAAATTGCATGTTGATATAAGGATTTTTTGTTAATTTTTGTAATTTTAGCATTTGTACGTAAATGCATTTTTCTCCCATCACTAATCCTCACATCATTTCCATGAAAAAAAATCACAGCATAACTAAGATTAATTAAGAGAGATAATGTCGATTGTCCCTCCTACAAAACGTCAGAAAAATGTTTTTCAGCTAAAGTAATTTATCGAGCAAACGTCAAAACAAAATTTTTGCTCAAACGGATTAATTTTGATCCTGGACAATAAACGTGACGCGCTCAGTGGTCCGGATATAAAACGGCAATCTCGTTGAGCCATTTATCACAACCTTTTCTAGCATCAATTAACCACCTCTAAAAATCTATGACGAAAAATTTCCAGGTTTGAAAAGAAAAGTTTTCAGTCCTCTTGTCAATTTGCATCATGAGCTTCAAAATCGTACTCGTCCTTGCCATTATTGGCATTGCTCGCATAGACGCTAAAGGTATTTTGGAAACTAAACTAGTAAACATTTATTCTAAATGCATAAATAATTCAAACATATCAAATTTTTATTGTTTGGATTTTTAGCTGGAACGCTAGGTCGTGACGGTGTTATTTCTGACGTTGATTACTACGACTGTTTGGACAAACCTAACGGCCACGAAATTCATCCGTGGGATTGTACGAGATTCATCCATTGTGACAATGGGCGAGCTCACGATAAGAGCTGTAGTAGGTGCAACGTCGATCCTGTTACCTGCCCCGAAGGGTGGCTGCATTTCGACTATGAGGAGGACAAATGCGAGTATGTAGTTGTATCAAAATATGTAAAAATAGTACCCAAAGGATGTAAATAATTAATAAACTCCCTAAATTGGAAAACCCTGTAGATATGCGGATGTGGCAGGATGTCATGTTAGCGGGAATCAAACGAGACCTGACCCACCTACTGAGGCTCCAGAAGAAGTTCCTGAAGATGAAACCACGGCGGGGCCAGAGGAGCCAGTCGCTGATCCCCGTTGTCCCGTAAATTGCGAGTACGAACCTGTAGGATGTGAATGTGCAATCTTTTACCAATGTCGGGATGGCGTCTATTCAGAATACAACTGTCCAGCTGGTCTCCACTTTAACGCCGCCACCAAGGCCTGTGATGTTCCATCTGAAGCAGGCTGTAATCTGAACCCGAAGACCTGTTGTACTTGCCAGTACGCCGGCACCGCGGCTTGCTCACCTAACTACGTTTTTCAAGACTTCAACCGTTCCGTCGAATATACTGGAGATCATCACTGCATTCGAGAAGCTCGAGTTTGCGGAACAGGTCTTGTGTGGAATTCGGGTGCCAATAATGCCGATGGTGCGTGTGACTTTAAGGAGAACGTTCCTGCATGCGCATCCACTTAATACCCTTTTACATAAATGATAAGTTATGAAGTTTCAATAAATTAAAATAATGCATTCATTAAACCCATACAATTTATTACATTCATCTTTATGCCATATAATCTGGCTCTTGCACAAACATATATTTGAAATTTTGTAATAATTATGTCTTAGGAAATAATAACAATCTTGCTAATTTGATAAATTAATGATCTGCTGAATTTACTCAATATAAGGAAATATCATTTCATCTTTCCTATGAAAATTCCTAATTTCTCTCACTTTCCTTTTTACGAGTCTTTTAAGTTTATCCTTTCTCTTCGGAAGTTTTCCCATTTCTCTTAGAATTGCTTTAAGCTCTCGGTCCGTCTTCACCTTCAGTGCCTTCTCGCTTATCTTTGTGAACACGTCAAATGAAGTTCCGCGAGGAAACCTGCTAGGAATTTGTGTAAGCAACTTTCTCTTCACCTTTGACCGATTTGTAAATAATTCCACCAAGAATGCAATGATTGAAATGCTGATTCCAAATATGATAAGGTATATGGGTCCCTTAAATTAGAACAGTACGTAAATCAATATATGCATATAGGCGTACTTATCCTTGCATACTTATATATTTGCATGTGTACCTGTAAATCTCGCATTGATAAGACACGTTGCTTTCTCTCTTTAGTGCTGCCACTGGCTGCTGCGACTTCTGCTTCAGATTCTTCGCTTTCTGAATCGTCCTCATTTTGCTCATCGTCTGTTGTGGAACTTGCCTCCAACTTATCTTGAAAGTACTTTTTCGTTTTTGCAATCAGGCGTTGGGACCACTTTCTCATGAGACCCGACTCTTGAAATCGGCGAATATGCCTAAAAAGTAGTCATAACTTTAATCAGTAGAATACATATGTGCCTTCATTACAGATATACATAAATAAGTTTAGTTGTATATATGTACGTATTAATTTTTGGCGCAATAGGAGAGTTCCATTGATAAGCGATGCCAATATGGACAGGCAGAATGCATTGCTTCATAACTCTCATCGTTGGAGATCCAATTTTTGAAACATTTCGAGTTCTTAGCATAAATTTGAGATATCTCACATTCTCATACATTGCGAATTTCCTTTCAGCCACCAAATTCAGACCAGTATCATAATCTGGCACTAGCTATTACACAAAAATGCAGTAATAACACTTATGTACTGGTAGTGAAACTGATTTCAAGTGGCACAACAATTGCCCTTTTATTTATAAATAAAATGAGTATGTACCTCGTAAATTCCTGATAGATATTGCCTCGCTTTATCATCATTTGCATCATCACTTTTAATTTCTTGCGTAAATAAGTTTTTAAGTCCAGGACCCCAGCCACCAACACGAAATTTTGAATTAGCCAAATCTTTCAAGTTATCAATTGTTGGTTCAAACAGTGGAATCGTGAGAAAAGAAACCATTGCACATCGATAAGCAAGAGTTATCAACAAGCAGAAAATCCAATACCATCCAATAAGCAACCTTATTGGCCAAAATTTTGGCCAAACGTGGAGTGCTACTTGGCTCATGATTGAAATTGACGTAATGATAGAATTCCATCTATGGATCCAAGTCAATCATTATGTAAAACCGATTGCGAAGCATCGCCCTTGAATTTGTTTCACTGACTCAACTTGACTCACTTTGTGGCAAACATTCTGTATTCCATCGCATGCAAAGGCAGCTTGGCCAATAAGTAAAAGGCGAGTGGTGCAAAAATAAGACAAATTGTCACAACCAGTATCCACAAGCTAAGCTGGAATGGGAGAATGAGGGCCAAAAATCTGGGTCGTGGGAGAGGATTCGCTACGAGAAAGGAAGTGCATGCCACGTCCAAGGGAATGCTCATGTCCAAATATTCCAGGTTTTTCGTTAAAACAATAAATGAGCCCAGGGCCATGTCAACCTCATCATTGGCAAGACGAGCAACTGCTCCATAAAGAAATTCTGACCCATTTTCAATTGAAACTCCTCCCCATTTGGTCATGGGGTCAGCGTCGAGCTAGATAACGGTAAACAAAAATTGCTGTTTTAACGGGTTACATAATAATGTACTTCTCGTTGAACTAACAATATCAAAGTTAAAATTCATTATGATTGCAAGCTCCTTTAGCACTTCCATCTCGGTCCCGGCATATTCAATCTGTATAAATGCACATGTTGTACAGAAATGAAAATAAATGAAAATTGAAGTTAAAGGTCAGGCTAAACAGCTTTCAATTTTGCAGACCGAGTTTAATGACTTATTTACATACATATCCATCCAAACTCCGGTATTTAATGATTGAAGGTGGATGCTCAACCGTGAGACTAAAAATCATCAATTATTAGTAGCATTCACACCATTCGCATTACTAATGCGAAGTAATGGTAAGTTTCTAGTTGTACAAAATAGTTGTATATTATTGTAGTTCACGATAACTACATACCACTTCAAAGTAAGGTTTCTAAGATTGTTTGTTTTATCACGAAACCAACTGTCCTCATCCTTGGCGAGACGACCATTTCTCCAAAAATCCATTATCCCTGTGGCTGATTCAGTCGAATTTGGCATTATGGGCCATTTCACAGATAGAACTTTGAAAGAGATCGTCTTTCTTAACACAATTTCAAGGTTAATTTAGAGAAATTTTACAAAATTACATTTGTGAAATAAAATGTTTAAATTTTATATTTTGCTTTTCTGTTTAATTAAAATATTTTGTCCAACCTTCTTGATGGGCGACGGTTTAATTTGGTATGAAAAAATACGACGTTCGGCAGCTTTCTCCAAATGTCGTCAGCCTCAAAAACTTTATCTTCCTGTCCATACCAAATTAAAAATCTGTAAGATATTGAAAGATTTAGGTTTTCTACGCAGCGTGATGAGTACACTAAAAAATTTACCGTGCATGTGTATCAATTGTTCGAAATTCATCTCCATAATGTAGCAACTGAATCACATCGGTGCTTTTGGATAATAGAAAAATATACGACTGACACTGTTGCTTGTAGGATACTTTAATACTTTTTGTAAAATCTTCAGAAAAGTTTCCTAGATATTATGAATGTTACAAAACATTTTTCGGCTAAGTAATCAAAACGACTCGAAAGATTTAGATTATCCATGTAAAATCATGATACCGTCAAATTGGTGAAGGTATTTGGGGATGCAGACCTCATCATTGCAAAAGTTCATGTAATCCACCACACACGACAATTCATAGTCCCAAATAATTGTATGACACCTGTGAAAATTGTTAGATTGTGGGTTACAAAAAGAACACGTACATATGTAAAATGAAAGTTTGTAAATTACGAAATTCCATCGTCGAATTTCTGAATTGAATATGATAGAAATTTACTCATTTCCAAATATGTCTCCCAGTTTCCAAATAGTCTAATAATTACATTGTTTAATAGCTTGTATATTTTATAAGATAATTAAAATTACTAAAATTATTTACTTGAATATAGGTCGATTGTTCTGTGCAGAAATTGCGTTGATCGTTACAACTAGCCAAGCTAAAATAATCTTACGACAGAACATCGTTGCAGATTTTACTCAATGATTGCACAAATTCCCTTTTGATACAGTTTTTTAAATTGCACTATGCACTTAAATATGTATATAATATAATAATGTGGAGGAATCAGTTACTTCTAATATTTTACTACTGTCCATGATTTTGCATCTTTGGCAAGACTGCATTGCACCAACTTTGAGCCATGAAAAACACCCGAACTCAAGTCCTTGGTACATGTTAACCAAGATCTAGAACTACTGAATAAATAAAATAGTTCGCATGCAAACAAAAATTTGACGTTGATTTGCGTGTGACTTTCCCTAATTTAAAATTACGACCTTTATCGAATCAATGTACATACATAGTACTTCGATCCACCACGTCTAATTTTAGAATTGATCTAAATAATCTCAATTATCATCAGTATATATTTCAATGGGGAATGTACTAATAAATGTACATAAATTACGAAAATAGTTTTCTACAATATTTGATTTCTCAAATTTTCGCTAACAGGCCTTCCTGAAAGACTAAATGTCATTGATAATCATAAGATAATATGTAAAATGTAAAATACGCCAATTTAATTATTGCTAGGAAAATATTGCTGGATCCATACTTCATCGTTATGTGCTGCTCTTTACCTGTTCAAGTTACAGTTTACAGTTTTACAGGTACAGGAAACTGTGAATGTTCCAGTATGATAATAAACACTTTATAATTTTTCCCCCGAGCAATAAAATAAACTATTTGCATATGATCATTATTGTACAGAAAGGTTATTAATTCTGTTGACTTTCTCAGGAAACTTGATAATTCCGAGTTCTTGCGTAATCTTGCATACCTATGTTAAAAATAGTCCGGACTGAAAATGCGTAAGAGACGCTTCAACTAGAAAATAGTTCTCTCATTTAACGGTGACTGACAAAATCTAGCAGAAAACCACAATGGGCGAGTTTTTAAGCATAGTACTCGGAACATTATTGTGGCCACTGGTTTTAATCATTTTTGGCCCAATTGCACTAATTCTGTATTTAACTCGTGTTGTTGTTATAAATTTATTAGCAAAGTATTGGAGGTTAACTCCGTTGAGATCGTGTGATCAGATGCATATTTCTTCCAAAGGAATCCTTATGGTAGTGATTGGTGTAATGAAACTCAAGACAAAAATAAATGCAGAAGATTTTAGAATAAAGTTCAAAGATTGCTTTCTGAAAGAGAGTGATTCCATTTTTTATAAAGTTGTAACCACCTTTTGTGGATATGGGTTTACAAGGAAAGTCAAAAACTTGGATTTAAACCACCACATCAGAGAAGTTTCAAGTTCATCGTATACGGGGAAATCTTTTGAAGAAATTGTCAACATTTTAGCAAACGATAATAAAATCATTGAAGCCAACGGTCCTCCTCCGTGGGAAGTAATTATCGTCAATAGTATTCAAGGGGGTAGTGGTTCAATTGTTATGTTAAAATTTGACCACACCCTGGGGGACGGATACTCACTCATTAAAATGTTTGATACACTGACAGAAAATGAATCACCAAATGTAAACCAGGACAAATGGAAATGCAGTTTATTAGCTATGGTACTAAACATACTAAATTGAAATAGTAAGAATTTGCGCACTTTTATGCGAACCTGCTTATCGAAATTGTCTGCAATTTTCAGATAAGAATTGTCTTGAAAGCACCATACGAGTGTTTATGCCTATTCTTCTCAATGAATAGAGATTTGGTTCAAGATCCACTACAGTCAAAAAATAATGAGACACACGAGGGTAAATTGATCCCAATTTCCAGAGGAGAAGAAGAAGATGACCGTATTCTTATATCAACCACAACGCTCGACTTCAAGAAAGTTAAAAGCATTCGATCCCATACTGGATGCAGAGTCTTGCCAATTTTAACCTGCATTCAAGTTGAAGCATTAAAAAGCTTTTTAATAAATCTGGGAAGGTTCGACGAGAAAGAAAATGAACACATAGCTCGGTATTATCGGTCAATTTATCTTCTTCCAATCCCACAACATCCTGCTACAATCAGCAAACAATTTTGCAACCATTGGTAAAACATATAAATATTTCTCAACTGAGAGGGCAATGAATTTCTTTCACAAAATTAAGAATTTAAATACTAGGATTCCTGGAACCGCACGTGTTAACTTGAATGATTCTGATCTCATTGGGCGTCTCCAGCGTACCAGCAATTCATTTGATCTTTGGGAGAGGAATGATTTCCAAATCATCGTTTCCAAACTTCGAAGCATATTTTATATTCTTCCAATTTGGGTTCTGAAACACATTACGAACCTTGAAAATTTTCCTCACTATAATTCACTATGCAGCATGCCCTGCTCCTCAAAGAAATATAAATTGTTGGGAGCCGATTTAGAAAATTTGTTTTGCTGTGTCACACATCATTCCTCTTCGGGATTTAAAGGTCCTACATAAAATAGAATAAGTTCAAGCGTGAATATTTATGCGTTCCCCATTACGAATTTAATTTTTTTTACTATAGGAATTATTATATTCACCTTAACGAGAGGTGACGAGCTTGATGTTTGCATTCGAGCTACCCGGGACCTATTTCGAAATCAAGAAGAAATAGACACTTTTACCAAAATCTATTATGGACAGATCCTTGATCGGTATTACTATTTGTGTCAAAATGCATAAATAAATATATATTTACTAAATTAAATTATAAGAGCATGATCATTTTTTTACGTCATCGGAATGAAAAGCAACATACCCTCATTAATGATTAAATTGAATTAAAAATAAGGGTATGTTTGTTATTAGGGCAAAATGTATTATAGAACCTCTTGTGGGAAGGTTTTTCCAGCCTATTTACGAGTGAGAAAGGAATGTCATATCCATAATTTTATAGCGGCTAACGGCTTAATTGGCATTGTTCATTTAGTTTGGTCTCCAAAAACAAATTAATGCAAGTTGATGACGAATATATTTACGTCTCGCATGATAAATACGAGACAAATGTGTATCATATAAAATTTAAAAGGATGACGGCGTCTGGTGGACGCTTTCTATGACCTCGGGAATCAAATAAAAAAATATATTCTTGGATAACTCCTACTCCATGTTCTGCATGTTTACACTACAGCATGCGTGAAACAATTTGATGAATGTAAGAAGAAAAATATATTGACAATTTTTAAATTAAATTCAAAATACATTTTGCAGAATAATCCAAAGGGAATCCGAAGTAACTTTTACCTTATGTACATGACCATAAAAATGTAGGAAATTATGATACACTTAATATAAAAATATGCAAGCAAAATAGATATTTATACATAGGCCAACTTTTTCATGGTCTCATGATGATACATAAATATCTAACTGAATACATTACATATATACTAACTCATAAATTATACAGCGTAAATATTGCTTAAATTTTCATGAAAAATAAGCAAAGTTTTTTATCAAAATTCCAAAATCGCAAAAAAACAGATTGGCATTCTTACACGTATCTGGACACCGGCAAAAAGCACAAATTACACCAGCAGTAGCCGTTAATTTTTATGATCTATAATTTATACTCTCCATCCAATTCAGTAGATAAAAATTTAGTCGTCACTATCTAAGCCTCCTCGTTAAATTTTCCATTTGGTTTTGTCTGATTTTAATTTATTTAAATTTGCCAATAAATTTTTACGAGTTTGTTTATTATTTAGATTTACTGTGAGAATGTTGATTATAAAACCGTCTTAATAACCTGTTGTTATAATGCATATGACGCATACACGTAAACTCGACACGTTAGTTACTAACATCTGTAATTCGTATTCAATTCAAGCTGTGATGAGTAATGCTTACAAGTTGTACCCTTATGTACAATCATCTTGTTCTCATGTTAAACATGTCGATGAGACAAATAATTAGACGATTTGTCTTACTTGAAAGTAAGATATTTAAAGTCGCAGTTATTTTGAAATAACCATAATTATTCTCCTTCTGAGAATTAACGTTGAGGTACTTCTCATAGTATGACCGAATCTTGCTGTAAACGATAATAAATGCATAATTTCATAATTATGTATATCTTGGCACATGCTTTTAGCAACTTTTCAGAAATAATTCACGGGTGAATTGAAAAATTTATGATGAAAATGATTTATTTAAGTGTCGTCGTAAACGCTTGCTGGCAGTTTTTTTGTATTTCAGCACAACATACTTGTGTAAATAAATATTGAAGTTTGCTGTAATGCTGACCTCATGCAGAGGGCAAGTTCTTTAATTAACCTCTGCTTCTGACATAGTTGATCAGCTCTTCAGAATCTTCACAAACGAAGGGCTTCAGGTGATGACACGCAACCTGAAATATGGTTAAGAAATGCGTGAGTTTCTCTACAAATACGTAGAACTATGTGCATATATGTAATAGCTGGTAATTAAAATGTATACTAACGTCGTGCCATTTTATGCCGTCCTAAAAAACAGTTTATAAATAATGTAATAAAATAATAAAATAATAATTAATATGTAAGGATACAAAAATGTGTCTTACATTATAAAAGTTATTTAGGACGGATAAGCATGCTTCATCGTTCCCCTGAAAACACAATAAATCGACATTTTCACTATTGCTCATAATTTCTGTTAGTATTACAACCACTAAATATTGGTTGCTCTGGTTTTACCTGTGCAATTTCTCTGTTATCTGGCTGTGCATAGCCAAATTGGCCTCCGGTATGGCTCCAGTCTCCGTTCTGCCTATTGTTCGTTGGTCCGAGCTTCACACCGCTTCCAGACCAAAACCACCCATTGATCAGATTTGGTTGCTGATCAGGGCGTTCGGAACACCCTAAAGTCCGGAAAGTACGATTGCACATAAAATTGCATACCTACTTGGTAACAGACATATTGCACCAAAGGAGGAAAACGAGGCACAAACCTTTAAAATTACATTTCCTTCCAGAAGTCCAAATGTACTTTACACGGCCGGAGGAAATTTTTTGCTTAATGAACTCATTTTCTGCGGGGGTTTCTAACGACACGGTGTCCATGCAATGTCTTCTGCAAATATTTCTTGCATCTAACCAATCTACTTCGAGATTTTGTGTGGCTTGGTGTTCCCAGCTGAAGAAATAATTGTGGGTGACCCCTCTGGGATCTGTCCATGTCGTATGCCTAACTCCTAATATTGTTTCAAACAGTATAAATACTTGTAGTTTCGAGTATCAAATGGTTATCAAATCGTTGAAATTGTGGTTAAGTTGTACAAACTCACTATTTTGGCATGACCTGGGGTCAGGGAAGGCGAGCTGTCTTTGGGAGTGTGCCAAGGAAATGACCACAGCAAGTGTGACTAGTGAGAGGGTTGCCTTCATGGTAACTCGTTTTTTCTTTGACAGAGAGAACGAGAGGTGTTTGTTGAGAAGAGGACTGATGAGATTTAAAGGGATGCTAAGGGTATGAATCGCATTTTATAGTGAGAATATGTGTCAATAAAGGGCGACAATGTAATTGAAAGGATTACACAATTTAATAAAGATGATACTGAGCATGACTTCCTGCGAGCTCTGTAATTCGGAAGTGTACATTTTTTAAAGCTAATTTGGTGGATTGCCTTCAGTCATTGTCAATGTTGATGTGATGTTATGCACAAAACGTGTAAATATTTGTTAATTTTAGCAAAACGGCAAGAAAAAATTCTTGTTATTTTTGTAATTTTTGTCAGTTAATGTCATGTATGTACTGCTGAGGTTTGTAAGATCATGCAGTCGACGAGGTTACAAACCAGCTTGCCTTCAAAAGAGTGTCATCTTCATCATCAGGTTAAAATGATAACTGTTCTGGAAATTACTAGATGAGAAACACAAACAAATCAATTTTGACATGTTGGCGTTGAACTGCATAATACTTATCTATGGTTATCTCACTGTATACATACATATGCATATAATGAATAATAAAGCCACTTTGCACCAATCTGGGTTTATGATCAATCTGTTGATTATGCTCACCTTCACCTTTTTTGCACTTTCTAAAATGCATTCATATCGAATACAGAGATTTTCGTGTTATATCATCATTAATTTCCCTTGACGAATTGATCCAAATCATGGTTAATTTCAACCATGCACGAACTCCTTAGGGTGGAGGGACAACGGAATGAATAAATTGGACAGCAATTAAAGTTATCATAGTTAAATTATCTTGTTAAACGTTGTCGGTCAGCCTACGTATATAGTCAGTCAGTAAGTGGTTTCTATAATTCGATAACCAAAGTCTTACAATGAAATTCAATCACAATTATTCGACTTGATTACAATCTCGTCAATTTACTCTGTAACGGCGTCATCCATTGCGATGAGTACATAGTGGAATGCATGTGCATTCTTATTTACCTGCTAGTGCAGCTTTGTTTATGTGTTTGTGACTTCGTGGGACTAAGTACCAATGATTCACCAAGAAATGTTTCGCAAAAACTGGTCAGACACAAAAAGCGGACCGGCAAACGATTATTGCGTGTTTGTTTTATCCTCCTTCTCCTTAAACAATTTGACAGGAGTGGGTATTTGAGCTAGCATTTTCCATTTTCCAGACTTGTTGTTCTGTTGCTGGAACTAAATTTTGTCAAGGACAAAGACCCACACGTGCAGATTCATAGGTGATTGGCCGTGCTTAAAAATGTCCTGTTATCGCACTACTAGGCTATCTCAATTAACGAGTGTCACTTTATTACTGTATTTTTTCCAATTTCATTGAACCCTAAATATTCATAAACAAATAAACATTAATCCCAGATAACAGGTCGCTATGAATTCGCTTAGAGAATTCGCAGAGAATGTCGCGTTAAAACAGAGAACTCGAATTCTCTCAGATTTCGTTATTATTCTCGTATCGAATTCGCATCGAATTCGGTAATTATTCGTACCTAAATTCGATATTACGCTCATTTCAGAATTCGTAACGAATTAGACTCGAATTCTCAGAGAATTCTTCTATCGAATTCGAAACGACTTCACTATGAATTCTTAAACGAATTCGCTGTTATTGTAGTTAGGAATTCTCCCCGATTTCGATAGGAATTCTTCTTACAGGAATAGGAGACTATATACTGTTCGCCTTAAATCTCGAATTCGTAAATAATCCTTAGAGAATTCACTGTGATTTCTCTCTTTCACGCTGTTATTATATTTTTAAGTAATTTTAGCTGCCACATTCAAATCTTTCCTCATGGGAAGGAGACGACTTTTTCAGTTGAGTGCTCGCCAAAAAAGAAGACTTGTAAAAAGACGAAGTGAAATTTTTGAGGAAAATTTAAATAGTGACCTAGTCCAGGCCGAAGGGGAAAACATTTATTTAGAACAAGTGTTCGAAGAAGATCTGGAAGAAATTGAAGTCGGAAGTAACACGAGTGAAGGAAGTTCAACTGAAACAATTAGCTCAGAAAGCGAAGGTGAAATTGATACTTTCGATATTACATATAGTATCCAAAATTGGTCCCTTGAATTTAAAATTCCTCATAATGCAATCTCATTATGCAACACTCTAAAACATTTTAAAAATATGTTAATCTCAGATGCGGTAGCAGCTCACCCTAGGACTCCAAATTTTCCAGACGAGGGCACAGTTGACGAAGAAATACACAAATCTCTTAAGAACGTAGCAGATAGAGTTGGGAAGCGTATGAGATACAAATATATACAATCGATAATAACTGTTGGAAAAGATTTTAGAAATAACATTAGTATATTTTCAATAGGAAGTGACTTAACATCGCGGCCAATTTCACTACCAGGGTCATCTGATTATTCAACTTATGTTTATTTTAATGTAAACAGTTATGTATATTACATGATATTTAGAATAAATAAAATAAACTATAAGCTGGATTAACTCGAAATATAGGAGAAATCGTATCGATTTATTACTTAATTCGCAGTGAATTCGTATAGAAGTCGCATTAAATTCGTGGAGAAGTCGCATTGAATTCGTTTAGAAATCGTTATGAACTCCTACATATTCATCGAATTCAAGACGAAATCGCGAAGACTTACCGGCGAAATCGATATACGATTCTCCATCGATTCTCTGTCGAATCGGCGGACATTTCCCTTCGATATCTCCTCGAATTTATCTCGAAAGTTGGAAATTCGAGGCGAATTCGATATCGATATCAAAGCGAATGTAATATCGAAACATAAGAGAATTCAGAGCGAATTGTTATCTGGGATATGATCTACATGACTAACAAGCAACAAATTTCTTATTCTTTGTTCTCCAGTTAATTATTAATCGTTCAAACATGTATGCATGAACACTATGGCTTGGGCTAAAAATGAATTTACTCCTTCATGTAATGCTACTACACTAGGATACGTTATTGCGCATTCGTATATTCGTACAAGTAAATTGTTATCATTTATTTACATATTACACATTTTAAAGCTATTTTCCTCCTTCGATAAAAAATTGGCAACGTGCGCCCCACAACTGGATGATGAAGATTGATATTCAGTAACGCGCACTCAGCTCCAGGTTCTACTTTGTCAGTCTGTTCATAAATCTGTATATGCAACTACGTGTTTGTTGGCCCACCTCTCGTGTGGACAATCAAACGAGGAAAAGTCGAAAGAATTCGATTTTTATCTCCACTCGAATTGGGAATTCTTAATAAATAGTCATTAATTTTTATGTTGAGTAATAATAACAGTGTTTAGCACAACGGCCTTTTTTACAACTATGTACCTATGTATGTAAGTAACTATATATTGTAAATAGATTGCTTACGATGTGTTTGGCAACCACCCGATTCGGAATTTGACAAGTATTTTAATTTGTACATCAATCTGTGCATCATGCGGTTGAAGGTTTTAATAAGGAAAACCTGATTATCGCCTTTTTGTCATGTCATCCAGACATCGTCTGGTCGTGGTTGAAACACAAAAACAACCCATATCTTCCCTTACTTTTCCATGCTTGCACGGTCAAAAAAAGTTTAATAGAGCTCGTAAAAAGTACTCACGTCATATGCAACCTAGTCTAAATTTGTTTATCATGAAAATTTCATGTACTGCGCTGACTTGAATTGAAAATGACTTGGACACACTCCTTCTCACCTAAGTATTTGTACTCCCAGATCAATCCCGTACATTACAAACGATATTACAAAATAAATGTCCATGCATACCTACCGTACATATGTGTATGCATGTACGATTGTTTATTCGGCCAGCCCTTTAGCACATGTTTACTGCATTACATACGAATGATTATATAGTATCGCAGTAATTTTAAAATCTAAACTTCACAACGAGTTCGGTGTTGACAGTGAGCAGTTGATTTTATTTTCTCAGTATGAAGCCGTTGAACAGATTTAGTCTGGTCGTACCAATTATTGGTTTGATTTTCATAGCTCATAAAACCTGCTTTGCAGCTAATGTACTGTTTATGCATACAGGGTAAGAAATTAAGCGTCGTACCTTACGAAAGGGGGCAACCAACCGTTCATTTTTTTTTATTAAACCTTTAGATCCACATATAGTCACAGGGTTGCAGAATGGCCGCTTGTGGAAGGGTTGCTAGCTAAGGGTCATAATGTGACGTTCATTTCGCCCTTTGGTCTGTATAAAGATTTAACAAATGTTTCTAACGTAAAAATTAGTTTTATAAAAGAACATATGTATGTATATGTAGGTCCAAGTGGGAAGATGGCTCATCAGAAGGTTACCGAAATTGTACCACCAGCACTACATAGCTTGGTGTCAAGTCTTCTGACTGACAATTTCGATGTAAATTATCGTGCGTATGGAATTCTTCCTCCACTTTTCGTTGTTATGGACCTTTTCTCCTACCAAGTATGCGACGTGACACTTTCATCACCTGAAATACAAGAATGGCTAGCAAAGAAGCCAAAAATCGACCTCGTAATAGGCGATATGATTACGGAATGCTCATCAGGCCTGGCGTTGCATTTTGGGGCGAAACACGCACTTTTCTCTCCCATACCTCTGGTAAAATGAGTATGAATTTGTATTATGCTTCCTGATGATGCATATGTGATAACAATCCTTATCATTTCATACTATGATAAAGATTACGGAACAATATGAGTATCTTGGGATAAGCTCCGAATCAGCTTCCATCCCGGACTACGATGTCACAAGGCCGGTTCCATTGACTTTTGTTGCCCGGGTCATAGGCACCATACTTCCTTTGTACTACACACATATTTATACACGCAACATACATTTTTCAAAGTCGACGAAACATTACGATTTAAATTTTTTATAAATTAAAGGTACTACCTGGTCATGGACGTAGCATTGTATCCCTGGTACGCAGCTCTTTTTAGCAGAACTTTGGGACTAGACCAGCTTCCTGACGTGCATGAAATGAGAGGAAAAGTGGACCTCCTTCTTATTAATGGAAATTACATCTCTGATTATCCAAGATCGTGGCCCCCACTAGTGGCAAAAGTCGAAGGGATTCATATCAAGAAAAACAAAGAAAGGAAACCATTGGCTAAGGTAGTCAATTAAAAAGTAAATGTTATTATCCAGTCATATTACATACATACATACTTTTTATAGGATGTCGAAAACTTCATTAACAGTAGAACGGAAAATGGCTCCATCAGTGACGGCTTCTTGTTTATGAGTTTCGGAACAGGTACATACATTGTTTTCAGATATTTCAAATTAATGTAAATTTAGAAATTACTACAATAAATTACATGAGATGTACATATGTATTTAACAGTCGCGAAAGCTCCAAGTCTTCCGGTTGCACTCAAGAAAATATTTTTTGATACTATCGAGTCTTTTCCAAATATAAAATTTATCTGGAAGTGGGACGGAAAGAAGCCTGAAATTTATCCAAAGAATTTGCTCATGGTACCGTGGGTTGATCAGCAAGATATTCTAGCTCATCCAAAAATTAGAGGATTTTTAACTCAAGGTAACAACCACTCACTCACTTTCGAATTTTGTGGTGGACGGGTAATCTAAGGTATTGGTTTTAATCGAAATTTCACTTTTAGCTGGCAGACCAAGCACACAGGAAGCTCTTTACCATGAGGTCCCTATGATCACGTTAGTTGTAGCACTAGATCAAATTCTCGTTTCTTTGTGATTGAAAAGATATTTATTTATGACCTTTATATTTAATCTACAGATTCCCAATTTTGGGAGGTAAGAAATTTTAATCTCAATACTATCAACTCAAGTATTGATTCCAGATATTTTTGTACAAATTTAAAAAAAATGTTAATATGTAATGTATATATGTAGATCAGGATTTTAATGCTCAGAGAAGTGCTGACTTGGGATTATCAGTACTCTTGGACTTTGTTGGACTTACTGAAGAAAACTTGAAAAATGCGATTTCAGAAATTTTAACAAATAAAAAGTATGTATGGTTCACTGCGGTTTACTTAATCGAAATATGTCGGTCTAATTGCTAATCATAATTTGCTCAAGGTACAAGGAAAGAGTTTCACAGCTTGCCAACTTGGCTAGAGACGTGATTTTCGACCCCGTGGATGTAGGGGTGTGGTGGGTCGAAGTAATTTGTTTATCTTATTATGCAATAATAATGGAAGTAATGTAATAATTTTCATAAATTTAATAGTTTGTTATGAGACACACTCAAGAAGAGCTGGATCTCATGAAACCACTGGGTCGACATCTGTCTTGGTATCAGAAGCGGAATTTGGATTGTTGGCTTTTCCTATTATTGCTCTTTTTAGCAGGATCGTATCTCACATTTTTCATCTGCAAAAGATTATTAAATAGATTCATGTTTTCCAATGGTAATGAATCTAGTTCTCAAACAACAAATACTAGCACGAACAACAACGCACATAGTAAAAAGACAAATTAATTTATGTTTAATATTCAAAATAGCGAAAAGTATTAACAATGTAAATTTTCGGGTTGTCTATCTTTAAAAATGTGATATGCGAGTCTGTGTTATAGACTTAATTAATTATTATGTAATGACTACACCAATGACTGTGACTAATTAATTCATAAATACAAACCGTTTTAATACTTTGCTGTTTACTCCAACAATATTATTTTAACACGGTTCCTGAAATGTCAACAATTTTGACTTGACAATATATCCTTAGTAGATAAAGGAATATACAGATATAGTCTTATACACAGTTCCTGGAGAGCGCAAAACGTTTGGAAAGTGGTTATGATTCACAGCATCCGGCCACGCTTGGGTTTCTGCACAAAAGGCACCGTTCTTGTAGTAGTATGTACTTTCCTTCCCCCGAAGTAAAGCTGTTTCTGGGAGAAAATTCCCCGTGTAAAATTGCAAGCCTGGTTGATCAGTTCGTATCTCTAGACTAAGATTGGGAACAGAAACCCTTGTTTCCACGAAAAAATAATTTTAAATTAAATACTTATTGACCATGATGCACATTCGCTATAAATATGAATTTAAGCAGTTCTACCTGGCAGCTAAGACCAATTCTCCATCTGGAACTCCTTCCCGATTCAGACAAAAGTTGTGGTCATAACCACTCGGGTCGTTAGTTATCAACTCATTGATATCTTTTGGAGTTCGTAGATCGAACTTGGTCCCTTGTACAGGGGTCACATCTCCAGTGATGATCAGATTTTCATCTACTGGCGTATACTCATTTGCATACAGAGTGATCATATGTGACTCGAGTTTGGATGCCGTGGTTTTCTATAAAAATAACGAAAATAATTATTTCCAATAACTCTATGCGCGCAAATATTTAAATATGTTGCACTTGCATGTCCCGTCAAATTGAAGTAAGTGTGGTTGGTCAAGGAAATGGGAGTCGGGCCATCGCACATTGCGAGATATTCGAGGATTATCTCATTCTCCTCGTTGATGGAGTAGGTGATCGTGGCCATGACCGAATTTGGATACCCTTCTTCTCCGCCTGTAGAAATATAGCTGAAGGCAACTTTTCCACCGGAAATGATACTGGCTTTAAATTGTCTCTTGTCAAATCCAGCAAATCCTCCGTGAAGATGATTCTGACCGTCGTTTAAACTCAACTGGACCTGTTGGCCGTCCATAATAAATCTTCCGGCGCGGACACGATTCGATGTCCTGCCAATGCTTGCCCCAAAGTAGGGGTTTTCGAACGATGTAATTCCAAGATAATCTTCCAAGGTGTCGAACCCCAAAACGACGTCTGTCAACTGGCCAAGGGCGTCGGGAACTATGAGGTTTGTGAGGGCTGCGCCATAATCGATAATGGAAATGGAGAATGAATTTATTGTGTTGGTAAGCGTGTATTTGGTGACCGGAATGGGAACCGTGGGGTTGGCCGGGGTGGTGTAAATTCCGAATGGTGTAGTAGTGGTGACCAGTGGCATTTTAAAAATAAGGATTGTGAAATTGCAGAACAATATTTCTGACAAAGGTGTAGTTTTACAATGACAACGAGAACTGCCTAAAATTGTGAGTGAACTCTTAATATTTATATCAGACGGGATTGAAGAGGGGTCAGATGACGTATCAGATGACCAAGTAGTTTAATTACTTATCGCTACGTTAATTGGTTAGTGATAAGCAAATTTGAAGTAATATTTTATGAAACAAAGAGTGGTTACAGTCAATATTTAGTGCAAATACTGGTGTATTATGTTTTCAACCTCATATACATATGCACATTAGGTATTTATGTCAATTGTCGAAATTAATATGTGTATGTAACTGTTATTTTATTCAGAGAATTTAATGATTTCCCGAGTATAATTGCAAGCCAAATCCCTAAATATAAATTAAATAAATAGTGGGACACTTAATATCAGAAATAGGTTAACCCTTGTCCAGAATAATATAATAAGCATGTATCGCAATTAGACAAATCGCAAACAGACGAATTGACATGTACGAATATAAATATGTACATATAAATATTTTGTGGCGCTATTTTAATTTCATAAATTTATGAAATTAAAATAGCGCTACAAAATATTTCAACGGCATGCATTCACATATCTACCACTGAGAGGCCATACAAAATATTTTATTATGTACATACAAATACAATACATATTTACAGTCGTGTCTGTAAAACTGTAAGGGGAGAACTATACAGTTCGGAAATCCATGCAAAAATTCACATATCTACATATGTACAGATTGAAAAACTCATTGTATTATGTATTTAAAAATCATTCATTTTATTGTGAATAGTAGAAACGTCCAAAACCTTTGATAAATGGCAATCGTCCAACTATTTGTCACTATTATACGACATCTGCCAAACTTTTACCACATAAAATACTCCTGGCCACGCCTATTACTTCATCAGACGCAATATTTCACCGAGCATAATTCTCGAAATAAAAAAAATCATTAATTTGTAACATCCGAGAATAAGAATTGATGTGACGATAGATAACTTGATAAACTGTTAATCACAAGAAATCACAGCACTTTGGGACAATCAGAAACGAATGTAGAGTTTTAGGACCACAAGCTCTAACTGTTCGCAAAAGAAATATTTACATTTTTTTTATGAGACACAATGGATGTAACAAGTTACATCATGGAGTCGTAAAACTGTGTGCAACATTCTAAACTGCGGAGACGCAAAGCAACTAGAATTTTGCACGTAGTTATTAACTCGTTTATACATAAGTACGTATGGAAAGGAAATCTTCAGAATTCTCAGTGGATGTATGGAAAACAAGAAAATTAGCCAATTCTTCACTTCATTTCCATTTCATATTCATTCCCGACATGTATGTCTTCTCATATATTTTGCGTCTTTTTTCTATAATACCATATTACATTTTCACTTTTGGCCATCTTCCATAATCCGTTTCGACAGCAGCAGCTCATTTTACACACTGATATTTGGGATTTTCAAACTATGTATTCCCGACCAGCAAATGATGGTTCCAATAATATTTTGAAGATGGATGGAGAAATCTGTTTTTAGCTCGGTCCAAAAATACAAATCCATCTATCCGTCGCTTCACTCAAACGGGGTACTGACACTGACCGAAGAACACTGTCCACGAAAACGGACGCGTCTCCATTAATCACCGTGAAGATTATCCGTATCGGTCGGGACCTTGAGCGAGCTCTGCACACTTGACCTGTGTTGATTTGTTGTGGTCGCGAGTAAGTGAAAGTTTTATGTCCTTGAGTTATGTAACAATTCTTGTGTAAATATTTTCTTTTTTGCTAAAAAATTATGCAACGCAATTTCTCTTGCAGTAAAAGTGCAAGATGCCAGATAACAAGGGAGGCAGTGAGACGCTAAACTTGGTGATTACATATTCGATATTAATATTCTTTCTCTTCGTTTTATGGTTAATGTACACCAGCTTCACGTAACCAAAAAGACAAGAACAACATCCACCATGCCTTTTCTAGCCCTGTAGAGTTTTTGTAAGTTGAGACAAATGTACAGTTAATTTGCATGGGATTACAGTGCAATATCCAATTTTTTTGTTTTCATAGGTGCAGCTGAAGAATGGGTTGAATGCCTCAACAAACTGGACATGTGAAAACGAACTAATATTTTATTAAGTAAAGCAAATTGGCAATATGTGTATATACAAAATTATTTTGATGTATGATGTAACGTGTGGTGCGCAAGATTTTTTGTCAAATTATAAAGACACTTAAAATAAAGACAACAAATGTAGACATAAAGTGAAGTCATACGTATCTACATAATTGATTGATCGATTAATTAATTCATTGGGATTTCAACAGATTCAAGCATAAATTAAATCTTATTTAAATGGAAATGGAAATTTTCTAATTTCGTATAAGCTGGATTCAGCATTTGTTACAATCAGGTTTTTTCCACAAGTACGAGTATTGAATCAATATTATGCATACTTGGTTTTGGAAAGCCTTTTTCCGACAAAACAAATCTCACGGAGATAATTTTCATCATTTTTCCAAGTATACATTTGCATACATATGTATGTATACGATATTTAATGTTCTCCAATAGTATGCACTTCTGGAAATCTTGTTGTCGCTCAAACTGACGAATTTTTTTGCAACAATATTAAATCAAAAGGTATGTACAACTGTTTGTGTTTGGTTGCATTTACATCAAAACATTTGGTCAAAAACTTCCATTCATAATTTTTACGGTGCTCAAGTTATCAGTATGTGTCTGTTAAATACATGCTTGCGCTGTCCTATTTCACACATGTATTTATCCAGTATTGCAAATAATCCTGCATACGAATCACTTGATCCTTCGTAAGTAAGTTAACATTGGATTTTACATAAGAGTATTTTGGTAATAGACATACATAGACTTAAAATTAATTCTTTTTTTGGAAAAAATTTAAAAGATTTTTTTCTGGGTTAGTTAAAATCTTTTCAGATAAAGCAAGTACTTTATTGAAGTAGCATGGGAATAAAGCTGCAAAACGTCACCACCGTGAAGTTAATCGTCTTGCTAATTATCTTAGGAGCAGCCACAAAAATAACGACGGGATGCTCAAGTTCTGGTTGGGATGGTTGCTCAGGACCCTGTGTTCAACCTGGAGAACATTGTGCTAATTTTGGTTACGAACCATATAATCGTTGTCGTTGTGTCCTTAACGTCACTGTGAGTGGATGAAAATAAAAATATTCAAGACATTAAGGTTTTCCTTATTTAATTGAAATTGTGACTTTTAATAAAACGAAACGATTGTTCGTCCAGCCTGAGAATCTTTAGAGACATTTGTTCATAATAAGATCATTCACTCATATTATTCATTTGCTTGCTTGTACTTTTTTGTCCTTTCCAAGTTCTAACTCCGTCCTCAACCTCTGACACTGATAAATGCATAAATGCATAATTTCTTACGAAAATAATTAATACTCTAGCAGTGATTCACCAGTTGGTGTATATATCTAATCCTAAGTATGCATGTACATATACATACATCTGTACACATGTACAAATTGTGCAATCTCAAAACAACGAGATCATTCTTCTGCTTGATCTCTTGAATCTAACTTAATTTCCGATCCGGATTTATTGTCTATCTACAAAATAATGGTTATGTTTTTTGTAGTCAAGATATAAAAGAAGGTAACAGAGCAAAAGTCGTTGTGTATCTGTAGCTTTAGAAGTAATCTGAGAATTTGTTCAGCCAAACGTCTGGAATTCCTTCTTTCCAGGCTTGACTTCAATTTCATTACTTCCACTTATCCCCAGCCCAATTGTATCCTACTTTGTAATCAAGAAAGTGCAGCTGCACATTACGATTAAATAAGCATTACCCGTTGTAAGCTAGTTGGGTACTTTTTGTTTCTTTATCCAAACATACACACTTATGTACACGTGTACATAGAGTACTCTGTCAGGATTCAAAAATATTTCAACTAAAATTGCAAAGCATGGCTGTAGTGGATTCCTTTTCCATGATTGTTTTTACAATTACTTAGGATTATTTGTAATTCAGATATTAGATATAGAATTATTATATGCTCTGTGCGCTCAAAAAATGAGTAATAAGTATGTATATATCATATAAGTATTCGACAGATGTGCTCACGTGTATGGGTTTTGAGATGCACATTTAGAATAATTTACTCAAGTCAGTACTAGCATTATATGACTTACTGTAAAATAGATTGATAGGAGATCCTGGGTTATGATGACCCTTGGGATTTCTTATGGCCTTGCATTTCAGTTCCCCTGAAACGAATTTTATTTTCAACTCGATTAAATTATTACTTATGTGAATATGTAAAGGGTGACCGATCTTTTCATTGCTACCCTTTACAGATCTGCTTAATTACCAACACTATATGTGCATTACTTGCCTCGGTTGTCTCAATGTAAGCGTCATCGGATTTCAGCTTCCATTTCATTTATGTTAAATTGCCAGATTCATACAGAAATCTGATATTAATTATTTAAATTCCAAGTTTACTCAAGTGGATCAAGTAAAAAGAAAGCATACGAATGTGCTTGAATTTTATGTTGGAGTTGTTTGAATGGGAAGAAATACATCCTCCGTACAATATGAGAACATGACGACACTCATTTCCAGATGAGATGACAAATGCAGTAGCATCCCTTCGATAATGTGGCATGTCGATGGGAGGATACTTGTTCTGTATTTCTCCTTTGATGCACTTCTTCCCCTATTGAGCGACTGCATTGACAGTCCGCTGTGCTTATAATTAACAACTCATGCAGAATAATAGAAAGGAACATTATACTTCTTTACTGTTATACTCATTTAGCTGATAAATCATTTTTTCTTCTTAATGTGCAGTTTGGTCTTGCAAATAGTAGATTATGCACTTTTCGGGGAAGTTGAGCGCATTGATAAACCCATGACGATATTTTATTGGCTAGCTTGTGGACCAAGATAAAAATAAGTAAGTGAGGGTTACAAGCTACAACCACACATGAACAAATGCGATGATATATGAGTCAAGGGAGGGATGCGGAATAGGGATGAATGATAAGGGTTTTAATGGGGTGGTAAATGTGTGGAACTGGGTTAGTGGAGATTTTTCGGGACGCTGAGATTTTATGAGCATCAACAACTCAACTACAAAATTTATCATTTCCACTTTTCACTTGCATATCATATGAATTCGATTCATTTATTCCTTCCTCGTATAGTCGGGCACCCCTCCGAATTTGTTCAGCCTTCACTTTTCTTTCACTTTCACTTTGAAAGGCACAATACTTGCCTTGGTACTCTTCATGGAAATGCTTCTTCTTTACTTCAACAAAACTGTAAATTTTCGTTCGTTGAACTTGGGATTAGCTGCGGTTTCAATGACATTGATTTCATCAAAATTATTAAAATATTCCAATGTGATTGTCGACTTTGTGCATGCATATTCAATTAATGACGGAGACTTGCAATTGCGACGGGTAAGATTATTTAATTCCACAGGCATAATAGAATGATGAGCTCATTTTTCCGTTACTGCACTTGAATAAATTTTCTGCATTTCTCTTGCATTCTTTTTTGTTGTCAACAAGATTAAGTCATACATAAATTAATATTATTAGTTGAGGTAGGTTCTTAGGATGACGGTGTATAATTTCAGCTGCATCTTATAACGAACCTGAATCAGCTTGCTTAATAAATAGGATCAATCCTTGTACATAATGAAAGGTTGGGATTCTCCACTAAAAGACGCTGCTCATCTGGTGGTGAATGAAATGGATGGTTTATTGAAATTATAATGCAAAAATTGATTATCACCCACAGCACATGTCATATTTTGCGTCGTATTTAAAATATATCTGTGTTCATTCATTCATTTGGTTTAGTTAGCATCATGTCTTCGACAGAGGAAATGTGGTTCATTTGAATATGATTGGGTAGTCCAAATTTTATCGCATGTATTCTCATTTTTTTGTAACAATTAGTCATAAACCGAAATACGACCATAATATATACAGACACATGCAGTATGTTATGTAAACCCATTCTTAGAAGCACCTGTGCACGATTTGATGATCTACTTAATACTGCCTAACAAATTCTTACAAATCTGACTGCGCCGCACGGCTACATAATGAATACTTACATAGTTTTGCTCGTTCGATATCTGCCTAATTTAGAAAGTGGATAAATCAAGTTCAATGTCATATAATAAGGGCTACATTTAAAAAATCAGAAAATATTAAAGTGTCATTTTATTAGTTTCATTTATATTTATATCATTTGGGAAAAACACCTCCCAGGTCGATGGCTTGCTCGATGAAAGTGCACGATCACGATGGAAGTGCATATTGTTGAGGTGTGCATATACGTCGAAATATATTTTTCCCTTTATTCTGATTCCGAGAAAGTCACGCGTTTATGTACGTTTGGAGAACTGCTGTTACATAATTGGCAATATTTTCACTTCGAGATGCTTCCCTTAAATTCAAAATAAAAATGCATTGCAAATGATTGACAAACATGATTTGTCATCCGTTTGGTGTGTGTGTATAACTGTTCCTCCAAAAAAATATCCAGCTTACAAGGGACACTCACGACCTGTCGTTTGAGTCCAGGGTACCCACTATGTTTTTTAGAATCTACTAGGACCCCAGATGAAGGATTCATTCATATTTCCGTGTAAAACTCATATTTGGCGACGTGGCGTGGCGCCAAATTCGCCAAAATTGAATGTTTTTATTTTTGAAACCGCCATAACTTTTGAAATCCTGGACGGATTTTCAAAATTTTTGGCAAAAATCATGACAAAGAGTTCAACTTTCTTATTCCATGAAATTTTTTCTAAAATTATCGCTTTTAACTTTTCGCAAAATTTCGTAATTTTCTTCGAAATGGGGGTTCGTCGAAAAAATCCTAAAAATATTGCAAAAATTAGAAATTTTTTATTTTTATTTTTTTGTCAAAAATTTCGACTTTTTTGATCATTTTAAGCATAAAATTTTGAAAATCCGACATAAAATGCAAAAGTTATGGGGGTTTGAAGTTGGTCGAAAATGCAAATTTTTAAGTTTGGCGCCACGCCATGGCGCCAAATATGAATTTTACACGGAAATATGAATGGATCCTTCATCTGGGGTCCTAGTAGATTCTAAAAAACATAGTGGGTACTCTGGACTCAAACAACAGGTCGTGAGTGTCCCTTGTTAGATCAACACCATACCCACCCACACTGAAATTGGAGAAACTTTAATTATTTAAGCGTTAACTTCTCACGTTTGAAACTCATGAAGACACAATGCAAATTAATTTTGAAGTCTGCACGAAAGAAAATCAATGAATAAAGAGAATTCATAATACGTAAAGAGAATTTTTTATATATGTATTGCATAGTAGTACTTGGAAAAAGCATCCTGTTTGTTAGGCTAACCTGGGTTTGTTACCAAGTACGTCAATGGGGTACATTACTGCCTATTCATTATACATACAGTTCAAGAATAAAATAGATCCATCTCTTTGAATAATATGAGTCAACAAGACAAGAGTTGTGAATACAGCGTAATATTGAATATTTAACATTTATTTCTAAATAGAATTACATATTAATTAACCCTGCTTTGAAGACTGTATTAAAAACAAAGGTTGTGTGTATGTAGTTGCTTTAAAGAGGTACATCAGGTGATTCGAGGTTTTCTCATCCGCCCTGTTGCTGTTAATGAATGGATGGATTATAAAAATTATATTCATACATTAAATTATTTAACGCAAGGATAAATGGTTATTGGACAAGACGGTGTTGTAATATTTCACATTCCATATATGAGTAGGTTACCATCTTCGACCTAACAATGCGACGGTATTACTAAAAAATCTCAGATTCTCAAACCTCTAAAAACCTTAATTTTTTAGCATTACCTCGGAACACCTGATGTATGTAAATACAATAAATAAATACTGTCTGTAACTGTATACAGCCTTATACTTGACATTGCCATTATTTTGTGGCTTGTCGTACTGTTAGTTTGAATTTCTCTGTTGTGGGATCATAGAATGTGATCAAAGTTAAGAATAAATACAAGTTTTAAGTTATCCGGACAAACTTCAACTGCCCTTATCCTTACAGTGCAGTTGGATTTGGCCTTATTGAAAGACGTGTTATTAATCGCGTCAAATAAAGTTTAAGCTAAGTACTTACTTAATATAAAAATATTAATTGTGTGATTCTGAAATATTTATATGCATGATGCATTATGTTGCAAATAGAATTAATATATCTTCTAGTTAATTAAATTCATGCTCCACGGATATATCTGGATTAAGCTTGAATATTATTATTATTTCTAATTTAGTATGTACTTGTGTCGTTAGTTGTAAATAGAGCGCCCAGCGATTAGACTGTATAATGCTCTAATCACCGCACCTTTAAAGTACAATTCCAAAATCCCAACAATTATTACGATCAATGAAAAAAAGTTACAATAGACCAAACTTCCAGTAAAATCCGGACGCGAAATTCAACCAGATTCACGACCATTATAATTATAAAAAAATACGTCAAACTTTTTGTCTGCTCTGCATTTGATGTAATGATTATGAATTCCCAGACTCCGTGCATGCTCGGATCTAAATATTTCGATCTCATGTTAGCACATTGTCTCTTTTCGACGAAATGGATGTGATTAATCGGACTACTTTAATCGGGACCTGAATTTGCACCATCCATGTCCACCACCTCCCATGCATGAACATAATTCATTCATAACTAAAAGCTCATGAACGGACTTTGGGTGAAATTTATTTAGGGGATATTTATTTAGTGTAGGGTTGATGGAAGTTGGCGTCATGAATTTAAAAATTAGATGCAACGTCAGGATAAGTAGTCTATAAAATAAGTTGGTTATGAGTTACGACTGTCAGTTGTGATTTAGCATTTTAAAGGACACTTTATTCAAAAGTTCTGTGCTGTACAGAATTTATATTTGTTGTCGTAAATGCTAGATACTAAAATGTGGAATATGTACAGAATCAGCAAATTGTTGTGCTGAATATTTAACTTGACATTGCGTAATACAGCAAAAGCTATTACATTGATATTTTAAAGCGAGGTTGGGGTGAAGAATGACACTTTCAGCTTCTTCCACTTTGTCAGATAAGATCAAAAGGTGGAGAAATGTAGGGAAGTCAAGAGGCGAATCAGGTCAGGACCAGAGCGATGAGGTCGACGAATTAGGAAAAGTTTGGTGGTACGAGGTATTATTAGCACGGAAAAATATAAATTACAAAAAAACTGAAAAATAATTCATATTACAGTATTCTAAGTATTTGCATTTTCAATAGTCAGTCTCCGTTTTGTCTGTGTGTGCACCCTGCATTTCATGTGGGAGTTTTTTGGGATACACTTCGTCAGCGGTGCCATCAATGATAAAAGATGTCGCAACGTTTGGAGTATTGAATTCCCATCAAATTGCACTCATTGGTTAGATCATCATTTTTTACTGCCCCCATGTCAGCTAACATTTATGTAGTTACAAATTTGATACTTTAGGTGGGCTAGGGCCTCTTGGCGCAATACTTGGAAGCATAATCTCTGCAATTCCCCTCAAATACGTTGGACCACGAAGGACCATTGCTCTCTTAGGAATCTCGATGTTGATATTGTCTTGGGTGACGATTGGGATGTCACACGGCATTGTTCTCGTATACGTGGGAAGGTTTTTGGGAGGAGTTGGAGTCGGTGCTACAATATCCAGCGCGCCGCTCTATGTAATGGATATTTCATGCATTCAACGAAGAGGCCGATTGGGTATAATGCCTCAGGTGAGATAAATAATTTTCGTCTTTTGCATACAATTTACATAGATTTTTGAAATATGTTAAAATTGTTTTCCTTCCTTCTAGTTTCTAATGATCTCAGGAATACTTATTTCCTACATATTGGGTGCTTTTCTTAATTGGAGCAATCTTTCTCTCGTCGCGTGCACATTTCTCATCCTCGCAGCAATCCTCATCGCTTTTGCTCCTGACTCGCCAAAGTGGCTCATTACTAATGGGAAGTGTGAACAAGGGTTCAAGGTTCTGGAGAAAATTCATGGGACTGTAGCTGCCAAAGTGATTGCCTTAAATATGGAAAACACCTCACAAACGATTTCGAGCAATCCACAAGGGGAAGAAATTTGGAAAAGTAAAGCAACTTATAAATCCATCCTTGTGTGCCTCGTAGTCATTTCTATACAACAGTTAACAGGTATGTAACTATAAAACATGTACTGTTTACATGACATGTACTGGTTCAAAATTCAAGAATTAAGTTATGTGAATATTCATGCATTTTATGACGACATATTTAGGTGTGAACGGGATCACATTCTTTGCTACATCTATATTTGACCGATCCTCCTCATCCACTACTTCGAGTGGTCACTTGTCCTCAATAATTCTGGCAACAACGCAGTTAATCGCCTCATTTATGTCTACATTTTTCGTGGAGCGTTTTGGACGCACCTTTCTATTGAAGATATCTTCCGCTACATTAACTCTCTCCAGCCTTACACTTGGGACATATTTTTATCTGCTTGTGGACAATACCGATTTTCTCTGGCTCCCTCTCACCGCGCTTGTAATCTTCGCCTTTGGTTTTGCAATTGGTCTGGGTCCCGTCACATGGATCATTGTTGCAGAAATTCTCCCACAACAAGTGCGAAACCTGATCAATCCACTAATAATTGGGTACAATTGGTTTTGCGTGTTCCTCGTAACAACGTCATTCCCTTACTTGAAGGAAGAAATCTACTATTTTGGAGTATTCTGGCTGTACGCTGCGGTTGCAGGTCTGGGTTTCATTTTTATTTGCATATTTGTTCCAGAAACAAAAGGTCAGACTTCCGAACAGATCCAGTTGGGTTTCTCGGGCAAACAAAAAATGCAAAATGCATTTCGGTTATTTCGGTATCGAAGTAGTGTAATTTAATTTAATTAAAGTTATTAATAGTATAATTTATTTATAACAAATGATATTTTACATAACTTATATTTACAAATATTCTGAACAAATATTTCATATGTGTTGTATATGTATTTGTTTTGTGATAGAATATGTAATATGTATGCAAATGTGTATATAGAAATATATTTAATTACCTCAAGACATGGCCAGTAAATTATTTTATACGTATAACTAATATTCTAGAATTATTTATCCTGGTCAAACTTCAATTGATTGGGCACAGGAGATACATAAGTAAGCATCATGATCATCATCTTATACGACATTGATTTCATATGCTGTTCCTTGCAGTGCAGAATAGATAAAAAATGTATGTCTTTAAGACCTACATATTTATACTGAAGAATTTCCTATCTGAACAGAAGAATTTACATATCTATGCAAGTACCATAATAATATTTATCGACTATAAATTATAGTTATAACTTATCGATATATGGTGAACTCCAAGTGATCAATCATATGCTGTGATCATTAAGAACTGTGTACGAAGAGTGATATATTTGCATACACAATTTATTATAATGAAATAACAGCTTTTCTTTAAATAAATTGTGAAAGAATTTCATACTTCATAATCTTATCTATTTCATTCACCACAATGGAAACAATAATTCCAATTATCGATTTGGATAAATTAACCGAACCAAACACTGACATTACAAAATTTCCTAACCACCTGGCTCAAATTGTTGATCAAATTCGCGATGCCTTGCACAAAGTTGGGTTCATGTATTTGACAAATCATCGGATTTCAAACGAGGTGATTAATTCTGCTTTCACCGCAAGTGCAAATTTTTTCAATTTAGATCAGGAACTGAAGGAAAAGTATAGAAAAATACCAATCAATACGAACCACGGATGGATTAAAGCAGGACAAGAACTGTAAACAGTCCTTTAATAATTTTTTTAAATTAAAATTAAATGCAAATATATAAGGGCCCGTTCATATATTACGTCAACATGAGAGGGGGGAGGGGGTCTGACCACTAATGATATCGTGCCTATCTTGCCCATGTTAAAGGGGGTAGGGGGGGTCTGAAAATCCGATTTTTTTGATGACGTAATATATGAACGGGCCCTAATTTGGCTCCTTGTTAAATACGTAAAATATTAACTTGTTTTACAGGCTTCATCCTAACTCAGTATTTGAGTTAAGAGAAGGTTTCGACTTTGTGTCTGGCGAAGGACGCCCAATCCTCGAATGTCCAGATTTTAGTCCAACAATGGACACATTTAAAAGGGAGTGTCAGAAGTTTATGAAATTAGTTCTCCTTCCACTATTATCTCGTTCTCTAGGACTGGATGACCCCAACTTCTTTAACAACTGTTGTACTCATCTAGATGACTCAAATGCAGGCAACGAATGCGACTTGAGAGCCATTTATTATCCTCCAATTCCAAATGAAACAGAAATTCCGGTAGGAACTATTCGATGCGCGGAACACACTGACTACGAATTGTGCACCCTACTCTTTCAAGATGACATTGGTGGATTAGAGGTATTGGCTTAGAAAATTGTACAATGTACACATTTACGACTTTATGCATCCATTAAGGTCAAGACATCCTTGGGAAAGTGGACTTCTGCCACCCCTATCCCCGGCTCAATTCTTGTAAACACTGGAGACCTTTTGGAACAATGGACTTCCGGTTACTTTCCAGCAACGGTATTGATAACAAAAAAGTAAAACGATCGAGAGTTGGGTTAAAACATTTTAAATACTTTAATACAGAAACACCGAGTGATTATTCCAGGGAAGGAGATCGATAGGCGGATGACGAGATATTCTTTCGCATACTTTTTTGCTCCGGATAATTCAACCATAATTTCCCCGTTAACAAGCAGATCATCTATTCTGCAGAAGTTTTGTAACGGTGAGGAAAACTATTGGAATGATAAAGCTTCAACTGCTCCAACTGCGTATGAACACATCATTGCAAAAGTTAAGGCAGCTTATCAATATTAATTAATTTGCGTATCATACATATGAACTGATGGACTATGTATAGCACATAAGAAACAATTGACAATAAAAATGTATGCAGTCGTAGTACAAAATTTCGCCAATAAGGTTTTGGGTCAACAGTTTCAGGTAAAACCAGGACACACCTGTACATCAATAATATTTATTTGTCCTATACAATTGTCCCTTTCATAAATATGCATTTCGAATATTCGTGGGCACTAAAGATTTAATATTTTATTCACAAATTTCTACATAGTATTGACTCAAGAACTTTCTGGATTCATTTCCTCGGTTCTATACACAAAACAACAAGTCTCTTAAAAATTAATCTGTCTTAAAATTAATATGTTCAAGAAATATTTATTTTTAGTTCAAATTGCTCTAGCAATTTCATATTGTCATTGTCAAGCTGAAGACGAAGATGATGATTTGTCCTCGTTGGATATTAGCGATGGTGACTCAGGTAATCGCGAAATAAAAAATACATATATGAAACATGTATTCTTGTAGAAAAATATGCCTGTTTATCAAATGAAGGACCTACCCGGAGCCCAATAGAAGTGGTCACTCGAGTGCAACAATCCTTCACATTAGTGGAAAGCATACTGTTCGGGATACTTTGTACTCCTTTATTAGGATTCAGCATTTGTGGAAATAGGGGACAACCTAGTGTTGACACTGTTAAAACTTCTATAAATGCCACAAACACAACCATCAACAAAATTTAAAGGGTCTTGCCAATGTATGGATCTATTATGCTGATGATAAAAAAATTCGTTGAATAATTTCAATAATTTTGACTGATTTATTTGGAAAAATTCATTGTTGAAAATGTAACAGTCTCTCATTACTGTAAGTAATAGTTAAATAAATTTGAATTTACAAAATAAACTTCAGACCTAATGAAAGCTCGGGTGTGATATAAGCATGACCCAGAGTTCCTAAACTCGCGTTCATAGCTCCAGTAATATTACCAATCAAGTCAAATTTAATTAATGGAATCGGAGAATAAAGAAGAACTGCGGCAGCCAAAAGTACAATTATTAGCAAAGTCAGGAGCAAAATGGTAACAGTGATAGAAATTATTCCACAAATTCCTATTCGAAACCGTGTCCCGTTTACGACGATTGAATGGTGGCCGAAAGACGATGAGGGCTGGGGTGACGCTGAATAAAGTCCTCCTTCTGAAACAATGCAAGAAAATCGAGTATGGTTAGACATTAGATTTTGAATTACGAAATATTTTTGAACTTTACCTTTAACGTGATCCAAATGTTCATGCATCTCTAGCGGGTATGTAGTACAAATACCTCTTTAAAACTACATATGCAGATAAGTACAAGACTTGTTACCGTAATTACTTAGTTGTTTAGAACTTGTATAATTATGGAACACAAATAATTAATCGTGGACTGATAAATAAAGTTTAGTTCAACACCAAGTTTTAAATCCAGCATGAATTGCCATCACAAATTATAGTTCAATGAATGCACATAACTTTGACCTTAACTTGCGAAATATACCAGAAATACAAGCCTAGCCTGAATACCCATGCATGAAAATTTACGCTAATAATGAATGCAAAATTATGTGTACATGTACATATATCTACTCGAGAGATCTTCTCAATGCTTTTTATTTAAACAGCAACATAGTTTTATTCTGAATAAGTAAGCGTATTGATTAATCCAACGGCAAAATGGTGATGAATTGGAGCTTGGAAAGCGAGGTATTCAGGGTCACTGTCACTGATAAGTTTTTTAGTGCCTTGTTTTCGGTGTGAGCAACTTGACCCCAAGTTCAGCCTTTTGCTCAACCGTAGTGGCTATGTAAGTATGCAAGTAGTCTAATACATATGCATGATATCATACGCAAAATAAATGCAAGTAATTATGAACTCAATAATTTCAGAAGTTTTGCACTAGACTATTTATCAAATTAGCTAAAATACACGAATAATTGTTACTCTCGTCTTAGCTTCAATTTCGATCTTGGGTAATTCAATCACACAACAATTCATCCAAAAAATTGAACGATAAATTTGGGCAGTTAATATTAGATTAATTTAGGGGTATATATTGTATATTAAATTATGGGTGGAATCATTTTTTTCTAATCAAGAAGACATATGAATACTCCAAAGGTAGACCAAAAATATGTAAATGAATTGACAATGAAAGTAAAACAGTTCTCCGAAGCAGATACTTATTTGATGCGACCTTATCAAAATCAGAATAATATGCTTCATATGAGTAAATACATCCATCAGTGATTCTCGAGATTTCCGCAAATGTAATAGCCAGGAAGTGCTGTGAATTTGCTTAGTTATGAGTGCTCAGTCATATTGCGCATGTAAGAGGTACGTAAGTATGTCGTACTATTTCTGGATAAATCAATGGTTAAGAAAAACTGCACAACTAACATCTTTGATAACATTTTCCTCTACATATGTCTACAATGCCTACATCGAAATCCCCCTCTTCATTGGGGAATACGTGGTAATTATCTGTAATAGAATGTGGTTTCCTTCCTTGGGCATTTTTCCTTTGTCTAATCTGGTCTAACAGGGGTAAAATCTTCGATGGGGAAAGAACTATGTAGGATGCAGGAAATATCTGTAAAACCAACTAATCCTAAATAGATAAGTTATTTTTTCCTCCATGAATTAGTACTAGACGAAATGGAACAATACTAAAGTGATCATCTCAGATTCCGACCAGTACAGATAAAAATTAGCCTTCAATGATTTTAGATTTTTTTTAAATGTGGGGGAATTACATAAATACTTTTCCACCAAAAATGGAGTCAGTCATATTTAAAGATATGTACTGAAATATAAATTTTTTTTACACTTGAGGATGCAACCCATTAATTTTCACTAGTAATTTCAGATTTCATAACTTACATAACTGTAAGTCGTCACTTTTTCATACTCATCTCTGCAAGCCTTAAATCATAATCATCATCAACACAACCGAATATTTGAGATCATCATAGCCATCATCTCTTGTACGTGTGGGAGAAAGTCAAAGTCGGTGTTAACCAAGAGTAAGATGAGCTTTTTTTTTTACCTTAACATCACTTATCATCTTTTTCTTGGTCGTCCAGACTTGAGAGGTAGTTTGGGTGGTGGATGGTTGAGTAGGTGGAGGAGGGTGAAAAAAGTTGATCATGATTCCGAGCACATGCCACACAACCAAAGTCATCATATCGCATTCCACCCTCTTTCAACATTCTCCACTCTCACTCTAGTCAACTCCAGTTAAGCCAGAAGAAGTAAGAAAAATCTTTGAAAACTCTTCACAAACTTTCCCCCACTTGCTTTTGCCTTTTTCTTTTCCAAGGTTTTCTCAAGAATAATATAATCAACGCATGACGCAAAAGATGAGAAAGGGATGATTGTACATCTTGGAATGAGGCATGTCTACATATGTACGTACATGAAATATGAGTAATAAATACCTGATGCAACCAGGGTAAATATATTAATTTCTAGATGTGCAATTGCTAACTATATGTATGAGTAAGAAATCAATTGATTTTGTGTATAAATATGCTATTTCTTTTGTCTAAATAACCGTTTTATAATAACCGGCTCCTTCTTGAATAAAACACAAGTAAAAAGCGATTCAAATATATAGCAGTTCTTGGATTTATTTTCATTAAGCAGATTTAATGTTGACCTTAAGTTTATTAGAATTGGCCGGTGTTAAGTACCGTAGAAAATATTGATAATATTTTCTTACTAGTGATTCATTATCTAAATTGTGACACATTATTTGTAGAAGTAAAATCATTTTGATAATTCTAAATTGTTTAACCAGAGGATGAGATCCTCAGCGTAGTCAAATTTCACATTGTTATTGTTTTTCTAATTGATTTACTTTTTAAATTTAACTTGAAATTGAGTGTTCCATTATGATTTCGTTTCGAACATTCATTCTAAACATCATTTTCGAGGAGAATCTGCAACCTAACAATCATGCATTTTCCGGTAGCTGTCTACTTATGTAGCTCGACTACTGTACATGAACAGCGTTCAAATCGACAGATTAAAGTGCGTCTCTTAAATTAGCATTTCGTATGCAAAGTCTCACTTGAGCTGTAATGCATCCAACCAGAACGGAAGAAAACGTCTTGTCTTGTCTTTCCTCAGTCTACATCTGTTCCCCCCGAGTGAAATCTGGAATCATGAATTAAGATTCTATGTAGAATAGAATAGAAAAATGCAATTTTGTTTTCCCAGTCTCAGAGAAAACATAAAGTGTCCCAATTGCTAGGATCACATTATTATTGTCGTGTTGCTTTGTTTAGCAGCAGTGGATGGGTCCGTGCTGAAGGAACTCCTTGTATTGATCGTTATTATCTCCTCTTTGCATTCTAAACTCTTCTCCATTTGTCTTTATTGGAGTAGATTGGCCCAAGAAATTGAGCTAATAATTGCACCTTCCCGAGCTCTTCTGTAACCCTTCTCCCTTGTGAATATCCTCTTGTGTGTATACATACATACATAATATACGTAGACACACAACATGAATGCTGCTGCTGCATTTTCATGTCATTGTCGTGTGTCGCGGACAGAAAAAGAAAGTCGTCCTTCGATCGGGATCATTACTACGTTTTGTCTCATCGATGTGATTCTTTGGTCTGATACCATTTCATGTCCATCATTAAGCCAAGTGCCCATTTTCATCAGAAGCACATTTTATAGCTTCTTCGTCTTTCTCTTTCATTCCAAATTGGTTTCTGAACAAGCGACGAGGGTTTCGGTTATGCAGAATCTCCGTTTTGTGATATTGTTAGTTATGTCAGTGATTTAATATTGAACACTCAGCAAAATATAGCTCTAAGAAATTTGTTCTATAGTGCAGGCTAAATTGGCAAAATGTAGGACAAGGAGTAACATTAAGGGGATTTTTTTCATGAACTTGGTCAGTACACGAGAATAACTAAAAGAGAATTGGCAAACTAATTATTTTTTTGTTAGCTGTTTTGATTTTGAAAAACAAAACAGTTTAAAACAGAATTAATGATTCACTTGCATCAATATATCGTTAACTGTTCGAGTTGATTTTCTTTCCGAAAAGAAATCTATAATAGCATTCATTCAATTCAACCTTCAAGGTTCCTGTAATTCACCAGGGACATTTGATTCATTCCTTGGTTAAATATCACATAAATCCAAGTCACTTTAAAATTGAATTCTTTTCTTCCCAGCATTGGAAAAAGTCTTATACAATACCTTTTCTCAAGTCGACAACTTCCATGTCAAGGCGAACATGGTCACATTATGCAAATCCATTTCGAGCATTTGAGATGAATTCAAGTATTACTTTCTTCGAAATTCCCTGATTCATTTACTTTTAATAAAATAATGAGAATTTGCATAATTCTGAAAATCCAAATGTCTCTCACATCCTATTCCCATCATCGTCATCATCATCCCCTCTTTTTTGAATAGTTACAACACTATGTGCCAAGATTATTCACCTTTTCTTGCCGATGCTTATCGAGTGAATATCAAATTTCATGATGGGATCATGATCACGATCAGGCTCAACGAAGTCGAGTAAAATCCTCATAACTGTCCCATTACAGCGCAATCGTCTGCGTCACTACATCAGTGCGGTTTTGGAATCTCGAATTTTCATAAATATTCCCCCTTTCGCTGCTTCCTACTCGCGGCTGTCCTGTAACTGTCACATTTTGGCAGGCATTCTATGCACACATTTTTCTGGATTTTGGACCTTTTCCTTGTCATCAAGTTTTCATAAGGTGCGGAAGATGCATACACCCGTTTCCCTTTGCTTTACCAATTTCTCGGGAATTTTTTTCAATGTTTTGGAGACATTGGATTTTCCAAGAAGATGATGTCAGCTTGTTGAGGTTTACGAAGTAGGAACGTGATTTCTTCGTGGGGAAGAAGTTGGAGGGGTATAAGATGCTGTCGCCGATGGTTGTTGGGTGATCAGCATGTGACCAAGAGAGCTGGATTCAGATGCTGAATTTGACTCCATACTCAACCGTGAGTGTTGGATGAAGAGCTGATGATCACACGAAAATCCGTCCAACTTTCGGGTTTGAGATTGTCAATAAAGGAGAGGCGAAGAAGGAGGAAGTAAGGAAAAGGAGAGAGAAGAGGGAGAAAGCCGTTAAAGCCATCGTTTACCGGAGAGGAGACGAGAATGTGGAGAACGTGGTCAGAATCTTGAGACAATTTAAGTAGCTAGATCAACATACGCATATCACCGGTTCGGTTGAGTTGCACCAGGCGAAGGGAGATCCGCACAATATAGTCTCCCCTTCGTAGAGAAATTTTCCATCAAGAAAGACAGAAAACTTGTTCTCGTTTTCATCTTTGCCAATTTTTAAATTGCAAACTTAAAATTTGCTGGTATCGGTTTTATGTAATTTTAATGTCTACGTTATAAGAATACTTACTATAAATAAAAAAGTGTAGGCGTTGCAATAACTCACGCATTATTACAGATTACCATATCAAACTTAGGTTGTATTGCATAACTCGTATTTCTTGAGCAGTAGTAA